CCACACCACTTCCTCCCATGGAACAAGGACATGCCCTACACTGTCACTCTCTCCCAGCTGCCCAAGGACCAGGAGGCCAAGGCTCACACTGCATACATGTCCACCAGACTTGGAGACAGCCTGCTGGCCATCTACTCAGATGCCTCTTCAGTGCAAGGTGGCACTGGCATTGGAGTTGGTCTGACAGCACTGGACTGGTACCTCAACGACGAGGGTTGTCTTGTGCTAGGGAATGCGGCTGAGCAATTAGCGTCGATCCCACCTGTGAGGCAGAACCTTCATGTTCGGCTATGCGGACTTACGACTGTCGTGGAAGCTAATGAACAAAAGGTTGCTTAGGGGTATATAGCAAATAACAACACAGACACGATCTTCTGCCATCTCATTGTGATTCCAGCCAGCTTCCTGCGGCCCAGGCTACAGCACAGCCAACCAGTGCCGCAGCACCCACGATCTGCTTCGACCAGCTCTGTTCCTCCTGTATCATTGCCGCACCCTGCCTCTTTAAATTCTGAGCCGGCTTTGCTTCTTCAACAATATGCTGCGCCTGTGGGTGCACGCTCAAGCTCTCATTGTGTCTCCTCTTCGCCTCAAGGATCATCTTCTCGATAGCCTCCAGCTCCCGCCTCCACTGTGTCTCATTCCTCTTCTCACCCTCGACCTCCACGTTCTGCACATTGCCGAAGAAATCCATGACGAGTCTATTCCTCGCCGACTGCTCGCCGCCCTCAAACAGATCGTAACGTATGCCCGGGTGCGAGTGGATTTTCTCCTCGTCGTAGCTGTCGAACAGATCACCCATTGTAAGCTTCGATGTCGGGTCGCGGACTTGTGTCTCGAGGAACTCGAGGTTGTAGTATGTGTAGCGGTCGATGACGGCGACGCCGACATCTTGATCGGCGTGGTGCGAGTAAGAGGATTGGTCGATCTCGGAGGAGCCGGTGGCGAGGATGTTGGGGGAGTAGAATTTCGAATACATGGTGTTTGCTTGGCAGGTGTCGATCATGAAGAGCATCTCATGGTAGCTAGGGACACGTTAGTAGGGAGTAATCAGGAACGGTGTAGGGGAAGTGGCGTACCGTTTCTTCTCCCACATCTGACCGAACGCGTCGGCCAGGTCGAAAGCACTGATTTCTTCCGCGTCTTGGAACTTCAGGAATTCGTTGCCGCCATGTCCTGTCATGTAGACCAAGATGTTACTCCGCTCATCTGTCATCAACCTCTTGCTGCGGGGGGTGTCCTCGCCCCAGCGATCTGTCATGAGCCGGATGAAGTTCTCCACTGTGACTTCATACCCTCTGTAATCCACCTCGATGTTGTCTCCATACAGATCGAGGGCGCGGTCAGCATTATTGAACACGGCTCCTGGGAAAGCGTTGCGCGGGTTGCAGGCCATATCGTCGGGCAGCATAAGGATAATCTGCGAGTCGGGAATGCCGAGGCGCTTGACTGTACGGTACAGCGACAGGACGTTGGCGAGGTGGCGGTAGTTGAACCAGAAGCGTGATGTCCCTACAAGTACGGCCCAGTTGGATGTGTGCTCCGCTGCGGCGAAGGGCGCCGCCAGGAGCGGGAGGAGGGCGCTGGAGAGCCTCATGTTGGGTCGAAGAAGCCTCGCCAATGGAAAAGTGTTAGCTGAAGGAGCGTCGAGAGAAGAGCAAACGCGCCAGACAATGTCTCTGAACGGCAGCCCGCGATGCACGTTGAGTGTTGCTGAGCAGTGACAAATCGGAGATAAGCCGGCTCAGCCTTGAACCGCATCACGTGTTGGGAAAGTTACTAATTGCATCATTGATAGCCGCGCCTATCTGCATTTATCTGAGCACGCAATATCATCCTGGTTCCATTAAGATGCTTGACTGAACGTCCTGTCGCGTTCAAAGACTCCACGCTGTCCGTCAGAGTTCCCCTCCAGGATTTACCTACCATGGCGCCAGACCGAGGATCATCGCCGTGCCCATCAACGGACGACTATGAAAGAGCTGAGGATGCAGGGGACAGTGCGCCAATCCATGCGGGGGATCGCGATTATCTGGCCGAGCAGGCTGAGCAGCCGCAAAACTTCACGCTGAGAGGTGTGCTGGTTGGCCTTGCCATTGGTGTTGTTATATGCTTTTCGAACATGTACTTCGGCCTGCAGACTGGCTGGGTTTCTGGCATGGCCATGCCTTCCGCACTTATCGGATTTGCATACTTCAAAGTTGTTGCTCGCACGCTAAAGCTCCCCTTCACGCCAGTGGAAAATGTACTAGTCCAATCAGTTGCTGGGTCTGTTGGTACGATGCCTCTAGGCTGTGGATTTGTAGGCGTCATCCCAGCATTGAACTTCCTCCTGAAGCCAGAAGAGGGTGGACCGCTTGACATCAGTCTATGGAAGTTGATTGTATGGTCAGTGGGGATCTGCTTCTTTGGTGTAGTCTTCGCTGTGCCGCTGCGACGGGAGATGATCATCAGGGAGAAGCTGAAGTTTCCAAGCGGAACCGCTACTGCGCTATTGATAAAGGTCTTACACGGCAAGAAGGACTACAAGCCCAATGCCGCACATGCTAGCCACCACAGCAATGGAGAAGGCGATGAGTCGCGAGGCTTACTACAAGACGAGCGCCTCGAAGCCAGAGGCGAAGAGCAAGACTCAGGCGACAACGGCGACTGGAAAGCCAAAATCCGGCTCCTCGGTATCGCCTTCGCAGGCTCCGCATTCTACACCGTCTTATCCTACTTCATTCCACAACTGCACGACATCCCCATCTTTGGCCTCCCCCTCGCGACGAACTGGCTCTGGACACTCAACCCATCACCCGCCTACGTCGGCCAAGGCATCATCATGGGCCCCGCAACAACACTGCACATGCTCCTCGGCGCAATCATAGGCTGGGGCATACTCTCTCCCCTTGCAAAGCACAAAGGCTGGGCCCCAGGTCCCGTGTCGGACTGGACCCATGGGTCCAAAGGCTGGATAGTATGGATCTCACTCGCCATTATGCTCGCAGACTCGCTCGTCAGTCTCGGGTGGCTGGTCATCCGCCCGCTCATCGCACTTGCACGACTCTACTACCCCACTGCAAAAGAAACTTTCCACTCGCACACCTGGCGCGAACTCCTCACGCTCAACATCTCCCGTCAACAAGGCTACACATCCCTCTCCGATGGCACGAGCGCAAACCCCATCACAACCGTCAAACAGCATCTCAACTCCTCCGAATCCGACGCACCACCCGAGCACTTAATCTCGACACGCACCACCTTGATCGGCCTGGTAGGCTCTCTAGTCCTATGCATAGTCGCAGTCCACGTCTCCTTCCCCGGCCTAATCCCCTTCCGCCTGACCCTCCTCTCGCTCGTCCTCGCACTGTTGCTGAGTGTCATGGGCGTCCGCGCGCTCGGCGAAACAGACTTAAACCCCGTCAGCGGCATCTCGAAACTCACACAACTTGTGTTCGCACTCGTGACACCCACGACCGGTCCGGGCGCCAAGAACGCTGTCATCATCAATCTGGTTGCCGGCGCTATGAGCGAGAGCGCGGCACTGCAAGCAGGTGATCTGCTGCAGGATCTGAAGTGTGGACATCTCATTGGTGCAGCGCCGAATGCGCAGATTTGGGGGCAGGTGATTGGGAGTGGGGTTGGGGCTGTGCTGTCTGCTGTGGTGTACAAGTTGTATACAAATGTCTATACTATCCCTGGTGGGTTGTTCGAGGTACCGACCGGGTACGTGTGGGTGTTCACTGCGAGGCTGGTCACTGGTAAGGGATTGCCGCCTATGGTTGGAGAATGGGCGAGTGGAGCTGCGGTCATCTTTGCGGTGGGTACGATGATCAGGGTTTGGGGAACGAACAGGAAGCAGAGGGGGTTGAGCGGGTGGTGGATTGACTTCGTGCCGGGTGGAATTGCGGTCGCTGTCGGTATGTGATACGTTTCGCGATTGTTGATGTGTGCTAACATTAGTATAGGCATGTACAACACGCCTTCATTCACATTGGCGCGCACAGTCGGTGGTCTCATCAGTCTGTGGTGGAGGAGATGGAAGGGCAAGAGCGAGACACCCATCATTGTACTGGCCAGTGGTCTGATCTTGGGAGAAGGGCTTTTCAGTATTGTGAACTTGCTGTTAGCAAGTTTGAAGGTGCCGCATCTTTGAGCAAGCCTTCGTTGTAGAAGACGAGTGGTGTTAATCGTATGTCATTCGATGTCATTGTTGTATTGTTCGTAACGCCTTGACCATGCATGCGGTCCTCTGCTCCTAGTCCGTTCGTGAGGTATCGTTGCAGTCCCTCTAGCGCCGTTATCAAATGCTCATGCCATGGATGTATCCCAAACGCCGCAGTATGCTCTAAAGACGCGCAGTTCCGTGATGTAGCCAGCACATCAATGCATGTACTTCCTTCTACGCACCTTTTACACCGAGCACTCTGAGCGAGCCATTAGTGGCGATGGAGTTGAATGTTTCAAAACCATCCGCTTCCCTGGCGACTAGCCAAAATGACCTGATCCCTCTGCGCCGCCATATGCCGTCTCTTGGAATCCAATAGGTACTGTCCATCCATGCATGGCACAAGCGCGAATATATGCACCCACAGCTTCACCGACGCCGTAATCGTGCCTTCCACCGCGTTCCAGGCGAGCCGGCTTGGGGTCAAGGCTGGTGATAGCCATGCGTACTTGAACCAGAACAGACTCAATCGAAGACACCGCGCTCCAGCCATCGTTCGTCAGGAGCTGCATGCACATGGCACCACCTGCAGTGACGTGGCCACCACCTCCAGCTGCAAAGCTTAGGAAGCGCGGGCGAATGACCCGAACGAAGGGAGGCGCCATCGGGTAGTCCTTTCCAAAGCGTAATTCCAGGACGATACTGTTGACGTCGTGCTTTTTCATGTCTTGCGCTAGTGGTAGCGTTAGGTCGAACGAATGTAGTTCCACAATCCACTGATACATGTTTTCGATTCTGTCCTCGTCGATGTGCCAGCCGAGCTCGTGCAGTGGCTGCTCGTTCTGCGTCTTGATCAGGACTTTGAACTCTCGCATCAGGCACTTCGTCGCAGTAGTGGAGGCCCACGATGGTTGCTGGAGCATGGGTAGGGTACTGTAGTCTAATGTTCCAGGGACGTAATCTGTAAAGGGCTTCGAGGGCTTCAGCTTGTGGAAGAACCCGCCCAATTTCGATTTGCCCTTGCCATCTTTGGTAGAATTGGGCGTCGGAAGCGGATCGACAAACTGTTCGTTCTTTGGTGAGTCGTCGTCGAAGACGATGTGATCTTCATCCAGCGTAGCGATACTGGCAGTATCGTCATCGTCAATCTCAATAGCATCATATTTGCTCGTTCCCCCCGCCTTCTGCCTCTTGTGTTGCTGTTCAGAAGTTAGTAAGCGCGATGCACCAATCACCTTGTGAGGACTTACTGTAGTGTTGAGCGACTTGGGTCGTCGGGATCCTGCAACCGCACGGATAGGAATGACAAGCTTGCCATCACCTCCCATCGGCGTTACATCGGGATCTTGTTCCAGGATCTCCAGCGGTATTGAACCCTTGTCTACCGAACTGGTAGCTTGCTGAGAGACAGCACTGCTGACGAATAAATACCGAGTCTGAATCCAGTCAAGCTGGGCGACCACAAGATGTGGGCTCCTGCTGATGAACTCTTGGGGTGCGTTGCAGATCTCGTTCAATGCTAGAGCTTGTTGGATGTTGAGCTCACTGTACGGCCAAGTGTAGCCATACCCCCCAAAGCCTGAGTAACCTATGCTAGTGTTGACGTTCAGAGAGTGGTAGACACCGTGGCCGTAAGCTCGACCGTGGTGGGTCTCATTGAAGTGCAGACCTTCGCGAATGATGCTGTGCCAATTGTGCAATGGGCTACCGTGCCATGCAAAAAAAGTGGGGAACTTCAAGTGAAGTCTTTCGGTGACGCTTCGTACAGACTGGATAAATCGCCGCTCTTTGTCTGGTGCGCCCATGGCAAATCTGAACTGCGCCCATCTTGACATCCCATATAATCTATCCTCAGCCTTGCGACCTGTAGCAGCATCATCCTCGACATCTACTTGAAGGATACACGCTCGATTCGAAGCGATGATCCAACGCAGCAATCCCAGGGCTGCAGGGGATAGGCGGTCCGTCCAGGCACTAAGCGAGGATTGTGCATTTCGGAGCAAATACTGCCTCATGTCTTTAACAGGAGGAAGCAGGTCGAGAAGGAGACAAATGACCTGTCGTTTGTTTTGCTCTGGGAGATCGTCGAAGTTCTGGTTGTAGATTTGGAATTTTGCAGGGCGAAGTTCGTTTATGTTCCAAGGGGACTTGAAAGCTGCCTTTGGTGCCGGAGATGGTAGCGCAGCAGCTAGTTGATATCCATAACCACGAGAAGACCCATCCAAGGTCGCAACAGCGGGCTCGAGGGGCTCAGAGACCTTGACTGATGGATAGTAGGAGGCATCTACCACGCGACAGTGTAAGGCTTTGCCGGGGTCATCGTCGAATCGCAGTGTGATCCATTCGTTTACCCGCACAGGGCACGGCTTAGACTTGTCTTCGAATAGAATCTCTCGATTGTCCAGGTTGAACCTCATTTTTATCGGAGCTTGCTCACGACCAGCGCGTGTGGTCTTTGGCATTTGCGACTGTGGCTGCGGCTGCATGCCATAACCCCGGTACTGGTTCAGAACGTAGTCTTCTTCGTAGGATGAAGAGGGAGGAACCATCAGAGCAAGACCAGCAGGGAAGTCCTTTAATCTGGACTGGCGTGCACTGGAGTAACAGAAGCTGACAAGCAAATCTACCACCTTTGGCTGAGAGAGAACCTCATGCTCTATACTTGGTCCAAATCCTAACGACATGTATTGGTAGAGACATAGCGGGTTGTCGCAGACGTACGGCTTGATCGCTTGGAGATCATCGGCCATCTTGCTGAAGCAGATAAGACAGAACTCGGTACAGCGCACAAAGTGCCTGAGAACGAACTGCATGCCCACAATAGGTAACGAGTGTTCTTGACCGGTCGTCTGCTGGATGTGATCGGCTGTGATTAGAGGAGGGAATGCCGTGCTGATCGCTTCGGGGGCATAGTACTTGTCCTCTGAGCCTTCGGAATGTGTGCTCATTGGTCGCAGTATCTGATCGTTGTAGAACAGCTCGGCTCCATTCCATGGCATTCCTGCATATCGGTACTTGAGAAGCATATGAAAACGTTGGGCCAGCAGCTCATTCAAAGGTCTCGAGATGAAGGAGTGCCGGAAACCTGGTTGCACTGTAGTCTGCTGCTGGAACTCTGCCTGCTGCGACTCATCACGATGCTTCTCATCCTCTCTGCTGAGCACGGTAAAAGCCTGTACAGCTTCCTGTAGGGTAGGCTTGTAAGACTTGGAGATGCCGATGCGAATGCCGAAGTTGCGTTGCGTCTGGCTGGCGTCGTATGATCGAAGATCATCCATGGTCTTGTATCCGGCTGGGTAGTGGAACAACGCAATGAGGTACTCCGTGGGCTCCAACTGCCATGCCTGCATAGCTTCCTCCGAAATGCCTAGCTTTGCGATGCGGATGGAGATGCTGATGTAGCATCCCAGGCCGTCCATCAGACCACCCAGATGGCCAACCTTGAAGCCACTGCTCTTTGCTGCCAGGAGATCGCGGCGAATGCGTTGCCTGAAAGCAGCAGTGGGCTCTGTGAAGGTTCCGGCAGCCAAGGTTTGGTGGCCATTGATGAAGGGCTTTGGTAGCATGTCTTCGTCTCCAGGGAAGTACTCCTCCTCATAGTCGTCATCGTCATCTGATCCGTGTTCGAGACCATCGAAGTTTTGTGAGTTGAGCATTTGCTGGTCGCCATCCTTGTCAGTCGACTCCAGCTTGCGGGACACAAGTTCCAGGATCTGCTGCACCGTCTTTCCAGTTGCCGAGATGTCAGCCAGGGTACTGGCAACTTTGGCGGACGCATTATCGGGACCAAAGACCATACACATGTGGCTCGAGGGATAGTCAGACAGCTCTACAATCAGTGTAAGTCAAACAGCAGCATATGCGAAAGGTTCAAGGGACAGCTTCAAGTGCTCAGTTTGGACAAGACTTACCGGGTATCAGAGCGGATATTTCGAGGTTGTGGCCGTCAGCGACGCAAATGAAGGTGAACTCGCCATCGTCGCCGCCCGGTTGCACGGCCGAGATGCCTGCAACAGAGACACCCTCTACAGCGGCGGCCAAGTCGGCCACAAATTGCCTACGAGGCATGTTGGGCGAAGCTGCGGTGTAGCGGCCGGTGTTGAAGCTGGTCGCAGGGGTGGGGTGAAGGGGTTGGAGCTCTTAGGTTGGGCAGAGTTGGGAACCTGGTTGTGTCACAGGGAAAGTTCGAGAGCGCGAAAAGGGTCTCGAATGAGGCACAGCCAATTGCGGAGACGGTGTGGGGTGACATCAATGCTTTTGTTTGCGTGAAGGAAACAACGATTGTTGCTGTGACAAGTCGCGCTCTGTCCAGTCCACGTGCAGCTGCGTGAGTGTGACGAGCGGACCAAGCGAGAGTGAAGTAGGAAAGAGGAGAACAGAAGAACGAAAAACCCACGGACTCGTTCTTGGCATGGCAATTGCTCTTATGCGACTGTGCCTTGACGAACAGCAGTGCCTCGACGAACAGCAGTGCCTTAAATAATCGAGTGACTGATGAATCCAGGCAGCAGAGCGCGCTGCCGCACCGCTGCTAAGGCTAGCGCGCTCGATAGGGAACCCCGCACCTGTATTTTAGGGCACATACCCATGAACCCTCATTGTCAATCATGAAACAGTCATGCGCATGGACGTTGACAACAGCAAGAGGAAGATGCAAGATTTGTTTACCGGCGCAACTGAGAGAGACGCGTCGAGCTGCAGCCATGACTCGCGCCAGTCCAGCTCCGGCGCGTTTAGCAGCCCGGCTGCTGCCCCTCCCCCACTCAGACGCGGCTGCGGCCAGCGTTCCGGGCGTCTGGCTCGCTTCTAGCTGGAGCCTCATCCAGGAACGCTACCAAATCTCCCCGTCATATCTCCAGTCATAACTCCGCCCTCTGCCAGCCATGGCCGTCGCAGACGACAATACAGCGCCCAAGTCGAGTCACGTCTCTGACCCAGCCCTTGCGCCATTCCTCCAGTCAAGCTTCGACCCCGCCGACTACCTCAATGCCACACTACCTTCGCTCTCACTGAGCGGGCGGCCAGCCAAGGGCACCTCGGCCTCACTAGCGGACCTCTCCTCGCAGACTCAGGACTTGTTTTCACAGCTCAATGCGCAGACCACACGCCTTTCGGCTATCCTCACCCAGTTGACCGACGATATACTGCGCAGTGGAGGGAGGCTAGCCTACGAGATCGAAGTGCTGCGTGGAGAAACCACTGGACTTACAGATGTGCTAAAAGATGGGTTGAAAGACGACGTCAGCAAGTTCCTACCAGGTGGACTGTCTCTGAAAACAGAAACTCCAGATCGAGACTCCAGTAGAAGGCTATCAGAGATCCAAAACCCAGATGTCAGCGCTGCAGCAGACTCATCACAAGATGCCACACAACAACTACTCCCAACAACCACCGACACGACTCCAGACTACATAACCTCCCTCCGCACCCTAACAATCGTCCGATCGCGCCTCGAGAACGTAATCAAAGTCTTCGGCGAAGCCATGCACTGGACGATTCCACCCTCCGACATCTCCCTTGGCTCCTCTCTAATCAGCGTCTCCGCGCCCGAGCCCGGCAGTGACAACGCCTCGCTCGAGCAACGCGGCAAAGAGTTCGCGTCCGCTCTGCGCTCCGAGATCGCTGACCTAGTAACCGGCGACCCAGAACAAGGGCCCGCGAAGGCAGAGGCCAGGATCCAGGCGCTGCGTGATCTGGCGGTGGTGTGGAAGGGCACAGCGGAGGAGAAGGCAAGGGGGAGGTTTGTGGAGGGGTTGGTTAAGGTGGCGGAGGATAAGCAGAGGGAGGTGGAGAAGGAGAAGGAGAGGAGTAAAGGGAGGGGAGGAAGGAGTGTGAGTGTTGCCAAGCCGCAGCAGGCGCCGGTGAAGGAGCAGGGGAGAGGTGGGTTTTTGGATAATCTGAGTAGAATACGCGGGTTTGTTGAGTAGGTCATACAATGAAATGAAGAATACAGACCCTTTTGAGGTTGCATTGAGCAGCATATACAGTACCCAGTGTGGTGTCACTTGTTGAGATGTGATGAGAGCAGCGGTATACAGCACCAAGGATGGCCTCAACGTACCCACAACTGACAAGAGCAGCGGGAGATAGCACCCAGTATGGTTTCAGCGCGGTTACATACAGATCGCAAGAGAAGACGGATTGTGTTGTGTGATGCTGCATTGCTTTCGCTTCGATCCACCCCTCGACTGGCTATGTTGGATCACCTAGGAGCCAGCCCTTGCGGGCGGCTACAACTAGGATCACCTCAAGCCTCGAGGAGGGGCTGGGATGCTACTAAACTATAAGACCACAGCTATACAAGACCCAAGCCCAAAAGCCAATCCCAGAACTCCTGAATGCCTCCGGGGTATCATAATCAACGACAGAACTCCGTCCCAATGCCCAATTGTAGCCATCTCAGTATATTGGCAGGCTCTCAATAGCCGCCCTTGCTCGCATCGCCTGCACCTCGAATGCCAAAATCTGCTTCTCGCACGCCTGCCTCAACTTCTCCTCGCCCCTCTTGGCGTTGTACAACACCCACTGCTCCACCGACATCTCCTTCTCAGACTTGGTGAGTCCGTCCAACACAGCAGCCTGGAGGTCCTCAGCGATGGCTCCAGCCGGCACAATTGCGTCAAGACCAGCGTCGATGACAACGTCGTTCATGAAAGCTTGGAGTTCGTCGGTGTTGCCGAAGAATGCGTCGATGTCAACAGGATCCCATTCCTGGGCCTGCTGAACGTCTTCAGGGGTCATTCTCCTTGTCGGCGTCTTCTTGGGGGTTCCAACAAGGAGAGATGCGGGTAGACTTGAGATATCGGCCTCCAGGTCCTCCATCTCAGGTTCTGCTTGCTCGACTTCCAATGCCTCGGGTCCTGCCAACTCTGTGGGTGCCCTCTTAGGTGTACCGGCGAGCAGAGAGTCAGGGAAGCTGGAGACGCTGCTGTGTCTTATGCGCTTCGGTGAAGTCTCGACGACATCAGTGTCTTCGATCTGTTCGCTAGTGCGCTTCTTGCCGCGTGACTTCGTGGTGGTGCTCGCGGTTGAGGCACGCTTAGCTCTAGGCGCAGCCTTCTTGGCTTTGGATTTCGGTGCGGGTGCGAGTGCAGAAGGTTGCTCCTCCTTGACATGGTCCATGGTGCTGTCAGTTTGTTCGGTAGCATGCTTCTTGCCACGTGTGGCCTTCTCAATGACAATGTCGATGGTGTCGTCGATCTGCGTGCTTGCGCGCTTCCTGTCGCGTGTGGGCTTTTCTGTAACGCTGGAAACTGTGTCGTCGATCTGCGTGCTTGCGCGCTTCTTTCCGCGCGTAGCTTTGGGCTTGACTGCCTCGATGGTATCGTCAATTTGCTCACTTGTGCGCTTCTTGCGACGTGTAGGCTTTTCAACAACACTAGAGATCGAGTCGTCGATTTGCTCGCTGGCGCGCTTTTTGCCGCGGGTTTTCGAGGCTGTGCTGGCGGTTGAGGTGCGTGTAGATGCGCGTTTGCCCTTCTTAGAGGCAGCTTTTGGCGCAGGGTGGTACAGTTCCTTGAGTGCGAAGAACAGACAGTCGGGCGCACGTCGTCGGTGCTCTTCCATTGGATCGTCGCCAACGTCCCATGCGTCCAGGGAGAGGGAGCAGTATGCGCAGGTGGCGCCATCAGGTGTGTCCAGTGTTGGGTCATAGTACCAGCCTGCTTCTACCAACTGTATTGTGTGTCAGCATTGCAATTGACTCTGACCGATGCAAAAGCTTACCTGTTCGATGCTTGGGAATCCCTCGTTGCTGTCGAGAGGCCACGATTCGCCGAACGTATCGCGACGCGCCTGCATCATCGCGTCTGAGATGGGATCATCTTCGCTCCTGCCCGGGTCTCCGGTGCGCAGGCGAATGCATGTGACGACCGCGAAACCGCAGCTTGGGGAGTGCGTAAGGTGTTCGTAAGCAGGAACGTCGTTCTCTTCCCAACCGTCAAGCTGGCAGTGACATGAGAAGCACTGAACATTGTCTGGGCTGGCTGTTGTGGGCTTCCAGACGAATCCAGCAAAGGCCAGGTCGTGTGCTGACGGCAGCGCCAAAGGCCAAGCGCTCTTCGGTTTGGAGGGCGCTTTCTTTGATTTTGAGGATGTTCGCCTGGATTTGGAAGTGGCGGGCGCTGAGAAGGTGTCGATACGCGCCTGCAGGCACGCGAGGGAGGCCGCCATGGCTCCTACAGCTGGCGCCGGGAGGGTTCGTTTGGTAAATCTGAAGACAGTGCAGTGCGAGATATGACTGCAATGTAGTCGCGTTGAATTTCGCAGTGCTCGAGCTCAATTGTGGTGGGTGTTGTGAGCAGAATGGTGGGGAAGTCGCGGTTGTTGGGGAGGGCAGTCGTGAAGTAAACACGATGCCAAACACGACCCAGTCTTTTTAGTGCGGCTTACGTCAACCCAAGCTGTGTGCGCCTCGAAGAACCTCAGGCATCGCCCCCACCGCAACAATGTATCAATTCCGCCCATTCGTACGGACAGCGTGGTGCAGGAAGCCCCTGCTGCTCCCTGGTCGCCGTTTCATCGCATCGCAGCAGGCGCAGTCTAGCAAACCCACCAATGAGTACCAGTCCCTATCCGCAGAATGGGAGGATCAAGAGCATACGCTGTCCAACTTCTCGGAGCTGCCGTTCAAAGACTTTGGGAAGAACCAGTTGATCCAGACCAATGAGGAGTTCAAGCGATCATTACGAGGCATATTGCGCCAGTTCCCACCTGTCACTTACGCTTTTGCCTATGGCTCCGGCGTCTTCCCTCAGTCTTCTGCGACAGCATCGCTCACAACCGAATCACCGCATCCGAACCCCCCCGAGGCGATACTAAAATGGCAGAAAGGCGGTGGAAAGATGATAGATTTCATTCTGACGCCGCGATACTCTCAGCATTTCCATTCACTCAATTTGCGCGAGCACCGGGACCACTACTCCTTCCTTGGATCACTGGGCTCAGGGGTGGTCAGCCATGTGCAAGACCGCTACGGTGCGGGCGTATACTTCAATCCATACATCACTGTCAACGGCACGATGATCAAGTACGGGGTTGTCAACTTCGAAACTCTCCTGCGCGATCTCACAGACTGGGACACGCTGTACCTCGCCGGTCGCCTACACAAGCCCTGCAAGATCCTCCACGAGGAGCCAAACATCCGTCTCGCAAACCAGCGCAATTTGTTGTCCGCTGTTCGATGCGCTCTCCTCCTCCTTCCTCCGACCTTCACCGAGAAGGAGCTATACTCCACAATCACAGGATTGAGCTATCAGGGCGACCCACGCATGCAGTATGGCAGCGAAAATCCCAAGAAGATCGACAACATCGTTACGCACCAAATCCGAAATTTCAGGTTGCTGTACCACGATCTCATTGTATCGCTGCCGAATATTATGTACGCCGACTTCCAGGCTGTTAGCAAGCCGGACTGGATGGACGACACCAAGCTGGACCTGAAGCTCACACAGGACATGAACCCCGAGCGACGCGCAAACATGGTGCGAAGATTGCCCAAGAAGTTCCGTGAGAAGATCTACTTCCTATACCGGGGCAAGTTTGGCATCTCCGGAAGCGAATACAAGCAGATGTTGGAAGCTAGTAAGGATGAAGATGCGAAGGGCGGTGTCAAGAAGCAAGTAGGCAGTGACTTCGACAAGCGAATTGCAGCCGAAAAGGATCTGCCCTTGATGGTCACAAAGGCAGTCAATCAAACCGTCAAGTGGCCATCCACCGTGCAAAGCATGAAGGGTCCACTCACTGCAGGGCCACAGAGGGCTTGGAGGTACCTGCAAGAAAAGCGTGCGAAGGGCAGGATGAAGTAAAATGGCCATGTCCAGGCAGCAGCAGCAAGAGTTGTATCGCACCCAAAACAGCCTCTTCAGGCAACTTTCCCTTTTGTACCATCACGAAAGCGCAAGCGAGCAAGCGAGCGTTATTTATAGACTTGTATTTGCATTGCATGCAGCCGCCGTTAGCAGCATGCGGGTCAGGCTTGAAAGAAGAGTTGAGCGAAATTCATTTCTTTGCTGGCTTAGAGGATGCATCCTTGTATCACCGCGCAATCGCACTTGTCTGCAACTGCCAACGACTTACTTTGTCATATGTCTTCACTGGTTGCTCGTGGCTCTCGAACTCACGAACAGGACGACTGGACGCAGACGTACAAGTAATTACGAACAATAGTGTGGTGTTCGAGGGCTGGCTGATTGGGTGTATATGGTGGCCCCTTGCTTCCCAACAAAGTCGAAAGAGTCCAGGACTGCTGGAAACACACGTGACCTTACTCAAAGCGAGGAACGTAGTGGTAAGGCGCATTGGGAGTTGTGCAAGGAGCTCGGCCACGCTCCTTCAGTCTCACTTCCACGCTGATTGAGGTGTCCAGCCTACATCGCAGACTTCCACATCAACACAGCTCCGAAAATTGATTGACCCGCCAGCTCGATATGCATACTCTCGTTAGCTGATTCTGCCTTAGACGGCGACTACATACGTTGGGAGGGGCGATGTTCGGCTCTGGTTGTGCACTAATTGTGGTTGCGAACCGGTCGGAATCCACGGAAAGCTCAATCAATTCTGTCCACGTACGCCAGAAACATCTGTTATCTCTCGGGCATGTGCGTGTGCGTTGCTTTCCGAGCCTTGTCTACGCGAATTTGTCAATGCAGCAAATCGTGCGACTTAGAGAGAACCATGTGCTTTCGCGATGAGTCTTACGTGGAAATGCAGCACCGACAAAGACCATACTATTTTAATCTTTCAATCTAGAATGTGTACATACCTTTTAGCATGGTGTTGAGGAGTTTCAAAGAGGTCAGGCTGTGGTTGCTGTTTCCTCTTTCTGGATACGATAAATTGAGAATAGAGCCATCCAATACACAGTAAAAGGCTTGAAAGAAATAATTGGAGCGATTTACCCCACGCTTAAGCTCTTGTTACGTGCTGTGAAATGGAACTGCAACGACTGGCTGGCTGCTACACGAGAAATATAGAAGTATGTAAGATCGAACTTGACGGATCTAATATCTATAAAGTTAGAGATGCCAATGTGCGAAGACCTACGACATCTTTGTTGTTGTAATGTCTCGCGCCCGGGTCTTGCCGTCTGACAGGTGTCGAGATCTACCGGTATCGTGGCTGAAGTCTACATTTTTTCAGGACCAACGAATAGGAGAAGGCTGACCGTTGATACGGGATGCCTGACAAGGTGTAAGTTTGGCCCCCAGCCCGAGCGCTAACGTTGTGCAACTCCATAATCTATCTCACTTCGTTCGTGAATCGAGTCTTTTCATCCTTTTCACCCCTCCTTCCAATGCGATTCGTGTTTACCTGTTCTGTAAGTCATTTACGAGTTTTTTGGTCTGCCTCAGACCATTGCTTCGCACGATGCGTCTACACGGCTTTTTGTTCATTGCAGCATTCGTTCCTCTCATCTCAGGGCAGTCAGGCAAACGTCGCTTCGGCAACGGCACATTACTACCAGACGTGCCAGAGTGGAATATCTATCGGCCTTGTCCCGGCGATGACGAGCCTACGACTATCTGCTGCGCGACAGCGTGTTCGAATCCACCATTCGGCAACATCTTGCTGGGTTTCACACAAGACGAGTGTCTGCCGAATGGACTGTGTCAGAATAGGACGACGACGAATGAAGGAACGCGAGTCACGATTTGGGTAAGTTGAGGTCATGTTCGATGAAAATGGAAGCAATTGCTGGTATCGTCCTGCGCGGTGCAGCATTCTTCTTCGCTCGACGAGCTCTTCAAAGGAAACCAGCACATTCGACCAAGGACATTTGAAGGGGTTAGTCATAGTCTCGGGAATTCCCGTACCAACTGCGTACCGGCTGGAAGTTCAGGTCTGTGCCGTTGGTACCCCTTGTAGACTCCGTTTCTAGGTACATAATCCACGCCATTGAACTCTCTCAAAGACATCATCTTATCAACATTGAGTTTGTAACAGTATTTTTTTAGTAGACTTAATGTCGTTACTCAAGATGTTTACCAGACGGATTCGCGAGCACATTGTTAGCCCCTCGGTAACGATGATGTCCTCAACTTGCGTGTACCACATTCTGCGATGCTCGCAGTAGCCCATCAGCTGCTTAGAACCATCTGTCTGCTCGATCATTTCGGTGTCGTCAGGGTAACACACAATGGCCAAAGATACGCAGCGGTACATAAAGTTCAGGACATCTTCGCGTATGCTCTGCTCCACGCTTCATGGGAGTGTCAAATCCGGACAACGTTCGTCCTGCGAAATGTTCAGACGAGGCCGCTTGAAGATGATGTTTGGGCTTTGACGCATCTGGTATACACAGCTGAACTGAGTAATGTCGTCGGAAAGAGGGTCTGTAGTTCCCAGCTTGTTCTGCTTGTGCTTTTGCTTCGTTCCTAACCTCTGCAACGCTCCGACTGACTAAGTGTGCAAGGACATCAGGTGCTTCGGTTTGGCAAAACTGATCGTCGAGTCAGATCGATCGACTCGTGGGACGAGCTCGTGGGATACCTGAATCTTGGACTCCGGCTGTGGAGAATCCAGAACATGCTGGATAATCATGTCGCGTAACTCGGATGGTATGGTCAGGAGGCGATTCGGTGGCATGGTGACGAAGGTTTGAACAATCGGCGCCTGTCGACGAATACGAGACGGGAATACGTAGAGAAGGTGCGTGGTAGATGTTCGCGATGGCACTTGACTGCGCAACGAGTTGAAAGGGTGAGGATAACCAGAAGTCTGGTTGCAGGGCATCAAAACCCCTCATCATGGCCCACGAACACTTCTCGAGGTCGCATAGACCCTGACGACTTCATTATTCTGCTGATATGACTCGACATCCTATGCAGAGAAGAGATGTGAACATGTATGCAATGGCGTTAGAGACCGCTGGCTTGACAAGGTGCTGTTTGGGGCAGCCTCGAGCAACAGTCGAGCGTGATATAGATACGAGGCAGACACCACGTATACAAGATCAATTTCATGTTGTGTTGAGAATTAGGCTTCGTTGTGCTGGTAATAGTTGTGAGTTGGTTGTGAGTTGGGTTGAATGTGCCTTTGTCGATGTGATAGGCGCTCTAGGCCGATGATCGCCGCTACCAACTGCCCCTGCGTCACCACCGGCCTACGCCCCACTGGCGCAGCTTTTCTGGGGTTGACACGCAAGAGCTACCGTCAGCTAGGCGGACAAGGCGGATAACAATGGCTGACTGCACTTCTCTTTAAGATCATCTTCCGCGTGCGCCCAGCGAGCACCGCGTCTTACCTCGTGTCGCTTCCTATTTGGTCCTTCTTTTTGCCTTGCATCTTTCTGAGCCTCGTACGCCTTCCAATCGCGACCTGCTCGCGGCTCTAAACGACTTTGGTTCCTGTGTCTGGTGCGGCTCAGGCGTCATGGGCGGCAGGTCTTCATCAGGATCGCTGGGCGGCATATCGATGAAGCATTTGTCCCTAGTCACGGTGTGCACTGCAGTTCAACATGCTCGTAGAATCGGTTACTAAGGCGTACACAGCTCACATTTCAGAACTCTGCCCTCATCCTGGTATGACGTCCCACGTGCCTCGGCATGCAGTCTCTACGCGACTCGGCGCACACCTTCTCAATCAGATATGTGCGAACATAGCACCTCACAAAATGGACATCAGCGCGCCAGGAACGATGACTGACGTGCGACTAGATTATGCACTACTCGCGCGTCATGCCTGTTGTTGGCGGGCAGAGATATCACACGAGCACAAGCGTGTTCCTGAACGAGGTCATAAAGCTGGGGATAAGCTTGACAATGGTATGCTTCCCGTATACGAATCTCCTCTACGATAACTTGCGCTGATGAAGATATGCGGGCTCTCTATGACATGTCGAAGACTCTACCCTCGAACACGACCGTCGCAACCCTATTCCATGCCCTAACGACCGCAATGTTCACGAACGAGAGCTGGAGGCTCGCAGTACCGGCTCTTCTTTACACCTTGCAGAACACACTGCAGTATGTGGCAGTCAGCAATCTGGATGCAGCGACGTTCCAGGTTACATATCAACTTAAGATCTTGACTACAGCCATGTTCAGCGTCCTGATGCTGGGCAGAAGCTTGTCGTCGCGCAAGTGGTTGTCGCTGCTGGTTCTGGTGATTGGTGTGTCAATTGTGCAGCTACCAGGGTATACCGCTGAACCTGCCACGATGGAGTCGCTGCGAGATCCTGATTCTAAGGTCTGGCCACGATCGCTCGAAGGGCTACGAGATCTTGGAAGCCATGCCGCTGCGCGCTTGACGAGGCGGTCCGGGTCATACGAGGGCATCAAAGAAGATCGAGGCATGGTAGCTCCGGAGATGAACAGCTCTGTTGGCCTGGCTGCGGTGCTTGTGGCCTGCGCATTATCAGGACTCGCTGGCGTCTCTTTCGAGAAGACACTGAAAGAGTCGACAAGTAAGAACACATCACTTTGGGTACGCAACTGTCAGTTGTCATTCTGGTCGCTGTTTCCTGCACTCTTCTTGGGCGTCTTCTGGAAGGATGGCGAGATCATCGCAAAGACTGGCTTCTTTGCAGGATACAACTGGGTCGTATGGGCAGCCATCATCTTCCAAGCTATGGGCGGCGTCATCGTTGCGCTTGTCATTAAGTACGCAGACAACATTGCTAAGAACTTTGCTACGAGCATTTCCATTATTATCAGCTGCGTCGTAAGCGTGGCGTTGTTCGACTTTAAAGTCACTGGATCGGTAAGCCCACTCTCGCCTCAAGTTAGTCTGGCCAGCGCTCACAGACGCGCAGTTCTTCATTGGTACATTAGTCGTCCTCTTTGCAACCTATCTGTACACCAAGCCAGAGCTCGGTCACCGTCAGGGGCCAGTGAACATTGTCAGCTTCGAAAAAACAACAGTCGACCGCAGGCCATCTTCGTTCGAACATGAGAAGAGTGGTACAAGAACACGAGGCGACAGCACTTCGAGATCGGCCACGCCTTCAGTGGAGAGGAAATCTGGGAAGCGAAATTCGTGAGCTGGAAACGAGTATAAGCTTCGCTATTTCCAGGCTGGCATCAAAGCTATCACTCCAAGGTGAGGCGTACCTCCAAAAGGCCCAGGATGTGGCCAGCAGGTCCCAGTATGCGTCCACAGCACATGCAGGACGGCACTGTCACGCCTCCGTGTACGTCATCGCGCAGTACAAGGTAGCATCTGAGCCCAACAAAGCTCCTGGGGCTGTTGCTGTAGACTCTGCCGGTGTACACAGAAGAGGAGTTATGTACAGAGCACTAGAGCAAGCAGAATGGATACCTGTTGTATCTATCGCCTCAATAAAGAACGTGCGCTCATAATGCGCACTGCTTGGGCAGTTGCGCACTCGGTTCAGTCGCGCATTAGGTGACGCGTGAGGTCGCGACTTCCTTCTTCGTGGCCTCTTTCGTCTCGACCCCACACTTGTTGCTCACCTCAGGCTTCATTCGTCCTTCGTTACAGTTCTCGTTTGCTTCACTCTTTCCGGGTCAACGTTCTTACGTCGTACGCTACGGTCAATCAATTCGTGTCGTCGGAGGTGCATTGACGTTGTGCCTGGCACGATCATCGCGCTCTCACCATGGATGAGCGCTACTACTCAACACAGGGAATGCGTCAACAAGGGCCTTCACGGCCACAGTATAACGTGCTTCAGCCACAGTTCGTGCAAGCACCAAGACCAATTGCACCGAGAGAGCGTTACCGTGCTGCACAGTATAATCACCCTATGTATGACACGGTGGAAGACGACGACTATGGGCAGAGTGCACCGCTTGACTCCTTTGGTATGCGCCAAGCAGTAAATTGATGATACTAGACTAATGACCTACAGACGAGCGTATGCTTCAGCAACATTACGACAACCGGCAGCATCAGGCGGTACAGGGCCGAGCGCGGCTATCTTTGGCTCCTGCCTCGTCCAGGTTCCTCGGCGGTGAGGTGATTGAGAAGGAGCGACCACAGCCGCGAACGCAACGCATGTACCAAGAGACGTATGATGAAAATGGTACGGTCAGCTGCTAGGTGAAACAGCGTAAACTGACATAATCAGATCAGCAAGTCTACCCTGAGAATGCCGTTCATGGGTCGTTGAGTGAGTTACATGTAGCCAGCGTATGAGTTTCGGGTGTTGATTATCGCAGGTCGCTTCGCGTACAATACCAACCAACCTCTCGAGTCGAGTTCTGATGTCCCACTGTGTGCTTCATCAAGCCCCGCGTTGAATGCTGGTAGAAGGCGAGCTGGACAGTATGAGCTTGCTGCCTCTCAACAAACGTCTCAACTTCAACCCCTCGGAGACATACCACCTCCGCCTACAGTCGACCGCAGGGGAGACGTCGAATACCGCCGTGAAGATGACGAGCTCCTCGCTGGACCGCCACGGCGGGATGTCGGCCGCCCATTCCAGCAGGTCACAAAAGCGAAATCCAAGCCAAATCCGACCAGTCTATCACATGCGCCACCCACTGTGCAAGGTATCCCTCTCGTGCCTGTCTCCGCTCTTCCAGATCGCCTTCGGACAGTGTTTCCATTCCCAACGTTCAATGCCGTTCAGTCCAAATGCTTTGACCAGGTGTTCAAATCGAACAACAACTTTGTCCTATCATCGCCCACCGGCAGCGGTAAGACTGCGATTTTGGAGCTTGCTATCTGTCGGGCTGTCGCGACGAATTCTACGGGCCAGTACAAAGTTGTTTATCAAGCTCCGACCAGGGCGCTATGTTCTGAGCGACAACGAGATTGGGACAAGAAGTTCACTCAGATTGGTCTGAAGTGTGCGGAGCTCACCGGTGACAGCGACGCCTCAGATCTTCGCAATGTGCAGAGCGCGAACATCATCATCACCACACCTGAGAAGTGGGACAGCATGACCAGAAAGTGGAAAGACCACGAGAAGCTCATGAAGCTTATCAAACTGTTTCTCATCGACGAAGTCCATATCTTGAACGAAGATCGCGGCGCTGTCCTCGAGGTTGTAGTGTCACGCATGAAGTCTATCGGTACAGATGTCCGTTTTGTCGCACTTTCAGCAACTATTCCGAACTTTCAAGACGTGGCGGCTTGGTTGGGCAAGAACTCTGCAGAGGCATACGTTCCTGCCTCCAATGAGAGATTTGGAGAAGAGTTTCGCCCAGTCAAGTTGAGAAAGCATGTCTGTGGATACGTCTGCAACAGCAATGACTTTGTTTTCGAGAAGCAGCTCAATGCGAAGTTACCCGAGATCATCACCAAATATTCAGAGCGAAAGCCGATGATGATCTTTTGCGCAACGAGAAAGTCATGTGTCACTACCGCAAGGCTCATAGCAAACTGGTGGGGCTCGAGAAATGGCCGAGACCGTCTTTGGGATACTCCATCACAAGCTTTACATGTCCAGGAGAAGGAACTTCGCGATCTCGTTGCTTCAGGGGTCGCATTTCACCACGCTGGCCTCGACTCCGACGATCGACTGAAGGTAGAGAAAGGCTTCTTGCAAGGAGACATCAACGTAATTTGCTGCACTTCAACGTTGGCGGTCGGAGTAAATCTGCCATGCCATCTTGTCATCATCAAGAACACCATGTCGTGGACCCAGGAAGGACTGCAAGAATATTCGGACCTTGAGATGATGCAGATGCTTGGTCGCGCTGGACGGCCTCAGTTTGACGATAGCGCAGTCGCAGTTATCATGACACGACAGACCAAAGTTCGGCGCTATGAAACTCTGGTCACGGGTCAAGAGATTTTGGAGAGCAAGCTGCACCTCAACCTCATTGACCACATGAACGCCGAGATCGGGCTTGGAACAATCCGAGACCTGGACTCGGCTAGGAAGTGGCTTACCGGCACGTTTCTCTACGTTCGACTACAGCAAAACTCCGTATTCTACAAGCTCGAAGGCTCTCGGAGTGGCCAAGATATCCTGGAACAAGTGGACGACATCTGCTTCCGCGATATTGCCCTTCTGCGGGAGCATAATCTGACCACCTGTGAAGATAACTTCCGTTGCACCGAGTTCGGTCACGCTATGGCACGATACTATGTTCACTTCGAGACGATGAAGGGATTCATGGGTCTTCAACCCAAATCAACACTATCGGAGATCGTAAGTCATGTACCATGAGTTCTTCGAATACACCTACTAACCCGCCATTTTGCAGCTTTCAGCGATAGCTCAAGCCACTGAATTTTCGAAGATTCGCTTTCGTCAGGGTGAAAAGAGTCTTTACAAGACGTTGAACAAGTCACCATCTATCCGCTTTCCAATACCTGTAAACCTTGACTTGCCAGCTCAAAAAGTTTCACTAATCGTCCAATCAGTCCTTGGCCACGCGGACATCTGCTGGGCTGGCGACATGCAAAAGCACAGACAACAATATCACCAAGAGGTCGCTATGATATTCAAGTCCATTAACAGTCTGATCAGATGCATTATTGACTGTCAGATATGCTTGGGAGATTCGGTGAGTATCCACAGTGCATTGATGCTGGAGCGCTGTTTAGGTTCCAAAGCTTGGGATGACAGCCCATTACAGATGGTGCAAGTTCCCAACATCGGCGCTGTTGCCGTTCGAAAGCTTGTGAATGCTGGCATTCGAGGCATCGAGGATCTCGAAGCTACAGACGCGCGACGCATCGAGACGATTGTTGGTAGAAACCCACCCTTCGGTCTCAAAGTCCTGGATGTCTTGAAGTCGTTCCCCAAACTTCGCATGTCCCTCCACATTCAGCCCTCCTCGGTGAGTCTTTAGTTGTCAAGGCACTCAAGTCCCTACTAACCATCGAGAAAGGTTACGAAGACCCCCGAAGGTGTCAAGATCCAAGTCAAGGCTGACATTGGCTTCATCAACGAGATGCCTCCGGACAGGTTCGGCAACAAGTTGATCTATGTTTGCATGCTGGCGGAAACTTCTGACGGTCATAAAGTTCACTTCGTTAGGATCAAGTGAGTCTCTTACGCTGTCACTAGTATGTTGTGCTGACAAACTCAGTGGTCCCAAACTCGGTGCAGGCCAGAGCCTAGTGTTTCCGGCGCTGTTGACAAGTCCTGACCAAAAGATCAATTGCTATCTCATGTGTGAAGGCATTGGTGAGGATTTTGTCTGCCTCTTAGACCTATACTGACTTCATATAGCGGGTAGCATGCGAGACGCGACTGTTGCGCCAAAAATCGCTCCGTCACTGTTTCCACAGCAGGTTTCAAAGGTAGTGGAGCCTGCACCGACCCACAAGCCAAACATGTCCAGGCGTCGCATCGAGAATGCTCCAATACAACGGAAGAAATCGGTTGCTAGCGACGACTTCGGAGATGCTGACATTGATGATGATGCTTTAGTCAAAGCTACTTGCGAAGACCTTGACTTTGAGCACATTGACAACTTTGCGGACCCAACAGATGCAATCACTCGCAGCAACACCGCCCAGAACAGACCAGCGAAGGAAAAGGGTCGAGCAAAAACTCCAGCAACTACTCACGAGGATGATGACAGTGCTACACCTGTTCAGCTTCCTAACGGCAGGTGGTCATGCAATCACAAATGCAAAGACAAGGATGCCTGCAAGCACTACTGTTGCAAGCACGGTATGGACAGACCGCCGAAGAAAGCTGCACCAAGGCGTGTTCCAACAGATGACCAGCAAGACCTACCACCGACTAAAATCTCAACGCAGCGAGACAACAAGACGCAGATCAAGCCACAACTCCAAGCTTCAAAACGAAAGACCTCTGTTACGATCGAGGAGCTGGATCTGACTCAACAAGAGAAGAAGAGGAAGACTGAGTACGCCATCAGCGGACCGCGCGACTATCGCGACTTGTACAATTTACACAAGAACGTGCAGAAGAAAGACATGCCATATTCGCTTCACTCAGTCATGCACAAGAAGCCCGCATACTGTTATGGCGAAGGTGGAGAGCACCAGCTATCATTCCTCAGTCAGCCATCTGCTGCGCAACCCAAGACTTCGAGCGAGTACGGCGACCTTCAGCTCGATGAGTTTGCTCCCGAGTTCACTGCTTTCCAAAACGAACCGGCATACTCCGATGAGTTGACTTCACTACACTTCTCAGGCAAAGTACCAGTGACCTCCCGCGGCTCAGAAACTTTCGGTGATGACGACTCGATGTTCGGCGAAGCCATCGTTGGTCTCGCAGACTCTCAAGATCTGCAACGAGCGAAAGCGATGGGTACCTCAGGCATGCGGAATGGTGAGGCACGAGATGCTATAGGCGTTGCAGAAGAGTTCGCCGACATGGATTTTCCTGTGGATATCGACTTCGCTGCCAATGGGGAGGTGAGCTCTGACCTGCCAAAGCAGATGTCAGGCGCAATGTCACATCAAGACCGTCACTCAAAGTCACCCAAGACTCGAGCTCCGATCTTCGAAGCAACAAGCAGTCCCGAGCAGCGTAGACACTTCAAGCCAGCGAAGTCGATGCTTCGAGATCATGAACTACAGCAGGGCAAATCTGCGCCTCAGCAGTCCGCTTCAGCCTTGGATGACGAGCCTGAAGAAGAGGACGTATACAGCGACTTGCTGAACTTGCTCGATATGCCGCCGGCCAACGACAAGGAGAACGACGCCAACAAGCAGACTTCTGCCACCTACAAAGCTTTGGCACAGCCTCTTCCGGTCAAGGAAGAAGAGCCGAAGCAGGTCCTAGAAGCTTTCAAGGATCTCCAACCATGGCTGCTTCAGGAGTTTGGCGACATCGTGGAACTTGTGGACGAATGACCAGATCATCTTTACAGTATTCGTGATGGCATGCTAGGAATAGGTGAGGACTAGAAGGATATGTGGCAAAACCAACTACCATGACTGGGGAAATGACCGAACATCTAAAGCAGTAGTCATTATCTCGCCATTATATACTTTATAGACGATGCAACATATAATGCAAACGAATCTCCGCCATGCCGTCTTCCCGTGTGTACTTCGCCGATCGTGTTCACCTTCGGACCATTACAGCGACAGCCCTTATTACTCTTATACCTCGTATAGCGACATCCTCACACGTCTGCCTCAGAAGTTCGTGCAGTACTTGCCAAATTTGCGGTCTCCAAGCGGCTGAGGAAACACCTCACCATCGAGCAGCTGGAACAGATCCCATTCTCCAGCACTACCCTCGGTCTTGAAATTCCAGAAGATCCAGCCTTGCGTACGGGCCTCGAATGCGTCCAGCTGAACCTCGATATACCTGCGCACACTGTCCTTCCAGTCCTGAGACCACGAGTCGACTCGTCCAGATTTGCCGCTGCAGGAGCCGATGTAGGACGCGCCGGCGAAACTACCTTCCATGCGCGAGCCAGATGCGAAGCCGTTGAGGTGCTTGGCGCAGTCGGTAAGGGCGCCAGACCATTCACCGACAATCGTCCACTTGTCGGATGTGGCGTAGCTGTTGACCTGTCACAGATACCGTTAGCAATGTGTCTTGAATGACAACTAGGGGAGTGACTTACAGCATTGCACGCCATCCCCAAGTGCTGTTCCACGCCCATAGCAACAAGCCCAGCGTCGAAGATCTGATACTGATGGTGATCGACGATGACGCCTTGTGCATTGTCTTGAGGCGTGAGGAAGCCGTTCATCCAGCTCGGATCGAAGAACCCATCGTGCAATGTGATCGGTGTATCGCTGATCTCGCGAAGATTGTAGTACGCATCGCGATAGAACTGGCTGACCGTATCCTGCGGAACCATTGCCAGGAATGGCTCGTTGACAGGCTGAATAGCAACAACGACATCTTGCATATCCGGCTTCGCGTACTTCTCGTTGATGATCTTGAGCGTCTGATGTGTATACGCGAGACTGTCCGCATCGCCCCAACCTGGGTTCGCCAACTTCTGGCCACTGTGGTCGAACCCGTTCTGGCTCTTCGGTGCGCCGTGCAAGTCAATGACGACTTTCAGTCCGGTCTCGCGTGCCCAGGTGATGGCTTTGTCGAGGTAGGGTGCTGCGCCTTGAGTGAAGGGACCCCAAGGCTCAACGTAGGACCAGTAGCCGATGGGGATGCGTACCACGTTGAAGCCGGAGTCGCGAATCTTTTGGAAGTCCTGGAGAGAGACGAAGGTATCCCAGTGGGGCTTTAGGGTATCGTAGCAGCCTTGCTTTCCGAGTTTCTCGCAAAGGGTCCATTCGTCGATGACGGGATAGTCGGGGGTACTGTGAGACTCGAAGATGGAAGGTGTGATGAATCTGTACCAGAATGTTAGCCCTTGACGCGTGATGGTGGTTGGTAGACCGACGGTTCGAGGACCAGCCATCCTCCTAGGTTGACACCGCGAACTTTCGTGCCGCCCCAATTGAAGTCGACGCCTCTCTTGCTCGGTGTGCTATGTGAAATCAGTACCCTATATTGGTCTTCGCAAGCAGAGGTAAACACACCTTGACGGCGCTGCATCGACAACAGCACTCGCAGCAGCCAAGAAGACCGGTAACGAGTTTTGTACCCGCATGCTTGATTGAATGTCTGACTGTTGTGTGGTGGCAAGGTTGGTGAGCGTGAAAAAAGTGTCGGTTTGGAGGAAGGTCCAAAAAAAGTAGGGTCGGAGTTGAGGGCAAGGTGAGCTGATGTTATGGTGTTAAGAGGCTTGCGTCGAGAACGAGCCTAGGTATCTAGCTTGTACCTGGGCGCGAGGGGTAGTAACCTTGAACAGTTGAACGTGCCTGCACACAGTGGAACGTTTGGAAAGTAGTTGTGTGACTAAGAAGTCGCGCCTGCTGGGATTTGTATCTCATTGAAGCCATCGCGCCCCAGCACCGTTGTGCACGACAGTGGCACATGTTCCCTCGCGGCTTCCTAGCTATTTCCATCTTGCCGAATCTCCTAATCCCGACTCCAACGTTTAAGACGCCGTGACAAAGATATTGATAGATGAACCAGGATAATGGGAAGTCGTGTTGCAGTGTTTACGGACTAAGTTGGCCTAGGAAGTACGGCGTGCTGATGGAACGCAAGCCACATCTTGCGCTAGATGGGCCCCATGAACAATCGAAGCATGCGAAAAAGTATTGAATTTGTACCAAAAAACAACGTGCGCCTTCAGAGGTTGCGGATGAGCGATGCTTAGTGATACAACCGTGTGGTGTGTTGGGGCTGGGAGTACGAGGTGCGGGACGACGCCACGCCAGCCTCGCGTTGGTGTATCTCAGAATCTTGGCCCACCTCCAACAACGGTGCTGACGCCTCCGCCGTGAGGATGATTGATCTTCGTATCCAAGATGTGAGCCCCCACGCCGATCCAACGGTTGACACGGTGCGGGTGGCATATAGGATGAAAGTGTCGACTGCTACCCGTGGACAATTCTTCCGCTTCAATAACAGGCTTCGGTGAGACAAACATGGATCGAAGTCCGAGCAGGCAGTTGAGACAAAATCCTGGCAGCTTGCATATGGCAGTCTCGGATATTTCGCGTGCCAGTTGCGAGTTGCAACGAATAGTGCGTTCGTTGATGAAGCTTTTCAGTCCATGAAGCCCACGGTCTCGTCCATGATAGCAGCGAAGCTTTTCGTTTCCCGATGCTGTCCACTGGTAACGGGCGGAAACTGTGACATCCTAGTACGGAACTCTTCAGACTTCCGAATAGCTAGACTGAGATCTCTGACTCGAACATTAGCTCTCTGATGGCACACGCCGCAAGATGAGTGGTACCTACTCAACATGCCCTCTCAACAAGTAGCCTGAGCGCTCCATAGCAACAGCGAGCTCTTCCTGGTGATTGTCCAAGAGACTTGTGTTGGGCACAACAATCAAAGGGACCTGATAGCGGAGAGCCTCGAGGATGGATCCAGATCCAGCATGTGATATTACGAGGCCTTTGGCCTGTTGCACTAGTCTGAGTTGTGCCTGTAGGCCATCTGGATTGAAGTCGATGCCGTCGATGACGATTTGACCCTGCACGTGAGCTCGAGCGATGCTGGAGGCTTTGGTAAAGACATCCTTGGCTGATCCGTGCTGCACCAGGAGATGCGTGAATCCGCTCTCCAGCAATGCTTCCAGTGATGAAGGACTCAGGACGGATTCAATGAGTGCCGTGAATGGTGCTGTTGCGCCGGTAGTGACGAAGCACAGCTTCGACTCGGGCGTCCATTCCCAGGCCGTGGCCATCTTGGTTCTAACTCGGATGTCACGGCGCAAGACCAGAGGACATGGACAAAATCAAGTCAAGCGTTCTGCCAAACCTCGGGTTCAGATGTTCGCGGGGGGCGAGATGCAGGGCGGAGGTCGGACGCAACCGCCTCGCATTGGCTCGGGGCACAGACGCCAAGCATCGGCCGGGGGTGCGACTCGACGAAAAGTTCACGACGCCAACACCCATCTCCAGCAGCATGGCGTCAGTAACACGGAGGCTGCTGCTGCAATCGCGGCGCAGTCCGTCTTCGGTATCGTCGCGATCGACACCGAAATACACATGCCAATGGCAGCGGCCACTGTCCACAACGCCCAGTCGGTCCGCAAGAGGAGAGAGAGAAGACGGCGCTCGTGAACCGGCAGCGCCTGCGAAACCCGTCCTGGAATCCACATGGGCGAACACGCCGGACAAGACGAAGGCTCAGCTGCAGAAGCTTGTAGAGGACCTGAAGCAAATGGACGCGGGGGTGGTTGAGGATGCTGTGCGCAAGGGCAAGCAGGGCATCCCCATCGCGAGCGACTTTGAGCTGGACAAGGACGAAGACTTTGACCTCGTAGAAGACGATCCCTTCCGTGTCAAGACTGGTTTCTGGGCTGAAGGAGAAGAGTCAATGGGACCCGATGAGGACTACTTTGGCGACGACATCACGAGTCACGGACACGGAGAGTTGCAGAAGCACAGGGAGCTGAGGGAGTACGCGCGGTTAATCGCGTGGGAACTGCCCCTTCTGAGCCGTACGTCGACCACTACCCAACCTTTCAGTATGCACCAGGAAATGCACCAGGAAACTAACACGCACCAGAACTCGCCCGCCCCTTCGAACCCCCCACAGCATCCACCCCCTTCCGCTTCCGCTACACCTCCTACCTCGGCGAGTCACACCCGGCAGCCAACAAAGTCGTCGTCGAGTTCTCGCCCTCCGACCTCGGTCTGACGCCCACCCAGCGCTCCAAACTCATCAAGCTCTCCGGGCCACGCTACAACCCGTCCTCCGACCTGATCAAGCTCTCCACCGAGCAGTTCGACACCCAAACGCAAAACAAGCGCTTCCTAGGCGAAACCATCCAGACGCTGATCTCCGAAGCCAAAGACGCCACGGATACGTTCGAAGACGTGCCGTTCGACTTCCGCCACCACAAGCCGAAGGTGCGGTACGAGTTCCCGAAGGAGTGGGTCTTGACAGAGGAGAGGAAGAAGCATCTTGCGGAGAAGCGGGCGGAGGCAGCGAGGTTGCAGGATTCGAGGAAGGGGAATGGGCAGCTGATTGACGGCAAGACGGTGATTGACACGAGTCTGCCGTTTTTGGAGCAGGCGGAGCCGGTGCTTGTTGAGGCGCCGAGGAGGAAGTAGGATCGAGGGATCGATGGATAGGTGGGCACGTGTGTGGATCGATGGATTGATGGATCGATGGATTGATGGATCGATGGATCGATGGATAGGTGGGCATGTGTGTGGATTAGTTGTGTATCATACCAAGATGAAGCCATGTATGTGTGGCGCGCATAGCATAAGAGGCAAGCATGTAGCATTATTCAGATTCTCAATGTCCAATGTTCTGTCGACATGGGTATTATCCAGCTCAGCATTAAACCATGTCCCAAGGGTATCTATCCGACCCGATTACGCCGTTTTCCCCAGGTAGTGATACAAAGCAAACGTGTCATAGCAGCGAGTTATCCTGCTGGAGGTGGGGGTGCTGCTGCTGCCGCCGCCGCCGCTGCTGCTGCTGCGGCGCTGGGCCGGTTCTTCTTGCGAGCACCCTTGGTCTCGCCCTCCCCAGTCTCTCGTTTGCGCTTTGCAGGCCTACTGCTTCCACCCTTGGGTCGGTACGCTGTGTCGTCTGGGTCATATCCACCCTTCTTTCCCTTGCCTTCGCCCCCTGGTGCTGCTGAGTCTTCACCGTCGTGGTCTTCCTTTGGCCCTGGTGTGCCACCCATGTTCGACTGGCGACTTTTCTTGCTGCCACCCTTGGGCGCGGCCTTCTCGGACATGGTGTCGTGGTGTGGGGCGTCCTTGTCTTGGAGGAAGACTTGGGGTTGGTTCTTACGCAGCCAGCTGTAGACACTATCAGGGTTGCGGATGGTAAGTTCCTTTTCGCTCAGTGGCGGTTGTGAAGGGCCGAGGTGGAGCGTGCGGGTGTGATGGTGTGAAGGGTCAAAGGACGGGTCGTCGAGGAGATGGTCGAGCGTGAGAAGATACTCTTCTTCGTGCTGAGGGGACATGTAGCCTGGTGCATGTTCGCTCAGGTCTATGCCATCAGGAAGCGTGCTATGGTCTGTAAGGGTGGTGTGGGGAACGCTGGCTTCGAGGCTGGCCAGGGACTTCTGCACCTGCTGGACAGCTTGCGCACTGTGCAGCTGGTCGGCTTGCTGTGTGTATTGGTCTGCTGTGATAGCGCCGCTGTTGAGCTGTCCCCGCAGCTCTTGTAACCGTTGCTGCGCTAGTTCTGCGCTGAGACTGGGCTCCACAGCCGATGCCTTCACTCCATCAGCACTCGGTACCATCCTGGGGGGTTAGACTACATACTGCTGTGTTCGCGCTAGACAAGTCGAATCGCAGACGCGCCGAAACGCGTGGCTGGTTGTTGAAGTCGAGCAGCGCATCGAGTAGCTGGTCGTTCTCCGCCTGCAACCGGCGCGCGGTGCCCATGGCCTTCCACTCCTCCATGATCAGGCCGTTGCTCTGGTTCATGGCTTCGTCGAACCTGATGCGCATCTTGCGGTACTTCCGCCTGCACGTTGCATTAGCTGCCAGATTCCAGCAAGCTCCCTGCGCATCCCCTACCTCCACGACCGCTTGGCGGGCGGCTTCGCTGCTGCATCCGCGGTAGGCTCTGGCGGCGGGGCGTGCTGGGTGGTGGCCGCTACCGGCTGGGGCGCCTCGGTCGCCATGCTCTCGAAGACGTGGGTGTGGTGAAGGTGAAGGTGTGGCGGTGTGGACGACGCACACGGAGCTGTGTTGCACGCCGAGTGATGTCGGAGTCTGGGTCGCGGCACGAGATGTGGCCGTGCGCAAGTAGCTTCGGGGTCGTCCTTTCCAGGCACGTTACCCTCTTCCTCACAGGAGAGATCCCGCTGCTGCCTTCCCTTCCTCCAGCACTCTTCTGCTACACTCGCCGCCCGTTGGAGAGCATCGTCATTCCGATATCCTTCGCCGCCATTCGCTCACGTCGACCCACCCGGTACCTCCGGCAATCCGCCCAACCGCGCTACGTAGTTCATACACAGTAAGACCCTGAACGCCCGCCACGCCCGGCTGCCCTGTTGACAGTGGCAGAGGTACCTCGCTGCAAGTACCCCCACGCGAGCAGCCCCCTCCTATCCGTACCCCCAGCCAACCTCCCACCACCGCCAAACTGTCGCCCATACTCCTCAATCGCACCTCGCGCCTGAGCTTCGCTGGCGACCCGCGGCCCCACCGACTGAGCCCCGACCGCCCCTCCTCGTACAGCGGCAACAACATGTCCCTCGACGCAAAGGAGGCTCGGAGGCGGCGTAGCAGTAGTCTTGTCTACAAAGAGCCACCCGAGTCCCTGGAGCAGCTGAGCGACCAGGCTGCTCTGCCCAACCTCAACGCTGAGTGGGTGAATGCGAAGGGTGAGTGCACCAATCCGAGCCTGGCACCGCACGCACATGGCAGTTCGTGCATACGAGCAACATACGAGCAGCACACGAGCAACATGCGAGCAACATACGAGCAACATGGCTGACTTGAAGAACGCAGGCGCATGGGCAATCCACTTCGTCCTCATCTTCATCGGCAAGATCCTCTTCGACATCATCCCAGGAATGTCACAGGAGACATCCTGGACGCTTGTCAATCTTTCGTACATGGCGGGATCCTACCTCATGTTCCACTACGTACGCGGTGTACCCTTCGACTTCAACTCAGGCGCCTACGACAACCTCAACATGTGGGAGCAGATCGACAACGGCGACCAGTACACGCCGGCGAAGAAGTTCCTGCTTTTCGTGCCCATCGCATTATTTCTTGTTAGCACACATTACACACATTACGATAGCACGTATTTCATTGTCAACTGCTTGGCCACGATAGCTGTGGTCATTCCCAAGCTGCCCTCGGTATGCCACCCACGAATCGTCTGTATACGCATGCTAACGCCCAACAGCTGCATCGGTTACGAGTTTCCTTCTTCAACTCTCCCCCGGACGACATATAGCCGCATCGTTTCTTCAGATTTGCATTCGTTCGGTTGGATTCGTACCATGTATTTCTAATCACATCATCCGCATATACGCGGACAGACTGAGTTGCATTATCGGCGGACGGGGCGTTTGGGGCCTGCTTCATTGCGAAAAATGGCGCTTTGATACAAAAGGTGGCAATCACGCAGTCACGTGCTATACATGCAGCGACTTTATAATATAAATGCATATGCTCATTGAGATTCTCGGTCAGGTAGATTCTCGGTCAGGTAGATTCTCGATCAGGTAGATTCTCGATCAGGTATCATCTGCGCGAACAGCCCCGAACATGAAGTCTAACGGTTACTACAGAACGATCCATGTTCGTGCATGGTATTTGACCCAATCGAGCGGAACGTTTACTAGCGTGGCTTCCGTATCGGGATATGCCGTCATCGATAGTCCCATGATCGCCATTCTGCAAGAATGCCTTCATTGCTTGTGCATGCACCTTTGACCTTCCCTCACCGTCCGTCAAGTGCTCCTCTACCGTCATGATGATAGCGACCTGAAGTTTCGTCTAGCTTCGTTTTTGCAAATCGCGTTGGCCTTCAGGCTCCCTGTTCTTGCAACTGCCTGTACATTCTGTTCTCTACTACGCATTCTTACAGCTACCCAACAATCGGAGACCCTACCACGATGTGGTCGCAACTCGAGCCCACGGGGCCGCACCTGTCGTACCTGGTCCTTACATTGTTTCTGATAATGTACGCACTCTTCTCGCTCATGATCAGGGACAGACTACATCTATCTGAACCACCGCTGGCAACTGTCTTCGGAATCCTCGTAGGACCTCGCGGCCTGGCATGGCTGAAGCCGTACGATTGGGGCTTTCAAGACCCGGTCATCCAGGAGTTCACGCGCATTGTTGTCGGTGTCCAATGTTTTGCTGTCGGTCTGGAGCTACCAAATGGCTATGTGAAGAAGAAATGGAAGGCACTTCTGGTCCTTCTTGGACCTGTCATGACCTTTGGCTGGCTCATAGGCGCACTGTTCATCATACTCATCTTCAACACCGACTTTGCATCCGCATTGACTATATCAGCCTGCCTTACACCAACGGATCCCGTCCTCGCAGCCTCAGTGCTATCCAATAGTCAGTTCAGTACACGAGTGCCGAAGCGTATTAGAGATCTTTTGAGCGCAGAAAGTGGTGTGAACGATGGCGTATCGTTTCCGTTCTTGTTCTTGGGCCTCAACATCCTGACGAAGGCTTCACGTGGCGAGATCTTCAAGGAGTGGTTCCTTATCACGGTGCTGTACCAATGCACAGTCGGTGTTATCCTTGGGATCACCGTTGGTCATGTGTTCAACTGGCTGTATCATATCTCTCACAAGCGCGAGATGATGGGCCAAGCATCTTACCTGGCGTTCTACCTGCTTTTGGCCGTCTTCTCCATCGGACTAGCGTCGACACTCGGAGTCGACGACTTCCTTGTCGCGTTCTGCGCTGGTCGAGGCTTCGCACACGGCGGCAACTCTCCGACAGCAGACACACGACTCCCAGTCGTGATCGATTTGATGCTCAACTCGGCACTGTTCGTCTTCTTCGGCGCCATGATCCCATGGGAATCGTTTCACAAGCTCGACTCAATTACCCCTGGCAAACTGCTCGGCGTACTAGCACTTATCCTTATCTTCCGCCGCATACCCGTCGTCTTTACGTTCTACAAGGCCAAACTGCTTCCCAACGTCCGCACAACGACCGAAGCCTTGTTCATCGGTCACTTCGGACCCATGGGTGTCGGCGCACTCTTCCTGGCAATCGAAGCGCGCGCTCAGCTCGAGACAGACACGTCGCTGCCGCTACCGCATCCACCTGATGACCTGGACCCTAAGCGACAAAGGGCCATCACCCTGATCTGGCCGATCGTGTGCTTCATCGTCCTGGGCAGCACACTGCTCCACGGTCTTAGTACGCTTGCGATCAGTCTTGGTGATCACTTCTCGCGCAAGAAGGGTGAGAGGGCGCCGCTTATCGGAGGCGAGAGGGAGGGGTTGCATGGTATGATTTTCGATGAAGAAAATATAGGGACGGATGAGGAGCAGGGGAATGAGGAGGACGAAGAAGCGGAGGATAGAGGGTATTACAGGGCTCGCGAGAGTATGAGAGAATAGAGGCGGGAGGCATACAGCATGGTCTACACCATGGTTAGAGGTAGATACTGCACCATTAGACAGCGTTGAAAGACAAGACTCCTGAACACCTCAGCCCCCACCGTTCCCGGCATTCTCTCCAGCACCAATGATAAGATCAATAAGCGTATGCCTCTTCTCCTTCTCCGCATTCACCATACACAACACTGTAGCCACAATCACCTGATACAAAACTCCCCCTTTCAATCTCGCAATCTTATCCTCCTCATCCCCATCCCCATCGACTCCTTTCTCCTCCCCTAGCACCTCTTTGACAAGTAAACCCGGCACACAATCTTGCACAAATCTCAACACAACGCTGTCGAAGATTTCAAGCGCTCCGCTCTTCTCCGTGGCGATCGAGGATGTGTACTTTGCCAAACAGACTTCTCTCATCCCGTCCTCTTTCCCTGCGTGTGGTTTGGAGTTGAAGGGGATCTGAGCGACGAGCTTGAGATGGCAGAATCTTAGCAACCATCCGCACCTTCTCCCCTCACTCACCGTCCCCGTACCTTTCCACTGGAACTCAATCCCTCTGTACTGGAAGGTGTAGCACCGCGTTTGCCGGCTCAGCGGTGTTGTCCAGCGGAGGTAGACTACCTCATCGGCTTTTACTTTCTCTCTAGTTCTCCCTTCTCCATGCTTGTTTTCGATGTCGGGGTCGTCGAACGATATACCAGCTTTGCGGTTGGAGCGGATTGTATGGACGTAGCTCTTCCCCGTCTCGCCCCAGAGTCTCCACCCCCTTACCTTATACCCCTTGAGCATCCTCCCGTCACCATGAGCCTCGTTGCGCTGTAGGGTCTTCTTGTCGCCACCGTTGTGTTGATAGGAGACCACGCCGCGCGGATCGATGACACCAGATATAGCAAGTGAGGGACCGAGTTGGATTTTGTAGGAGCGCCAGAACCAGCCTCCGTGCACCAGCGCCACGGGCCTACTCGGCGCATATCTCTCACTTCCTACATATAAGACTGAAGGAGGGAGGTGAAAGGACACATATGGGGTGTGTAGGAAGTAACTCCCCTCCTCCGCTTGCACTGGTTCTGTTGAGACCGGAAGTGGGGGAGGGCCGGGAGGTGTCAGCGAGGATGGAGAGACTCGGTTTGTTTCACGCAGCTTCTTCGCTTCCTTTTTTGCTATACGCCGCGCTTTTTGCTGTTTTGGGGAGGGACCCCAGCGCCGCTCTTGGGAGGGGGAGAGGGTGGGGGTGATTAGTTTGTGGCCGCAAGTGGGTTCGAAGTAGATGTGAAGAGCCGTCCGGCTGGGACCAGTAGTTGCTGGTGTGGTGTCTTCGAGCTCATCTTTGTCTGCTGGAAGCCGAGTGATGTCGATTTTGATGGAATCAGATGGCTTTATGAATGTCTTGTCGTCCGGCTCCTGTGTTGCGATCAAGGCGGTTTTGGGGTGGACGATAGCCGTCATTCTGTCGGATACACCATCGCTGTCAATCCTGTAAGAGTAGGTCCACTTAGGAAAGATTATTAGGGTTCTTGTGCTGTGCTTGAGACTGGGGTAGGCTTCACGGGGTCAGGTGCCAAGGCAGCTCAGCCTCCACGATGCACATCGCTTTGCTCGCATTGTGTGGTGCACCAATCAGCTGTCGAACGTGGTTTGATGACTGGATACTGAGCGAATCGATGCAACAATCTTGTCAACGGTGAGGCAGAAATGAGGCAGAAATGAGGCAGATTCTTCCGATTGTAAGATGCCGCGTTCACACATGTGCCTGGTGCTTGTAGGATTACAGCCTTAGATCTGTTGGGATATGGAGACCTTGATTTCCATCAGTGCCGTGTCCATATCCATATATCTTGCATTGATCTTTCGAACGTCTCGGGACTTGCATTACAATAGCATGTTGCACTAAGCTCCTTCTCCAAAAAGCAGAGTGCATCTACTGGCTCTCCAACACTCGTTTCGCGCCATCAGCGATGCGCTTGACCTCGTCGTGCCCCTTCTTGACAACCTCTTCCATGCGCTTCTTCGCCTTCTGAATGTCATCAGGGCGCACCTCCCTGTTGAGCTCGTACTTCCTGATCAGCTTGTTGTGGTCCTGTCGTGCGCGCTGAACCATGGCATCGGCCTTCTCGGATGTCTTCTTCGCAGACTCGATCGCGTCTCGTCGTGTGTCGCCAGTCGGCGGTGGGAGAGGGACTTGGATGGTAAGAGGGTTGTTCTGCTCTGGCGCAAGAGGTGTGAGGGAGTGTGGCGAGGCGGCGATGGCGCTCATTATGTGTTTGATGTGCTGTGAGATCTTAGTCTTGGGCTGCCTTGTTGTGGTGGTTACATACTGCATCATCTCCACAGATGACGTTCAGGACTCTCCCTCTTGGAACTACCTGCGCAATGTCACCCAGTCTGACAGTCTCTTTGCCCTGTCCTGCGGTGCCGAGCTGCACCTTCAAGCTCTCGACGATATCTGGGTTCAACCTTCCTCCACTTCGTAGCTGAGCCAGATCGTGTGTGAGCTTCTCAATCGCCTTCAGTATGGAAGCCTCAAGCTCTGACATGTCGTAGATCTCGTCGGTCGGTGTAGGTTCGCCGGTCTGGCCAACAGGCGGGCTCGAGTCAGTCTTCGCATGGGACTTGTTGGCTTTTCCAGCCTTCTTCCACAGCGGCGGGTACTTGGAGAAGCTCCTTAACTTTGGGCCACATAGCGTTGTAGAGGCATGGAAAGCGCAACTGGTGGTGTGAGCTACTGAAGCTGTCGAACGATCGGTTTAGAGCTCACAGATTACGGCATGGCAACTCAATTGCTTTTGAAGAAGCAATTAGTGAGCTTCTTGAGCTCAGTCGTAGGGCTATACGTGGTGCTAGTGTTTGCGACATTGTGTTGGTGTTGCTCAAGAACATCTGATGGCAACTGCGATGGAATCGCGTTAACGCGCATGGGCCAGGCTCCACTTTCCACACGCGACAGGGACGTCATCACATGAAAACGAACAGTTGAAACCATCATCACCCTACCTATGAGATCGCCAGCATGAGAGTCGATAGACGCGCATACTATCGTTCCTTCAAGAGGTATCACCGATTGGGATCCCAAACTCCTCATTGAACATTGCTTCAACAAGACAGAGCTCTACGGCCGTACCTGCGCCCTCTTTGACCGGAATGATCAACTTCAAAAGGCTCTGAACTCGGTGTTTGGTGCTCAGGAGAGCCTTGCTGATCCTCAGACGTGGGGGACTTCGGGCTCGGGACCCCAGATCCTTGAAGCCTTGTGCCACGCTCGGAGAAATGCAACACTTCGCCTTCCTGCCCCCATTCAGGCGCCTTGTCCTTGCACGACCATGACTGCTTACCTCAGACACAAATTGGAAGACCAGTGAGTGTTTACCTTTTGCAACGCTGACCGGAGAATTGTTTGATCGGTGGATGGGTGGCTCTGGTGGGTTGCAGTCAAGGCATCCCACCCACATCCCACAAGCCACCGCCGATCTCCAGCGGTCGAAGGTCTCCGCGAAGCTACAAAACTCGACTGCTTGACATTTTGCACATTCGAAACATTGATACGGTCGGTGACCTGGACGAGGGCAGCATGTTGAACTTGATCGCTTTTACTAAATACAATATGTGGCCGCCAATACGTGCATTTGCTGCCAAAGGGAGGCGGGAAGAAAAGCGCAGATCTTCACTGCGGTGAGCATCATGACAGCTTCGCCATGGCCAACAGGCCGCCCTCATCACATCAGTCGCCGAGCCACCCATACTATTGGGCCGTTTCTCTTACTACTTCACAGGGTACGCGACTTGCAACGTCAGCCCTGGAGCGTCGTGCGTTGGATTGAACGAACATAACCCCCGACACCGACACTTTCTGAGTCCACGTCTCTTTGCGTGACCGTAAGCATTGCGAAGCCCTGTCCTGCGTTCCACGGTTTAATCGACCATTGATCAATGACCGGACGGTTAAACACGCTCCATCAATGCTATGTAATCCTTCTTCAGATTCCCCAGCCTCCTCAACCTCGACTTGAGATGTGACACGCATAAGCCATGGCTCCTCTCAGCGCACTCAATTTACTAGTCTTGCACAAACGCATTCCAGAGCCCATACCAGAGCCTTCGACACGGACATCACCACCAACACGATCCAGCTTATCAACGGAAGGCGGCTTCTTGGAAGCTTGGGCGCAAGGTTACAACGTGGGAAGCCTTGTCATATTGATCTTGATTGTCTTTTGCAACTATCGATCTGGCATATGGCTGCACAAGCTGATTCTTCTTGAGGTCAGAATCAACAAACAGCAGTTACAGTTCAAGTAAATGCTGACCAGTTGCAGCTTGTTCTCGCTCTCTGGCACGGTACTTTCATATTCGTCGAAGACCCATACTACGGATGGTACTTATCAGCAACGGCAACCCTGCTCTTCATTTCGTACTTCCTCCACAACGTCGTTGCCTGGCTGAAAATTCGACCGTTCCTTCCACAGTGGGGCTCACGTCTCTTCATCATCTCGCTCCTCTGTGTTCAGCCATTCTGGATCGCCGAGGCCTGGTCCAACTTCTCTTACTTCAATAGCCTAGGCTCGGATGCTAATGTCCGCATGCGCCCATGGGAGGCCCTCGTTCGCGACCCGTGGTGGATCTTCACCACCTGGAAGTTGATCGATGCAATCAAGAAGACATATGGCTTCAAGATATGTGCTCTCATTCGCATCAATTCTAGGTTCGGCATTATGTTACTCTGCATGGTATGCTTACAGGTCTCTCATCATATTCCGTTCGTTGGCTAACAACATAAAGTTTTTTTCTATAGCTTTCCTTCTCACCGACGCCGCCGTCTCCGCCGCACGTGTGACAGCCAGCAGCGGCATCAACCCGTACTGGCGCTTCGCCTTAGTCTTCAAGTGCGCCTCCGACACCATCTTCCTTGACGACTTCAAGTCTGTCCTTGACGAAATCGTTCACCGCAAGTTCAGCTCTGCAAACGGCACCGTAGGCCGTGGGCCAAACGTCGGCTTGAGTAGCAGCCACGATGTCCGAAAGCGCTCGCACTCGTCTCGTGGCGATGAGTTCATCGAATGTACCTCTCTTGAACAGCCGCCAAGCCTGCCAAAAGTTTCAACCATGGAACCGAGCGCGATCAAGTCACGATTTCTGAACCCATTTGCCGCGAAGAAGAATAGGACTAACGTCCCAGAAATACATGTGGGGCAAGAGATGTCTGTCACGTTACAACCCAGGCAGGCAAGCCACGACAGTTGGAACAGCGAGAGCCCTATGCTACCAAAGCCGGCGCACACTGCGTATGGCAATGAGAGTCTGGGCGTCAGCGAGAGTGACGGAAGTTCGTTGATGGGAAGACATGTATGAGGTGGTCGCACGTGACCTATACAGAGGAATTTACCGGTCCCAAAGAAAGTGTCTGGCGACACATGCTTCCAGCACAAGAATACCGTTGCGTGTAAATGTACTCAGCAAGCAGGTCCACTGCAATCGAGCCACCCGCGTACCAAGACCCGTTACCGAACCACCACCCACAGCTTTCAGTTCTCTGCAGCTCCACTCTTCCGATCATCAAACCCAGAGATGTGACGGAGCCTTCCACTGCCGGAACATAGAAGAGTAAACTGGTGCCGCTTAGCCACCCCGCTGCCACCGGGAACGCAGCCATCAAAGCCAGTAACTTCCAAAGCAGCCCCTTATTGTACCCACGGTAGGAAACTGCCAGACTCTTGATCCCAACTTCGACGTCGTCCTTCAAATCCTGGTGCACATAGATGGTGTCGTAGATCATCGTCCAGAGAACATTCGCCATGAACAGACACAGCGCGGCTGGATCCACAGGGGACCTGTTGTTTCGTGTGCCGAAATAAAAGCACACCTTGCCCAGAGCCAAAGACCCCATCACGATACCCCACGCAAGATAAAAGCCCAGGACTAGCTGTGAGGCGTGTGTGTGTCTTCTCGCCCAGGGATAATATGTCGAGCCAACGATAGCGGGGAGCGCATACTGCGTGCTTTGCACCACACCTCTCCCTACAAAAGGCAGAAAAGCTGCTGCATCCACCGCCTGGGTGATCGCAAAAAGCAGCGCTGCAGCCGACGAGATAGCCTCTCTTGGGATGGATCTGGCGGGTGCACTTGACTTTGGCATCTAGTGGGGCATCAATGAGGTCGTTCCAGATGTGTCCTGCGTTCGAGAAGAAGCTGCCGCCGAACATGAGCAGAGCGGGGTGTGCGACTTCTAGCTGTGGGGTTTGCTGCACGATCGCAGCGTGGAGACGCCGAAGAGATGCGGGTAGTAGATCAAGAAGATGCCGGCAGGTGGGCTTAGACGGGCGAGTTGGCTGAAGATTTCGAAATCATACATAGCGTTCGATTTGTGGAACCAATTCCACTTCAGCTGACCGAGCGCCTCTGTTGTTGGTACGATGAGAGTAGCAGATGCCACCTTCTCAAGAATGTTGGCAAACGTCAATAGATCACCCAGGGATGTTGGCGTATATAGTTATGATCGCAGACATACACAACATGCTGACAAGCAAGCTCATGATTTTGAAGAGCCATCTCTTCGGGAGGTTATCAGATGCGTTGTATTCGGCAAATTTCTTCTCGAGCCGTTGGGTAATATCGAGTCTGGTCTTCTCACCGGCCGTCGTGTCGTTGGAGTGGAGTGATGAAGAGTAAGGAGGAAGAGTTGAGGATGAACGTTGCCTCTGTAGCATGAATCGAGGCGGGAAGTAACCCGCCATCGGGTAATTTGTAACATAGCGCCTGTCCACACGGTGCGCGTCTGTAGAAAAACACGATGCGTAAAAAGAATGTCACTTGAAGAGTTCAGGTCTCCACTTTGGGGCCACGTTCTGTAAAGCACAATTTGAAAACCCATTTCTTAAGTGCTCGCTTCCATTTCTTTGCATACCCGAGCATGGTTTTGATGGTGTATAGCTGGGCAGCGCTATGGTATCGTCGAATCCTCGGTGTTAGCGCTGCGGTACAGCAACCTGGCGGCTACATGCATGAAGCTGCAGACCCGAGCGCAAGGCTGAACTTTGATAACCTTCTGGCATAGCGCTATAGTCTATCGTCCGGAGAATCTGGGCTCTAGTACCTTCAGTATTACTACGATGCCGACAGCGACTACCGAGATGTCGATAGACAGCGCAGCGCGTCCGCAGGTCAAGCCAGCACCAGGCCGTTAGAAACACAAAAAAATGGTAGCTTCTCTTTGATTGAGCGTGTCATCCTTAGTACAGGGGCTATGCAATTTTCTCTATCGTTCATATTAACATCTGCTTCTGGTCGATGGATTGGGCATTTGGTCAGTCAGGAACGACAATCAGATTGACCAAACGCCCGATGGTGGACTTGCGATCCTTAGCGCGGAATGCCGACTCCACGCACATGGAGGGGTATTTTTCTACACATCACTTGAACACTTAACATACGCATTGCCCTTCTACCTTTTCATTGCAGTTTCTTTTGCTTCTTTACAGGATTTTGTGCTCTCAAGTGAAGACACCCGTCTGCACAACTCCCAAGTTCGCACGTCCCCCCAACTGCCACTCGTCCCCAGCCAGCAGACACAACGCTATTGGTGCAATGGCCACCGGACCCGTCCCGCCACCCAAAGAGCGCTTTTCCCGCACGGCCTACCAATCCATCCTTTTATGGCTCGTGATCCCAGGCAGGCGCGCGCAGCGCGTCTACTGACACCGTGGAAACGTTACAGTGATTATATATATTTACAGATTCGTTATACCTTCGCCTTCGGGCATTTGGTCAATTTGAAACGATACAGAGAAGATTAGCATGGCCCCTGCACTAAGGATGACACGCTCAATCAAAGAGAAGCTACCATTTTTTTGTGTTTCTAACGGACTGGTGCTAGTGGCGATATCCTGGCCGGAGTTCGACCCTTGTGCCGGTCAGCCTTTTTGAAGTTCTTTTTGCCTGGGCAAGGGCAGGAAGACGCTCTGACCACCCCCTTCAAACTCAGCAAACCATCATTCTAATGTGCGCTGACTGTGTCTTGTGTACCTCCAGGCTTTGTATACATGTACAATCTGAGCGCGTAGTGCCCGCCCAATCTTGTGCAGTTCCTTAAGGCTGGAATCAGGCTTGAGAGTCAGTAGGTGGACGTACATGCTCAGAAGTGATTATAGTCACCAAACACTATGATCAGACTCTGCCATGTCTCCATGTTCTTTTTGACTGACAACGAGTCTTCTGGCGTTTGTCAAGATCGGCGCCCGCTTCATGCTGACATGCTGAGCAAGACTCTCCAGGGTCCACGATTGTTCTGACGACAGCGAGGATTGAGATCAACCCTTTAGAGCTTACTTGATTTACCTCGTTTTTCTATTCTCCCTTTTCTGGCATCGAGCATCGGCTTCGGTTCAGATCTTCGTTCTCCTCGCAACGTCGATACTCTGCCGCTTCCTCTTTCCAGTCATCCCACCAATATCAAACCCGCGAATCGATGGAGAGCACAGCGCAACACGGCTTCGTCAATGATAGTACTAACAGCATATGGCAGGAACCGCTCCACCCACTCTTCCTTTAGGCCAATTACTATGAACTGTTTCCTTCCTTTTTTATTCTGCAATATCCGACAAAAGACACGGCCCCCACAACAACACCTTCCAATACGAGACATCCACTCGCAGCACCCAACACTATTTCCACACCCTTCTCCCACCTCTCCATAACTGCAGCAGCGCCCACGAGCCCACCCCCAGCACACAGCCCACCAACAGCTGAAACCACGCATGCGCATCTGCCTGGCCCTGCTTTCCACGCCGCATATCCGTACCAAGTCAACATTCTGACCCACAACGTAAGCACACAACCAAGACCTGCACCATAAACAGCAGCACAAGGCACCACAACATCAAGCCTCGGCATCCAGATAATCGGTACAATCGCCACACCAGCCAAGATCGTGGCAGTGATGCAGAGAGTCGTGGGCAAAAGACGGCTCGGTGGGAGTCTTGGAACGAGAGTGGAGGAGAGTATGGCGGTGCCGAAGAGGACGAACAAGGTGTATGGACCGATATCTGACTTGTACTGACTAGGATGGCCGCAGAGCAGGAGAGGGAGGTAGAGTGGTGGAAGTAGGAGGGCAGGAGCGACGAGGAGGGTTGGGAGAACAGTAGTGACGAAGGCAGTCAACTTTGTCCGTGGCTTTGCATTGATCCTCGGTTTTGGAGTTCGATAGGCATGGGAGTTGTCGAGAGCGCAAGGTCGTGCCAGGAACGTAGCGGGTAAGACCGTAAACGAGAAAAGTACGAGAGTGGCTCCATACCCCAACTTCACACTCTCAGCCCGCAGACACACCCAAGTCAAGACCGTATACAAGACAGCGCCTGCGAAACCCGCTGCATCACATTGAGTCGATGCAACGGCGATGTCGCACTTGTAATGCGTACTCAATACGAGCATAGACACTGTCCCCAAGAAACCAAGTCCCAGTCCTGTAAGCGCGCCTTGGCAAAGTACCAGAACCCAGAACTCCTTAGTGATTAGCGGGCCGACATGTGCACCGCATACACTGAGTGCTCCGGCGAACATGTATAGCCGCCAAACCTTCGGCCATTGGTGGTACAGCCATACTGTTAGACCGACGGCAGAGCCGAGACAAGCGAGCTGGGCGCCGAAGATGGCTGATATCGCGAGGAGGGAGGTGGAGGGGTGGACGCTGGTGAAGTAGTATTCGAGCCATAAGCCCGAGGAGAGGGGCAGGCCATAGACGTTGAAGAGGATGAGGGCGTGGGCGGTGTATGTGCGGACGCGGCGATGTGAGGGGTTGGCGGAAGAGTAAGCTGGGGGGTCGGCATGCCGAGGGTCTGAGAATTCTGGATAAGGGTGGTTTGTCGTGCCTGGGGTGTGGGAGCTCATCGAAAAGGTGCAAGAGGTAGGGGCATGCTGTAGAGGGATAGGCACAGACTACTGTGGGGTGCAAGAGCAAGTGTGGTTGTGTAGCTGAGCGAACGCCGTTTGCTGTATGCAGTTAGTGAAGGACAGATCGTTGGGGTGCTCCCGACTGTGACCAAAGAGACTCCGATAACGGCAAGGACTGTGATCTTCTGTGGTCTGTCAGTGTTGATTGAGGGATGACGTACTGATGTAGTTGGTATGCTACTGTAAGGAGCCCGATTGCTCATTTGCAATTGACGACTGCTGATGAGCAAGACATGGTTACATGACACATGAACAAAACACGTAGTCCTCAAAACTTGAAAGTAATATAATTGAGACTAGGAAATATCTGACAGTCGTCAGAATCGTAAAAGGGTCGTCAGCAGAAGAGATGAAGAAGCACTCACTACCCAAGATCCATCCAAACGCCAAACTTCTTGAACACAGCGGAAGTGAACATGACAAAGCGCGTAACAAGATATCCTAGAAGATGGAGTTGACAATATTGCCACCGATAGTCGCACCTGTACATGCGATCAGAAAATGCCGTTCACGATTTTACCACCAATAGTCGCACCTGCACCGAAAATCGCCGCATTTCCCAGCTTCTTTCCAAACTTCTTGCCGCCTTGCTCGAACTTGCTCGGCTCGCCGGGCGTCTGCTGCGCAACGGGGCCCGATGCAGCGCCGTTGGAGACATCGAGAGGCATGTTGCCGTAGTTGCTGGGCGGGGGGACCGTGGATTTCTCTTCCTTGCGCACGTAGGAGGCGGGGAAAATGCCCTCCTGGCCGGTGCGCTCGTTCTTGCCCTTCCACCATTCGGCGTTCATGTACTCTGTGACGGCGACCTTGTCGTTGGGCAGCAGGGCCAGGTCGCCGGCGTCTTGGGCGTTGTATTGATACATGGCGGTAGCGTGTGTGAGGATCGTGGGGCCGACGGGGAGGGAGGGTGTCGACGGGTAGGCTGGTGGCGCAGGGTTCTCAGCATAGTAGCCGATGTTCTGCTTTTTCTCTGAGGCCGGTGCGGGAGTGTGCGACGGTGTGGGCTGGAGATTCATCTGGGACAGCTGGTTGGTGACCTGCTGTGCGGGTGCTGAAGGCAGAGCGCGCGTCGAGTTCTCGGCAGAGACGGGAAGCTGCTGCAGCATAGCATCGTGCTGAGCTTTGCTGATGACTTCGGATTCGAGAAGGAATTGGAGATTCTGGGGAACGCGTTTCAATATATCGCTTCACAGAGGCAGAAAGTCGCGACATACGTTCTTGATGTCGCCCAGCGACCGGTTGATCATCGCATTCTGAAAGGTGCTCATGTTGGAGTAATGTGTGGAGTTTCTACGATTTACTTAGTATGTTGATTCATATGGGCACACGGGCGGGGCATACTGAGAGTATCAAAAGTCTAGCAAAGCAGAGTCAAGAGTGAGAATGCTGTGTTGGTCGAAACTTCGCTGGAGTTGTGAGGGATCACCCGTCCGCGGTATCCATGAAAGTGGGGACCTCAGGAGTTCGGCAGCCTTGTGCCGCACCCATTTTAGATTGTGGCGCAGCACCTATTGAATTGCGCAACGCTCATGTGAAGACCGGAACGCAGACATCTATGAGTCGTGAGCCTTACAATGGTACTTTTACTTTCATGGAACCAATTGTAGTCTTTGGGTGGACTCGAAACATTGCTCGAATATCTTACGTTTAACACACATATTTGACTACCTCCACAGCGGTCCAACCTCTTCAACCTCCTCTCCACCACCTCGACATCTAGTGCATCTTCATTATGATATCGTGAAACATGCCCTGCCTCGTCTTTTCGAACTTCTCAAAAGCATTACTAACAAAGCCAACAGGGATCTGCTCATCCCCTTTCGTCAACTTCTTCCACGTCTCGTCCATGAATTCATTCAACGGCATGCCAATGTTGCCGCCATCCTTGATGTCAGGCTGGTGTTTCGCATCGTGAAGCTCTGTCTGCACTGCTGGTGGAAAGATCTCAATGACCTTGATGTTGCCTGGGCCAGCTCGTAGTTGCTCGCGAAGGACCAAGATCATGTGGTGCAGCGCAGCCTTGGAGGCGCTGTAGTTTGGACACCTGGGAAGGGGAAGAAGAGCTAGGCCGGAGGTGGTGTAGATCAGGCTTGTTTCGTTATCCTTCTTCTGCAGGAAGGGGATGAATGCCGTCGTCAGGTGCATGTATGAGATGTAATTTGTGCGGAATTCGAGCTCGAGTACCTCTAGATCGACTGTATCGGGCTTTGAGAAGTCAAAGCCGCGTTGAATGCCAGAATTCAGGATGACGGAGTCGAGATCGGGGTGCTCCTTAGTAACGTCCTGGACGAACTTGGGAATTTCGTCGAGCTTGGTGATATCGAAAGCTTTTGTTGAGACCTTGTCTTTGCCATATTTGGAAGCGAACTCGTCCAGCTTCTCCTGTCGACGTCCTACAATAATAACCTGCTTGCCATTCTGCACGATCTTCTCGGCGAGGGCCCAGCCAATGCCTGATGTGGCGCCGATAACAAGAACTTTGTTGTACTTGAGAGACATGACTGCGTCTAGAATGTGTGCTGTTAGTGAAGATCAGGAGCAGTGCAGCGAGGACCACAGCTGTTATGTAGTGCTGTTCAGCTAGGAGTATTTATGACGAGATGCAGACCACTTCAAGTATACAAAACTAAGTACGAACAAGGCTAACGAATGCCCACATTGCATGTAGAGATCGGCATTAGCGCTGTTAATGAGAGCTTCTTACCAAGAGCCTCGCTCTTTTTGCATCGTTTCCCAACCCGAAGCATCGAGCCTCAAACACTCCAGCTGCCGCTCCATAGTGGCTCGAAGTGGATCCATACGTCATCATTCGTCTTTGATGTGGCATCCCTGCCCGGCAGTTGAGACACTTGAACAACGGAACATTCGCAACAGCGATGCTTGTCTTCACAAGCTTTACGGCAGTCTGGAGGGATCCACACGGACGTGATGTTTGGCGTAAGCAGCAGCGTGAGAGTTGCACGCCTGACAAGACGGGTTGTGCAAAGGGGTAACCGAGTGACGATTTCTCGGACAGCACTGTCAGGCCGAAGGGTATGGAGCTGCCAGAAGTACGAGCCGCTAAAGGGATTCGGACCGCTGGCCAAGTTTTAGGACAGCAGGACGAAGCTGATGGTCAACTACAGCTACACGGTCGAAGAAGCGGAAGAGTCAACTGAGCAGGGCAAGATCGATATGATTACGTTTGGGAGGCCGTTTCTATACAGTCAGTTGAGTTCGTTGTTTTTTTATTTTTACACTAGATAAGATTGTTGATGGAAAGGCTCGAGCTGACTTGCAATGTGGACAGGGTTTTGTCGAGCAGACCAGGAAGAACGTGCCGCTTGCAGAGCATGATAGGGGCGGGAAGGGGAACTACGGGCCGTATGAGGATGTTAACTAGAACTACAACGACTGGCCAGTAGCTACATGAGTAGGGTAGATATACAAGACAGAATATAAAGAGAATGGTGACGATAGGTAGATAGGAGGCAAGCCTGTTGCAGACATAAAAGAGACTGTGTTGGTTGTTGCTCTGGCCGGCGCCAAGCTCTCTTCGATTTTCTATCCACTTACTGTGTGATGCGAAGCGACAAAGAAAGTGGTACTCATTTACCTTCCCCGTGTTGTTGTGCATTTTGGTATCAATTTTGGGTAGCTAAAGCTGCAGCCCGAGAGAAAAACTCAAACTCCAGAGACGTGGAGACCCAAACGCCATCGCTATGCATGATCAAGAACAATCTACTTCCGCAATCCAGAAAAGTCCTTGAGGACGTGAGCCATATGCGTATTCGTAACCCTACCGTTCTTGCGCGGCGCACGCTTCTTCTTCGGCTTCGGCGTATTGTCGACAATCACGCGCGGCGCGGTGGCAACGTTCAGACCGACGTTGAGCAATGTGTTGCGCATGTCGTCTGGGTTGGCAGGAATAGCGATCTTGTGCCAGTCGCTAATGAACTGGGTATCCATGGTATGCTCAAGCGACGGGTCATTGTCCCACACCGTCTTCGGTATGCCGTCCTTGGTCTCCTTGAGCCTTATGAGCTTCTTCGCCGCCATGGGCCTGATCTCATCCGCCACGTTCGGCCAGCCATCCTTAAGGTCTTTGATCGAGAGTCCCTGCGCAGACTTCTGTGCCTGGAGATAGGCCTTCAGCTGCGAGGGGTTGCGAATAGCGAGCTTCGGTTTGTAGTGGTAAAGCCCGGTAGCATGGTCGAAGCCAATCCGGTTGTCCTTCGATGGGGAGTGAAAGAGCTGGCGCAGCTGCTTCCAGTTCGGCTGATCTTCCCTAACGTTCAGATACTTCATGACCTCCTCAAAGGTGAGCTGCTTTAGCCCCTCCTTAAGGTGGTCACGGGCAAAGCCGAATTGCGTGTAGACGTGGTCACCGGTGCCTGTGTCCGCTGGCTGCGAGTAGACGACGCTGGTATTCTCTGCAGGGCGCTTGCGCTTTGCGCCATTTGCAGACGAGTTGGATGGGGTTGGCGAGGGTGCGGCGACGTTGAGGAACGACATTGTGACAGCAGATGAAGTCAATCCAGCTGAAGAGTGTTTGGAATGGCGAGAGTATTCGGAGCGGGCTCTGATGTCCCTGTGTGTGCAGCGTCTAGTGAAAGGGTCGCACAGTGGTGAAGGACAAGGAGGGTGAGTTCCTGGGCGATAGCGTCGAAGAGGGTGGAACTGGCGCGGAATAAAGACAGTATAGTGATAGTGAGGATGAAGGCAGCGATGATGCGGGCTTGGCCTATACAGCGCTAGCGCGACGTGCTTAGACAGATGGAAGCTCTGCGCGACTCTCAAAGCTCCCACCAACGCGACTTGATTGTCTGCGCCGCCCTGTCGACTCTCCTTTGTCTCTCTTTTTGGCGCGTCTTTGCCACGCGCTCTCGACAATGCGCTGAGCCTGACGACAATTTACCCACCCACCCAACATGGCGGCCGCCGCAGTAGACGTGGGCTATCTGGCCGCGTCGTACTCAGTACCGGAGACGACCTTCCAATCATTACTGTCCGAGCCCACAGTCGAGCTTGTGCAGTCACTGCTGGTGCATATCGAGGCAAAAGCGCGCGAAAACGATGATCTCAAGTCGGAGAAGATCAAGGTCGACGTCGAGCTTGAGGCTGCCGTGCAAGGCGGAGACACCCGCGCGCGCACGCTGAAGGCAGCCGCGGACAAGGCACAGAAGGAAACAGAGCAACTGCAACAGAAGCTTGCGCGGGAAGGTGCGTAAACATCAATGGCTGTTAGGGAAAGAGCGCCCCCTCCTGACGTGCCTTCCATAGAACTGGCACGCCAGCAAATCGAGAAGGAGCTACATGACCTCAAGAATTCGTCGACAAGCTCCACAGCTGAGGTGCAGGCATTGCAGTCTCGCATCAAGGCTCTCGCGTCCCAGAACCGCGACACTCTGGCCATGCACGAGGCCAAAGGTGTAGCCCACGACCGCCTTGCCAGAGAACTCTCAGATCAGCACCAGAAGTTCGTCGACTTGCGCAAACAGCTGTCAGCTCTCGAGGAGACCAAGCAGTCACTCGAGAACGCCGCTGCCAATGTCAAGTTCCGCGAGACCAACTTCCAGCAGGAGATCGAGCTTCTGCGCAAGAACAACGAGTGGTTCGAGAGTGAGCTAAAGACACGTTCTGACGACCAGACAAAGTACCGCAGGGAAAAGAACGTCCAAGTCGCCGAGCTGCAGCGTGCTAACGCAGACGCATCCGAGACGATCGACACCCTTCGCCGTACCGAAACGACATTACGCCAGCATATCGAGAAGCTCGAGCAGACGGCCGATGAGTCCCGTGTGCGAATTGAGCAGCTGGAGGATGAAGCCACCCAGAACCAGGCATCTTTTCGCAACGAGCTTGACAGCGCCCGTCGACTGGCGACTCTCCATCAGGAAAGCGCTGAGCTCGTCAAGGGTCGTCTGCAGCAACTCCAGGCTGAGCTGTCTCAGTTGAACGACAATGCTGCCCTCGAGATTGGTCAGCTCCAGGCTGAAGTCGAGTCGGAGCGCAACAAGGTTGCAGAAGCTGAGGCTCGTATTGCAGAATTGGAGACTGGACAGGAGAATCTGCTCGCTCAAATCTCTGAGCTCGAGAATGCTGCTCGCATGCCTGCCACACCTCGACGCCCCCTGAACGGTGCGTTCGAGACACCTGGCAGGGCAGGCTCGCCCGCAGTCTTCTCACCAGGAGGCTCGCGCTTGAAGGGCGGCATGTCGGTCACCCAGCTGTACTCGGAGAACATGCAGTTGAAGTCTGAGATCCGCACATTGCGCGAGAAGAGCGAAGAGAAGGATGCAACTTTGGCTGAAATGCTCGAATCGCTAGAGCAGGCGCAGCCCGAGATTGAAGAGCTCCGCCGTGAGAACGAGATGTTGACAAACCAGACCACCGAAATCAGCGCCCTCCTAGACGAGGCTACTGCGGACAGGGAGGCAGCACGCAAGGATGCTCGCAAGGCCCTCGGTGATCTAGAAGGTACCTACCGCGAATGTACGACACTTCGTCAGCAACTCCAGGATACCGTCACGCAGATGCAATTCCTGCTCTGGCGTCAAGAAGCAGCCGAGAGGGGCTTGGAGTCGCTTTCACCGGAACAACAAGAGCGTGTCAGACACGCCGCGCAGCATAACAATGAGATGCCGGACTCCCAAATCGACGAAAGTACCGCGACTGGTGCTCTCATTGCGAAGCATCTTCTCTTGTTTACGGATGTTCAGTCGTGCTCGCAGAAGAACCAGGAACTTTTGGCAGCCATTCGATCGGTGGCCGAATCCCATGAGGGACAAGAAGCTCGCGACCGGGCTGATCAACATAAGAAGGACGAGGAGGAGCTTGGACAGCTGCGAGGACGATTGGCTGAGCAGGAGGAGCAAATCCGATCGCTTGACCTGAGACTGAAGAGCGTCACGAAGGAGCGTGAGATGTACCGTCGTATCACCACTAGCCGAGGACACCAACTCAATGCTGATGGAACTCCTGACTTCGGACAATCGTTTGACAGCCGGGCGGCATTTGCGACGCCACCACCCGGAGGCTCGATGCACATGGACCAGACACCTCACTCCAAGGAAGTTGCAGGCTACGAGAAGCTGATCAAGGACCTGCAGTCACACCTCGATCTATTGCGGGAAGAGAACGCCACAGATCGTGCTACACTTAAGCAGCAGGTTGACAGCCTCACCAAGGAGAGCAACCAGCTCCAGAGCGACAAGCTACGACTTGACAACCAGGTCCGCCGTGAGCAGGACCGCTACACGCATCTCGAGGGTAACCTGAAGCTGCTCCAATCCGAAAAGACGACCTTGCAAGAGCGCTACACCGCTATTCAAGATGCGCTTGCCAAGCAGGATGAGAAGGTGGACAAGGCGCAACAAGAAGCTCTCGATGCTGCAGCACGAGCTGAGGGGCTGGATCGTGAGATTGTGAACCTCAAGGCATCGCAGACCATGTGGAAAACGATCGAAGCGCGCCTTACAGAGCGCAACAAGGAACTTACAGACGAGCGTGATCGCCTCAGCAAGATGGTTACTGATATTCAGAGCCTTCGCAACGAACAGGAGCTGTCTAACGCCGAGAACCGCCGCCGTCTCCAGGATCGTGTCGATGCGCTTGAAGCAGAGCTGAAGGTCACGCAACGGAAGTTGGAGGACGAGATCGCTGAGCACAAGAAGACTACGCAGCAACGCGACTACGAACGAACCGATGCTCAGCGCCGCATCGATGACTTCATCAAAGCCAAGAACGAGGCTGACGTCAAGTTTGCCTTAGTCAATACCGCCCGTCAACAGCTTGAGCAGCGTGTTACCGAACTACAATCCCAGCTTCAGTCTTCCGAAGAACGCGTGCAGTCTCTTCGCCCTCGCCAAACGAATGGAGCGGACGATGACAACGAGGAACCGGCAAACCGTGAGGAGGAGTTGGAGGCACAGGTTTCGGAACTTCAGCGCAAGATCGAGCGCAAACAGGAGGATCTTGAAGCTGCGAACGGTCAGATCGAGACGTTCCAGGCGATTGCTCAAGAGGCCGAAGACCAACTTCGCAGCCAACTGGAGACACATGAGCAGTACGAGCAGGAGATGAGCACGGCACAGCAAGAGAAGGATGCTACCATTACTGATCTACAGCAGCGCGTCGATGAGATCTCTTCTGAACTTGCAACTTCCAACACTGAGTTAACCAAGCTCCGTGGTCAGCATGAACAGGAGACGTTGCGCCTTACTCAGCAAAAGGATGCTCTGGAAACAGAGATTGCCCGTCTGAAGGATGATGTCACTGATTACAAGGCGGAAGTAGAGAACCAGGCACAGCTGGTGGCATCGCAGGCAGAGATTGCCACACGTGCTCAACAAGATTACGAGCACGAGCTCGCGAAGCACGGTGAGACCATGAAGAGCCTCCGCATTCTTCGTGACGAGCACAACCAGTTGAAGACTGAGATTGCGCAGTTCAAGGCGCAGGCCGAAGCTGCTCAGGCTACATTGGCCCAGAATGAGGAGCACTGGACAACAACTCGTGAGCAATTTGAGAGTCAGGTTGCTGAAGCTCAGAGGAACTACGATGGAGCGAAGCAACACAACAAGACACTTCTTCGCCAGTTCGACGACTACAAGGCGCAAATCGAGGCCCTCAAGAGCAATCGTGCCTCTGCCGCCGGCGATGCAGAGAACTCATCATCCGACTCAAGTGGTCTCCAGGAGATCAACGATTACCTTCGACGTGAAAAGGAGATTCTGGAGGTCCAGCTTAACCTCAAAGACCAGGAAGTGAAGCGACAAGAGCAACAGCTCAATCACTTCCAAACGCAGCTCGACCAGGCCCGCGAGAAGCTTATCGCCGAACAGACCAGGGCCCAGCAGGGGGGTAGCAATCTGCAAAGTCTTCAGACACAGATCGAGCAGCTCAATGTCTACCGAGAGAGCACTACCACCCTACGCAATGAAAACCGTCGTATTGAAGCCCAGCTCGCGGAGAAGAACACGGAGATGGAAGCTCTACACAGTCAGCTTGAGCCTCTGCAGGCTCGTGTTACAGAGTTAGAAGGTGAGATCGAGCTGCACCTCGGTCACCTAAAGGCTGTTGAAGAGGATCGGGACCGCTGGCAGAAGCGACACCAGGATGTGCTCCAGCGTTACGACCGTATCGATCCGAAGGAGTTGGAAGACCTCAAGCAGCAGATCGCAACTCTGCAGTTAGAGCGTGATCAAGCAGTTGAACAGGTCACAAGTCTCAATGAGCAGATCACCGGTCTTAACGAGAAGGTGCAGTCAACAGAGGGCGCACAGGCGACTGTCACTGAAGAGGCTGTGAACGCTGCAGTCAGGGCAGCCAAACAAGATGCGAAGGAGCGTTTCAACAAGTTGCACGGAGAGAAGATGGCTGTTGTACGAGCAGAAGTCGCCGCTGTCAAGGAAGAGCGGGACCAAGTGCAAGAGCAGCTTGCATCTGTTCAGCAAGAGTTGGACGTCGCTCGTCAACACGCCACATCGACACAGGCTGAAAGCACTCAGTCACAGGAGCAGCTGACCTCACTTCAGCAGCAACTGGAGGAATTGAGGAGCCAACTTGCTACGGCCCAACAAGAACTCGAGACCACGAAGACGACGCGTGACGAGGCTGTTGCTCGTGCAGATGCCCGCAGCAGTGCCAACGCTGATGTCACCATGGCTGAAGAGGGACAGGTTGACGAGAACTCATCCGAACCTCTCCAGCAAGAAGTCTCACGACTCAAGGCCCAAGTGACAGAGGCTGAGAACAAGGAGAAAGCTGCCACCAACGCAGCTGCTGGTCTGCAGGTTCAGCTTGGCTTTGCTAGAGAGAAGGTTTCCGAGCTTGAGCAGAAGGAGGTATGTTTGTCCATCAAACTGTGTTACACAACGTCTTGCTAACTTCTGTAAAGGCCGAAGACAAGACACGCATCGTCAAACTTGAGGCCGACCTCAAGGCAGCACAATCATCTGCACCAGCAGACCCACAGACTACACAGGCATATTCGGCCGCCGCGCTCGCCGAGCCATCAACAGACGCACCCTCATCCGAAGAGGTCGAGAAGCTCAAGGAAGAGCTCACTGTCGCGCGGAAGGAAGTTGAAGGTCTTCGTAGCCGAGCTGAAGCGGCAGAGGCTGCTGCTAGCAGCGCAAATAACGCTCCGCAGGCAGAAGCCCAGACAAACACTGAACAGCTCGACGTTACCAAAGCACAACTGGAGGAACGAGAGGCTAAAGTTGCCGAACTTGAGCTCGCTTTGCAGCAGCGACAGACCGTTCTTGATCAGCGTGAGACCAAGATCGCAAACCGAGAGAGCAAGGCACAGGACCTCCGCGAACAAGCCAACAACAAGATTCGCTCGATCAGGAAGGAGACAGACGAAGAAAAGGCAAAGTTGGCAGCCGAAATCGATCAGCTCAAGAAGCAAGTTGAGGCCGGTGTCTTAGCAGCTCCAGGCACACCCAAGGCTCCTACGTCAGCGACACCGATCAAGGCAGAACCGGTCTCCTGGCCCGACGCGAACAAGGATCAAATCCGCGTGTGGATCAACTCAAATAAAGAGGCGAAGGAGGTGCTCCAGATGCTTATCAACAAGTACAAGGTCCCTCTGGAGAAGGAGGTCGAGGCTCTGAAGAAGAAGATCGAAGAGTTGACCAAGGAGCTTGAGATCTTGAAATCCGCTGAAAAGCCCTCTGGGGCCGCAGATCAAAACACAACCGACAACCATGCTGCTGACTTGGCCATCGCTAAGGCGGAGCACGAAGCCCACCTGAAGACTCAGCTGGAGCAGCTGGAAGCCAGGATGAACAGGCAAGCCGATTTGAAGGTGAAGCTGACGAAGGGTCAACTGTCGGCACTCAAGGTCAAGTGGGCGGTATTCGAAAAGGCGGCCAAGGATACACCGACGGAGGAGGTTGCGAAGGTGTACGAAGAGGCGAAGAACGCAAAAGACACCACGCCGGCTCACACAAGCACGCCTGCAGGGCCGCAAGTGCCAGCGGGTGGTATCCCTCGACCTGCTTCAGCACTCGGTCAACAAGCCCCTGCGCCAGCTCAGACGAATGGTGCACCGGCCCAACAACCGCATCCCTTCCAGCAGGGTACTCAAAATGCAGGCTCAAACGCTGCACCAAATCCGTTTGCGCAAGCTGCGCGCGGCATTGCGACACCTGGATTTGCCCATCAAGGCCAGGCTGCCGCTGTCCAGCAACCTCAGCAGCAACAAGCCGGTCGAGGTCATGGCACTGGACCTGCTGCGTTGAAGAGCATCATCGGTGCTGGACAGACCGGCATCCCTCGAGGCGGCAGTGGAATCCCTCAGCCTGGCAGCGGCATCCCGCAACCTGGCGGTCGTGGTGCGGGTCGTGGTCAACAACAGAACCCAGCTCAAAGTGGCATCGGACGGGGCGGTGCTGCCGCCCGTGGTGGCCGTGGTGGCGCTCGTGGAGGGCAGAGTCAAAACAACAGCCCCAGGACGAGCCTCAACCCTGGCGCCCCTGGATTTCAGCCTGGTCAGGGTGCAGGACGCGCTCAGAAGCGCAATGCTGATGGCGAGGCGGAGGGTAGTGGAGCACGAGGCAACAAGCGACCAAGGGGTGGTCGAGGAGGTCAGGGTGGTGGTGAGGGTGCCGGTAGTACACCTGCCGCTGCAGAGTAAACGTCATGAGAAACGGGGTGCATGAGATGAAGCGAAAAGAATGTGTTTTATATGGCATGGTTAGCGGGCTGCATTTGCTTTCATATGTTTGGGGGATGATGTCGTTATTTATGGGTTACATCCATCTCGAATATCAGCGGGATGGTATGGTTTCATGGACGCTTGGATTTGGTCAATGGAATTGAGGACCTGGAGACGGGTCAGTGTACACTATGCGAACGCTTAAGCTTCCTCGACGTAAACCTACCGTGAAGCATTATGAGACGGGAGATAGGGTGGACTAGTCTGGGGTTGCTCGCAGTAGCGCGTCGTAGGGTCCCAAGAAGGCAACAAGCGTGAAACCTACCATTAATGGTGATCGGAACCTTCCTTATGCGGCAAAAACCAGCTGAAGTGAAGAACTGCAGCGACACGAACATGGTCTTTCGTAGACGGTGGTAGCCAACAGCGCACGACAAAGACACAGCTTCAAGTGAAAAGGTCGCTGTAGTCGAGAGCTTTTCAGCTTTGCTAATGTGATAGTATCACGCAAGTGAAGGGGCGTGTGTGAGTGAAAGGTAGTCGTAATCCGCGATAGCGTAGAGTTGACGGACCAGGCGGTGTTGCGAGCGTACCAGTGAAAGAAGCTGGCCGGACTCGCTAGTTCAGGCCTGTACGAGGTCCTGAAGCCATCAACGTGTCAAGGAGAGGGTAGGACTGAGTGAGAAATCGATATTTGTGAGACTTATTTATTGCGGTAGCATTGCAGAGATGAAGGAGGGCTTTGTGGGTGAAAGGTGCTAGGACCTGTTCGCCCTCGTCATACTCCTCTCTCAGAAAGTTCTCGTAAGCATTAAGATTAGCAACTTCCTCGTGGACTTTCCGAGGTATAGGCCTCGCAATATGAACCTGCTATATACAGCAAGTTCGAACGACGTGGTTCGCTGTTGAATAGGTTCTTCGCTATCTGTTTATCGTATAAAATGGTGCAGGTTTACTCGCATTGCTACTCCAGAAGCTTTGAAGCATTCTCGAGTTCGGAAACGCGGAAGAAGAGCGAAGCGCTACGAAGTAAGACTGGCTCAAGCAGTTGTTCCATAAGGATATCAGAAAGCTGGCCATGTTTCGGAAATGGATGCTACTGAATAAGTAGGCTGGTCAAGATTGGTGGGTGCTGCGACCTGGTGGTTTGGCGTATGGAATTTGGAAGTATGAAGTGCTTCGAGGGTGAGGCCAGAGGTCTCCGAGTATCTCTGAGATTGTGCTATCGTGAGTCAACGGAGTCACTGGATTGCATCATAATGTTATGTTTCGTGTTCATGACTTGATGTTTAAATGATACACATCATTAGCTGGAGATTCTCGTTCGTCCCTCCATATGGGTGGTTGCTCGTGTTCATTGTGCAAAGAACGTAAAATACATCGAAAATGTGCAGATGCAGATGCTGACGCGCAACATAAACGCCTCTTAAACACTCCCTACCTGAACAAGTCCATCCCTGTAGTACCTTTCGTTTTGGGACTCGACGACCACCTTTTCTTCTGAAATCATCCATCAAACACAGTGTGGTATGCTGTGTCAGAGCTGCTTGTGAGGCTGTGACAACCTGGAGCCTGAGCTTGAGGTTGAGGCGCATAGATCGTTTAAAATGCATAGCGCACGGACAAGGAGAGCGCCGCTGCCTGCCGACTACAGACAGTTTCGGTGATGAGCCGGAACCTGTGATCTTTTTGCGAATTCTGGTCTGTGGTATACCTATGGTAGTAGAAGGGCGTTTGCTTCGCTGCATAGGATTCAGAAGAAAGGCCTATACCATCAAGCAGCTCGTCGATTATTGGTACCGTGTTTTGGAGTATACAGCTTCCCGGGGAAGTATCGATGGACTCGAGGGTATGATACAGTGTGATTTACTGTTGCAGTATCGGTTGGTCCATACAAGGTCTGACTGTACCCCTGACAGACTACCCTAGTCTAGTGTGTGACCGGTCACTGGCCTTAGGTCAGGTATATAGTCGTCATCTCCCAGCTAGATAGCAATTCAGCGCAGTCTTCCATCGACCCGATAGTCCTACGTTGTTGTTTACCGTAGCTATCAGTATACCACAGTGGCCCACGCCGCCACATTTACACCTGATTCATGTGTGCTGAGAGGAAGGTCGGCGTGTGTGGTCATACGAAGATGAAGAGTTTGGCGTCCAATATGATATAATATGTCCAAAGTATTGCTGTAAGATCATTGATTCATTCATCCTGTGGAAACTTGCCGTATAGTCGCTGATTGTAGCCCATCGGTCCGGATGCCTCTAGGGCATCATACCTAGCGGTAGCTGACCAGGCTGAATGCGGAGGGGACTGGCTGATAGCTGTGGCATTCTTGGCGTTGAACTCCTCGAATGTGATACAAGACTCACGTGCTAAGAAGTCGTTCGCACCAGGAAAATCTGACCAGCGCTTCCGAGTGATCACGATATAAATGGTAGCGGGGTCATTCCATACACCATCTCCTTCGAAATATTCTCCGGATGAATAGCCGGAGTCGCTCGAGTATCACCGGTCATTTGATAGCAGCTTGGGCGTCAGAGCTGGAGAGAGTGAGGAATGTGTCGGAGCAGGAGAAGGTGGTGAAGATATCCATCCGACAGTAGACTCTTCATCATCCGTGTCCTCGGGAAATGCCAAAGAACCAGGAAAGTATTGCTAAAAGTCATGTGGAAACTTGGACCGGTATTCTTCAGCGACATCGCGAAAGTTGAACACCCTCTCTTTCAGCTGAGGGTCCCGATCAAGTCGCTCATCCACGCCTTGGGGATCTCGCTCGTGTTCTTGGTTCCACAGATTCCACTGGTAGGCTGTCTCGAACAGATGGTGTTTCACATAATCTGGACCTACGGGCACATCCTTTTGCTGATGAAAATGTGACTCGCCATTGTTTACGCGTGTTTGGTAGAAGGCGATCCGCTCGTGCAGATTGATCCCGCCGATGGGCTCCCAGTGGGCTTGCTGGACTTCTTCTAACACTTGCGTGTTTGTCTCCGTTGATGCGAACTCGATGTGACGAGGTGCTTTCGCACGACGGGGCTTGAGACTGTTAGGCTCTTCATGTGGGTTAAGAGGCTCAACCTCCTGTCCAAGCTGGCACTGCTCGAGACCGGGTATCAAAAATACCAGCTTCAAAGAACACGCGAAACTCGACCTCCAAGTGAAAGCGCTTGCAGTAGGTCGGCTCCTCAAAAGGTTCAGGAGGAGCGTTGATCTCTTCACGCAGCTGGCACTGCTCAAAACCAGGAATGAGGATGCCGCCTTGTTGGAGGACACGGAAGCCGACATTCATGCCAGCTAGGAGGTCCTCAGGTGTGTACAGCTGGAGGATGGCGTATTGATGTACAAGGCCGGCGTATAAATTACGCTGAACCATTGTGTAGAGAGCCGCTTGAAGGCGCTTGAAGGCGCTTGAAGGCTACAAACGCCGAAGGCGCGTTGTGCGTATATTGGGTAAGTAGCAGTTATTGGCTACGAGGGGAGGTGCGCTGAAGCTGACGAAGTGCTGCTTCCTTGAAAGCACTGACTGTCGTGATGTTGCAGTGCACTTGCTGGATCAGGATGAAGTGCTTTGTGCCGACGGGTGTTGAGCGCGCCTTGCAAGTAGCAGCTATTGCTATCAGAGCTGTCTTGACGGCGGCGCAAGCGTTGACAAGCGACAGCACTGCCCGGAGAGCAAGAGTGAAGAACATGGTGTGCTTTCACTGTGGTTGAATGTTGAGGTGGTATGGTGAGAAGATGGTCCGGTGTGGTGAGAAGAGGAACTAGAAATGGTGACAGCGCGGATGTAGAGGGAACGCCTCGAGGGCGCAAGCTAGCTCCCTTAGTGCGTTTACGCGGCGGAAGAGTGAAATTGTGCTGCTCGGTGCAGAGCTAGCGCGGCAGAATTGCACGATGTTGAACAGCGTAAGAGTCTGCGCGTCCTTTGAGACCCGTGGTTTGATAGTGGATGATATTGTGCGAGACAAAGCGGTATGAGACATTCTTGTAGACGGTAAAGTTGGTAAGAACTGAACCTCGAAGCTCGGAGGAAGAGTAGACATTTATACAGTGCAAAAGTGTATGATTTTTCTTTCTTGGATCACTAGTTCGACAGGACCAGGGTTGAGTTTCCAGGGACAGTAACACTCATGGTATCCATATAGTGTGGCGCTTCCATATTGGCCTGCTATGTTGGTACGACAGCCGGGCTACCATATTATTAGTTTGTTGTGTAAAGCTACATCGGCATTTTGCGCTTGAACGGCTCCGTCGGCCATGGCCGGCGTGTGTGAAATATGTTGTACGAAAAGAATGGTATTCAATCGAACATTTCCATGGTTATGTACTAGTCGGATTGATATACTAGCCTTGGTGTAGGTTGTCAGAACGCAAACTTTGCTAGATATATTGTCCACGATTGATTGGAAGTCGCTGAATTGATGGTTGTGGACCCACAGAATTCTGGAACTGAATGCTTACTGCATCACTGACAGAAATGACTACGAGTTTTCTGAGAGCTGCAACATTGTCGAGATCAACTCAAGTTGGCTGCGTTGGGACAACGCGTTCTTTCCCAAGCAGGGCAGCCGCGGTGGAAGGACCATCACAACCTACCTTTCGATATGCATACCTGACTATCCAGGCCGCAAAGGCATAGAGCAAAGTATAAGGGTTCGATGCATTGAACGTGAGTGCTCACAGTCGGTAGCGTAAGTGCATGAGCCAGGTCGCTATTGTGCTTCAATTAACAGGAGCCTGTCCAGTTATCAGGGTAGCCCTGGAGTGAGCAAGGAGAACAAGGCCGGGCGCAGTTGCTTCCAAGATAAACCCAGTGCCATGCGATCACAGCAGTTGCAACCTCTCTCCCAAGGCCTGGGTTCGCCCCCATCCGGTGATTGACTTTGGCCGGCAGTAAGCAACCGAATACCTTCAACCTTTTGCAAGCAGATGTAATGAAAAGATGACTTCACAGAAATTCGCACTGTGTACGTGTCCTCACATGCGGCTCCACGATGCTGCAGCCCTGAACGTCCAATGAGCCTTGTGAGGCTGATCTTTGAGAAGTCCGGGGTTGTCAATAGATATGATTGTAATGCGTGTGTATTTTCTTTGTGACTCTCTGAACTACGGTTGTGTGAAGGAAAAAGCGCCTGTACTCAATCGGGCACTAGCGGCAGATCCAACCTGACAACGGTGCTGGAAGGACCCAGGCGTCAACAGGGGTCGCTGCTAAGCATTTCATCGCCGAGTCGCGGCCAACCAAACAGATCTCCGTACAGATCGCCTAAAGTGATGTGCAGCGGGTACACTTTCCGAGCTTCAAGCTTCTTGGTTTGAGTGACGTAAAGCGAATTTGTGTTCAGCCGTGCACGACGATTAGCTCGACGCCTTCTCCGAAGATGCTCAAAAAAATTCCGAATTGGGAACACAACATGATCTACGGCACGTTAGCGTAAGATCTCGAACATGCATAGCCGATACGGCTTACAATCTCTCGTGGGCATATATACCGGGTGCCGTGTTCTGCAAAGAATTCCCTTGCAGTGTCTTCAACTCACCTTGTTCAATATGACAGTACGAAACTCCGCAGTGCTAGCGCTGCTGGCTTCCACGTCTTCTGCTGTCATTGTTCCACAACTGTCCAGTCCGGGTCGTATTACTGGCACCAACTTCGGCATCCCTGGACGAAATGCAACATACGACTACGTCATTGTCGGCGGTGGCACTGCAGGGAGCGTAGTTGCAGCTCGGCTCACTGAGCACAGCAATGCTTCGGTCGCTTTGATTGAAGCAGGCAGCTTCTATGAGTTGTCGAATGGCAACTGGAGCCAGATCCCCTACTGGTCTGAGCAATGGGTCGGTGCTGAGCCTGACGAGTGGCAGCCGCTCATCGACTGGGGTCTCTTCACTGAGCCGCAGGTTAATGGCGAACGAATCCACTATGCACAGGGAAAGAACCTCGGTGGCAGTAGTGGCAGGAACCAGATGATGTATCATCGACCGTCTGTGGGCTCGCTACAGGCTTGGGCTGATCATGTCGGAGATCAGTCTTGGAATTGGGCGAACATGACCAAGTACTACGAACGCAGCATGACATTCACTAGCAATGTTGCCAACAGGACGGCAGCGAATGGAAGTACCGTATACGATGCGAGCGCCTATGGTGCCAGCGGTAGCAATAGTCAGCCGCTCCACGTCAGCTACCCTAACTACATCAACCCATTGTCGCAGTATGCTGCTGCAGCTTTTTCGGCAATCGGACTCAAGCAGATACCAGGCTTCGCCAGTGGAATCTTGAACGGCTTCGGCTGGTGGCAATTCACAATCGACGGCCAGACAGGTCTCCGCAGCTCGGCAGAAAGCTCCTTCCTAGCTGAAGCATTCGGTCGTCCGGGTTTGACAACGTACATAAACGCCCAAGCAAGGAACATCATCTTCGAGAGCAGCACTGCAGCTGCTGTGAACGTAACTAACTATGGCATGAGGCCGTTTACCATCTCGGCGCGCAAGGAAGTTATCGTTTCCGCCGGAGCATGGCACTCGCCTCAGTTGCTTATGGTGTCTGGCATTGGGCCAAAGGCGACATTGGACGAGTTCGGCATTGAGGTTGTGAAGGATCTTCCAGGCGTCGGGCAGAACATGTGGGACAGTACCAACATCGGTGGCCCGGTATACGAGATCTCCCTTCCAGGCTTCACACACTGGCAGCAGCCGGGCCCGATGGCGGATGCTCAGGCACAGCTTCTGGCAAATGGGAGTGGTCCACTGACGAACATCGGTCTTGACGTTGGCGCATGGGAGACCTTCTCAGATCGCTCGAACTTCAGCGCAGGCACTCAGCAAGCCCTCTCTGGCATTCCGGAAGATTGGCCGCTCATTGAAAATTCCCTCGCCAGCTCCAGCCGCGTGTTAGAGTCCTCTGATTCAGAAAAACAGTACGGTGTAATTGGCTGTATTCTCATCGCAACATCCAGCAGAGGCAACATGACCATCCAGTCCGCAACCAACATGGACCCGCCAATCATCGATCCTGGATGGCTGCGTGAGGAAAGCGACCAGGAAGTTGCGATTGAAGCGTATCGCAGGGCTAGACAGGCGTGGCAGGCGATACCCGAAGGTATTCGCGGCCGAGAAGAATATTCGCCTGGCACCAACGTCACGACTGACGCGCAGCTGCTAGACTATATCAAGCAGCACATTGCTCCGATCCACCATGCTTCGTCATCTTGTGCGATGGGCAAGCCAGACAACCCCATGGCTGTTGTCGACTCAAAAGCGAGAGTGTTCGGCGTGCAGCGACTGAGGATCATCGACTCATCGAGCTTTCCATTCACCCCGCCTGGACACACTCAGGGAGTCACATATGCGCACGCGGAGAAGCTGGTCGAGGATGTGTTGAACGACTACTTCGCTGAAGGAACATATTAGAGATAGAAACGATGAACACTATCGCGAACAGCGATGGATAGAAGGCAAGATTGTCGAGGAACGAACGTCTTTGAAGTCTAAATAGAAATACAAGGGTATCTAGCAGTTTTGTGGCAAGCCCAATTTCGCCGATTGGCTGTCTTTTTTCGCTTCTCAAATCTGGGTACTTTGTACGCGTCTCGTTCGTGTCTCGTTGTCAACCTCGCATCTTAGTTGAATTGACCACCAACATGGAGCAAGTCTGCATTCAAGTTGACAAGCGTGCCAAAGCCAATCGGGATTGCTGGGTCTGTTGCCGGCGAGACAGGGTTGCGATCCTCGAGCGTATCTGTCACTGCACGAATCGACAAAGGTACCCTCATGTGCCTCCTTCGGTGGAGAAAGTAGTATCGTACTCTTGCCCAGCGGACGTGTACTGCGAGGATGTCGCGGCTATCGGGAATACCGTTATAACGGAGGACAATCCGAGATCGAAGTCTTGGTGCAAAGGGAGGCGCTGCCGTGGTGTTAGTATGTGGCATGGGTGCGCATTTCTTAGTACGCCGTGGTAAGACTGGGGCTGAATCGCGGGAACCGCGGCGGATGAACGAAACAGAACCTGGGGTAAACGTGAGCTAGGGTGACACTTACAGGCTTGAGCCATAATGGCAGTGATCAAGTTGCACTAAGCCTGATTCTTCAAGAATGTGGTAGGATTGAGGTAGAAGTACAAGGAGAAGAATGGAGGATATAGGTAAATAGAATTGGAGCCTGTTGGTCTGTAGGAAGGTCTTGATGTTAAAGCGATTTGTAGGGTTATGAAGTCCACCAGGACTTTCAAGGTGAATGTAGTCTTTCAAGTGACGGTGATAAGCAAGGCGAGATAGTCGTCAGCAGTTGTTCTGCGCAGCAGATACACAAGTGAGGAAGTGCGCATGTCCGGGCAGGTCAAGTCTTTATGACAGCCTAACTCATCACGCAACTCACGCAACATTCGTAATGCGCTGCGATAGCCTCGAGCCCCATCGCATCTCCCTTTTCCATGGTCAGCAAATAATCTTCTGTGTCAAAGGCGTGCGGCGCCATTGCGGCCCTATCCTCTAGCATGGCGCAAGCAACCAGAGTGGTTCGCTCCACCACCATCATCCTACTTGGGATGGCTCGAGCAAGCGTGAACCACATTACTTCACTAAAAAAAGGGTCAAGCTTGAGGCGCAACGGTGCAGGCGCAGGTACACCCTGTGTAGGTAGGCATGCAAGTGGTCCTAGCCGAGCGCTGCACGCGCGTGCAGTCCTGCATCAATTGCACCGGCTGCACGAGTGGAGGATGGAGTGTGGTGACGTCCGCCTGGCAATCGGACGTTCATTGACTACCCCAGACCCGCATTCAGGGCAGATACTAACGACTGGACGACAGCCCTCGACGCTGCTGTAGGCCGCTGGCTGTTCCTGGCGCACGGTCAGCCTGTGCAGGCGATGACCAGATTACACATGCAGATTGCAGCAGCAAAATTTTCATGTCCCGTTATCAGCACTATCATTCGACGAGCCTGATCATTTGCGCTAGCAGATGGAACAAAGGAAACGTAGGCATTGTCAGTGCGTCAAAGAATGAGCTTTGCGACGTGGTGCTTCAGCGAGCAAGTAATATTCCTGACGTAGGTACAGATGTTGGATTCAGCCGACGTGAGCTGCTACTCTTCGCAGCTTTCATCATGCTCGCGCGCCGCATAGTCTGTCTAGAGACACTCGTTTCCAGTTGCTCTCAGACACCTTTGGCCGTACAAGCGGTAGAAGGCCTCATACAAGACAGCAAATTGCACGTGAAATGTATCGAACAGCTTCTAAAAGGTTTCCTTCAAGCAAAGGAGACCCTTGGATCAAGGATTATGGCCGGCTTAGTGTTGATCGTGATCAATTAGCAGCAGCAGCATTGTAGGAGTCCGTCTGCAGTAGTGCGAGGAGGCTTTGCATATGCACTAAACTGTCGAGAAGCTTGGACGTAAGCTGTGCATCCGCGGCATGCGACAAAGATGTTGCAAACGAAGCTCACAAAGCTGAAGGAGATAACGGCTTAGCTGATTGAAATTTGTTGAGCCAACGAATCGTTTGCCTTCTTTCACGAAAGCCTGACCGCGGTTTGCGCGTAGTTGTCGAAAGATGCCCAATTTGCCACCGTGTAGTCGAGGTTAGGCCTTGCGCTACAGAATGCGGAGTAGCCGCTTTTAGTGCGAGCATCCCTGTCCATTGATAGAAGTATGGCCATACCTGTGTATGGCTCAGGGAGAAGTGTTTCGAAGAGCATGTCGACGTAGAGCGCCTCAAATGTGCATTTTCTTCTCGTGAATGCCAGTGAGTACGCAGTCTCGTGCAATTACGCGAGCCCGTGCTACGATCTCACAGTTACGTGCATCATCGATGCTGTACAACTCTGCAGGTGCGCGTGCTCGTGCAGCCGGGCTTCAGAACTTTGAGATCCCCGCGTGCACCGAAGGCCTCCCTGGGACTGTCTTCTTGACAACACATCCGTCAAAGTGTGCATCGCAAGCCTGCAGCTACACCGGCAGGGTTGGTTCGTCGACTGGTACGGAGATGCGATGTGAATATTCGCCGACTTGATCAGACTCCTTTCGTATGCAGGACCACCATCATTAGCAAATAACCTGAGAGGGCGCCCTACAGATGACCCCGTGGTTGCACGACATTGTTTCAGCCTCAAGAAAATTCTCTTCAAGGCTGTGCCACAGGATGCTCGTGCGGTATTTTCGTGCTTGTTTGCGTAGGTGTTTTGGTGGTTCGAAGTTGCGTTCTGCGCCTTGCCACACTCGCTGGAAGCACTGACTGAGGCTTGAAAATATCCATGACGCTGCGCAGAGTGTCGTAGATAGACTGGTTTCACAGTCCGAGAGTCATGGTCACGTTGCGATGCAGCCCCTTTGCTGTACATCAGCACAACTCAGGTTCGGTGCATCATTGGCACAGGTCAGACCCGTTGTGGGCTTTAGATATCAAAACCGATGTATTTCCTGCTGCTGTATCACTAACGTTGCTACGCGAACATGAATTCGATCTTCGTGGTGAAGACATTGACACGACTAGATGCGTAGATGCGGTGCGAATTTGCGATTTGAAGACTGCTGCGATGCTAATGACGACAACCGGATGCCAAAGGAATATGCCAACAAGGTAGAAAATAATCTTTCTCCGACCAGTCCAACAAAGTCAGATGAGATTGTCATGGTGCAACAAGAACATGAAGCCTGTGATAAGTGGAAAGAGCCCAAGAAGCGTGGCCTCCAGCAAAGTTCGCCGCGCTACAAGCATCGTGACAACAGTCTGGAGTGCCACGAGCATAGTAGCTGCGAAGATCGTGCGCTTGCGTATCGCCGTCTTCGACCTGTCCGTATAGTGGATGGTCAATCCACTCAGGAGGACAGTCAAGGTCAGGAGGCCAATCATTCCAAGCACGACATAGTGTTGTCGAGGTACGCGATAGAGAAGACACTTAGGACCTAGCGAACTGTAAGGCTTTGGAGAGAACATCTGAAGTGGAGAGCAACGTACCTTCTTCGATCCGCGTGAATGCAGCATTGGCGCGAGGTCCGGCTTCTTGGCTAGCAGAAGCTTCGTCCCGATTGAACTGATGGAGAACGAGCGGAAGTTTCTTGAGGCGGTGAGGAAGAACCTTCGACAATCTGACTTTTGAATTCTCGTGCCTCCGGAGACATTGCTCTTCGGCTTGATGACCAGACGACCATGCTCCTGCACCGAGAAGTGCGGTGCAAAGCGCGTCGTCATGCTCGACCTCTGCCTCTGATCCTGAACCATGTTTTGCCGAGAGCGATGTTGCGTACGTTGTGTCCGCCTTGCCTTCACCTTTGTAATCGTGTGTCGGGTACCCTGTACCGTACGATGTAGGCTTGGTGACGATCGAGGGCTCGCGAAAGCTGAATACAGCAGTAGGGGAAGACCCTACTGACGTAGTAGCTGAAGATGAAGCTCGACTGAGGTTATCTTCGTCATGGCCGTCGTTGCGACGAGCTAGAGTAGTCCATGGGGCGTCGTTGCGGGCGTCATTGCGGGCGACGATAAGAGCGACTGAAGTGTCGAGATCAGAGTTCATGGTGTCTTCGAGGGCGGCTGCGTAAGACAGTCAGAGTGCCGTTCGTGCGGAAGTAACTCTAGCCTCGTACCCTGTGCCATATCGGTCTGGCAAGCGGTCCTTGTATGTAGGTTGAGAATGTACTATTTCGACTGCACATGTAGGTAGGTAGTCCGGGGCGACTTTGATTGAGACCTTCGCAAGTATGGTTTGCCAGTGTGTCGGATGTGCAAGCAGCCAACAATGGCAGTGAGCACTATCGTGGGTGAGCGACCGAGGGAGGAGGGCGAAAGTAACGAGAACGACGCTGACGAAGGAATGCCGGGGATCGCGAGGTGTTATAAGCGGCGGGTGCGCTGGCGCAGATCAGGGTCTGGGGTTACGAGGGAGCGAAAGGATCCTTCACGGCTTGACCAGCTCTCACCAATCAGTCAGCTATCGGTTCAGTAGATCCGACCCAGCTTGAGAGTGACAGGTCACGTTACGGGGTTATCGTAAACACCACACCAGCCACGGTCACAGCGGATAACACGCTCTGGAACGTTCGACAGGCACGGCGTCCGTGATGTCATCTTGCGTGCATTGAGAGTAACATCAGTAAACACAAGAACTGCGGAAGCGCAGCCCTTTGTTGAATAAGAAAGAAGAAGGGGAAGAATGCAAAATGAAAGGCGTTGGAAATGAACAGCGCTGTATCAAGCAGACCTACTGGGTTGAGCCTCTCGAGATCAATTCGACTGAGAGGATCGAGTAGATCATGAAAGCTCCGCCCATCATGATCCTAGCAGGTATCGACGTCACACCTCTGTACACAGTACTGCGATGGAACTATTGCTCCTGTCGGTGGTGGCGGAGCGGAGCTCTGTAGCTTTGGGGGCTGAACAACAACGCGCAGCCCACCACAGGCGCGTCACCACGAACGACAGGAGGTGTCATCTTGACGCTCATCGGACAGTCAAAGCGAGCAGAGGAAATCCGTCTTGTCGCGTATTGGATCTCTCGCAGGCGGTCTGGCCGGATGCCGCGATTGTTGATGATGTGGGAGGTGGGCGGCCGTCGACGTGGATGGGACGCCTAATTCCGAGGTCTGGTCTTCTTGGCCCATCACAAAAGATTAAGGGATACCATATCCACGATGTACAGTACCTCTGCGTTGCGCTATGCCATCGATATAACGATGCGGCTCTCGGATGTTGTTATCGTTGCTTGACGCGCGTCGCGTTGTGCCTTAGATCGAAGAGGAAACAAATACGAAGAAACCGAGCCACGTGAAAATCGAGCCTCAATTGTCGAAATGCTCCAGACTTTACGGAAATACTGTTGAATCGACTTCAGTGGTGTTAACAACTTCAAAGACTGATCACCCTGGTTTTCTTATGCAACTGAAAGGCTAATCACGTGCCATTACATTCACTCGAAGGCTCGAATATACGCCATCAGTGAACAGCAACATAATGGACAAGAAACACCGCTGATTTTTTTGGAGTAGAGTCCAAGTATACGAGGTTTGTGATTCATTGGCTTGCTTGACTACTCAATGGCAATGCGGACAGAGATTGAGCCCTTCTTCGTCTGTACAACAATAAGATCATGGTCATAAGAGATGTCTTCCACCGTGGTGTTCACAAGCTTAGATCTTGGGACAACGTAGAATGCCATGAGGGCTGCCATGATGTGTAGCTCACAGTACGCCAGACTGTGATACCGTTAGCCGGAGCTACGTGGAATGCTTGGAGTGTACTTACTTCTCGCCAATGCACGATCGGCTGCCCTTTCCGAAAGCAATCAGCTTCTTCTGCAGCTGATAGTTCGGCTGGCCATTGATGAGCCATCTTTCAGGTGTAAACTCGTCAGGGTTGGGGAAGAGATCCTTGTTCCAGTGGTTGATCATCGAGGTCATGCCGATGGGAGTGTTTCTGGGAATCACGAATTCGGTCTTTCCATCCTGGCTCTTGTAGACTAACTCTTCCTGGGGTGCAGCTCGTGCGGACCTGTGCGAGACACCAGGCATCATTCGTAAACATTCTTGCAGGATGGCCCAGAAGTACGGTCGCTTCTCGAGCTCGACCCATTTAATGTTCTGTCCGTTCAGGCCATTGAGGTCCTGCATGAGGCGAGCATAGACTTCAGGCTTTGCGAGTACCCAGTATGTGAAGACGGTCAGAATGGCCTGGGGAATGTGGTCAGTACTGATCATTCCAATGAGATCAGCGACTTACAGCAGTAGTTTCGGTACCAGCAAGCAGGAAGTTAAAGCCTTCACCATTGAGACGGAACATAGTCTCCTCCCATGTCTCATTTTCTAGCTGTGCCGTCGAGTCGACAAGACTCCCGAAAACTCTGCCATTCTCCGGGTTTTTGACTGCCTGCTGAATGTAACCAGGGATAACGACATTCATCTGTCTCATCACTGACTTGATATCTTCGCCCAGGTAGTCTGCCATCAAAGGCATAACTTGAGCCGTTTTCCGTGCGAGTGCGTTGTGCCTCATCATGTACGCACTCTTGAAGAAGGACTTGGTCCAGGTAGCGAGGTTCGGCTCCCAACTCTCCTGAGCGACGAAACCCATAGGCTCACCAAAAGCATACTGGGAGATAACATCTGCAGTGAAGCAGTTGAAGGCTTCCTTGACATCGAAAGCTCCTTTGCCGGCAAAAGTCAACATCTTGTCCGTGGTCTGTCGAGCGAAGTCATGCACCTCACCCTCCAACTTTAACATTTGTTGACGGGAGAAGAACTTGGAGAGGGGCGCCTTGCGTGCACGATGGAGATTATGATCGACTGTAGAGAAACCAGTGACAGAGACAGGTCCGGCACCACGAGTGTTCAGCTGATGCTGCCACTTGTCGCGAACGCGTCCAGGGCCGGCATAGATCTCGTCGGTGAAAGCAGGATCAGAGCAGTGGAGCTCATCTGGGTTGATCCTGACGATAGGACCATACTGTTCATGCATGCGAACAATCACTTTGCCATATCGTCCAAGGAGCCACCAGTCGTAGTAGGCTTCGTACAGGTAGGATGCTGCCGCGATCTTGGGACCAGGGAACCGAGAGAGTGGGTGGAAGGGCGAGATGTTGTAAAGAGCAATAGCGATCCGGTACGCGATCCAGAGAGTAAAAAGCCACACAACACTGGTCAGAAGCACGATGGACGAGAGCTTGCTCGAATTCAGGGCTGTTTGCGACTCCATGTTGGGGTCGATCTGATGGGAACTGGCACGGCACAATGTCACAATTCACAAGAGGACCTGGCAGGCATCTCACAAGACATATATATCTCCATGGGCCTGAGCTTAGAAGAACACCCCACTTCAACTGCGGCCGAAACTTTCCCCGCACACCAAAATAAGCACGTTCTGGAGGGGTGCCACAACAAATTCCACAATGCAGCTGTATACTTGATATTATATCAAATTGTAGTTAGGTGACTAAAACTGTATTTTGAAACAATATTCACTACGTGGTGTTAGAGTAATTGATGAGTGAGTGCACGCACAGGCACTCTGTGAGGCATACAGCCCAACTCCATTGTACTACTGTTACGATCCTACGTCCTGCGATAGGACGGCAGAGCAATGAGTAACCACCAACCAAACATGGGGACCTGGGGGAAGGCGCTGTAAGGGACGAGCCGCTGAGGGCGATGTGCAATGTAGAACTTGATGGATTTGATAAGGGGCAAGTCCCGGAGCAGGACTTGCAGAGTTCTAATACTCCTGCTTTGGAGGTATGCAGGCCTGCTGCGGAGGTGACCGGGGGTTGTATGCCTATGCTGCTGCCAAGGCGCTAACACTGGGCCTAGCCCATTACAGGCGCAGCATGACAAGGCCCAGCTGGCGCCTAATGGGACCAAGCACACCCACGTGACAAGCTTGTCAACGAGCAAGGTCACATGGGTGCTCGTCAACAAATATGACGTGGTGCTCATCAACGAGCATGGTACAATGCTTGTAAACAAGGCGTAATCCATCTGGATAGGCCAGGACCAAATCCGCTTGTCAACGAGCAGATCTGGTGGACTGTATATAAGCACATAGGAACACAACCCTTACGGTTTGTGTTTAACCTAGTCAATCAAGTTTGTCATTGGAATCTTAACCAACCTTTGAGCTAGACAGATTGCCTGTACTACTCATTGTTACCCTAAGCCATTGTTAGGTATTTCACCCAGGCAACTTACCCCACTGTTCCTTCACGCCTTACTCATCCCCAAGAACCAATTGAATAGTACTTATGAACTTTGCTTAAAGTACAACTTCAACAACTACACTGACCAAAAAGGTACAGTACTGCTGTAGATAAGCTGAACAGTATATTGTCAGGCCTGGCTGATATAGTACTGTTCCGGCTAGAGCTCACCATTAGAGTGAGCTGTGATACCTTTTGGCTTGCTTGGCTCAGTGGGCTGGACCTGAGTCTTGACATATATACCTGTGACACACCCTATGTCACGACCCCCATTTGCAGACCGAGCCTTGACAGGCCTTGTCTAGACTTGCAAATAGCATATTTGTAGTTTTTTTTTCAACAGCTTCTAGCTTATTTAATATTAGAGATATGGCTTAGTAGTATATTACACAATAAAAGCGCACGGTTCTCATGACAACGCTAACGGTAAACATTTGGCTTGCATCCCATGGGATGGAACCAAATTGTACCATGGGATTCCCACAGGACTTTGGGACAATGTCCCATAGGACTCTGGGATACTGTAGGACTATGGACAATCACTACAGTTGTAATGAAAGGGCGATAGAGATGAGCAACTAATGCCCTATGGGTGTGGGCTAGGCTTAGAGCCTAGGAGCAGGGCAGTCATGCTTTTCCACCTGTATAAATATCAACGATGCAAGATGAATCCTGTTGATTCAACTTGCACATGCCTTTTGGCATAGGTTGGTGCATATAATTGTGCATATTGTCTTTTGGACTCCACCCCTTACATCGAGTTTGCACCAGTAGTAAGCGTTGATCCTGAACTGTTCCTTCTCTTAAAGCAATTTCTTGCCCAAAGGCCTGTCCCTCCACAGTGGAAACACATATTGGGCTTGTCTGGCACTTGTGAGGTGCGTGGTGCAGGCAAAGCAAATGGGTGGTGCCTGTTACAATCAAAGGGCAACCCGCAACAACACTGAACGAACAGGACTACGCAACAATATGAGAGGAGCCGAGGAACTGTAGTATCGATCGACCCAAGCAGTGGGCCACGTCGGCAACACTCGGCACAAGCAGTATACTCGGTACGAACGGTATACTCGGCACGTATACTTGGTACGATCGGTATACTCGGCACGGTCAGTATACTCAACACGATCAGTATACTCGGTACGATCAGTATACTCAGTACCGAGCAATCCAAGCAATCCAAGCAATCCTCTGCTCATGTATATAGCAAGTAGACACGCTGCCCTTATGGCATTGTGTTCAACCTCGTCAATTTTGGAACCCTTCAGAACCACACGAGCTCCGCTGCATGTTCACATCACCTCCACAGCCTTTGCGTTCCCCTCTTCTCGACCAGCGATCATGTTCATCAAGACTGAGCCCATTCCCATGACGGGCAGTGCCCGCAATTCGCTCATAGCCGTCTCGGTGTTATGGGTCGTGTTCGCTACCACGGTTGGCTTTCGGTTTCTGGGTCGGATTTGTGGAATAGGTCCTGGTCTTGATGACGTTTTATCAGCTGTAGCCTTGGTAAGTCATACAGGAACTAGGGTCATGGCTGGATTAGTACTTACGATACTCTGCAGATCTTGGCTGGCAGCACAATAGGTATGAACGCTGTGTTGTTCACAATAGGTATGTCCGGCAGTACTACACGAACGAACGCTGCAGTAGTGATAAGGCTTAAGGTGTCGGATGGAATTTTGACCCTACATCTCCAGTATTTTCAAAGTGTATGTGAAATCTTGGTTGATATGGGTGGGTGGCCATGCTGACACCAAAGCCAGTAACGAACAACCTGCCTCTCATCATGCAGATAACCTTTGCATTCATGCTGATCTACATCTGGTGTCCTGCAGCCCTCAAGATAGGCCAGCTCGCCCTCTACGTGCGTGTCTTCGCCAATCAGCTGCAAAACTGAGTGTATGGTGTCAGCACTATCGTCGTTGTCTGCGCTATCATGTTGAACTTCCTCTTCATATTAGTTTGCTGTGTTGGCCTGCTTCGGTTTGGGAGGTGCTTGTGTGAACATTTCTTTGGCCAGGTTCAGTAAGTTGTCGCCTCCAATGTGTATATATACGAGCACGCTGACAGTCTTGCAGTCCAAATCTACGCCATCGATCTCATCGGTAACTTGACTGGAACCTCGCTCACAACCTTCATGCTCTGCACCGTCGAGCTCATGTTGGCAGGTTTGTGCACCAACATCCCCATGCTTCAGCCTTTCTACATACGTTTGAGAGTCAAGTACAAGTCCTCGTCGATGAGCAACTCCGGCGGACAGGGTTCGCACAAAGCGTCAGGATCAAGGCAGTTGGGAGCTGTGCAAGTCAGGCCAGCGAACTACATGGCATGGATCGAGTGGTGAGTACCTACACGATCTCCTTTTGTGACGACATCTGACAATATGCAAAGCCGACAAAGACCAGACTATGGTTACTGCCGACGACGCCAGCTCTGAGCGTAAGCTCACTGCCGATCAGCCAAGCGATGCGATTAGCGTGCAGAAAGACTGGGTGGTTTCTCGGGTTTGAGTTGCACACTGGTGTTTGTTCTGCATTATCTGCTCTATGTATGCAAATGCAGGTGATGGGCTATGGATTTCCAATATGACTTCAGACGGATATTGTACCTTCAGCCGCGTTACTCGACGCATTGGCGCCGAGATCTCCAATCGATCGAGCCAGTTGTTTTCGTCGTATAACACGTTTTGCACACCGCCAGGGCTTTTCAATATACCGATGCGCACGAAAGACGGGTAAGCAATGTCAAAAGGATTTCTCCTTCGAGGTGGTGGAGATTTGGCAGGCTTCTTAGTCTTTCCGCTCACTTCCTTCAGCCACCACACTCGCTTCGACATAGTTCGTGCCATACCTGCTAGAGGCTTGCACTATTGTCGGGTCCTGATTGGGATCGATCTCGACGTCTTGTTCATGTATGCCCGAGGAGGGAGGTTCGTTCCTAGAAGTATCACAGTCCTTTAGACCAGAACACCCAAACGGTTTGTATCTACGGTCTCTAGTTGTAAATCTTTGAGCCTCCAGTTCACGCCGCTCTCAAAGCTTTGCGGCCAGATGTTTGCTGATACATAATCTCTTCTGTGCTCGCTCATGGCACGACACGTCAAAGAACCATTTCTCTTTCAGAACTAAGTACACGTTGGAAGTGACGTGGAACAGAAAGATCTGGATACGGTTTGGTATAAATCGTGGTCCTTCCGGTGAAAGAATCAGGTCAGGATTGAATGAAAGGGTTACTGGCTGCAGATGGCCGTAGGCTTTGAGCTCATACCCATAAAGGTCATGTACTCACTCGTTACTTGTCATTACATTGACGGCATCGTTGTTGCTCACTGGCGTCGAGTTCCCATAGTGAATGAAAGCCGGTGCCAGGTGACCAGCAGCTCTAATGCACGTGGTACCTCCAATACTTAGGTCTCCCTCGAGCTTGCATGATACCCTGGGGAACTCGTGAAATGAGACAGTCCGAATGTCCGGCCAGTAGGCTATGTCATGACCTGCAGAAGCCCAGCACCAGGATGGATCTAGACTGTGTTCGTATTGACTTGACTTCCTGTCGTAGGAGTAGTGTGTGGATCCGCCTGTTCGGATTGAAGGAATCTTGGGATACTTGTAGCATCTTGCTCATCAACACGGCCAAAATCTTCAACGTAGGCACGTATTGAGATTTTCGCCTTCGCCTTTTCTTTCCCGTACAAACACAGCTTTCCAATGCTGAGGCACTTCTCGGAACAAGCAGCCGAGTACGAGAGCCGACAAGTTCTATGGCGAACATGGTCCGGGGGGGGGGGGGGGGCACCGGATCTGGATCTCTTAGAGAGCTTTTATGTATGCGCAGCAGTTCCGAATCCCAGCAATGATAAAGACGATATGAGCTGAAGTCAGGCAATTTCAGCATGCCAACCCTTCGGAGGAGGTCTAGACACAGTGTGTCTCTCTAAAACCCGAAAGTATAGCCTTTATTGTGGCGGTGTGGGTCGCTGTAGTATACTGATAGCTACAGTAAACGATAACGTAGGATTATCGGGTCGATGGAATACTGCGCTGTGTTGCTATCTAGTGAGGAGAATACGACTATATACTGACTCTAGAACTTGCTAGTCCAGAACAGTTTAAGCAAGGGTAATAGGGTCTTGTATGGACCGGCTAATACCGCAACATTTATCGATCGATGCCTTCACCTGATGGGCGTAGCAGGTTGCGAAGCCACGAAGTGTCATCAACCGATCCATTTCATTCGTCATTTTCAAACGTGTATGGATCTGGACCGCAGATCGCCAGGAGCCGTCTGTTTGCCAATACGCATAGGCTTTTGCATTAGAACGACTATCATATCCGCCGCATTGTTAAGTTCCGTGTTCCATGCACTCCCATACGAATTCTTTCTGACTGAAGTGCAGCACTCTTGTGGCCGAGAGTCGTTCCTGAAAGACCCAAGCTCTCGTGGGGAAGTGGGAAACGGCTTTCTTTGTTTCAAGTCCAGTCAGGCTCTCAGTGTTGTATGACTTTTCGAATGTACATGCGGTCACGTCGCAAGTTTGTCGGTCATGCACTGTAAAGGGTAAATTGTTGGCATCTTCCTTATTCCAGAAACATCAAGCCTCGTTATTCTGGGCAGCAGTTGCCGCAATCGTAATGTAAGAATTTTGGAACATGGTCACCATCTTTTGAAACTCCACTTCCCAATCATGTTGGTCGCCTTGAATGATGCAGTATGAATCGATCCACAGGTAATCTATACCAAGATCGTAAACTAGTCCAATTGCATGTCGAAATATTCTCGGAATGTTGTTCCGTGGTATTCCGTTGAGCATGTCCGCATGTGTCCCTAGTGTCAATGTGCCTTTTGAAGAACCGCCTGCACCCTAGCGATGGCTCAAGGACGCATAGATGCCATAAGCACCATGAGACTCTTGCAGTTGTACGTCGAACACCTTTATTTTGACCTGGATCAGACGTAAGATTCAAGTGGTAGTCGAGTCGAGTCGCCTTTCGCACACTTGCGACGATCAAGTATACAATCCTGAATCTGATCTCGCACTCAAGCTAGGCTGTCGTTCGACATCGGTTGATTCGACTGGAATACCGTCTCAGCATGCTGAATAGTATCTTTCGCGCTGGAATGCCCTTATGAATATGGTCAGAATGCTTGCCTTAAGGTTCTCATGTGGCAACATACCAAGCCTGATTGTTGTATGTATCTCCAGTTCGCACTTTGGCCGCTAATGAAGAAAGTAGACCACCAAACGGCACCCATCGGTTGCCATTGTGGGTCTCCAAAGTGCAGTCGCTCGATGTCGCTGCCGGAGATAACTTGTTCTTGCTTTGTCGAATGAGAACTGAGTGGTTTCGAGCCAGGCAGTTGCAGGGTAAAGCGTCGGATCGATCGGAGAGAGGGAGGGGCTAAGGAGAGGGTGAGAGTGCTTCTTAACCAGAAGTTGAAATCAGTGCGATGCTTGTGGCTAGTTCATGCCCAGATGATCTCTTGTACAGATCTCTAGACAGCAGCTTAGTAGATTGCATAGACTATAAAGCCTGGAGGGGACACTCACCTCTCAGAGTGACCGCGCGTTCAACGCGTATGCCAAAGTGGCTGGGCATCGTGGTGTACCGTTATTTGAAGTAGCAAAGTAAAGTCAATCGTGGAGTGAGATAAAAGATGTTTAGGAAGCTCAGTGGATTGTGTTGCTGTCCGTGCGCGGATGAGGTGACGGTGAAGCGCCCCATTGGGTTGGCACACTAGGTCGCAAGCAATCGATGCTAAACATTGTATCTGAACAAATCAGAGATACCAGGATACCGGTGGAAATATACTAGACGTTGCAGGAGGAAAATGCAGCCTAAAGTGAACGCTCAACTGGACCAGAAGCTGACATTAGAAGTCAGGGTGACAGTCCTACCACACACGCGACCTCCCCTCCCTCTCCACAAACCGCCCAACATCACCATCCCTCTTCCCCTGCACAATTTCCAAAATGCCCTTCGCACTGGTCTCCGAGCTATCAACCCCCGTACTCGTCTTCAACTCTCTATCCCCTCCCAAATCCGTCACAACATACCCAGGACAAAAACTCCAGACCTTAACCCCCTTACAATGTCCGCTTTGCTCGCTCTGCCCCAAAGTATACGTGAAAGCAGTCAACATATTCAGACTAGCCTTGCTCATCCGATACGCCGGATAATTCGCCCCGGAGACAACGTCTGTGGGGTCGAGGCGAGTGGATATGCTGCCGAGTGAAGAAGTGACATTTACGATTCGCGGGTCCTTGCTCTTACTTAACAGCGGAAGCATAACCTTCGTCACAACCGTTGGCCCAAAAACATTCGTCTCGAAGATCTCCCGCATTTCCTCTCTGCCCGGCCACGCTGCATCCTTAGGCTCTGGACAAATACCGGCGTTATTAATGAGAACGTCCAAGCGGCCGAAGTCTCGCTCGATGCAAGCGAATGCGTCTTGAATTGAGGTGTCGGATGTGACGTCGAGCTGGATGAGGCTAGTGGTTCCCGGGTGGTGCTTGGCGCGGATGGATGACAGGGCTGAGGTGCCTTTGGAGAGGTTGCGGGAGCCAATGATGACGTGGTGGGTTGGGGAAGCAGAGGTGAGGGCGGCGACTGTGTCGAAGCCTATGCCGTTGTTTCCGCCTGTGGTGTTTAGTTTCAAGGCTTGGTATGCGGAGGGTGAAGTAAAGGTTACCTGTTACTAAAATGATCTGTTGCTCGGCAGTAGCAGACATGGTGCTCGAGGTTGTCAAAGTACGTATGAGGATTGAAGAGAACAAAGTGAAGTTCTGCACCCGTGAAAAGATATCAAAGCTTCTGAATCCCTTCTTATGTTTGTTCGATGGTACCCCTCTCAGCGCTAACAGCACAAGACCGTTAACCCCACTATGTCTGGGGGCCTGATCCGCAAGAGAGCTTGACCATCAGGCTGTAGGAAGACAGTGCAGATAATACTCAATTGAACCAAAAGCTCACACTGAAGCTCGGGCTCAAGCTCTTGACATAATGCCACCAGCCCGGCGGGAGGTACAAGCATTCACCAGGTCCCAACACACCCTCGACATACTTCGCTTGTCCGAAGCCAGGGAATTGTTCCTCGAGGTCTTCCCTCATCCGTTGTAAGTTTTGCCCTCCAGCATCTGTGGCTACGCCTCCTTCATTCTTCACGACTCCAATCTCAGGGAACACCTCCATAGCCTCATCCAAATCCACCAAACTCGTATTACTCATATCCACACCACTCTCATCCACACTCCTCGGATACAGCCACTCTGTCTGATCAGGCGCATACAGCCTGACATACTTATACCCCACCACCTGCGCCAATATATTATGATACGGATCTGTATGCAACGGCGATATCGTTCCCTTAGGACCAAACCACGCATTCAGAAGCGGGTCCTCGAGCTTCGGCGTCGCTTTGATGTGTGGGAGGGGATTCGGCGCAGGGTCGCAGTAGCAGAAGTCTGGGATCGAGATGTCGGCGCGTAGAGACGGGATTTGAGCGAAGAGGTCGTGTTGGGCTAGGTAGCCTGTCTGGTGCTTGTCGCGTTGAAGCTCGCTTGAGACGGAGTTGAGCATGTATGTCGACATGAAGTCTCTGAATGTGGAGATCTTTTGACCCCAGCCTGAGTCTGTATAGCTCCGCCCTGTCTCTATGGGGACAACTCGCCTGCCGCCGAGCGTCCGTTTCAGCAGATAGTTTGGATCGTTCCATGGCCGCTCTGCCAACGCGGGCCAGTGCTGTATTGCGTTCTCAACGATGAGAGGTGTATGTGTCGCAGGAGATGACAGCTTCTTTTGGAAAGGGGCCAGACTCATATTGTCATATCGAGGAATGGGTTGACGCAACGTGGGTAGGGACTCGTCAGCTACAGTGGGAAAGGTTGACGGTATCGAAGTGACGTTGTCAAGCTTCAGCTTCTTCGCTGGGCGCTCCAAGGGTTCAGGTGCCGGACCTGTAGACGCACGAGCAGACAGCTCCTCTTCCAGCGCAGCAAACCACAGCTCTGCAAGTTCCTCCCTTCTTGGTGCCGCGGTCAGGATAAGCGTCATGTCGAGCAGTCTGACGGCCTCATCAATCCAGTCTCCATCTCTGCATGCTTGCTTGACTCGCCCTTCGGTAGTGTTCAAGACTCTCCAGAGTGTAGCATCCGTATACAACCTCCTCCAGCAGGTCTTGACCTCTTTGTATGGAACATCGTGTAACTTCTGGTATGCGAACTTTGCGGAGAGATCAGGGTTCGCACGTAATAAAGATAAAGCTGCGCGGCCACATTCTATGATCGAGTCGCTTTCCTGCGCTGTTGTTAGTTCGTGACGGGTTAACTGCACGATCTCATCGAGCGTTGGTGCAGCATTGGACACAGCTATTGCACTAGGCTCTGGTGATGATGGTACTTCTTCGTCGATGTGAGGAGACATGGATGGGGACTAAGGTGGACGTTGGAAGCTTTGGCAGCAGCGCTTTGACCCCACGTGCATCTTCATCCATCGTTTCTGTGACCAATTCTCCGAATCATGACTCCACTGTCCTTGCTTCTGTCAAAAGCTTATTTGGAGCTACTGCGCGTCACCTAACGGCTGGCTGCAGGCACATTGAGCTTTGGGTAGGTAAGACGTGCAGATGCTAGAGTGGCATTCCCATGCGCAGTTCATAGAGGCAAGGTGCTCATTGTGGAATTATATATTGGTTGAGCCGACAATGCTGTCGCTCTCAGGAAACGATACTATCCTACAATGTTGATGTTGTACCTAAGGTAGAAATATCGCTTGTGACATAACATCCATAAATCGTAAGACGTGAACGCCGACCATGTGGGATATCGTGCAAGTACAAGATAAAAAAAAAGAATGGGAAATGGACCGGCAAGCTATGCATATGCAGAAGCTCTCGCCGGAGCTGGGTATCACGCTAAGAACCATTTGGAAGGGGAAGAGGATGTGGAAAGTAGCCCGCCTGCATCCTGCAAGGATGGCACGTCGTAGCTGGTGTGGGTGGAGCTGCGTGTTATGGGCGCATACGAGCGTGTCGTAATCAGACCAACTGGGTCTTGTAGGGATGGAACGTTGTAGCTTGTCTGTGTTGGGCTGCGATGCAAAGAGATACTGCGAGCATGGTGGAGGGCGAGGCTGTTTGACGAGCTCGAGTGTGGTGAAGGAGACGCACGCATCTGCCGTTCCATCTCTATCTCGCGATCCTCCGACAACAAGCCGCCGGGGTCTCGCAGTTGATTACTCGGCCGTGCAGACATTTCGTAGTCTTCCGACTGCTGCGACAAGCGCGACGATCGACGTGCTGGCGGAGGGTATGCGCGGGCATTAGACGTCAGCGAATTGGATGCTCTTGATCCTCTGCGCGGTTGCGCTGCGAAATCGTGTGCAGTAACAGAATCAGTCGGCGAAGGAGCGGTGGTCGATCCATTTTCGAGTAAACCACCGACATCGAAGAACGAGACCCGTCTGCCGCTGCTGGCGCGCGGACTAGGCATAGGGTCTCGAATGTCCGCTGCTTTAACAGTTGGATTGCTGGAGGACTGCGGTAGATCCTCTTCTTTGCCTGGAAACTGCCAATTGGTGTTCGCAAATAGTCCAGACTGTTGAGTTGGCGCTAGGAGACCCAGATCAGCCATGGGTGCTGGTCTAGGCACACTCGTCTTCTTCTCAACCAACTCAGGTTTTGTTCGATACCCAAGTGACCGCGCAAGGTCTTCGTCGCTACCCCATTGTTGAAGTGTTTGCGTGCGAGCGGAACCCCTGCGCTCCATACTGTCGGTGGTAGATGGAGCCTTGAACTTCGCTTTCTTCAGACCTCGATCACGTAGAAAGGAGCCCAGAACGATAGCATTGGAGACGATGGTCGCGGCGAGGATCTCAGAAGACGCAAACATAGAACGAAACTGTTGGAGGCCGCGTCTCTCGATGACCATCGGGACGCGTGCTCCTGTGATGACGATAAGGACAGCCGACATCGAGAAGAGCCCAACAAGCGAGATCTTGCGCTTTAACGGCATGCCGGAGTGAATGATAATGGGGATGGGAAAGGCGATCAGGAGAACATCCGTAATGATATCGGCGACACCCATGGTGATCAGCTGCGCAAAGCCTTGCCGGCATCGTGGTTTTGGAGTTGGCTTGACCTGCCAATAGTGCGTAAAAGGTTGACATTCGGCCAATGTTGCGATCACGACCGCGATAAAGGTAACGACCAGGAAGATGCGAATGGTGCGCAATCCCCACTCGTAGCCTTTCTTCCAGAACCGTTCAGTGAGACGTTTTAGGAACTCAGATACTGTGTACTTGGCCATCCATATGCTGCAAAATGTTAGCAGAAAGCGCTTGATAGAGGGCTGGTGGTCTTACAACATGGCATAGAACACTCTCGCTGCAAGAACCATCTGCGAGCCAATCTCTCGGTGCCGAATCTTGACAGGGTCGTTCAGGGCGCTGACGTTGACATTGTTGGTGCCCCAGATGAGGACCACATGTACAAAGCTCATGCGCGCTATGAGTGGAATGATGCTCAAGGCCATGATCTTGTCCTCCCTGAATAGTCGTTCATTGCGAATATAGCGACCAGACAACCGGAATCCGATGATGACGAGGGAGAAGATGGTACACCACCAGCTGTAGAGGAGGGTAGGGTTATTGGTGGCACGGGTGCGGCGTTCTGGTGGTGACTCGTTGTATATGCTGCGCGGGAGCATCATGCTGCTGAGCAGTCCCCACAGACTCTCACCTCCGGAGAGGGAGCGCTGCTGGATGTCGCGTGCTCAGTGACTCGAGGCGATAGCTGCGGTGGGTCTTCGAGGTGCAAGATTGGGTGCTTGGACCATGTCTTCGCTTGTGTCTTACGTCGCTGGCGTACCGAGGTGCTGGGCGCGGTCGAGGGACACGGCGTTAGGGTGCAGGCACCAGGGGCAGCAGCACCGTCGCGTTGTTGGCGATGAAGGAGATGTGAGGGATGGGTAGGAGAGGCTGAGTACGAATAGAAGAGGAGCCGCGTTATCGCATCCCGCCTAGAACCAGGGTAATCAGCGGGTCGAGCGAGTATGTGGCGGTGTTTCAGTGCAGCAATGCGCCGATTCACACGATCACTGCCGCCAACGTCGCCAACACGGCCGAGTCTTCTTGAGACAGATACCGAGAGGCACTGATAGGCGCAATGATCCTTGTGGTCGCATCAAAGCAGAAGATGTGAGCCCTCTCAGCCTTTGATCTCGCAGTTGAGATATGTACAGGGACAAGCAGAGACACGAGCTAACGTTGAAGGCCTGCATGATACGATAGCGCTTGTCTCTATCCCGCGGTGAGTGTGAGAGCGGCACTTGCCCCAGAGTGCCTGGCCCAAGCAGTGTTCTGCTCACCGCTGACTGGCTGGCTCGGTATCAAATGGTCGCTTGGAGCATCGCTGATGGCTGCTAGGACTCGCTCGGTCAAGGCATGTTCGCGAATCCCCATGAATCTGTCTTGAGATACGGAGCATCTCTGTCACTCTAGCTCAGGTATTCAATAAGCAGGCCCCAGGGCTGCAATTATAACAGCCATTTGAAATGGCCAGTGCCCTGAGTGCGCGGAATAAAAGCAGCGGCCGTTGATCTCATCATGGACCTCCACTGTTGATTTGGCGAACAGACGTGCAGACCGCAGCCCCCACGCACGCTCGCCTGTCTCCGTCCCCCGCTTTACGCACTGACGCATGCCTTTACCGCCTGTGAGGCTGGACAATTGGAACCTCAACACAGCACTGTCAGCCTGGTGGCATCTCCAGCAACCGTCAGCAATAAGCAGGTCGGAGATCGCCTTATGGGAGAGTACAAAGAGAGCGGAGCCGCCTTGCTGATCACACCCAGAAGCATGGAAGACACGTTCAAGGGTCCGCTGTTCAGTGCCAATCACTAGCAAGTCATGATGTGCAAGGCTCGTCGCATCTGGCCAGGTTAAGAAGCCAGGTTCGTGGAGTTGCGATGCCCACACAGTTTCACAGCGCTGTCGGCCAACTGAAGGCTTGCAACGATACACACATCGTTATCTTGTCCTGACAGTCTTACACGATGACGCCACAACGAAAGTCCCCGGAGCTCCAGCTGGCCTTGCAAACCTGATACAGTTGCTCGTTTGGTACCTCCTCGAGATAGATGTGTGGGCACGTGCTTCATCACATGTCAATGTGCAAGGCTGGCGTTTCTCACCAAAAAGGCACGTCTACTGGAGGCCTCCAAAGGCTACACATGGCATGGGCGAAAAGCTGCGCACACGGCTGCAATGCTTCTCAGCCTCTCATTGGGTTTCAACAAGTAAGCTTCGCGCTCAACTTGCTGAACTGGGCGTTGTGTTCAATCTGCATGCAAGAACTGGCAGTACCCAACAGTTTGTTGTTGGCAGCTCTGGAGCTGAAAGCATTGCCTTCGGAAGCATAGGCCCCTACGCGAGAGCGATAACAGGGGGATGCGCGCATGGTTTCATCGGCACTTGGCACTGAGGAACAGGAAACCCATGGAATTCAGCTTTTTAGCATCTGCGAGAACCCTGAACCAGTGCAAAGAGCTCGCGTGCTTGTGTGTTTGGTTTTGTGGGAGTTAGGAAGCTAGTGCGTCATTCGAGGGGCTAACATTTTCACGTGCGCACAAACATGAGAGAGCAGCACGACCTTTTGAGCAGGAGAGGCAGCTACGCAGGTTTGGCCAGGCTTGACGCCCAAGGGAAAGGCATCGAAAGCCACGGTGCAATGCCCATTCGCATGTTCGTAGCAGTGACATCAATTCTGTGGAGCGCTGAGGACCTGCCATGATTTGTTTGTGTGAACGAGATATGACGTGCCTGGGCGGGAAGCTGGAACACTGTCGTGTGCTTGCACTGCACGAAGGGACAAAGCGTCTCTGCCCTTCCCTAGAAAATCAAACACGTCCCTACTCTTTGACTTCAGACTCAACATTCACGCAATTGCAATCAACCAATTTTAACCTGCCTTTCCCTAACCCACCGACAAACAACCTCAATCATGTCTGAAGCACCGCGTGTCGAGCTCAGCAACACAGATCTCTCGGATCTCGCTGACCTGTCTGCCCCTGCCAACCAGCACTCGCAACCTCTGCCTGTAAACGGAAGCGCAAATCAGGCTTCGACACAGCAGACTGCAGGTGACGCAAAGAACAGCATCCTGGAGTGTAAGGTGAGTGGGACAGAAAACGCCTCCGCCCGCAGCCGAGAACCTTGAAAACTAACGCTATATGACAGTGTTCTCTGCACCTCGCACACCACCCTGATTTCCTCTCCTAACAACCGCACAGCAGCACAGAACACCATGGCTTCCATCCAGAACCACCCCTCGGTGCAGAACGCGAAGGAGACAGTCCTTAACGGTGAGGTAAGTGCAACATGCGCCTTATCTCAGGGTTCCAGGATGAGTGCTAACGTGGTCTCGCGACACAGATGCCCAAATTGCCTACTAGCGACCCAATACTGATTTTGTAGGACCCGTTGCTCAGCAGGCCAAAGCAGAGGGCGCAAAGACTCGCGATGAGTTCGCAGACCTCGCCAACTCCCGTCAGCTTCCTGACCAGAAGACCGCCACTGGTCAGAACCTCACCCGTGAGTAACGAAGCCAGACCATGTCCCGGGCTGCATAACTAACACGACATAGACTACCACAGCATGTTCTACCGCCTCTTAAGCTGGAAGAACCCCCGCGCGACCGGTATCTCCTTCGCTGCCGCTATCGTCTTCATCTTCGCTGCCCGTTACCTGAACATCATCCGCTACATCTTCAAGCTTACCTGGATTGTGCTTGGTACCACCGCCGCGGCAGAGGTTGCTGGACAGCTTGCTCTTGGAAAGGGTCTTACCTCCCAATTTAGGCCGCGCCAGTACTTCACCATCCCCAAGGCATCGCTCGAGCGTCTGCTCGACGATGTTGAGCAGCTTATTAACTTCTTCGTCATCGAGTCCCAGCGCATCGTCTTTGCTGAGAACGTCTATGTTACCATTGCTGCGTTCTTCGCTTCCCTGATCTCCTACTTCCTTATCAAGGTAAGCCATACCGTCAGCCAGTTTGGATCTAGTGCTAACAACAATCCCAGTTCGTTCCCATCTGGGGCCTTGCTCTCATTGCAACCATCATCACCTACCTCGGCCCGCTCGTCTACATCCAGAACAAGGAGACCATCGATGCCCAGCTTGAGAAGGGCAAGAACCTTGCCAGCCAGCAGGCTACCCAGATCAAAGATCTTGCTAGCAAGCAGGCTGCCAATGCTTCCCAGACTGTCCAGGGTCTTACCCAGCAGTACACCACCAAGGCTCAGGAGACCATCAACCAGTATCGTGGACGTTCTCCCTCCACCGAGATCAAAAAGAAGGACTTCCCCGCTGCCCCCAACACTGACATCAAGAGCGAGCCCAGCAGCGAGATCCCCACAAGGCACGAGCAGGAGCCTCCTCTGGTTCCCCAGACCGCTTTGTAAGTGTCTCTGCATTGAGCAGTGCACATAGCAGCTTTCTACCCAGTCATGGGGGTGAAAGTTTGCAACATCTGGTCGTTCCTCCCTCGGCTTAAGGCCACCAATACTCAACACATTCGCACATACATCTTAACGACGACTTCGGATGACGATTCCCACGCTCGGTTTCTCACGACAATGACGAACGGTTCAGATTGGACATATCGGCGCTTGTACATCATCTTCTCCTAAAAGCTGATTCGTCATCCACTTTAGCGTTGATATACTTTTTCCCTTTTCCCTTACTTTTTCACCCGTACGCTCGGGTTCATCTGGTGTGAATGAGGGACGTACAAAGTCATAGGCATTCAGGAGTTGGTCTCTGTCAGATACTGTTTCCGGCATAGTAATCATAACTCATCTTTTAAGTCGCTGCTCTCTTGACGTTCGTGCTTATTGTTCATATTTCCAAGAATCCATAGCTCTCAGGCTCTAGCAATGCTCGGGCTCCGAACGGCCAGTCTATCGAGACTCACTATCAAAACCACCAGGCTCGAGTACCATGGGTTGGAGGACAAATAGATGTGCTCCCAGTCAGCAGCCCAAGTACCACGTATGATCTCTGAAACGGTGACAAAATGGGTGGCTTCCCGCCGACGGTGCAACTCACGAACAACATCGACGGACTTCACGTCGCGTGTTCGTCCCGTGAAGGGCATGACAGTTGGTGAAAGACCAATTATAGCGCACGCTAAGCCCTGAAAGGATCGCCCGCGCTAGGCAGCTGTGATCCGTGTGTCGTCAGCACAGCCCAGGCTTCGCCGCTCTCGAGACAACATCAAGGACGACAATCCGTCCCCTTGACACTCTCTCCTTTGTAAATTTTCCTTCAACACCACACAACACTATGGGGGTCGCGAAACTCGAATTTAACGTCGCCACCGGCCTGTACACGGCGGGCGGAGAGGAGATCGCTCGCGCCGTCCGTCGTGCCCTGTCACACCCTACCACTGTCGCCTTCGTCAAGCGCGCTGTTGGCAATGGCGAAGCTGAGGGCGAGCATGTCGAGATGCCTGTATGGGGTATGGTCCTCTTGGGTGTGAGCTTCTATGCGGCCATCATCGCCATGAGCCTGGTGAGTACCTTCAGCCTCGCCTCCTGAACCTCGGAACCTCTGGAACGCTGACATGTCTCTTTAGTTATCTTACATGCTCAAGGAAGTCGTCGCTACACTCTGCATGGTCGAAACCCCACACGCCGCTATCACTATTTCCCCTTCCGAGGAGCCCGCCACCAAAGATGAGAAGGAGGGCCTCCTCGAGACTGGTCCTACCATCACCCTCGTCCGCCAAAAGCCCATTACCTCGAGCATCCGCAGCACCATCAAGCATGTTGTCGCCCACGCTGGCCGCTTCGCTCGCTTCAGGGGCTTCAAGATCCACGCCTTGTACTCCCTAGTCTTCGCCCTCGCTGTCCACTTCTTCTCGGCCTTTTTCTTCTCACTCTTCCGTCTCCCTGGCCAAGCCATTCTCGTCAGCGGTCTTGCCGGCGCAACTGTCGCCAACGTACACGCCGCATGGACCCACAAGGTTGTGTCCATGCCATCTGAGGCAACCTTCTGGCAGCGCGTGCCCAGCAAGTCCCACTGGAAGACCCTCGCCCCTGCGGCCGCCGTCTCCACCGCTATGCCCTACATCAGCCTGTACCTGACCGGTGGCGTCGCGATCCTCCTCGGCCTGCACAAGCTCGACCAGGACAACCTCGAGCAGTACACCAAGGGCCAGTGGATGTGCCTCGCCGTCCGCGTCTTCGCTACCATTGTCTTTGCCATCTTCACCACCCTCTTCCTCTGCATCCCCGCCGTTGTTACCCAGGTCCGCATCGAGTCCTCCATCCTGCCCGAGGACCAGGACACCATTGTCCCCTTCGACCGCACCTTCGGTGGCAAGGTCGTCAGCCAGATGCTCGGTGGAACCGGCAAGATCGGCTTCCTTGACGCGTGGCGCAGCTTCAACTGGGAGGCTCGTCGCCGCCTGTTGAAATTGTACGTCAAGATCGGTGCGATCATGATGTTCGCCATGTTCGTTATCGGCCACGTTCTTGCGTTCGAGGTTTTCGCCGTCATGGGTCCTCAGCTCGGAGAATTTCTTGCTAAGGCTAGGCATGAGGGTTTCGTGCACCAGAACTAGACATTATACATCGTCTTGATCAGTCTGGCTGTATGGTTTGGCATTGAGCGACGGTTCTCTTTTGGTATGATTTGAGTGATGTATTGCATGTAATTGACTATATACTCCCTGACTACACAGTCCTTTCTTTGTATACCACTTCCCCTTCCGTAGATAGTTGCAAGTTTGAATGAAAGTGTCAGTTGACCACAACATCCCATGCGCCTTTGTTCGAATAATAGCGATAGAGTTGACACAAAGGCTCTGTCAAAGGCAGACACGAGGACACGAAAGAAGACAAGGTTGGTGACAGGACCGAAAAAGCGCGAGAAGCCGCATACGTAGAGAGGTGGAGGAATCTCGAAAGTGGTTATAACGCATGAAAGGCACGGTTTTCATTAGCTTTGTAGCATTGTTCTCGTCGATCCATGGTTGGAAAACTTGCCGCGTGATTTGGTTTAACGTCAGCGCCCCATTTGATCGTGCGTTGCACATCGGTTTGACACGGGAATGTGAACTAGACTGCCCCAGCGGTTTCGAAGTAGAATCGCAGAGTTCACGTCGACATCAGTGTTGCGAATGCACACTGCCTCCAAAGTGCGTTGGTTCAGTCGAGGGAGCTGGATACTGTGTAATCGTCTCATATCAATACTAAGTTGTGAGCGTGATCATACCACAATCCAACTTTCGCGTGACGGCCAGCATCCAAAACCCAAGTCAGTGAGACAAATATCACATCGCAACAAGTCTTAATGTGAGTATTCATGTTCATTTCATTTCTTGCGCAGTTGACCTAAAAGCCACGCTTTTTGCGCTGTAACGCCATACCATGCTATGCCAATGCCTTCCATCATCATAAAGAAATGGGTATAACGCCTGTCATTCACCGGGACCGCCCCGTCCAGATACCGAAAAGTGCAACACTGAGTGCAACCAGTGCGAGTCATTTGATCTCCTTGACAGTAATGCTGCTCTCCTTCATTTCTTCCTTGCCTTTGACCACACCCTGCTCAGTCTGTGCCTGTGGCAGCTGTATCTGTGGTGTCTGTGTCTTCGTCTGAGATTGCTGCAGCGACAGCGACCGAGAGTGCGTTTGCGTCTGTGTTGGATTTTCCTTCTCCCTCTCCTCTCGCTCGGCCTTCTCTTGTCCAGTGACAACACCCTTCAGCACGACCTCCAGATCTGCTAATCGCACTGGCTTGATTAAAAACAGGTTGACGCCACTAGAGTTGGCTTCTTGCTGCGTCTCAGTACTAGCCACGCCTGTAAGTGCGATGATGGTGACAGGCGGTAGTCCATTCCTGATCTCGTGGGCACGGATCTGGCGCGTTGCTTCAAGGCCGTCCATCTCCGGCATGTTGATGTCCATAAGGATGACATCAATACGTGCAGTCATGCCTGCGGCAGCAGCCTTTGCAGCTGTGGTGTGAGCCTGAGTAGCTGATCCTGTGACCAAGGACTGGTCCTGAGCCGACTTGTATGTATCGAGGGCCTCGAGACCGTTGACGGCTAGGACATGGCGATGACCCAACTTGTCGATGAAAGTACGAAGAAGTCGTAGGTTGATGGGGTTGTCGTCAACAGCCAGACAGTTCAGCGACCTAGTTGGCGTAGAGTATGCTGACTTCTTGACCGGGCTTGAGTTGACCGAACGCACTTCAGGAGCGCTAATCGTTGAAGTGAGAGCAGGTCGAGACTGATCAAGATGGCGTGTGAACATATCCGGACTTTGAGGCGGGGTGTTCTCCTTCAGACTAAGCTGTGTAACCTTCTGTAATGTTGCTTCGGTGTCGTGGACCTGGTCAATCAGACGATTTGCGTGGCGGTCAAAGCAAGATGACAGAGCCTTTGCCATCTTGTGGGGTCCAACAGGCTGGCCGATACATTCAAAGATAACACCAGGCACAGTGATGGCGGTGGTAGACTGCGCGGACGCAGCGCCCTGGCAGACAACAATAACTGGCGGGTGATTTGCTTTGTTAGGGCCTTGGCTGTGTTGAGCACGAAGTACCTTTGCAACGGATTCGGTTGCAATGATGAGATCTGGCGCCGCGGCGCAAGGGCCGTTGGCACACGTCTTCATGCCAAACCAATCAGCACAAAGACTGTCGAGCGCTTTCATAGACAGCTTGGTGGCAGTCTTTCCCTTCAGGCTCCGTACGAAGTACTCTTCCTCTTCATCAAACCCTTTGAAGCAGACCTTCATACCCTGGGTGCGCTTGCCAATCTCCCGCAAGTGTCTCTCTTTCTCTTGCTCGGGTTCCGTTGGGCAAAACGATGGCGACATGACCGACTCCTTGAGAGGACAGGATACTGTGAACTTTGTTCCTCGGCCCTTCATACTGGTGACTTCAACCTCGCCCCCCAAAGATTCAACAATCTGCTTCACAATGCTCAAACCAAGACCAGTTCCTTGACTCAAAGGATTCTCTTGCGCGAAAGAATGGAACAGCCTGTTATTGATGTAATCTTCAGACATGCCAACACCACTGTCGGTTACTGTGAACCGGAACTCGCAGTACTCTTCCGTGGGGCTTGTCTTCGGCATCACTTGGAGCTTAACCTTGATGTAACCGGCTGGAGTGTATTTCAGCGCGTTGCCGAACAAGTTCATGATGACACGTCGCCATGCGCCAGGTTGCGTGTGGAAGACGTAGTTCTCACTCGGGTTGATATCGAGAATCAAGGTCATCGGAGGAGCCTCCTTCTTATGGGAGCTGAGCTCATATGTTTGAGCTGATACCTTCTGGTACGTATGACCAGCGAAAACACTCTCGACAACGTCTTCTACGAGGATACTCATATCAACGTCGTTTATCAACGTCATGATGTCATTCGTGTGGCTTTGTCCAGGGCTGATGATGTGTTTGGCGCTCTGCGTACGCTTCTTCGATTTCTTCGATGTTCCTCGTGTCAAGTTGTTGATTTTGGCAAAGTCTAGCACGTGGTTGATGGTCTCTAGGAGTGTCTTGCCGCAAGTTTCAATCGTCTGCACATGGCTGGTCTGCTGACCGTCGATCGCTGTATCCTTGAGCAAATCCGTCATACCCAGGATACCGTGGAGAGGAGAACGAAGTTCGTGGCTGATGGACGAGATAAAATCAGCCTTTGCAGCATCTGCCAGCTTGGTATCCAGTCGTGCAACCTCAGCCATGACTGAGTTGCTAAAGGCTGCAAGGAAACTCAATTCCTGTTCGCTAGTGAAAACACGCATAGGGTCAGAGCTCCAAATAACAGCGCTGGCAAACCAGCGATCGCGATGCGAGTCCCACAATGGGTACAGCACTAAGCTCTTCGCTCTCGGAAATACGCTTCGGAGGAAGTTCTCGTCGTCTTGGCTTCTCGTAGACTCTGACTTGCGTGAAACGTTGAACGGGAAGCCATCTGATATCTCCATCTCACCGTTGCCTGAAGGAGAATTGATAGCTGGAGTGGTGGCATCGTCGTCGAAGTTGAAAATTTGGCCGTGTGAGTAAGAACGAAGCAGATGCCGCAAGACACTTTCGGACATTGAGTTTTGCATGTCGGAGACATTCGAGGTTTCTCTGTGGTTCTTGCTCAGTGCGGAACCCAACAGAACACAGGGCTTGTCTGGTTCCGGTAACTGCTCGGAGAAGAGGTCATCGTCTACCAGCCCGCCAAATGTGCTGATCTTAGCGTCGAAGAAAGCGACACCATCAGCTTCTATTGCATCGACGATCATGTTTGATGCTCTACTGAAGGCTGCTTGAACCTCAGGCGCGATCTTGCTTTTCTGATCATTCTGCGAAGAAGAAGAGGTTTTGGTCGCTGTTTCTGGTGCTCTGGGTGATTCTGGTCCAAGCTCGGAAGCGAGAGTAATAACGCTGCTCATGGGACGAACACTTGATGTGTCTGTGTTTGTCGAGCTCTTTATGCTCGAAATGGCACTGTTGCTTCGGTCAATGATGAACGGCTCTTGGTCAGCGTTTGACCGTGCCGGAGGTCGTTGGCGCTGGAGAGGTGTCTCCGATAGCCCCGCGGATAGCGGTGTATCCCAGGGATCCTGCCACCAGTCTTCAGTTCCGCTCTTCCCTTCAGCGAACGATCCCAAGCTCTTAACCATGATGTTGCCCCTCCGATGATCTTCGGTTGCCCTTGTCATCTCCAAGTGGCGCATCACTGTGCCTGCCATATCTTTAAGAAAGTCCAATTGATGGATCGAAAGGCCGTCCCGCGGCTTGTCGTCAAGAACGCAATATGTGCCAATGTTGTGCCCACTTGGGCTGCGAATAGGCACTCCTGCATAGAAACGAGTCTTAGGACTTCCTGTGACTGAAGGGAAGAACTTGAAGCGGTGATCCGTCGCCAGGTCGTTGACCACAAGAGAAGGTATGCTGCTGAAATCATCGAATGGTACAGCCGGTCGATCTGTGGAAAGGTTGACAGTGTAATAGCAAATGCTCTTTTCCCTAGGGAGGATAGTGTTGCCCCAGCACAGGCTGTCCTCGCTGAACTCAGGCTGACCTGTGTGCAAGGATAGGGTCCTGGTAGCCTCGGCCAGAATGTAGCAGTTTCGTCGATCGAAGAAGGAGATAAGACATCGCCGCGCTTTGAGGCGCAGGGCTCCCAGCTGTGCGAATGCAGTCAGTGCCTTGTCTTGGGATGGCCGGGGGTCGCTCTCGAATGCAATCCCAAGCCCAGGGCCTGAGGGAAGTGCTCGGGGCGGCGTATCATGTGCGGGCGTGGGCGACGGCTGCCGGCTGATACCCTCGTTGGAGGTAGTTCGCTGCGGATAATACCTAAGACGCGCGAGTTAGCAACTATGGGCCCTGGTTTGTACGTCATTCGTAGCTCACCTGTAGAACTCGCGTTCCTTTGCGAGCTCCGGGTGCTCCATAGTCTTCTTTCGCGATTTTGCCTGTGAGCCCGAAAGGCGAGCACTCGCGGGATCGTGGGGCCTGGGGTCAACCATCGCAATGTACTTTACGCGGCAACTCAAATCATGGGAAAGCTAGTCAGAGGCGAGTTGCGGCCAGAATGCGCGACCATGCTCTGTGCATCCACTATATGCAGCCAGAACGGCGACTTTGTTTCGAAGAGGTCTTTCGCGATCTCGCCGTGAGAAGAGAGGGAAGCGGAAGCAATCAGACGCAGGGTCTGCCCTAGTGGAGCGGAGGTGGGGCGGAGCACACAAATCACGGCCGTTGTCAGCAACCTGCAGTTGGCACAGACCGGCGGGCTGCGGGCGGTCAGGACGGTGGAGAGGTCGCCCAGGCACGGCAGGCACGGCAGGCACGACAGGCACGACAGGCACGACAGGCACAGGCCGACATCAGATCGTCAGAAAATCTTACTTTGTTTGGTTTGCCTTCACATCAGGAAAGCATGAAAACCGCGAGGCAGGAGCTGTGTAACCACGGTACTGCCTCGTCAAAAGTTGCATCAACCTGAAAACTTCAGGAACGTCACAAGATTTCCATGGTAAGACTCATACAAACCACATGACAGTAGTACAATGCTCAGCAGTTCCACAGCAACACAAATTAATTCGAAGCCACATTCAACTGAACGTCACCACAGATGCGCAGTTTGTAGATCGCGGCTGTTGTTAGCCTTGAAGGTTTCGCCAAGAGATCTCGCTCTTTGAGCCGCTGCCGCTTGCCGCTTGCCGCACGGGGCACCCCGCCTATCGCGTTCGGAGAGCTCGACCATCGCAGCTACCACTTTCCTATTTCAAGCTTTGGCACTGCATATCACATCAGTGACTGCGTGAAGCGCTTACCATGGGTAGGTAGACTCTACACTGCTGTGCTTGGACATGTTCTGACTTGTGATTCACACAGGTCGACTTCTGACGTTCGCATGCTGTAATCTGAACCAATGGGTTCTTGACTGGGAGGGAAACCGCAAGAGGATCGTAGAAAGCATACAAATTGCTAAAGAGCGTGGTGCTGGTTTCCGAACAGTATGTTGAAGCCGAAAGCAACTCATATCTCTGGAGTGAGAACTGACTGGTTTTAGGGACCAGAGTACGATATGCGTCACACATCTATGAGAACAACACTAACGTCTTTTTAGACTTGAAATCACCGGTTACGGTCTGCTTGATCACTTCCTCGAGGGCGATACATATCTTCATGCCTGGGAGCAACTGGCTATTATCCTGCAAGATGAGTCGATACACGGCATCATCGCCGATATTGGCATGCCTATCATGCACCGCAACAACAGGTACAACTGCCGTGTCATCATTCTCAACGGCAAGATCTTGTTCATTCGGCCCAAGCTCTACCTCGCAAACGATGGTAACTACCGAGAGATGAGGCACTTCATCCCGTGGAACCGCCCACAACACCACGAAGAGTATTATCTCCCTCAGTTTATCCAGAAGATCCAAGGCTCCACCAAGGTACCGATTGGAGACATGGTACTCTCAACGCCAGACACTTGCATTGGCATGGAGACTTGCGAGGAGCTCTTTACACCACTATCACCCCACCTAGCAATGTCTCTGAACGGCGTGGAAGTCATCACCAACTCCAGCGGTTCTCACCACTCTCTTAGGAAGCTCAACACCCGGGTTAGCTTGATCCAGGAAGCCACACGGAAATCGGGTGGTGTCTACCTCTACTCCAACCAGCAGGGCATGGACGGCGATCGACTGTACTACGACGGCTGTGCAATGATCATCATCAACGGTGAGATCGTTCAGCAGACGTCGCAATTCAGTCTCAATGATGTCGAGGTTTGTGTTGCCACAGTCGACATCGAAGACGTCAGGTCATACCGTAGCGCGCCCTCGCGAGGTATTCAAGCTCTTACCGCACCTACCTACGAGCGTGTCGAGACTCCATTCCACATTGGCAAGAGTGATGACGAGTACGACCCCACCCTGGCCCCAAGTCTTCCTCAAGAGCTGAAAATACACGCTCCTGAAGAGGAAATCTACCTGAGTGGATCGTGTTTCCTGTGGGACTACCTCAGACGATCAAGCCAAGCGGGCTACCTGATCCCACTCTCTGGTGGTATCGACAGCTGCTCGACAGCAGTCCTAGTCTACGGCATGTGCAACATCGCTTTCGAGGCTCTTCAAGCAGGCAACGCGCAGGTCAAGGCCGACATCCAGCGCATTGCAGGTCCCGGTGAAGCAGAAGGCTGGCTACCAAAGTCACCCCAAGAGCTCTGCTCGAAAGTCTTCTCCTCAGTCTTCATGGGCATGGCTAAACAATCCTCCAAAGAAACCCGCAGCCGCGCCGAACGCCTCTCCCACGACATCGGCGCCCAACACACCGACCTAGACATCGACTCGATCTTCGAAGCCTTCAAAGGCGTCCTGACCAAAGCCACGGGCCACGAACCCGCCTTCAAAGTCCACGGCGGCACACACGCTGAGAACCTCGCGCTTCAAAACATCCAAGCCCGCTCCCGCATGGTCTTATCCTACGTCTTCGCTCAACTCCTGCCCACCGTGCGCCAGCGTCCCAACGGCGGCTCGCTCCTCGTACTGGGCTCTGCAAACGTCGACGAAGCACTCCGCGGCTACTTCACCAAATACGACTGCTCGTCCGCAGACATCAATCCGATCGGCGGCATATCCAAAACCGACCTGAAGCGCTTCATCGCCTGGGCAGAAACCCACCTCTCCCTCCCTATCCTCAGGGAGTTCCTCGACGCCACGCCGACTGCGGAACTCGAGCCGCTCACCGAGGACTACGTGCAGTCCGACGAAGTCGACATGGGCATGTCGTACGCCGAATTATCCGTCTTCGGACGCTTGCGCAAGAGTCAGAAGCTGGGGCCCTATGGTATGTTCCAGCGCTTGGTGCATGAGTGGAAGGATGTGCACGAGGCGCGCGTTGTGGCGGACAAGGTGAAGAGATTCTATCACTACTGGGCGATTAATAGGCATAAGATGACGACGATTACGCCGAGTTTGCACATGGAGGATTACTCGCCGGAGGATAATAGGTTTGATTTGCGGCCGTTTTGCTACCCTAGCTTCTGGTCATCGTGGAGTTTCAAAAAGATTGACGAGGCGGTGGAGAGATTGGAGAAGGGGAGGCAGAACGGCACGGCCTAGGTCGTGTAGATAAATCGAGAATCGTATTCGCATATTGTGCTGAATATGCGCACGAAATGGACGCCTTGACAACTACATAAAGGCTCCGGCTTGTGGTCACCTGTGCCAAATGTTTACAACTGTAGCATCGCATTAGGAAATTGGCTATTGTTTGATCCGAAATCATGCAACGGCACTTCCATGCTCCATGCTCAGGCGTTAGGAGTACATCAGCTTCCTACCACAATCTTGGCACGCAATCATTTGCCCCCGAGTGTTTGTGAACGTTGTGAATCGTGTGTATACTTCGGTAGTGTCAAATGCCTGAAACTACCCCAGTGCAGCCTAGCACTACGTTAGAGATGCAGACGTGATGAAGGCAGCTGTGCAGACTGTAGAACAATGTAGCTGGGTTGCTAAAAGCCAGACGTCTTCCTTAGCATCGGAATCTTGGCGACGCAATATAGGGAGGCAGTGAGAGTAAAGAGCAGCGAGAGGTAATCAGACTATTGGCACCACGGGGCAGAGGGCATCTTTGTTACTATGGTAGCTATTAAATCTACAATGGATTGAGTTGGTGTACAAGAAAGGACTTGGGAGGTATGCAAGACACTAATCTAGCTGCACAAACATCATCTCAGAACCATATCCTTCCTCTGCGGCCCCAGCGCGCTCCAAGCATCCTCATGCATCCTCCCCACCGCTACCCTCTCCGCAACGCCCCTTCCCTCATCCCATCTTATCAACATCACATTGAGCACACACCACTCCCCCGCCTTAAAACACTCCTCATCAAAATCCACAACCTCCTCATCCCACACAAACCTTCCCCCATCCCAAATCGGCGTGCCCGGCGGATGCATAGTACTCTGCACCGGCTTTCTCGTATGCTCAGCCGGCTCAACGCGCTTGTTGCGGCTCAGCAGCACGAACTCGTACGGGCCGTGGTAGTGCGGCGCCGAGATGGCGGATTCGTGGGACATCAGGACGCCGCAGTGTTTCCCGTTTGAGTTGAGGAGTTGGGAGCACGGGATCTCTGAGCCGGCATAGTGCAGTTGCGAGGCTGTAAAGCCGTCTGCGGGAATTGTTTGGGTGGTGAAGCGGAGCGTGGAGCTCTCCAGGGTTGGATCGGAGCCTCGCGGGGCGTGGAAGTAGGGTGGGTAGCGGATGCGCAGAGAGCTGTTCTTGTCGCGGCGGACTGTGTACGGTGCATCGGAGGGTCCGATATGGAAGTTCTGGATCTCGGAGCGGAAGGTTTCACCTGTGCTGCGTGGGGTGGTGTATGTGTCAGGGCAGCTCGTGGGGTCGAAGGGGAAGTTTATGCGCCCGGTGTGCGAGGTCCAGCTCCAGGACGGCTCATTATCGTCCCTGGATGTCGATGCATCGGCTGGACACCAGAGGAGGGAGAAGTCGAATAGAGCTTCTGGGAGTCCACGGATGAGGTTGCCACCGCAGTTCTTTGTCAACTGTTTTGAAGCCTTGGTGAACTCCGGAGATGTGTAAGGTCGCTCAGATTTGGTTACAAGTTGATTGTACCTCTGAAATCCGGTGAACCAGTCATCCACTTCTTTAAAGTCCAGCTCTTGATTCTGGGTTTTGGGTATGCTAGCATTTGATGCTGAGCGTATCCTGTTTACCATGCCTCGGATCGTCCGGCTTCCAGATCCGGTTGATCGCCTTGAGCTATTGCTGTTGCTAGATCTTCTTGATGGTTGCGGGGAAAGCTGGCTGCTTGAAGTTGTTGGGCGCGAGTCTGGCGATTTCTTCCGCCGTGAAAAGGAGCGGCTGATCCATCCTGGCGACAATCTGTCCGTTGTTGATGTGGGTGTGGTAGACATGACGAGCAGCGACATTGATGTGCTTGTTGGGTAACTTCAGATAGTGTTTAGTTGAAGCGGCGGAAAGTGAGGCAAGCCCGACTTCTGGCAGGCTGATGAAGACCGAGTAGGGCGCTTAGTCTGCAGATGAGATGGTGAGGCGTTGTTGTCTTACAGCGTTGGCCTCGCGCGAGTTTTGTTCGTGAGCAGAAGCTTCGCCCCCGAGTGCCTACACTGCCTCCTTGGGAGGCGTCTCGAACATCTCCATCTCAGGAGGTGTGCGGGACGCATGACAAAAAGCAGTAAGTGGCTGTGCAGGCAAAACAACAGTTCTGGCCGTCCGGTGGAGCCGTCCCACAGCTCCAGACACAACACATTGTATACGGTTACGATGGGTTTGAATTCGGCTGTGCTCTTTCGAACGGTGGTTACAGTTGCTTGCGAAAGAAAGGAACCAGACCGCTGCTCATATGGATTCCGGACTATCTGACGGTACTGTCGTCTTCTTTCTTAGTAGGCTGACAAGCAGCGGCGACTGGTGGACTCAATCGGCGCATGAAGCTCCTTGTGGACAGTGGCTCTGCGTGATCATCTAGGAAGTACCGTATATCGTATACCTCCAAGCCTGTGTGTCTCAAGCGTCGCGTTGGTCGCGTGTGCGATGTCTTGGTGAAGCCTGACGTGTGGCGAGTGATGTGGCTGAGGGACGCGCGAACCCCGCGCTAACGAGCTTGTGCCTTCCGAACTGGCACCGATAGGCAACCAGTGACGACGCGTTCCTTCCGCAGCTTCATTCACTTTCTGGGGCGACCTTCGAGCGCCACAACATAACCTCACTGCGAAGATGTCTGGTTACGAAGGTAAATTGAGCATAAATGGAACACAGATACACAGCAGCTGACTTGCAAAAGTTGAACACAACATCTCTGCGAAGGATGAGACGGCGCAACCACCGCCGCGCCGGCCTGACCTCTCTACCTTCTTCTCGCAGCTCGAGCTTGTCGATACCTCTGATCCCAATGCGCATACCAATGCACACGCCCTGCCGCAGCCGGAGAATATGGCGGCGGCATTCCGCTTGCTTGCAAATGCTTTCGAGATGATGCGTGGACGACCTGCGGACGAGAGCAGTGGAGGGGAGAACGATCTGCTGGCGAACATGATCGAGGTTTTGCGGCAGAATGCAGACGACCCGCCAGCAGAACTCAAGGGCTGTCCGGATAGCTTCTTGGACGAGCTCGAGAGAGTGCCAAACAAGTCGCTTAAGCCTACAGATACATGTCCAATCTGTGTTAATCCATTCCTAGAGGGTGAGTGATCAGTGTGGCCTGAGGGGTTGAAAGCTTGGCTGACTCGGGGCGCGGAGCAGACAAATACCCGCTCGTAGTGCAACTGCCCTGCCACAAGAACCACTTCTTTGACTTGGACTGCATACGACCCTGGCTCAAGCTAAACTCGACTTGTCCACTCGATCGCAAAGAACTGCTCAAGGAGAAACAGCCACCTCCACCACCTGTGGAGGACGACGAGGAAGACTATGACGATATGTACGCATGAGCACTGTACACAGCACTCGCATCGGCATGGCGTTATGAGGAGATACCAAGACTGCATTGTGCAAGTTACCAGCACACCGAAAGAAATTCGAACTTTGTCACAACATCCTCTTCATCAGTCCAGTACGTCGCATGACTTCAGCCTAGCCTTGTAATTTGGCCAGTTCTTGACCTCGTCGCAACAGCATCGCAGGAAGCAATAGCTGGTCACTGCCGTGCATAACCGCATCGATCAGTGCAAGAGCCAAACCGTCCGATCCTATGAAAGAGCCCGAGGAACCGGCGAGCCACATTGACACTCCTCCCGTGTAACTTGTCCTCTGAACAACCATGCCTGGACGCGCGATGATCGTTTCCCACAGGCCGCCGTGTGTCGATTCACTGGCGACTTTGATCATCTGCGTTTCGCCCCGGCCCTGCAACATAGGTTAGCGCTGCAAGCGACTGTTCGCATGCCTATTACAAGGAGCTGTACGAGCTACCCGCAATCGATCGCAACTTCGCACCAATGGTACATACCTTCGTCTTTCTTGCGTCTGCTTTCATCCACAACGATTTCTTCTGATCACGTTCAACGAATGCGCCACTTAAATGCAGGTATCTGAATCGCTTGCCATGACTAGCGAGACTAGGCGCAATCGCATTTGCAAATGCTCTTGGGTATTCGAGTTCCAAGACCGGGTCCCCAGCAGTTGTTGTCATGCACCTTGCTATATCAGCGTTGCATTTCTGCAATACCTGGAGAGTGGTACCAGATGCACCCATCGGCGCCGGCTAACTCTGCAATTACGTTGTCTGAGTAGTCCCTGAAGTTATCCAGCACCAGCACTTTCACTTTGGCATGCCGTGCGAGATCAGGTAAGGGACGCCGAGACAATGCGATCACCGATGTAATTGTTGGGTTCTGGAGCGCCTGATCAAGGACTTGCTTTCCGATGCGACCTGTCACGCCTGACAGAACAATTTTGAATGTCATCTTGGTAATACAGAAATTTGCACGCACTGTGGTGAGCTTCCAGGGCTGGTTGGCTTGATAAGTACGCTTCGTGCGAGCGTTCGAGCGGAGTTAACTGGTGTAAGCAAATGCCCGGACCGCGTGGCACAGGCCTCACCGGAGTTATCATTACCCCATGCCGAACGCCACCAGGAACTACAGAATTAAGGACATTGATTGCAAGACGTTTTGCTACAGACTTTAAAGGTTGGGCAAAGTGAACTCTATTGAGGCGAGGGCTCTTACCACTGTAACGGGTTTTAGATGAGCCGAGGAGATGCTGTCGCGCTAAGACTGCTTGTAGATCCATACAGGGTCGTACGACAGCCGTTTCGAGAGAACGCGCCAAGCTGGTGGAGGCACGGACGAGGCCTCGGGCGAATCCTAACGGGCTATCTCCACACCTGCACACCTCAGCATTTGCCATACACACGACACTCACCCCACTATGAAAGCAGCATGTCTCCTCACACCCAATATGCATCGATTTGCAAGCGGGATTAGGTGCTTTGAAAGGATTAGATTCAATCACAAGGGCATCAACTCATAATGGAATCCAAGTGTCCGTCAACATACATTGGGAATAAGAGGCCGTTGAAAGGTCTGAAACGGGCATGCTGGGAATGTAAGAACGCAACAGAGATGAATTTAGTTCCAATTCGGCCAAGCACTAACTTTAAGTTCAAGGCAAGAAGATAAAGATTCATGGAAGCTCGAGCCAAACGGACATTAGTGTCTACTCCAGCATGAGTATTCCCACCGGACCGGACCGGGTGGTCCAGGAGAATCCATGCCAGTTGCACATCGGAGAACGGCTAGGGAAGCTCGAGCAACTCTTTGAAAGATTCGTCTGTCGCAAGAACTCGGCTGTTCACCCTTCAGAGACCCCGCGTAGCCCTACCTTGGTAGACTCATCCGATACCCAGTCTAAGCTGTCTTTACCCATGCTCTCGAGCGATGCGCAGAGCGTCTCCTCGATCGGCGACGGAATTGTATGTCTATTTCTTCCGTACTTTTTACCTATAAAGCTTACAGAAAGGCAGCTTGGTGCGCAGACTTGGAGGTCTGCACCGACTATCCGTACTTCGGCAAACAAGCCAGACAGCACCCACCCTTCACACAGTGATGCTGTCCACAGATACTTGACCGCTCTACTACCCTCGCAGCACGATGCTGATATCATCTTCGAGTCCACTAACGGATGGATGATTCTAAACGGCATCTATAATGCCTCTAAAGAGATTTACGTCAACAAAGACGAGCAGTCATATGCCCTGGACATGGCTGCTGTGGCCCAGGAACGCTCGATCATCGTAGCTCGGACGCTCCTCCATCTGGCAATATGCATCAACTCGCTGCCACCCGAATTTGACCAGTCTCGTCTCACGAACATCTGGTCCCTAGACGCTACGATGCAGAACTACGTTTCCACTGTCAACTCGTTGATCACAAACGCGGACGAATACATGCTTACACTTCATGGGTTGGAATGTCTGATGTTGCTCGCCGTCTACCATATGAACAGTGCCAATCTTCGTCAAGCTTGGCTTATTGTCCGGCGGGCCATGAATCTGGCGCACCTCATGGGCTTTCATCGGATCGTAACACAACCCGATTTAAACCCACCGATACCAGCAGTCAGCAATGCGAAAGTCCTCTGGCGTCACTTCGTTGATATAGATCGATACTTGGGGTTGCATCTCCGGTTACCATTTGGGGCAGACGATGTTCCAGTCTCTAATGACGCTGACCTGCAAGTCATCCATCGGGCAAGAATCAACGCCTTGAGCAAAGAAATAGCCGACCTCGACCGCGACATCACACCACAATCCTACGCAAAGGCGCTGTCACTCGACGAGAAACTGGAAACCAACATGCGGGAGATGCCTCCAGACTTCTGGGACGTACCCAACATCCCCTCTACCGCACGATCTCCAGAATCGTTCGCAGCACTTGAAAGGTTGATGGTCCAAATGTGGCACTTCGAGATGAAGATCTTTGTCCACTTACCCTACCTCCTCCGCGCACCCCACGAAAGCCGCTACGAATTTTCAAAGGTCACGGCTCTACAGGCTAGCCGCAATGTGCTGATGAGATGGTTCGCGCTCCGCAATGCAAGCATCACACAAGCATGTTGCCGCCTTGGCGAGATCGGCGTCTTCATCGCTGCGGTCACGCTTACTCTAGACATTGTCATTGAGCTCGCTATGAAAGAAAAGAGCGAAGTGCAGAAGACCAAGGGAACAGACTTCGCCATGATATGTCGCCTCATCGGCGAAATGGAGAAGCTAGCAAAGGCGTCCACACGCGAGAAGATTGCAGCACGCAGCGCCGTTGTGCTGAAGAAGATGCTCTCTTCACTCGACCCCAGCAGACAAGGAGCTGGCAAGGCGCGACTCACCATCCCTTTCTTTGGCACTGTAGAGCTGGAGTACAGGAAACTGCCAGTACGGCCTCTGTTCGATCTTGACTCTGATACAGGCAAGAAGCTGAACGCAACCGGACATCACCTCCCGGTCTTTTCCTTTGTCAGCAACGCATTGTGGCCGCCTATGGAGGAAGGCTGTGATCACGGTCTCGACTGGGACATGGTCCTGTTCGACGGTCTTGAGGATAAGGACACAGAGGGCAACTGGCTGTTCTAACCACGCCTGTCGTTCCAACAGCGACAGAAACAGCAGCAAGAGAGCTCGACGTCAGGAAGGGATGAGGGACTATTGACATGCATGCGCGACAACAGGTAAGCGCGCAACATGTCCCATTGTGGAAAGTTTAGCAAGGCGTCTGGTGCATGGGGGGTACGCGTTCTAGTTCAAATCCCTAGGCCTTCTGGAACATGATGTCCCGACGGGGGTGGCGAACGAGGAAAGGGGCGGATGATGTTACACCGCAAGCGCGCGACATGTCGTTAATATATTGCAATTCCGTACAGCTGCCTTTTGTGAAGTGATGCACGAGAGTGGATGGATGGGTGGGTGGGAGAAAGACTGCTTTGAGGGGTAACCCACCCGCCGTCTGATGCCGGCCTGGAACGGAGTGCAAGGCTGCTAGCACCGAAAGCGTTGATTGACTGGTTTAACGGCCTCTCTTCACCGAATGCGTTGGCCGGCGTTTGATTGGCTGCCACTTTTAGGTCGCTGGTTGACAGCAATCCGAGCGTGGGTCGGCGGACGATGTTGCGAACGCTAGACGTCTCAGCTTGCGATTCTCAGGACAAGCCGGTCTGACCACAGCAAGGCTGCAGGCGGAGGAAGGCAAGCAGTGAAGCAGCCTTCCGCTGAGCACTACCCGCGGTCAAGGCAGCACACGCCAGAGTGGGCGGGCTGTGCGTCTAGTGATCTGCGAGGGCGGAGACTAACCCAGTCGCCGTCTCGACGCCCTCTGAGGGACGCAGCACACGACCACGCTTGTCTCCCTATATTGTTTCCCTATACACTCGCGTCTCTCTCGCCCAGACTGGCGCTGCAGGACGCCTCTCCACCGCCGCTGCATGTCTGTCGTGCATGCCTCCGTGCACCCTCCGCCGCGAAGACTGTCTCGTAGGGAGCGCGCTCGCTGAGCGATTTCGCCTCGCCCATCCACACGCCGGAAGCATGAGCCTCCAGCAGCAGAGCACGACGACGGACCTCTGCTGGGACTGCGAGCCACACAGAGCGCCGACCGCGGCGACCACAGCGCGGCCGACAGCCACAGACGAGCGGGGGGGAGAGCGCGCGCTCAGCCTGTTTGAATCCGTCATCACCGCCTATCCGCCCGTCCTCGAATCGCTCCTCTCGCAGCTGCCCACCGCCGCGCTCCTCAAACTCTACCACACATCACGCCAGCTGCGCGACTTCCTGCGGAAATACCCGCTAGCATGGAAGACGCTATCCTTCCGGCTGCCCCAGCCCGCTGTCACAGTGGGCTCACCGGGCAACGAGACGCCCGACAGTAGAGAGCGCCAGTCGAAGCAGTACTCGTTCGACGCTCTCCTCAAGCAGGTCATAGCGCCCAACGGGACTCGCATCACCAACCTGGATCTCTGCAACACGGCCGTCAATGGCATAGCGCTTGTAAGCAGTGTGCTTGCGCCGCACATCGACACCCTCCAGCACCTGTCCGTCCGTGGGTGCAAGAACGTCTCCATAAAGTACCACATTGTGCCGTTCCTGGAGCCGTACACGCTGAAGGATGCGCCATGGATGCGCAACCAGCTCGCCCTGCAGAGCCTCTACACATACCGCTGCCGACACCACCGCCGACGACCCTACCTCCCCTCCTCGCTCATTCGCCGCGACTCCGACTCCGACCCCACCCACCAGCTCATCGAGATATGCCACCAACTCGGGATATGGACAGACACAGCATGGTGCCCGTCGCCAGGTGGGAGATGCTATCGCAGGAAAGACTACCATGCCGGACGGGCAGCACCGCAGAACATGGAGGTCTGGGTACCGTTCGACAGGCTCTGGCGGTCGAGCAACCGCATAGGGCCTGTGGAAGGTACGAAGAGACTGGGCGAGCACGACGGCAGACTATGGGAGATTGCAGAGGAGGGTCAAGATGGCGAACCGTTGGGTACTGAGAACGGGCACTTCGCAGGCGAGGGCAAGCATGTGCCAGCACACGCCAGGAAGAGCCATACAACGTTTGTGCAAGACATCAACTGCTCGCAATGCAACGACGTCATCTTGGAGCGTTGCGAGTCCTGCAGTGTTCGCATGCACTGCATGGGCTGCCGGAAGACCCTCTGCGCGAGCTGCGCGTTCAACCGGCCGATACCACGGAAGCGGGCAAAGACACGGCATTTTGCAAACCTAGCATTTGGAAGCAGCATGTCGTTGGGGGGCACGCTTGGGCAGGGATATGGGTCAACTACCTCGCTAGAAGACAGGAAACAAGAAGAGAAGGCCGAGAAGAATCGTTTTTGGTGGGCTCCTGGTGCGACTCGATCACCAAACCTTATGAGCGAGAGTGCTCATGATGACGACTCCTCTGATTCCGAAGACACCCTCAACAACGGCCTTCCTGGGCCACCGGCGCACCGAGACCCTCCCAAGCTGAACATGCATTGGTGTTGTCTTGAGCCAATCTTCTCAGGGGGGGGAGGCATCGCTGTGCTGGGCACTGGGCTTGGTGGGAGAGGTGCCGATAAGATCCGTGCAGCTCCTTTACCGCGCATTAAGCAGTACGAGGATCCAGATTTCTCGAATCAGCTCCGGCCGGTGGACTATATCCGCGAACTCAAGAACAATGGGCTGTACGAATACGTCCTGGGCGAAGATGTCGACATCCTACAATACCTGAAGCAGGACAGTCTAGAGCTCCAGCAACAGACGTGCCCCCGTGGACTATGCAATGACTGCTATCGCAGCTTTAGGTGGAAGGTGTCTTGCCGAGCGTGCAAGAATCCTATCTGCAAAGAGCATGATTTTGGAGCGCTGAAGGTCCGCAAATGCGGATACAGAGAACTGCACACCGAGCGCGAACATGTCCGGGCACATACAGAACCGCCGCAGCGCTTGGTAATACCTGAATTCAACCCCAACAGGACGAGCGAGGACCTGGAGCGTACGCCAACTGCTTCATCACAACTCGACGCTGCTTCGACTGCTGACAACGAATCTGAGTCTTCCGAGGGTACGCCAATGTCACAATCGCAGGTTCTTATGGCACTCACAGCACCTGCCGAAGTGGCTGCCACATCATCATTCAACCTCACTACAACGCCTGATCCATTCACCCTTACAACCTCGCTAGCTTTCGTCCCTGTCAGCTCATCTCGGCCGCGTTCACTCAGTGCCTCTGGCGTCCGCAGCCGCAACTCCGCGTCATGGTCGAACTCATCGCGCGGTCCTCCACCAACCTCGATATCGAGTCCTCTTCCGCTACCTTGTAACCCGCGACATCCCGTGCAATGGGAAGGCTGTGGAGCCTACTTCTGCCAATACCCACGTCCAGTCGGCGACAACAGACCGCAATGTCCGGCAATCCTCAAGGAGTGCTCGGAGTGCGCGGTGCTCGTCTGTGATGTAAGTGGACGCCTGCCTCAAGACTCCTGAATTACACTGACAGTTTAATGCAGGGCTGCTCGGCCCTTAACCCATCTTGCACATGCACGTTCTGCACTGTCAACTTCCATTGCCCGACCTGCGCACGCAAGCCCCTCGTCCGCGCAAAATGCCGCCTCGAAGCCGAACTCAAAGCCAAGAAGGACGCCGAGTTGCGCGCAAAAGCCAAGCTCGAGCGAGACCGCCTCGAGCGCGGTCAAGCCGACGAGCTCGCAGGAGCCATGAACGAGTTCTTCACCGCGCTGTACACCGAGAACGCCGACGCCACCCCCATTCCTGACATGTCTTCATACATGACCTCTTTCACTGACCCCCCCCTCTCCAGCCCCGACAGCATAACAGTCACCACCGAATTCGGCGTCCTGGAAGAGACAGGAAACGTAACCATCATCTCCGCCGGCGGCGCTATACACCCCTACGACGAAGACGAGTATGACGAGGAGCTCGAATACCACCACCACCACCACCACCACCTACACGCCGACGAAGAAGGGCCGGAGAGCTACGTCGTTATGACTGAGGATACGTCCGCTGTCTCGGGGTCTGCGGACTGGGTCACGGCCGTCGCGCTCCAGCACCAGCAGCAGCAGAATACTTGGCTCTTGCAGCAGCAGATGCACAATATGTATCATGTTGCGATGGGCACAAATACTACGCCGCCGCCGACGCAGCATACGGCGCCGGTGATCCATCATTCTGAGGGGAATATTGATCAGAATGGCGAGTCTAGTGATGAGGATGAGCATGATGCGGGGGATGAGGCGGATGTGGATACCGATGAGGTACTTGAGGCTGATGATGATGAGATCGCGAATGGTGCGGTGACGCCTACGGCGCAGATGGATTGATGGGAGAGTACTACGGACTTCTGGTCAGACTGTCACGTTGTGCATCATAGCGAATTTGGGAGACTGCAAGCCAACGGGCAAGGGCAAGTAATACGGATGAAGGATGTTGGAGTTCATTTCGCATAGCATCTACTATCACTTACACATGATTTAGCTAGGAAGGGCGCAGATGGCATCTACTGAGATATCCACGGAACGGATCAAGGAACTGGCGTGGGAGGATCAGATATTGACATGGTATGGGGCATTTAGCACTCGCATCTTCTGGCGTTTAGGTAGAATATATGATTGTTCACTCAGCATACTCACGTTCTACACGTTCACGTTCTACACATGATCTTGATTGCGCAGGTCCTGACTTTTCACCAGTTTTATCAAAAACCCGTCCTAAAGCTGACAGGATCCTTGAATACATGACCCTCTGTTTGATCGTCAAATATCTTGGTACGTATTCACAACAACGCTACCCCCACATCGCTCTCATTACCAACAGTCAACTGGACCCCATTCACCCCAGCCTATCTCTACACAACCCAATCGCAACATCCGCCGTCGCTCCCTCAAAGAAGTCATTCAACAGCACCACAACGCTCTCCTCTCTTGTAAGACGCTTGCCGCACTCGCCCCTCAACAGCGGCAGTATCTTGCTGTCACATACCGGCTTCGTGGCTAAAATCGGGCTGGTGCTGACATCTGAATCCAGCACGCTTGCAACGATGACGTCGCGGATATTCGTCGCTGTCGCCTGGCACTGCAGCAGGGTGATCGGGTGTCCCGAGGGCGGGTTTTCAGCCATGGACTGGAGTTTGGCGACCATGGAGTCGCCGGTCAGGGTGGCGTTTGCGTCGTCGTCGTAGTTGGAGACTTGGTTTATGTCGCGGAGGAGGATGAGGCGTTTGCGCTCGTTCCGCAGATCCTGGACGCTGCGCTGCATCATATCGTCCTGGGTCCCGACCTGGATATCCTTTCCGTCGAGAACTTGGTTGAGTACAGAGCGCAGCTCGTCGTCATTAGGTCGGGGGCAATCGCCCGGCACCCCGTCCCAACGGTTCTGCACCACGACGATCTCGTCCGTATGCTCTGTCAAAAACCTGCCGATGTCAAGCAGAAACTGCTTGTACGGCATCCCCGGGATCGCGCCGTGCTGGAAGTACCACGTATCCTCGAGCGGACTGACGGCTTGGATCTGGCGGTGGCATTTGGCGGGGCGGAACTCAAAGTACCGCGCTCCTAGCTTGAGGATCGTGTCGAGACTGTCCTTTTGTGTGATGGCGAGTGCGCGGATGATGTCGGGCGCAATAGCATTCACGCCCCTATCACCAACTTTGTTGATGATGTCGAACGCGCGCGGGAGTGAGCGGCCGAGGACTTCTTTGATGACGCCTGTGCCTGCTTTCTCCAGCAGTGACATGGCGGTGGCCATACTGTTCATGCCGATGTCGTGGGATGAGGGGAGGACCATGCGGTTGAATGGCCTGTTGGCGACGTCTGAGCCGGCGGGAATGGTGTCGCGCATCCAGTTCTCGTAGTTCCGGGTCACTGTTACGTAGCATTGGTGTTGTTTTGGCAGGGCTGCGAGGCCTGGTCCAGCGTCGTAGAAGCCGTATGCGACAATCAAGTCCTCAGCAAATATGGCTGGAGTGTCTTCCATGGTTTTCATCGTTCCGTCATTGAGGCTGCCGGTCATGCTATTCACATCGACCCATTGTTTTACAAGCTCGCGTCCATCTCGGCGGACGATGAATTCAAACCGCCCCGTAAACTTGAAATGCCCGAGATTTGAGGATTCGACTTCAAGGTGATCACAGCCGAATTGTTGCTGGTCTCGCTTGGTGACGGAGTTCTTCGGGACAGTGAATTCGATCTCGACGCCGTCTGCTGCAATGTAGGAGTAGCAGAGGATGCCTTTGGAAGGCATTTTTGAAGGTTTGCTCCTGTATCCTTCTGTTTCGTTGTATCCGATTCAGGATTTCGGCTGTTATCTGCTCTTCAGGATCGTTCCTTTGTCTCAATGAGGTCGCAGTCTTCACGCGTAGTTGCCAGGTTCTCGCAAAGTAAGGAATGAGGTCGTCGACGCCTCAATGACGCCTCGCGCGGGGTACGTGTCTTTGTATTAAAAAGCAAGCAGCCATCCCGCTCATCTCCCGCCGCCTCAGCTGTCATCGATCGCGGTTAAGACTAGCCGTGGCTCAGCTGGTATTCGCGGAGTGAGAAATCAGGTACACCAATCAGCCTAAGCGGTTAAGCGTCGATCGGGCCGTTCGGGTCGTAGGAGTGGATGCCATGGATCGAACTGTGAAAAACCCTTGCTTTGGTATATCTGTGGTAGTCAAAGACATCGTCACGATATCTATTTAGTGTATTTGTGTGGTTGCAGGTGGTGTTGCGAGAAAAGATCATGTAGGAAGCCCACCCTTTTGGGATAAGCGGCGCGAGCATGGAAGGTCGTTTTGGGGCAAGAACGGAGCTGCTCGTTACTCTGGAAAGTAGGTATCGTAAGAATACATGACGCTGTGTCAAACGCATCGGAACTTCAGAGTCCCCGTAATGCAAAGCTTTTGGTTACCATCGCTGACCGTCGAGATGCTCCTAAGCCTCAGCATCAACGGCAACACCACCGTTCTCATCGACATCCATCTCTTCAGTGTTCTCACCCTCAACCTCATTGGCCTTAGCATCCTCCTCAGCCTGCTCCTCCTCAGCCTCCCTCTTCGCCTTGTCGGCTACGTGGTTGATAATCTCAGTGTCCTTCTCGCCCCAGAGCCTCAGAAGCATAGCCTTGCGGTCGTCCTTGTCAACCATCATGTTCGCGGACCCAGGATGCCTCCAGAGCGGAAGCACCATCCTGAACGGAATGTCTTGAGCGTCGTCCTTCTCGACACGGACGAAACAACACCCAATATCCATACCCTGGAGCTGGTCACCGACCTCACCAAGTCCGTGCTCGCCCTCCTTGGGCAGCTTAGGGAACATCTCGGTGATGAGCTGCTTGAGCGTGGCCTTGCTCGTGCAGTTCACAATGCGCTTGCTTGCCCAGGGCTCGAGAATGGAGATACCCTCGGACTGTAACCGCCAGGGTGCGTGCATATAAGACGTGTCTTTGATCTTGTGGGCGACGAACATAACGACACCGCAGTGGATGAACTTCATACCACGCTCTTTGTTGGCGTTTATTATTGTCTTGGCAAAGCCAGAGGTGTAGTAGATCTTGTTCAGAGAGAGGCCTTCCTTGTTCTTGACCATGAAGCGGTCGCGTGGGAAGCGGTCTGAGATGCCGAAGAAGTCAAGGATCTTGGCAATGGTTTCGTCGGTTGGGGAGAGGTATTCAAAGTACTCCTTATTCTGGTCCTGCTTCTCGGGCTTGAGCTTGCTGACCTGGTTGGAAGGTGCTGGTGTTGTGGACTCGGATGCGGGAGCTGTTGTGGTCTCCTGTGCCGTGCCGTTCTCTGTGTCCTCGGTCTTTATCTTCTTGGGTGCTGCGGACTCTTCGGCGGCTTCCGCCTTGCGCTTCAGGCTCTCAGAGTCCTTGGTAGCATCTGCCTCGATGACGTTCTCCTCGGGAGTTGGGATCGAGGTGTTGTCGGTCGTCTTCTCTTCCTGCTTCTTCGACTTCGCTGCATTCTCAGGGTTCTGGACCTGCGCAACCTTAATGTCGTCAAGCTTCTCGATAACGGCAATGAAGAAGCCACCGGTATCTTGAAGGTGAGGGTATACACGCATGCATCGCTCAAGCGGAATGCGCTCCTCAGGGTTTGCGGTGATTGGGGGAAAGCAGCCCTTGGAGATCTTCTGGGAGAAAGAGCGCTCTGGCTCCTCCACAGCATACTTCGCCTTGGCCTTCTCGAAAGCCTCCCAGCTGGTGAACATGTGCGCAGTTTTGTCGTTGCTTCCAGCGACCGAAGAAGTGTCGAGGACCTTCCAGGCGTTCAGACCAGGCCGGCGCTTGAGGTTGGGCAAGTGGTCGGGCATGTCGACAAGCTGGACCTTCGAAATACCTCCGCAGGCCTCAATCGCAGCCGCGACAACAGCTTCATTCTCCACAGGGTTCATACTGCAGGTCGAGTACACCATGCGTCCGCCCTTCTTCAGCATCTGCAGACCACGGAAGAGAATGCGCAGCTGCAGGTTATGCAGACCCAGCCCGTCCTTGGGTGTCCACTTCTGCCAGACGTTGGGGTTCTTGCGGGCTGTACCATCACCAGAGCACGGTACATCAGCCAAGATCCTGTCGTACTTCAGGTACTGCTTCTTCTCGCCGGCCTTGCTAGGAAGCTCGATGGAGGGGAAGATGGAAGCGTCGTGCTGGGTAACGATGAGGTTCGGGAAGTTGAGGCGCTTGACCTGGTGGACCAACATGCCGGCGCGCTTGTAGTCGGTGTCGTTCGCGATGAGCAGACCAGTAGATCGACCGTCGTCGCTGTAGTCGCCGTCTGCGCCACTGCCAACATCCTCGCCGTTCGCGGCCCGCCTGACACGCTCCTCCTCATCGCCGTGAATCATCTCAGCCAACTGAGCGGACTTGCTACCAGGCGCAGCACACATGTCCAGGACAACCATTCCTGGCTTGACGTCCAAGAAGTGAGGAGGAATCATACTGACAACCTCCTGTCTGCTGATGTTCCCGGACGCAGCCTCTGCGACGAGGAATTTCTGGAAGTTGGCAAAGGCGGCATGTCGGCGAATGACCTTCTTGTGCGTCTTCATGTGCCAGACAAGCTCGTCGGGGAAGGCGTTTACAGGCTCGGGAGGGGGCACGGGCTTGCCCTCGAAGGTCTGCGCAGAGATGGCGGGAATGTAGCGCTGCTTGAAGATCTCGCGCACAGCGAGGGCGTCGGACTTGGTGCCAGTGAAGCGGAAGCTGTTGGGCAGGTCTTGCTGGAGAGCCTTCCACATCTCCTCGAACTCGGCCTCCTCCATGAAACCACCCTTGCGGTAGTAGCTCTCGAACAGCTCGTTCTTGCGCTGGATCTCCGACCATGGCTCGGACCTGGTGTCTCTGCCGCCTCCACCACCGCCGCGACCACCACCTCTCTTACCACCACGGCCACCACGACCGCGGCCCTGCATCTGTATTAGACATTGCGCAAATGCACGTGATGACTGCGAACACTTACACGACCACCTCCTCTTGCCATTGCTGTAATAGAGGGTGTTCTGAGTGAAGTTGATGGCGAAACACTTTCGCCGTCGCAAGTTGTCGAGCTCCAGAAAAATGCGAGCAGCTCTGAGGGCGGGCTGCAGATGGTTGGTGGGGCTGGAGTGGGGCCCGTTCTTCGCTTGGCCAGCCAATGAACGAGCGAAACCGGGTGGTCCGAGCTGTGTGCGGACCATCGAAATTTACCCTCGCAAAGCTTCGAACTTCTCTCCAGCTTCCTCGACAACCGACAAGCCGACTAACCACCAGCACAATGGCCCGCTCATCGTACGTCAAGACAAAAGATTGGATCGAGGCTAGAGAACGAATGCTAATGGTTCGCAGCGTCCCCACCCAGAACGACATCGCCGTCCCCGAGACGATTCTGAAGAAGCAGAAGGCTTCTCAGAAGGCCAACGACAGCAAGGCTGCCGACCTCCAGAAGAAGCGCGAGGTACGATGAAAACACTCCCCAGACCTGCGCAAGCAGATAGGAGCATCACAGTTGGCTAAGACTACCTTAGGCCAACAAGCAGAAGCGCGAGACCATCTTCAAGCGCGCCGAGAAGTACCACCAGGAGTACGTCAAGGCTGAGCGCGACATCATCGAGGCCAAGCGCCAGGCCAAGAAGGACAACTCCCTCTTCGTCCCCGCCGAGTCCAAGCTCGCCTTCGTCGTCCGCATCAAGGGTATCAACAAGATCGACCCCAAGAAGCGCAAGACCCTTCAGCTCCTCCGTCTCCTCCAGATCAACAATGGTGTCTTCATCCGCCTCACCAAGGCCACCACCGAGATGCTGAAGATCGTCGAGCCCTTCGTCGCCTACGGCTACCCCAACCTCAAGACCGTCCGCGAGCTCGTCTACAAGCGCGGTTACGGCAAGGTCAACAAGCAGCGCCTGCCCATCACCGACAACGAGCTTATCGAGCAGAACCTCGGCCAGTACGGCATCGTCTGCGTTGAGGACCTGATCCACGAGATCTACACCGTCGGCCCCAACTTCAAGCAGGCCGCCAACTTCCTGTGGCCCTTCAAGCTGTCCTCGCCCACCGGTGGCTTCCGCCCCCGCAAGTTCAAGCACTTCATCGAGGGTGGTGACCTTGGCAACCGCGAGCACTTCATCAACGCGCTCGTTAAGCAGATGAACTAAGCGTCTTGAAACACGCTGAAAAGTTTGTGCTGGGTTGTTATGGGTGGAGTAACGGTTACATTCCAACGATACCATGAAAATTACGAGTGTGGTGTCTCATCCGGTCCGATCCTGCTGTTGACGGGCCGGATCGAGGGCAGGCCGAGCCACATGCAATGGTTAGCTTAGACAAGTCTTCTGCGGATCCGCGAAGAACAATGCAAAAAGTTTATTCCACCTCAATTCGCACATCCAAAAACCAATGCCTTGTTACATGATGCCTTGTGTACGTGCACTGACTCGATCTAACATGATACGACACAACTTCAGCATTCTAGCAACTACACCGCCTCCCACTTTCAATCTCCTTCACCTTGTCGCCGCAACATCCACACCTAAGCAACGCCCGCCTCTTCGCCCTCCTTGAACACACTCGCTTCGTTGATCCACGCTGTCGCCGCCCTCCAACACTGCCTTATATGTGCAAAAGTAAGCCTTTTCATTTCCCAGTCTACCTCCCCCCCATCATCTCCAAGCGTGCGCATGCCGGGACACCGCTTCAGGGGTTTCGACGGATTGGGCCCGTGGGGGATGAGCATGTATGGACACATGTCGCTGTCTAGTATGACTGGATTCTCGCCGTTATCGGGTACTTGTCTCAAGCCCTGGTGACGGGAAGCGGTTAACGTGAGCCGAGAAGTAGTCAAAAGCGCGAACCTGCGAAAAGGCCTAGGTGGGAGGACAAGATACATTGTGCAGCAGGACAAGAAGAACTAGGTTTGTTTGAGGTCACTTCGAGTCAAGACAGAAACGGCGTTGTTCCAAAGGGGGGACTGCATCTTGAACAGGAAGACGCAGCTTGACAATGTATAGACTCTGAGTAGCGAAATCGTGACAGTGGATCGGATCTCTGGCTGGCGAGAAGCACAAGCTAGAAAACGAAACATGCAAAGCCAGTGGGCAGATGGCAGACCCGTGATATCCGTCTTAGCCAATACCGGGCATGTTCACTGCTGCTGCTCGGCTCTTCCCTTCCCCAAAACGTCTCTTCAAAACCGCAATGGCTTTTCGTTCCAGTGTGGACACTCGATCCACCGCCAACTGCTCGGCCGTTCCATCACTGCTGTGCGGTAGCGGATGTAGAGGATACACATGGCGACTGCATCTGTTGATTTGTTTGTACTTGGGCCAAGGTGATTCGCGCGAACGCTGTGTGCATCAAGAATACTTGGGTGGTGAAAGGGAGGCTAGGCCTAAAGAAGGCCATTACCGAGTCGAGATTGTGGCTCGACAATGCAGTGAAAAGATTGCAGGATGAAGGCGAACTAGAGGGTGGCAACGTACAGCGGAGACAAAGCAAGACGCGTAGCGAGTAGTTGGACGAACCGCAGTGAGGGTATCTACAAGATCAGAATATATAGGAACGCTCAAGCAATACTACAACTGCCGGCGGACTCGGAACTCCATCTTGACCCTCCTTCTCCTCTGTTCCCAACGAATCTCACTTGTCCTGCTCAGTCTCTTTCCCCGACTCCATGCTTTTCACACTCTTCACGCTCTTGACACTCTTGACACTCTTCAAACTCCTCTTACTTGTGCTCCTCTTCAGCTTAGCCTTGAACTTCTTCCACTTGTTCGTCAGACTCTCGCTATCTCCCTCATCATTGTATCCAACCACCTCCCTCGCACTCTCCACACTTCCTCTCGGGAAGGTCGCCTCGCTGCCCAGATCAACACTATCGACATTCCTCTCATGCCCCATAGATTCATTCGGCAGCTTAGGAAGCTCCTTGCTCCTCCTACTCCCCAACAGCATAAACTCCAGCGTCTGCCACGCCGCCATGCCTGCGATCCGGCTATCCGCCGAATTCCCCTGGACATCAGCGTTCTTCCAGGGGCAATGTTCGCGGTGGCTTTCGAGCAGATTGAGCCTGAGAGACTCAACAGGCACTTCGAGTTTCTTGCTCATCTCCTGCAGCCGCGCGTCTGAACTCAGCCACAGCCCCAGACGTTGGAAGCAGTGGTTGCACACGGCGAGCGAGATGCGGGAATCTGACACGCCGGTCCAGCCGAACAGGGCGAAGGCGAAGGCGGTGCGTTCGGCGGGGCTAGAGGGCGGGGTGCGGCTGGTTGCGGCGGAGAAGAAGGTGGGTGGAATGCGGGCGAGGATCGAGTCGATGTGGGGGTCGGGGTAGGTGATGTTCTTTGGGAGGGGCAGGTCGCTGGAGATGGCGAGGAGGAAGCTGTAGCGGCTTATTAGGTCGGCGAGGCTCTTTGCGCGGCTGGCGATGGGGATGTGGTAGATGTCGTCTGGGAGGACGTTAGTGCTTCGAGTCAGTCGCGGTGTGTGACAGGTACCTTGACAGCCAGCTTTCCTCCAGAGGCAGTCATCTGAATGGCCCTCGACGATCAGCGCTTTGTACCGCTCGACCAGCGAGGGCGCTACGTCGTGTGAGAGATCCTCGCTCATCTCCATGTCCCGCCCGTCCTCAGCCCTCCGCTTTGGCCTCAGCTTCACAGCAACGCGCTTCTCGCAGCCTCCCTTACAGGCCACTGTATTCCACGTGTCGCACGACCAGCCTCTCTTCGCCCACTCGACCTCGCCGATGGCGTCTGGCTTTGTCGTCCACTTCTTCACGTCCGCAAACGTCTTGAGCCGCCCAAGAAACATGTCCTGACTGTATGGCTGGAAGTTTGGCGCGTTGCGCGGTGTCGATGCCGTTTGCTGTGACTGCACGCCCACGACCCTCATCGTGCCCTTCCTCTTGGGTGTGAGCAGCTGATCCTTCAGCGCTTGTATGCGTGCCTGGCCGGCGGACGTCTGGCGCTGTCGTTCCATACTGGCCTCTGAGCTGCGAGGGCGCTTAGCTGCGGGTTCCGGGGAGCCGGCCTGGGGAAGCGAGCCGGCCGATGCATTGTTGCTGGACTCGTAGAGGGTGCTTGTGAGCGATGCTGTCGAGGTACTGGCGGTAAGGTTGTCGAGCAGCTTGTGGAACTTGCGCTTCGTGGTGGCCAGCGCTGGCGGCGAATCGGCTGGGGCGGTCGCCATGGTGTGCTGTGGACGGCACAGTCGTCGCAAGGGGGTTGAAGCGATTTGGCGACGCGTTGGAATGAGCGCTCTGTCGATCTGTGTTTACGGGTGTGTTTACGGGAGTGCTTCGATGCACGTGCGGGAGCGACAGCAGCTGCCGTTCAACCGGCGAGACGGAATATATGTCGACGGATAAATGTTAGTGTCATGCAGGACCAGCGCATAAGCGACATGCAGGATGCAGCGTGTTTGTTGCAGTGACGATGCAGGCGGTTGGTTACCACGGCATCGATGCGCGCTCCAGCTCAAAGCGCAAACCCCCGAGCCCAGCTCCGCAACGGACCGTCGCACTGCGACCCCACCAGCGCCGACCAGCGCCGACCAGCGCCGACCAGCCTACGCAGCCCACGCAGCCCACGCAGCCCACGCAATAGCTCGCTTTCTCCATGCCCCTAGTTGCGCCATACAGATACTTTTTCTTCGCTGCCGTCATCCTGGCTTCTGCACTCCTCCAGCCCACGACCTTCTTCCGCACCGCTGCCCGTCTCTTCCAATTGAAGCAGCACATCCCGCTCAACCCCTCCCCCGCCCTCCACCTCCACACAAATCGCACCCTGCACGCCATGGCGTACGAGAAGGAGCTCGAGCTCGCCCTCCTGGCCGTCCAGCGCGCCGCCATCCTCACAAAGAGCGTCTACTCTTCCCACAGCAAAGGCACCCTCACCAAAACCGACAGCTCCCCCGTCACAATCGGCGACTTCGGCGCGCAAGCCCTGATCATCGCGAGCATCAAGTCCGCATTCCCCAACGACGAGGTCGTCGGTGAGGAGGACGCAGACGACCTGCGCGCCAACCCCGACCTGAAGAACCTCGTCTGGGACCTCGTCCAACAAGCCAAGCTCAGCGACCCGGCCGCCCAAGACAAGATCGGCGGCCCCATCAAGAGCGCTGACGACATGCTCAAGGCCCTCGACGGCGGCGCCAGCGAAGGCGGAAACAAGGGGCGCATCTGGGCACTCGATCCCATCGACGGCACAAAGGGCTTCCTGCGCGGCGGCCAGTACGCCGTGTGTCTCGCGCTGATGGTCGACGGCGTCCCAACCGTCGGTGTCATCGGCTGCCCCAACCTACCTGTCGACGACAAGGCGCCGCTGGACAGCAAGATCGGCACCGACGCGGACGACAAGGAGGGCAAGGGCGTGCTGTTCGGCGCAGTGAAGGGCCAGGGTGCAACCTCGCGCGCTCTCACAGATGGGAAACTCGAGGCGCCGAAGACAATCACCATGTCCCCCCTCCCCGACGTCGCGCAGGCCACATTCTGCGAGTCCGTCGAGGCAGGCCACAGCTCGCACGGCGACCAGGCAGATATCGCAAGGAAGCTGGGCATCACAAAGGCCTCGGTGCGCATGGACTCGCAGGCCAAGTACTGCTCGATTGCGCGCGGTGCGGGCGATCTGTACCTCAGGTTACCGACCAGCAAGACGTACCAGGAGAAGATCTGGGATCACGCTGCCGGTGTCGTCCTTGTGCAGGAGGCTGGCGGCGAGGTCACAGACGCATATGGCAAGCAATTGAACTTTGGCATCGGGCGGACGCTGAAGGAGAACAAGGGGATTGTTGCTGCGCCCAAGGCAGTCCATGCCAAGGTTATTGAAGTCGTGAAGGAGGTGTTGAGTGCGAAGAAGGACTGAATACCTAGACTGTGTGGAGTGCGAAGAAGGACTGAATACCTAGACTGTGTGGAGAAGAATAAGATTCATGACATGGCTCGCACAAAGTTGTGTTCCCTACTGACACAAGACCCCCCGTGTCCTGACTCCTGCCCACTGGAGTGTGTGACACAGAGACGCTCAAATCGGCCTGTGATCGTTGCGAGCAGATCAAGCCCAACGAACATTCGGGTACATCTCAGATCCATCCTCCCCTTCACCTCCCCGCAACGTTTCCTCGGAACCGAGACTGCCACTGTGCCAAATCCAGAGATCCAAGCATTGCCTCTTTTCCTCCTTTGCATCTCCACACCCCGAGGAAGATACGTTTGGGCGAGGTGGGCTCAGTCGCTTCTTGCGTTTTGCAAGCTGCGTTCTCAAAGATATGAGCTGAGCTTACCTCCACCTGCGTTGCTTTTTACATTTTGCAGCTTCCGCTACCGGCACTTTGGGGCTACAGAAGGGCTGGAGTGGGAGGTGAAGAGGTCTAGGTGGATTTGAGAAGGCTGCGTCTGTGGCGAGGAGGATGGATTCCCAGAACGTTGAAAAGTGGCAGGCGAGGGTCCTTGGTCGTGTAGTGCTTAGTAGTTGGCGAACGTAGCGGTTGAAAGGGGAACGATTAGATCGTAGGGCTTGCAGGTCGGTTGATGATTCAGTTCAAGTTCAAAGTACTATGACCGCCTTGCTCGCAGTATCATGCTCCTTGTACAGCCCAGGTATAGTACAACGCCCATGCATATGATACAGATATACAACACAGTGCAACGCCTCCTCTTCCGCGCCTACGACACCTTCTTGTTCTTCAACTTGATCGTCTCCCCATTCACAAAGATACCCTTGCCCTTGTACGGCTCCGGCACACGCCACTTCCTGATCTTCGCCGCGAACTGCATGACAACTTCCTTCTCTGGCCCCTCAAGCAGTAAACGCGTGGGCTGCGGTGTGCTCGCGGTGACGCCCTTGGGTATGCACAGTTCGACCGGGTGGGAGTACCCGACCTTCAAGTTAACAAACTTCTGGCCGGGGAACTCGGCTTCGACAGTGGTAGCGGTGTCTTCGACCGAGGCACGGAAACCGACGCCCACGAAACGCAGGATGGCGCTGTGGCCCTCGGAGACACCGAGGATGTGGTTTTGGAGGTATGCGCGTGTTGTCCCTATTCGCAGTCATTAACTCCAGCCCAGCTGCTGTCATAATTGAGGGCCGACGTACCCCACATAGCCTTCTGCTTCTTATCCGTAGCATCTTGTAAGCTGAGCGTCATGCGCTGCTGGTCAATGGCGATATATGGAGGTATTTCCATGGACAGCTCGCCCAGCGGCCCCTTGACATGTACTGTGCTCATTGACTGCGTCCTTGCGCCCTTTCCACCAGCTGCTTTCGGCGGAATCACGCTAAATGTCACGCCTGGCGGTACTGAGAGCGGGAGTGACCCAATCTTGGACTCGCATCGTGCGGTCGTGGTGAAGGTCCTGTGTGCCGCGAACCGGAGTAGGAGGAATGTCGGTATCGAGTCGGCAGGAGAAGTGGATTTTGCAATGGCTTGCGCGCACCGCCGGCGTGCTGGAGCGAACATGGTGTGGATGAGGGCGATTGGATGCTGGCGAAGTTTTTGGGGGAGTTGAATGCGAAGTTGCGATGTTCAGCCCTACGATGCTTAGTCAGGAATCGTCTCGTCCGATTCGCGACTTCAACCCTCATCCGTTTGTTTGCGACGCATCAACACCAACAACAACACTATCAAGTCCACTTCGCTTCGATATTGCACTGTTGTACAACACTATCTCGGTGTCGCTTTGATCTTTACAGTTGCACTTCTGGGTTCCGCTGTGCCTAATCGCTCACCAACTACTCACACCTCTCACCACAGATCTTGCTCTCACCCAGACGTCACATCACGACAGCACGCTTCAAGCTGACAGATACTCCCGCGACCGGACCTCTATTGTTTTGATATGCCTTGTCGCTGTGGTTCGACGAATACCTCGTCTTCCAGTTCTCCGCTTCAGACCCTCCTTCTTGTCTCCTTCGTCATCTGCTTCGACCTCAAGAAGATCAGTCTTTACTACCTGCTAACAGCTTTTGTCGACCTGCCGCAGTGGTCTCATGCCCTGTAGCTCATCCGTTACTGGACTTGATCGCTAATATGAGACCTACGAACACTACGATCATTGGCGCCCTGCTGCATTTTCCTGTGGCACTGTCTTACTACCACTCTCCAGCAGCAGATGCAGCACCGACCGCTAATCTCGACACCCTCTTCCAGTATACCACCTCTCGAAACCACAAGGTAATCTCACAGGCTGTCGACTTCGTCGTCTCGATGCAGACGGCGCCAACTTGCACTCGTATGGCTGCCTCACACCTCATGAACGAATGCAAACTGCTCGAACATGCACCAGACTTTGCCAAAAGCCGACCAGAAGCATATCTGGATAATGTCAAGACCGAGTATGCTGCCAAGCTGGCAGTGTGCGAGCTGCTGAGCGCGCAACCTCCAAGCCACGCCATTCCGCCATTACACTGCGACATCCTGGTTCCCTCGAGCCGAGCGTGCAGCAAAGGTGGCTGGTGGTCGCAGGCGCCGACAAACTCTGACAAACAGTGCTACCCAGAGTGCAAAGAGTATCAGTACAGTCAATGTCTGAAGACGTTACAGTCTTCGCCGCAGTACTGGACTTCCTTCAGCAACGCACGTCAAAATGCTGTGGTCATGTGTCAAGCCAGCAGAGACGCCATTGAACGCGAAAATCACCTCGAAATCTTCAAGAACCTGACCCAAGTCATGGGCGCCGTATCCTCCAACATCAAGCATACCACGGATGAGTATGCGTCTCTACTGCATGATCAGAAGCAGTTCGCAGATGAGCTCCGCGAATCTCAAAGTCAGTTCAAGAAAGACGTATCCGCAGTGCAAGAGAAAGCTCTAGCGACGGTCGGTAACTTGGACGACAAGTTCCACGCTTTCATGGAGACTTCGATCTCCGAGCTCATCACCGTACTCGCCGATGGCCAGAGTGCTGAGATCACACGCATACGTGAAGAGATGCAAGTCTTTTCGCAAGACATGATCGCAGAGAACTCTCAGCTTGCGAAGGCACTCACCACCGAGTTGCAACAGCACCACGATCGAGCCATCATCAGCCTTCAATTAAACCATCAAGCCCAAGTTGAAAATTATGAGGCTCTGTCCGACTATATGGGCGATATCACGAACGCTGCCAATAAGATCAACCATACCACGGACTCTTCCTTGAAGAAGATTGACAACATCGAACATCGGCTGGACAGTCTGTCAAGCAAAGCCGAGCACATCGCCAGAGGCTTTGCCTTCTTCAGCAGCCTGCCGCAACTTGTCACCTCCCTGATTTGTGGTTTGGTCGCGATGGCTGGGGCTATCTTCATCCTCATTCTGCTCTACCACTACAGCAGACGCCTTGCTACATACACTGCTGGCGCGTGCAGTGCAGCATATCTCCTACACTTCTGCGGCGTCTACGAGTTTCTGGCTCGCCTGCCGGTACGCCTCTCAGAGCCTCATCGTGCTGCATCCTTCATTGATCACATCTGCAACCTCAACGCAACACAAAAAGGTGTCGGCATAGTTGTGGTTCTGTGGCTCGCTACATATCCTGTCTCTCACATCAGCACTATCATCAATCGCGCCTTTGTACGCATTCTCAGCTCCTACTGGGTCGGTCAGTACAGTAATGATGGTGGCATGGGCATACTACCAAGCGTCGAAATTCCAGGTATCGCTTTACCTCGAAAGCTTGATGCTCTCGAGAGATGCCTTGGTACCGACAATTCTCGCTCGTCCACACGAGAAACATCGCTTCCGGTCGAGTCATGACCATGGTTTGCGTGTGCCAATACTGTCCGATATTGTCTCCACTTCGAAAATTACGCATATCGATTCGAAAGACATCTCAATGAGCATTTACGATATTACGATACAACGTTTCATCTCAGCAATATACCCCATCTCATTTTCCATACTCATCTGCAACGCCAACCCGCTTCGATCAAAGCATTGGGCAAGACTCAACACCTTTTATCAATTCTTTCGCGTGCATGTTAAGACGGAAAACATTTCAGCGGCTCGACGGCGTCGGCGGGTTGCTTTCCATGGATGCGATTGGGACTTGCTGGCGGACTGTGGGCATCATTTGGTCACAGGGCTTGAGTATGTTATATGGAAATATTCGTGTATTTGGTCATCAACACTAACTCATCTCATCAGGTCAATTACACTCAAAATCCGATACAACCTCTCACGTTTCGCAAAACGCCAGCTACAACGTCTAATATTGACCTCTCTGGAGGCCTTCAGCACAACCACAGATGCCCTACAACGCTTGCAAAATTGTTGTAGTCCTTCGAAATTGTATTACCGTGCAAACAGCTCCAGATTCTATCTTCAATACCTCGCCATTTCTTTAGACCCGTAATGTGTGCTCGCATCCGGCTTTCTTGCAACTTAAGAGCCAACATACGCGCACACAGATCTGATCCCTCCCTCATTCAGAATCACTCAACTCCTCAATCCGCCCACTCCTCAACGCCTCCTCAACCGGATTCTGCACATTCACAACCCCCGTCCTCTTCAACCTCTCAAACAGCACAAACAGTCGCTCAGCCTCCCTCTCTTTTTCCTCTTGCGTCATCTCCGGCATCTCAACCTTGTCCTCCGTATCCAATCGCTGCCCTGTGATAGGGTTCACAGGCACACCACTGCTGCTTCCTTCGCCAGCGTCTTTGATCGCGCTCTCAGGCATGGGGATGTTCTTCGACAAAAGGAAGCCAGACGCGTACCCGTACCCGACGTTGGAAACGTAGGTAGCTGGGTCTTTGGAAGAGAGCTCGTACATGAATGCGGCGATTGAGTCGCGCAGCGCGGGGGTTTGCGCGCTGGTGCTGAGGTTCAGTAACCGGGATGGCAAAGATGATGTCTTGCCGAGAGGTTGGGCGCGGTCTGTATCGGAGGGGAGCAGTTTGGATTGCATGACGGTTTGCACGTCGGTCGGTGCGAGTTCGTAGATTCGTCGTAGCAGGGTGAGGAGCGGCGAGATTGTGGAGTCCAGCTTGGCCGCGGGGTAGACGCGAATGGAGCTGTCGAGGATAGCGATCAGGTGGGTGATGTTGCTGGGTGGGTTGGTGGATGGGAAGACGGCGGCGTGGAGATCAGGGTCGTGCGGTTGTTGTGCGGTGCCTGTGCCTTCTTCGCGGACGAGGTTGAGGAGCGCGTTGATGAGGAAGGAGACGGGTGCGTCGAGCGGTTGCGTGGGGGGATCGCGGCGAGTGAGGATCTTGAAGATGTGGGGGATTGAGGTGGTGAAGTGCTGGGATAGGTCGGGGTGAAAGTGCGTGACGTTGAAGAGGAGCTTGAGGGTTTCTGAAATTGCCATTAGGTCCATTGGCGCTGTGTGCTCTTGTGCTCGTTGTCGCGGTTGGGTATAGCGGTTCGCGTGTCGCTGCATTGCGGCGTTGATGTTGTCTGCTAAGTGGTGCTCGTTGACTAGCTCTGTGTAATCGAGGTTTGCGCCGTAGGTCGTGAGAAAGAGGATGCGTGAAATCAGGAACTCGTCGTCGATGCTCTCACTCTGCGATGTAATTAGCATGACTGCAGATCTATTCGAAGTACCACTGTCAACTTGCCTTGAGCCTCTCTGCTGCGTCCGGACCATGTCCTAGATCAACCAAGATCTGGCGTGCCTTTGGCTGGAGGAGGAAGGCATTGGCTATGCATCTCAGAGCTTCTTGTGAGACGGCCACGTCCTTCTCCTTGAATGCATAGCGGCCTAGTGTCCGTAGACCCTGAACAGGTCACCTTTTGTCCTTATGTTGCTGCGCGAAGCCATCATACGTCTTGTGTGAATATGGGGTCCGCATTATTGGGATCTCGACCGTAGACTTTGAGCTGCTCAAGCTGTTGTCTGCGTTCTACTCGACAAATAAGTCCGTTGTGATATGGGACGTCGAGGAAATTGGCATACGTTGTGTGGAAAGCTTTGGGGTGTCGAGGTCGGTCTTCAAGTCGGTGAGGATCTTCGTGACATCGTCAAGTTTTGCTACTCCCGAATTACTAAAGACAGTAGGAACGTATATTGCGAGCTACTGACGCACCTTTCCCGGACTTCTGTGAAAGCATTGTGGCTAATTCTAGGGTAGGAGAGTGAATGGGCAAAGAGAGGAGGCTTACAGAGTGTCGGTGGAGTATATTACAGATTCCCGCAGTACCTATGATGGTCAAGGTGCCCCACAGTGGGGAACAAGGCGTGCAAGGGTCCACCTCGACATGCAGCCAGAACATCAGCAGGCCTTGACAGGAACTGGGATGAGCTCGAGAAGCCCAACGGTCAGCAAGCAAATAGTCTGGTTTACGATGAGCAGTACCAAAGATGCAAACAGATTCTCCAATACACACTGATCATCCATGTTGGAATCATAGACTATGCATCGACCTCGATGTATGTGCTTGACATGGAAGAATGTGTACAGCCTACTCAGCCCAAATTAGGACGATTGGTGCATTGTACCAAATGACACGTCATTTGACAAGTGAATGTCCAGATTGTGGTAGTGGAAGTGTTGGGTTTGAGGTCTTTGGGAATCCACTTTACGCGTACGGGAAGGCGCGTTCGCGCACCCCGGCAACGCGTCGGACGTGCCTGCCGCTCTATAGCCTACAGCGACCACCACCTCGACTGTCGCTCTCTACGCCTCAACTCGCGTGTGCACGGCCGGCAATGCGAGTCTGATCTTCTGCTTTCGTCTTGGTTTCCGTTAGTTGGTTTCCAGCATAGCCATGGTGTTGTCCAAGTTCGAGTCGCTTTCTGTTCGCCCGCCCACTCCACCAAAAGACGTCGAAGACAGCGATAAGGACGTCGACCTCGACGAGACAGTCCAATTCCTCGAGGACCCGTTCGGCGAGAGACCCGCGCAACCGAAGGCGGTCGCAAAGGTCGCTGCGAAGAAGCTGCTCAATACGCCAGACCAGTCGCCGTCCTCAGATATCAGCATACCCTCTAGTTCGGCCAGGAAGAAGAGAGTCAACTTCGAGGTCCAGACATGCGTCTCCCCGCAAAAGAAGGCTGTCATAAAGTTGTGGACGCCTACACGTAGCTCACCGCTCTGTCCTCTACCGCAGACACGCGTGTCGCTGCCGCTCAAATCGATCCTCAAACCCACGGGCGCAACAATAACACCCCCGCCGAACGACGAAGGCGCCGCCGCACACCAGTTCAAGTCATTCGCAGAGATGCTGGAGTCGATAGTGAAACAGTTGGCTCAGGGAGAACGCCCTTCAAGGCTAGATGCGTACCACTCGTTACAGCGCACTATGCAGGCCTACGATAGAATACCAGATGAGCAGGCGCTTAAGAACAAGATGTCCCTCTTGACACAATTCATTCGGCGAGACACCCAAGCTATTAGCCCTACGGGCAATGGACTCGATTCGCAGCTCATTGGCCAGGCGTTGAAGCTCCTTCTGGCTCTCTTTCGGATACCAGACCTGACGGCCGCCATGGACGACGAGTTTTGCTCATACATGGTTGAGCGAACCATCCAGGTTCTCACAGACGCTTCAGTATCGAAAAGCGTAGTCAACACACACCTCGCCATGCTTATGCAACAGAACTTCCGGCCGAGGACTATGACTGCATTACGCGTGGAGAAGATCATGGATGGTCTGGACACAATACAGGACCGTGTCAAGGGCTTTTCGGTTCATGCATACCGCCTGCGCATCTACAGGAAGTTGATCCAGCAACGCCCCGACCTCATGATCAAGCACACAGAACGGTGGTTCAAACACACATTCAAGGCATTGGTTTCAGGCCACAAGGATATCTACCAGAGCTCTCTCGACACCGCCATCGCTGCTGCAAGAACCATTGGACATGACCGCTCTGTTGCTAAGTCAGTCCTCGCAGTCCTGAACAAAGTTAGGAACGACGGCGAGACCACTTTAGCCAAGGTGATGGCACAGGAGCTACAGAAAATGCTTGATGGAGACAACGCATCTCTCGTCCCTCAAATCTGGTCAGCCGTGACAGGGCTTTTGCGGGATCATATCGATATCAAGTTCTTCACTGATCTGGAGGAGTGGCTGAAAGTGTTCGAGAGATCGCTGAAGTCTGACAACGACCAAGTCAAAATCTACGGGAACGTGGCATATGGCTTCCTGCTCTATGCCGTGAACGCATCTCAAGACACTGCCAAAGGCTGGTCGAAATTCTTACTGAACATTCCCTTGCAACAGCTTCAGAGACGAGGGTCGATGAAGAAGTCTGAGCGGGACGCTATCTTCTGCGGGTACAATACACTGCTTTACTATGCATTTCGCCCTACTGCTAGTCACGAGCAGCTCGATCGATTCTGGAACGAGTTTGTGGTAGGCTTCTGGACCGCTTTGATACACCAGTCGTCGTCCACACAAGCAGCTCACGCGTGCCGCGTCGTCTCAGCTCTTCTCAATGGATCTCGGAACCCATGGAATGCACAGAGAGCTTTAGATCTCAGACACCAGGTCATGACACAACTCGCCGAAACTCCCCTCGTTGACCCACGATGGGTTCGCAAATCGCTTTCGTCGATTCTCAAGTTTGTGGAGACTTTGCTTGACACCACAGTCTGGTCCAACAACGTGCAACAAGAAGACGACCCAGTCAAAACCATGTGGTCTGCGGTCCTTGATTCGTTGATCGAGGCAAGCAGCAAGGAGGTTATGGCGTCAACCGAGACTAAGGATGCTATGGCTCACATCGTCAATTTTCTTCGTCGAGTATGGGACCGACATACTGCCCAGCTAGCTCTGCCACAACACAAGGAGGACAGCTGGGCAGACAAGTTCTGCTTCCTAGTAGAGAGTGTAGTGCAGAAGCTCGGTGCACTTCAATTTGCGGACAAATGTCTCACTCGAAATGGCCAAGATGAGTTTGAAGTTGCATCAACCCCGTCTTTTCGCTCTCGGCTGCATGGAGCTCGAATTTCACCGTTGTTGTATCTCATCGATCTCCTAGTCAACCAGTCGGAAGGCAAGCTTTCGGACTCTGTCCGATTGCGCGCAATGAAACTAGTCATCGAGCCCGGGTTCAACGCTCAAAACACCCGCCTCGGCAAGCTCGAACTACTTCGGGATTGCGCCACAATCGTTGATGGATCCCTGAAAGTAGTTGTGGCCTTGGACTTCTGGTTGCAGATCGCAACATTGTTGAAGGTTTCCATTGAGCAGCAAGTGCCCGATTCGAACGAGCGTGTCTCTCGTCAGCTTGGTAAAGAGTACGATGTCGTCGTTGAGCTTCTCAGTCTAGGCTCGGCCTATCTCCTGGACCGGCCGCAAGGGCTTGAGGTTCTTTCAGCCTTCGTCAGTACAGTCCGAAAGGAAGCCGGAGATGGCGCTCTTGTGCTTGCAGTCATTGAGAAAATTTCCGAGCGTGTTCTAGCCCGCACCACCGACAAAACCGCATGCCTGCCCTACCTCAGCATGCTCCTGCAGATTCTTCCAAGTAAAACCATCAGCCGACGTGTTCTCGACCAGGGTAGGCAGACTTTATGGCCGTCATCCCCTGCAGCAGGGCGCAATCACGATTTTGATCCTTACAATCACCTGTATAGCGTGGTAATCTCTGTGGGCTCCGCCGCGTACACTAGTTTCGAAGATGTCGAATCGACCAAGGGCTTCCTTGTTGCATTGAGTGCATCGATCAAGACCTGTTCGACTTCGTTACTTGCGGTCTACCTGCGCAAGATCCAAGAAGTGATTCGGATCTGGGTTGAGAATCCTCAAAGGAAGCTGCAGAACAAGGAATCGGCTTCGAAAACTCTCCGTCATGAGGTAGGTTTCGGCAACTGTAAACGATGTTCTAACTGCTAACGAATCACAGGTCGTCAGTCTATGGAGAGAAGTGAGCGAGGCCATCGAGAGACTCCCCCGCAAGGACAGTCAGGTTCTCTTGCACCTCGAGCCACTGATCACGTCCGGTTTTGTGAGCCGACGACGTAGTATCGTCAACATCTCGATCGCGACTTGGAACAAGACTTTTGGCAAGGAGGATAGCCTCCGATATCCGCCACGACTCGAAACAATCTTGCGACGCTTGCACAACTCTGTCGAACTTGTCCTGCCTTCGCTGGACATCAGGGATAACAACATCGTAAGTTTGGCTCAGGTCAATGTGATGTCTACAACACTGACCAGCCGAAAGGATGCTGATCTGTCCTTCTGTGATTCCGATGAGAGTACCGAAGAGCCTAGGCGGAGCGCGAGGAGTTCTCGTGTCAAAGAGTCTCCTTACAAGATCATCAAATCTGCGCTCAATTCCAAACCTCAGTCTCCGGCTATCTCTTCTCCAGCAAGCAGGAGAACTTCCTCCCGCCGAACACCCAAAGTACGCTTACGGCACGATAACTCACAGATCCAGTTCGAAGCCGTTGTGTCTTCGCCATCAAACCCATTCGTTCAAGAATCGCAGATCCTGACCGAAAGGCAGAAGGAGATGATCGAACGTCAGAGACTTGCCGGTGGCTTGTTTGCCAACATGGGCGCACCTTCTCCTCAGCGAGACGCTCCGCCTTCTCCAATGGAGCTCCTTTCTGACGTGCAGAGTGTGGATGACTTGCCAACCCGTAATACACGTACCACGCCACTGAAGGCGCTGGCCAAGATGGGTCCTATGGGTGTTTTCCTAGGCTCGTCCCCTACGCCACACGCACGACGCAGCTCGCAGAAGATTGTCAGCGACGATACCAACATCGCGACCCCTACTGCAGTACGAACGGTGCGTCTCGCAGAAGATCACGACCTCGGTTCTTCACCCCCTAGTTTTGAAAAAGACAACACTTCGAAGTCAACACAGCGTCCGAGCGAAGCTGCACAAAGCTTTGAGGACCGACAGCCCGACAACCTTTACTCTGCATCCTTTGATGACGGTACCACAATGGATGAGGAGGCCTTAGCTGCTGTGGTGACGCTGGCTGAAGAGGAAGATCAACTCAACCATAACCACGAACCCAGCGACGATATCATGTCCGATGTACCAAGCTCCACGATCGATTTGCAGCTCATTGCCCAAATTGATACAGAGATGCAAACCTCAGAGGCAACCACTAAACCCGATGAAATTGTACCGGAATCAAACAACGTATTTGTTGATGCGGCATCGCATCCCACCTCGGAAAATAACGTTCCTGGGACTCAAGACGGAAGTGATACAGAAGTTGAGCCCACGCCTAGATCGATCCGTACTCGTAAGAGCAAGAAAGCAGACACGAACAGCACAAGCCGTGTAGGGGATTCTCTCAACTCCACTCCCGGGAAGGGCACACCAGGGTCGCAAGACCTTCGACGTTCGACGCGTCACAGTATGGACAGTCCGATTCACATCCAGCTGTCAAGTGTAAAGAAGCAGAAGAAGCCAAGGAGGAAAAAAACAGAATCTGCTCCAGAGGAACAAGCCTCTTCACCACTTCGGTCCCAGCCTGAACAGGCTGAGAATGAGCCCGAGACTGCGATTGCTGCGTCGCGCACAGGGAGGACCAGGACTGCCAAAAAGAGGAAGTCTATGAACGAATCACCGACAGTCTCAGAAAGCCCTGTGGCTACTTCTGGGTCAGGACGCAAACGCAACATGCGTCGCTCGCAGTCGAATCTTAGCCAGGTCGAGGGCGCGGCTGATATCGTGGTAGAAGACACACCCGCGTCCTCCAAGCGAGCAAGGCAGAGTCTAAATAAGGACGTCAGCGAAGCGAAGTCTACACCACCTCTGCCCCGGGAATTGCACTCCTCGCAGAGCAAGCGCCTCAGTCACGTTCAGGTCACACTTAGGCACGACAAGACGATTGCACCTGCCGTAGCGGAGCAGATCACAGCCTCGATAGCTACCGTAGCCGACACTGCCCCTGTTACCAAGCAGGCTGCATTGACACAAAGTCAGATCCAGTCACAGCAGCAGGCTCCCACCGGCAGCGCTACTCCGAATCGATCGTTCGCTGAACGTGTCATTCTTACCCCAAGAAGTATCATCAATAAAATCAAGGAGATCAAGAACTACTTCTTGAATGCTCCCGGGCTAGTCGTGAGCAGGACGGAGGAGCGCGAGCTTGATGACGCACTGTTCGATATTCGCAGAGAAGTGCACGCTGCTGGGCAAAGAGGAGAGATGCAGGGCTTGTAAGAATCAGAAGGGAAAGTTTGTGTTTGGATATGACCATCTCCATTATAGATGAGTGCATTGCAGCGTAGGATAGCAATACCATGAGAGTAATGGATACCCACACCTGCGAACTCTAGTCACCTTCATGTTCTACATCAGGATTTCAGGTGACTGCGCATTTCCAATGATGAGTTACTTTCAGATGCCTCGCGATATCTGGTGAATCGCGGTGAACAGAGCTCCTGTCGATCATGATCACCTGCCCGGCGAACATGCGGGTGAGCTCCATCAAGCTGCATTCCCACTGCTGGGATGCTCAGAAGATCCAATCGCAATGCTCTTCACAACTTAGGCGAATGCAAGAAGTGTTTCAGGTGCGTTTCAGGTGGTCGATGCGGTCGATGCGGTCGCTGCATCATAGTGGGGCTCGAAGCTTCCCTATGATGCCCCTCCTTCCTCAACGTCGACCATCAACAAACGCCACCGACAGCAGCAGTAAGTCCAAGCACGCTTCACCTAGCTTCAAATAGACAGCTAAGAGCCCTTAAGAACTCATTAATCCCCAAGCACCTCTAGCTTGACTACTACTCCACGACTACTACTCCACGAACCCCGCAACAGTACATCGACACAGCTCTACCATTTCGTCGAACCTCACACATCACAATGGTTGACCGCGCCAACCGTCCCTCCGCACTGAGCGCACCCAAGAGCTCCGGCCCTTCCGCACAAGTCGACGTTATCGGTGAGGGAGGTAGCCAGAAGGTCGTTGCATCGCTGCCCTCTGGTGAGAGCGTGGAAGTGTACCTCTTTGGTGCTACCGTAACTAGCTGGAAGAGCAACGGCGGACAGACAGAGAACCTGTGGGTCAGCGAGAACGCGGATTTGACAGGAAACAAGCCCATCAGGGGTGGTGTCCCAGTCGTCTTCCCCGTATGATCAAACCAACTGCGCAAGACGTGGACTCTGCCTTGTGCGAACCTCTACTGACAAATGCCACAGATCTTCGGTCCACCTCCCAAGACCGGCCCGACTTCAAAGCTCTCCCAGCACGGTTTCGCACGTAACTCACGTTGGGAATACCTGGGCAAGTCGTCGACCGAAGACGCACTAGACACCAGCTCCGTGAAGCTTGACTTCGGTCTCGACCGCAATGGCATTAGCGAGGAGCACCGCAAGGCATGGCCGCTGGACTTCGGTCTGGTGTACAGCGTCACACTGAGCAAGGACACTTTGCAGACGGTTATCACTGTACGCAACGAGGGAGACGAGAGCTTTGAGTTCCAGTTTCTGCTGCACACCTACTTCAGGATCAAGGTAGGCTCTTCAGAAACTGCACGCCAGGAAGGCAACAACTAACACAATTCGCTCAGGACATCTCAAAGGTCTCAGTCAACGGTCTCGGCAGCGTGGAATACATCGACAAGGTCCTCGACGCAACCACCCACACACAGACAGAACCTACCCTCAAGTTCAACGGCGAGGTCGATCGCGTATACAAGGACATCAAGATCGATACCACAAGCATTCTGGAGGACGGCAAGCCACGCTTCGATATCACCCGCGACAACGTCAAGGACACTGTTACCTGGAACCCGTGGATCGAAAAGGCGAAGGCTACAGCCGATTTCGCACCAAAGGACGGCTACAAGGAGATGGTCTGTGTTGAGGTCGGTGCTGTCAATGGATGGCAGAAGCTGGAGAAGGGCGAGGTGTTCGAGGGCGGTATGCTTGTCAAGAGCCACTTGTAGGTGATGCCCTTGCAACGGATAGGCCTACAGCTGTTCCCTGCTACACTGGCAGCACTCGAAGCATAGGATGCATTATGACAGCTATGAATGGAATAAAAAACAAGCCAACAATTACAGTCAGAAGCATACTGGTCAGGATTTATCGTGGCTAATAGTGATCTGTTCCTCATCGGTCAGCTATCTTGTCGTATTTGACAAGTTATAGCTTTCCAACTAGGAGGCCCTAACCTTCCACAAGCGTCTCCCGTTCCGGAACCCGTCCGGCATCCAACCACAGCAACAGCAACAACAACATAACATCGCATGATAGCAACGGATATCCCGACGGTCATGCTTGATAAGCGCAACGATAGCGAAGCCATTCGCCCCATCTACTGTCACCGTCCATGGGCGATTGATTGAAACATTGCAGAAGGAAGTCGTCGAGAGCTAACCGCAGCTTCCCCGCTTACGTCGATCACGACTGCCTGTAAACAAAGGGCAGGCTTCGATCAAACGGATCGCATTGGTTTGAGCGTTTGTTCGGCATATCCGGCAGCCTTGCGCTGGCAGAGTGAGGCTCTGCGTTGTCACAGGGAAAAGTGGAGGTGGTGGATCAGTATACCTTGCCAACATCCATGGATGATCGCGAACGACAGAGGAGCATGTCGCTCATACCGTACCTGCCAGCAGAGTCGCGGGAGATTGTTCTGTATGTCGAAAACATCGTACGTGTCTTTCGGTGTCGTGCACTAACGTGGCTGCAGGCGCCATGGTTCCGCAGTTGTCGTCTATGATCAGCGTTCCAAGCAGCTCTCCCTCCGCGATGCCTCCAAATCCACCGCCCTAGACGAAACATCCTGCCCATACTGCCACCGAGCTTACCGCGACGCCTCACCACACGACACCGACGATGACGAGCATCCGCATTCACCGGGCGAACCTGGTCTGGACCATGGGTTCGTCAACCCCGGGTACTTCCAGATGCTGCGCGGTAGTCAGCCCAGCTCCACAGCAGGCTCGCGTCCACCGTCACCGCACAAACAGCTAGGGCCTGCGATAACTCGAGAACCACATGCCGAGTTTCATGCACCGGAAGGAGCGGAGTTCGTGGGTAGCACGCCTATGCCTCCAAGGAATCAGGGCATATCTGCGAGAGCGTTCAGCCCCAACTACTTCAAGACATTCTTTGTCGAGGAGAGAGAGCTTGGAAGAGGCGGGAAAGGAGTGGTCCTCCTCGTACAGCATGTCTTGGACGGGGTGCAGCTGGGCAAATTCGCTTGTAAACGAGTGCCTGTCGGCGACGATCACGAGTGGCTCGAGAAAGTCTTGATTGAGGTGCAATTACTGCAGAATTTATCGCACCAGAATCTCGTTTCGTACCGACATGTTTGGCTCGAGGACTACCAGATCAACACCTTCGGTCCAAGTGTCCCATGTGCCTTCATCCTGCAGCAGTACTGCGATGGAGGAGACCTACACGGTTACATCTTGGACTCTGCGAAGACAACAATTACAAAGGATCAGATGAAGGAGCGCCTAAGACGAAGGTCGAAGGGACAGATGGAGGAGCCGGAGGACATGCTTGGGCCACGGCGCATGCATTTCGAAGAGATTATCTCGTTCTTCAAGGACATTACGTCTGGGCTGAATCATCTTCACGCGAACGGCTACATCCACCGCGACCTGAAGCCCAGCAACTGCCTTCTGCACCGCGACAAATATGGTATGAAGGTCTTGGTGAGCGATTTCGGCGAAGTGCAATCAGCGAACGTTGCAAGGAACTCGTCTGGGGCCACAGGAACCATATCATACTGCGCACCTGAGGTCCTTAGGCAGGAACGACCAGGCGGACCGTATGGGAACTTCACCACCAAGTCAGACATCTTCTCCCTTGGCATGATCGTCTACTTCATGTGCTTTGGGCGCCTGCCATACAGGAATGCGGACGGCATCGATGAAGACAACGAAGATCTGGATCAGCTGCGCGCCGAAATCTCAACTTGGGCAGGTATCGACGACGAACAGCGCGTGCGATCTGATCTGCCTGAGAAGCTGTACAGATCACTGAAGCGTCTACTCGCGCTGAATCCAGACGAACGCCCAGCGACCGAGGAGATTTTACATGTCCTCAAGTCACCATCCGTCTTCGATGAGTTCAATGCCTACGCCGGCCCATCAGGTATGGACGACTTCGGCCCTCGTATATCTCGTGCAGACACACCGAGCCCCGGGCCTGCTCAGATGACTAGGAAACGGAACTCAATGAATCAATACACAAGGCCGGGTCGTTCCAACCTGGGCGCATCGGTGATGGAGCGCTCACCGAGCCCGCCACCTGCCCAGCTCACGCGAAGGACGAGCTCGGAAGAGGCGGCGGTGGTTCTGAGGTCGAAGAAGTTGGAGCTTCCAAGGCCGGAAGAGGTCATTCGGACGCCCACTCCGCAACGGCTTATGCTTCCACCGCCGCCGCCAGAGAGTCAAGGTCGGCTCAGCCAGTATCGCAGTCGCGCGTTCAGCATCTTCGAGAACCCAGCTACAGCCAGCGTGGTCAGAGTCATTATCTTGTTTGTGAAGGTAGTCAGCTTGTTCGGTCCCTGTCAGCCATTTGCTGCAGAGTCTTGGGCGGCATACTCATTGCTCGGTCTAGCATCCTTAGATTTTCTGTACCCGCACGTAGTAATTCTACCGCAGACTCGGCGGTGGTACCCTGGAGGGCTGGCGGGGAGTGTGGTATTGATATTGGTGCATACAGCGATTGTAGCGGTGCTTTGGAGGAACGGTAGGCTATGTGCTAGAAGCATTACCTGGGATCAGTTTTGAGCGGGAGTAGACAGGTACAGAGAAGCGACGAGGTAAGAACAGCTTTGACGATTGTCCTTTAGAATGATATCCCACTGCTATATTCAGAGGTCACGATATTTCATCATCGCGAACTGTTGGCCAGTCCATTTTTCCCGAGCGGTCAGCCTCGTTTCAGGAGTGTTGAGCTGAGTGCCCCTGATTGGTGGTGCGGGCGGGCATTAGCGGGCGTTAGCGAGGATGGCGCTGTAAACATTCAATGTTATGATGCCGTCCCAAGTCAACACCACCCGCACCTGCCACTAACACACACAGGCTGTCCTTGAACACCAACTTCCACGGACTTTTGGATACTTTTCCATGCTCTTGTAGTCCTAGCAGAGCATCTCTTTCTATATCCTAGACGCCAGTTTTTGGACGCGACGCACCATAAACATACAAACACTGCTGCCCGCGCTGCTTCTGCAGCCTCACTTCACTCCACACAATGCAGTCTTCCCCTCCAGCAAGCATTGGGAAAGCGCGCACTATTTGCGAGCTTTCGCGCAGCTTGAACCACAGCCCGCGCAACGTTCCATCCCCATCACCGCCGCCTAGCGACTCGAACCCTACTAAGCACTCAGGGTTCTGCACTGAGACGTCCAACTTCTTCAACGACCCAGACGTTCTCATGTCAACACAACAGAACTTCGCGGACGAGACCAACACCCTGCCACAGTACCCGCGCATTCGCTCGACCGCGAAGAAGATGAACGCCTGGCAGCCGCTGCGCTCCGAGCAGATCAACCCCGACACGTCCATGGTAAACAAAGAATTCGGCGACTTCGACCACAGCCTCTCGGACGGGGAGAGCATCTCCGTCGAACAGGCGCGTGGCCTCAACCACAGCAACCGCGGTACACCGGTCAGGCAGAGCTCCGCGTTCCACAGCCTCTACGATATCACACCGCCTACAAACAGGACGCGCAAGTCATATGTCGCCGAGACTGGAAGCCTCCGGCGCGACGCACAGATTCGACGCGCCTCGCGCAATGACCTCGACACCGCGTCACCGCGTCCTGCCAGCAAGCGCACTTCTCCTGCGATGCCTGCGAAGGAGAACAAGCGCAACTCTCTTGCACAGCTTCACGCGAAGCTGTCTGAGGATGAGTCGTCTTTCATGCAGGACCGTCCGCCCACATTGACCGTCAACTCGACCAAGAACACGCGCTGGGGCAACAGGAGCCGTCAGACGTCCCTTCAGATGGATGGCATTGTAGAGGAAGCCACACGCGCCAACGCGAAGCCTCAGTCGCGACCCTCGACCGCTCAGAATGCGACTGCACAATCCTTCATCCTGCCTGACCTGCCCAATCTCACTGAGCTTGTCTCTGGCGTATTCGAGGACGGTACGCCTGTCTTCTCGAAGAACGCTACAACGCGATCCCGCTTTGCTGCTCCTCCAGGCGGCGGCCGTCGTCCCAACCACGTCCCCATCGACAGCGTACCCATTCCTGACGAGGAGAAGGCCATCTTCTCTGCGCTTCAGCAGCTGCAGGACAAGGTCGCGCAGATAGAAGCTGAGCGGTCTGAGCAGGATAGGAGGATCGAGGAGCAGGATCTTGAGTTGATCGAGCTCAGGGCCAGCGCACAGGCTTATGAGAAGTCGCGACGAAGCGATAGCGCGAACGATTCGGATGCTGGAAAGGGGCATTGGAAGGTTGAGAAGACGCGTAAGTACTAGGCTCATGGGAAGACGACTCGTTTGCTGATTTGTGAAAAAGGCCTCGACGCGACCGTACAGACCCTCCGAACGAAGCTCGACCGCGCCGACCGCAAAGTCGCTGTCCTCGAGATCGAGAAGAAGCGATTGACCACCGAACGCGACAACATGACGAACCAGCTTGGCGTTGCTTTCCAAACCTGCGAGGAGCTGAAGAACGAGAAGCTGGCTTTGGCCGACGAGAACGACGCGCTTCGTCAAGAGATCGAATCCCTCCGAGGCGACAACGATGACCTTCGTGATCAGCTGAACCAGGAGCTGTCGCACCACCGCGAAGAGACTGTGCAGCTTCGGCAGCAGTTCGACCAGGCTGCGAACGCGACCGAGAAGGAGAACGCGACTCTGAATGCCGAACTGGCTCGCATTCGCGCTCAGCACGATGAGCACACTCAGCAGCTTGCTCGTCAGGATGTCGAGCTGCGCAAGGCGCGTCAGGAGAAGGCCGAATACGCTCGTCTTCAAAGCGACAACGAGGCGCTCAAGCAGCAGCTGGCGAACTTGAAGACCAAGCGCGAGGAGGAGGTCAAGAGATGGGAGCGTCACGAAGCCGCAATGAAGGCGCAAGTCGACCGCCGCGACGAGACTATTCGACACTTCCAGGATATGACTCAGGAGCAGACCAACGAGGCAATGCGACTGGATAACGAGAACCTTCGACAGGAGCTTGCTCAGCTTTCTGCTCAACACGAGGATGAATATGAGAAGTGGGCCAGGAAGGAAAGCCAGCTCAAGCGCAAGGTCCAGCAACGTGAGGCTGCTGCTAGGCAGACTCTGGATCTGACACGCGAAGTCTTGAACATCCGTGAGGCAAACGAGCAGCAGTTCAGTGCGCCTCAGAGGGACAACACCCGCCAGGAGACCCTTCAGCGCAAGCCTAGTTACCGCCGTGAAGACACGCGCTCCCGCATCAAGAGCCGCGTTCAGCAGGAGTCGCGCAACAGCCGAGCTGAGATTGCACAGCCTTCTCGTGTCCAGGAGAGCCCGCGCAAGGAATACACTGGCGTCTCTAGGAAGGACTTCAGCAGGTCTCTGCCGGCGGACACCCGACGAAGCTTCTCTGCACCTGCCGCTGATAAGAACGCGCATGTGGACAGCGATGTCGAGTCGACTACTGACCTGTCTCTGAGGCCTCATGGCACTCCCTATATGTCGCGAAGCGTCCAGTCGAAGCCGACCATCACTATCCAGCGGCCTGCTGACTTAGACCTGACTGAGCTGAGCTTCATCGGTAGCGACGTTATTGCTCAACTCCGTCGCCAGTTGGAGGAAGAGCGCGCCAACGCGCGTCGTGCATCATGTGCACCTGTCGAGCAGACTATTCGCGATGAGACTGTCCGCTCGCAGCGACAAACTCGCGAGGATACCATTAGGTCCGTTGCGTCTGCTAAGAGCGAGCGTCGACCATCTCTGGTCCGTAAATCGTCGCTCAAAGACACCACTCGTCGCACCGCCGTGAGCCAATCCGAGGACGATGTCACTGGTAACATGTCGAACCTGGACGCCGATACCGAGGCCACTCAGACTAAAGACCTCTCAATGCACAGCAACACCAGCCGGCGCCGCCGCAGCGCTCCCACTGAGATGACCTCGGCCTTCATCGTTCCTGACATCAAGATCGAAGCCCGCAGGCCATCCATCACAGCTACCACCATCTCCAAGCACGACAAGAACCACGACAACGCCAACTGCACCGTCTGCCGCCGCGAAGGCCTCACTTCTTCCACCTCCGCCCTTCGCGTCCCCCGCCTCGTACCAGTCTCCTCCCGCATGCCAGAGGATGAAATCGACGCGACCCTCCGCCCCGCCCGCTCCCCCAAGGAAGCCCTCGCCTTCGTCGTCAAAGAACTCCAAGACGAGCGCGCACACCTGCACATCGAGCTCGCCGCACTCCGCGCCATGCTTGAAATGCATGACGCCAGCCAGGGCGCCCGCAAGCGCGCCAAAATCAACGCGAACATCCAGGAAACCCTCCGCCGTCTCGAGATCAAAGACGCGCAGATTTACAACTTGTATGATGTGCTTGAGGGCCAGGCTGCGGATGGTGAAATCACAGAGCAGGATGTTGAGGATATTACGGAGCAGATTCGTGCTGAGGATGCGAAAGAGGGTGTGAATGGTAGTGCGGATGTGGATATGAGCCATGTCGAGATGGAGAGGGGGAAGAAGGGGCAGGGGAAGAGAGTCACGATCAGGAGCTTTGTGGATGAGAGTGAGAGCGAGCAGGAGACGCAGACTAGGGACTTTGGGAAGGACGGGATGAGGAAGACTATGCTGGATGACGAGACGGAGGGGTTGCCGTGGGAGGGGTTTGAGGATAGTGAGATTCCTGAGGGGTGGGGACGGGTGCATTGAGTGGAAACTCGTGTGCGATAGGCGTTTTGGATTTTGGATACGGTCATCACTACGGGGCATTGGGTATGGCGTTTCGAAATGCTTCTTTTCCTTATACCCTCTTTCTGTACTGGCTTCACTGCAGATTAGCTAGATAGCTCCCGTTTCTTACATCTTCACAACTTCCTGGCCCAGCGTCAAAGCCAGCAGCGGACTCCCACACTTTCTGAGCGCGCCTCGACTCGCCCTTGGGCTTGAGTTAGCAAGCGAAGAAAGACGTGGTTGAGACTGCTGACCGAAGCTGCTGGCTGGGGCTGTGGAGTGGAAGGACCGAAGGCATGTAGTCAGTCAAAGGTGGAGCGCTAACCATAGAACGAGACTTTTCATTCTCAACTTCATTCTACTAGCATGTGCTATGATCTTATGTGTCTTTAGCATGATGCTCACTCCATGGCCCAGTTGACGCAAGGTTATCCGGCACTCAAAAGACATACTGATGTTTTTGCCATGAATCTAGACATGAACGGTGTAGGCGTGTGTTTTAGGACGGGCAGAACTTGATATCGGTTCATATGCATGGCGATACGGGATTTTCGATATCGTTCAAGCTTCTCCATGGTGGGTGAAAAGGAGCAGACAGAGAGGGTATTCGCTATAGTTGTCTTCTGAATGTCCGGCTTGCAGACCACGACTTTCGAAGAGGATAAGACAGAAATGTCGTTCGAAAAAGCAGTGTAGTTATCAAGCGTTGATGAACAGAAAGGAAACGAGAGGAGCAGAACATAAAATCTGTGCTCTGATGCTTTTTGGGAATGCTTTGAAGTGTAGAAGAAATTGGTTCATCTCTTTTCATCAGCAGTCTGTTTGCGGTTTGTGATGTATACCAATTTGACTTTCGCGGAGGACATTGATGGTGTTTCGCTGGCTTTGTTGAGAAAGAGAAGCGACAGACGTTGTTTTTGTTGCGGTATCAGTTGGTCCGTATGAGACTCGATTACCCTTGCTTAGACTGTTCTGGACTAGCACGTTCCAGGGCCAGTATATATCGTCTTCTCCAAGCTAGATAGCAACGCAGCGCAGTATTCCATAGCCCTACGTTATCGTTTACCGTAGCTATCAATGTACTACAGCGGCTACGCCACCACAGTTTTGTATGTGAGAAGAGCAAAGACATCCATCATGCTGTAGGTGTTATTGGAGGAAGCAGAAATGTGGGTCGACTGCAAATGCATTTTCGAGTATCGGAATGAGCGGTGTAGATGAAAGAGTAGCCAGAACCAGGGTGTGAGTCTTCATACCAGCGCAAAGCTGGAGCACATCGCATTCAAGTTAGGAAAGACCAGAAGGCAAGGTCATAACGAATGCGGCCGTGTCTTTTTTTACTTTAACTGTGACTTTGCACGAAGAGACAGAGCATCTCGTCTCATGGCAAGGTTGAACGCCGATTTTGATTAAGAAAATGAGTTGACTTTGATAGTAGCTATCGAAGAAAGTGAGGAGTGTTTGTAGAAAGAAGAGAGAAAGCTGACATTTCATCTTGGTAATGAGTTTTTAGCGGCAGAGACCATCGCCCAGCACGGTAGATGTTTTGGAGTCGAGACAGCCATTGGCCAGCGTTCAATAATTTTGGATTTCGAGCAAAGTTGGAAATGCGCAGAAGAGTAAGAAAGTAGTATGCCAGTTTTATACCAACTCCATCGCATGGTCGTTGGTGAATTTCGATCGGTGTGAGGGCTGGTCTTCGTATGGTCATCAAGGATGTGTTTGTCGACTTGTAGAGAGCAAAGATGAAGCAGACATGGCCTTGAGGTAGGACTGTTTAAAGGTGCGGGAAACACGTTATAAAAGTCACCAAGTTCTGGAGGGCAGAAACACGCCTTGTTGCCATCTTCTTTTTCAAATAGTGCAGAGGGTGTTGTAGATAGAAGAGAAGACAGAGCTTAGAGGTGAGACTTTATACCGGCTCCATGTAAAACACCCTACCATCTTTTCGATCTTCATTTCGTCAGCTTTCTGGGTGGCCATCGGAGTTGTTTGTTCGGATCCAGGCCGGGACGTATGGCCAAGATGAGTCCCGAGCTTGTGTTGCAGTTGACTCGGTGCTGGTAATCGAGATCCTCGAAGATGTAGTGTTTGTCCTTGAAAGTAGTGGCTTTATTTCTGTGTCCTCTGCAGGCGCGATCTCTTCGTCAGGCTTGGGCTTTCGCTTTGGCTTCTAGAGTGGCGATAGAAACACGCACTGTTAGACGTAGTAGCAATGTAGTAAGAAGACGACTATTCATGTCGCAATGACTGCGACGGTGAACATGGCGCCTGACCTACCCGGGGCTGCCACCGTGGACTTGTCAGGGATGTACAGCATGATGGTGTCCGGCAGTGGTTGTTACAGTATCATCATGGTGGATAGACTGCTCGCTCGGGGTGTGAATCTGACACTGTGCTCGATTCGAAGATTGAAATATTATGTGTGAATTCATGCACGTGAAGGCTTAGCAGTCAGTACCTTACCACAGGTACATGTCAAAATTTGCGAACCACTAAGTGGGCAGTCTGAACCCTTGTCGGGGATCGTGAGTGATCCGTACGCATGTGGGAAGAATTGCAGGATTGAACTGAGGTTGTATTTCACTATTCTGTGTGTTTAAATATGTTGTGGTCTCGGTTGAGACCCTATTACCCTGGTATATACTGTCCTGGAATAGCGACTTCCAGGGCCAGTATATAGTCGGCTTCTCCTCACGTAGTCTAAACCGTGACAACCCTTGAACATGATGGACCTTGGATTTGCTTTTTTGTAATCGAATCGTGTTCTTGGTCGGCATCTTAAACTTAGTGTAGCTGTATGGTCGTGTGAAGAAGTATAGCTTTTTTTAATTTAGAATCATGCCGGATGATGGATTTTAGAGGAAGGGAGAAAATCCGTCTTCAGATATGCGAGTGAAGTACAAAGCAGAGATTGGATAAGAAGGGTTCGTCAGTGCAGTACAATCATTAGTATCGAGCAGCTAGTAGCCAAAGACTGGGAAGCGCATCGACCCTGATAGAAGCGGACGAAGTACTTGGGATCTGACTGAAAGCCGACAGGGCTGCATGTGTGAATCTTTCCGTTTGATCGACCGCGATGACTGTGAGCAACGTTGGGCGAGGCTGGTGAGCACTGGGTCTCGATGGAGCGGCCTTGCGGCTAGAAGGCGCGCTAGCGCGCTGCGGCCAACGTTTGGTCGCACCTGCCGCAGCTCGCGTCTGCGCGTGTGTTTACTCCTCGTGCACCTGCATGTCTCACACATGTCCACAAGCGAGCAAGTAAGATTGCTGTCGTAAGAACAACGTGCTCACCACGAGCGCAGCGCGTCGCACAAGGCGGTCAACCTATGACGCTGCTCTAGACTCGATGATGTCGGTGTGCGGAGCAGCAATTAATGGGATGGGCCCCCCTGTTGATGCAGCCAAGGCTGTGAGTGGACCCTTCAATTCGTGAATGGGCGACAAGCTAGGCTAAACTAATGGCGACCTCCTGATGCTCCTTTCTGAGTGTCGAGGCCGTGGGCTGCTCAGCGCCTCTCCTGTCTTTACAGTCTGCGTATAGTCGCTCATTACTGCATCTTGAAGTGTAGAGAGCTTTTCGTAGCGCGTTTCATTGCGCATTGCCCTCACAGACCCCGGTCCCCGCCTGCAACCGCCGATTCGAAACACTCGACGCCAGCGCGTGCACACTTATTGACCAGTTCGAGACTGGATGCTTGCCCCATAACACCCACGCAATGACGGAGGTGACAGCCACCACCATGGACGTCGAAAACAGTGTCACGATTCCCACCGTCGAGGAGCCGCGGCCGCCCAGAACCCATGTCGATTCCACGCCGCTGCCGACCGACTCGATGGTGACGGTGCCGCTGTCTGAGGCTAGCACGCCCGATGATGATGTCCGAGAGTCTATAATACGGCCAGAGATCATAGTAGAGGAGCGGAGGCTGTCGTCACGACCAAGTTCAGACGAAATCCACAAGGCATTCGGCCGCCGTGGGAGTCAAGCCAGCGTTGCTGCCCCAACCTCGACCAGCCCCACTGTGTCAGTCCACAATGTCGATGCAACAGAGACACCGAAGTCGACACGGTCGAGGAGTGGCAGCGACAGCTCAGCAGACGCCAAGGTAGATTGGGCGGAGCTGGAGAAGAAGGAGACACAGCAGAACCACCAGGGCCAGGATGATGTAAGTTTCATGTTCTGCTAGCACGTTGACCATGCTAACACGTGCAGGCCATGGCGTTGCTCCTCGCACGCCTCGAACAAGAGAACAATGCCCTGATGTCCGACTCCAAGGCAGGCATGAAGTCAGCCATGAAGAGTGCCCGCGCTCGTAGCCAGTCTCGGCCGCCGTCCTTCCAACAGCTCAAGCGTCTTGTGCAGAATGATGCCTCGGACGTTCGATTCTCTCAGCTACCGTCACCACCGCCCATGACCGAGCTCGAATTCTGGGCGGCCCTTGTCCGCGACTACCCGCAAGTGGTGCAACGATTACCGACGCTGTGTCTGAACAAGATTCGTGGCGGCATTCCTGCACCGCTACGAGGCGTTGTGTGGCAGAGTGCGTCTGGAGCACGCGACAAGCTGATCGAGGATCAGTACGATTCACTTTGTGGAGAGTCGAGTCCGTATGAGAACATCATCAACAAGGATCTTGGCCGAAGTTTTCCTGGCGTTGAGATGTTCAAGGACCCCGAGGGCGAAGGTCAGAAGATGCTGGGCCGCGTGCTGAAGTGCTTTAGCTTGTATGACAACAAGATAGGGTACTGCCAGGGTCTTGGCTTCCTCGTTGGCCCGCTTCTCATGCAGATGGGCGACAAGGAGGCCTTCTGCGTGCTTGTCAGGTGCGTTGTTTGTGTCGAGTATGGGAGCAGCTGCTAACTCCAACAGGCTCATGGAAGACTACGACCTTCGCTCTTGCTTCCTTCCTGACCTCTCAGGTCTGCACCTGCGCATCTTTCAGTTCCAGAAACTGCTGAGCCAGCACATGCCAGACCTCGCGCTGCACCTTGAGGAGATGCAGATCGAATCTGCTTACCTTTCGCAGTGGTTTCTGTCATTCTTCGCAGTCACATGTCCACTGCCTATGCTGTTCCGCATTTACGACGTACTCTTTGCTGAGGGCGCCTCCGAAACCATCATGCGTGTTGCCCTTGCGCTCATGAAGAGGAACGAAGCCAAGTTGCTCTCACTGACCGAGATGGAAGACGTCATGCAACTACTCCTTGGCCGCCAATTGTGGAATCCCTACGGCCGAAACGCACACTCGGCGGACGAGCTGGTGAGCGACTTTGTTTCGTTCACCAACGACGTTACGCGAGAGAAGTTGCAGGGACTAGAACAGCAGTACAAGGAAGCGCAGGAGAAGGAATCCGCTAAGCAACAAGTCAACAAATCCGCTACATCGTTTTTGGGCCGCTTGTGGGGCCCTTCTAATTCGTCTACGAAGTCCGTGTCTCTCAGCCCGGGCCTATCTGCGCCTTCACGTCCGGTCAGCTTCCTGAGAAGGACACCGTCGAAACAAAGCCTCGCTTCTACCCTGAACTCTACCGCCGAGTCCGACACATCAGCGGCGACCCAAAGTACAGCTTTGACAGACATCTCTCGTGCTTCTCACGCAGACACCATGTCGATAAAGTCAGGACATGCGTCTGTTGCCATGAGCATCTCAGCGAAGGACAGGGACTTGCATTACCAGATTGAGCAGCTTCTTATGTCTGTGAGCCAGCTGCAGCGACAGAACAGCGAGCTGGAGGCTGCACTGCAGAAGCAGCGCGAGGACCGAAAGGAAGACCATCGTGTCGTGCGGTCTGTTGTTGACAAAATTCGAAAGAAGGACTCAACACTGTCTGCACCATCATCACGCGCGTCAAGACGAAGGACCACCATCACAGCCGCTACCGACGTCCCAGCCTCCAGCGAATCATCGACAGAGCTGTCAGGAGAGAGTGTTGACATAGCGGAAGCATTGGAAACGCAATTCCCAGCGACACAAACGCATCACCGCGCTTCTTCCATGTTTGAGACAAAACAACTACTTCGCGACAACTTGTCTCGGACCAAGGATCAATTAGCCTCAGAAACGTCACGAGCGCAGGCGCTTGCTCGCGAGCTCAACGACTGTCAATCTGAACTCCAGATCGCACGGGATGCGCTCAAAGACACACGAAACCGTCTTGCAGACTCGTACAACCAGAATCAGAGACAAGAGAAGACAATTAATGATCTACGACAAAGTGCACGCAAGACTGCTGCGGCAGCAAGCTGGACCTCTGCAGACGACACCTCACCCAACATCACACCCACGTTGAGTAGAAGCACTACATCTGAAAGTGTTACAAGTGGACTGAGGGAGCTACGTCTTGGCCGCACCGCATCCCAAAAGTCGACTCGCGAACACCCACCACCCATTACCTTCAACAAGCGATCCTCCTCGCTCGCCATGCAGCCAGTCCTCGCAAACGACAACAACGCACCGGCCGACAATGAGCAGCTGCTTCTTGAGCTCGTCAATGCAAAGACCGCAGAAGCTGTTGCGCGACAAGAGCTTGAGGAGATGAGGGTGAAGTTTGAAGGCCTGAAGAGGACCATGAGTGCGCAGCCCACTGCGAGTGCAACAGCAAGTCCAGTAGTAACGCCGACACCGACACCAGCTGCCGTGCCTGAGGCGAAGAAGGAAGGTGCTGCTGCTGGTGGCTGGACATGGGGAGGATGGAAGAGGACAGTGAGTACAACGAACGCCAGCATTTCGTAAGGGAGACGTAACGCCATGTTTGGAAGATATACAATATATGTATGCAACGACACGACGAGCTACGTGGAGGTCGACAGTATGGGAGACATAGGCACCGGATGCCACCACTATTATTCATGTATTGAGATACCTAGTGCTATCTATAGCACTCCAGCTTTCCCAGCCAAGGCATGGTTGAGAGCATAGTTTAGATCATTCTTGGGCCTAATAGAACAGTTCATACCCTCAGCCTTGGGCACCTCGACTTTACACCTCATGGTACCTCAGCTCGACGAGACTTCACAATCATTGGATCTCGGCTCCAACGGTTATCGTCCACCACTCACATTCAACACGCGGAACTACTAACTTATTTCCGCTTCCGTTCCCGCAATTTCCCCCTCAATCTAAGGAGACATATGTCGCCCTGTGAGAAGCGAGTGAGGAGGCGAGTGAATAAGCACTAAATCGACCAGCGTCGTGTCGAAATACTCTCAAAGTCTGGTACGGAAAGTCACAATCAGTCAGTAAATGTCTGAAGTGTGAAGGGGCTAGTCGCACTATATCTCCACAACATGTCCCGAACCACCGGCACTCACGCCTCACGTGCGCAACTACCGAGCACCGAGGAAACATGTCCATCATCACACCGTGGCCTGAACCCCTTGACTTGTGTCCGTTCTCAGCCCCAAGTTCTGGACCGTGGTGTTTCTGAACCCCAGGTTTCCCCACAACAAGCCAGTGGCTTTAGCGCGTTCCGCAGTTGCATTAGCCTCTTGGAACCTTTACAATGCGCCACGACAAGAGCTTGTGCACCTGCTTCGAGTCAACACAACGACGCGGCGGCTCGATGGAAAGATTGAGACGATGAGAGGGTCTGAGAGCATCTGCCGTATCCACAACCGCCCCCAAACCCCGCGTTCATCAGCCTTATCAGACAGCGATCGTGGATACTCGTTCACATGAGTCCGTCCCGTGTTGACAGGGTTGACAATGGCTCTAGCAGCAAACCAGGGTCTCGACTGGCCAGCAAGATGACTTCGATATTGCAAGAGACTGGACGGCGCAAGGAACGTGCACATGTCAAATGCCTGATCTGCAGCCTGCCTGAAAATTCACCCGGCTGCTAGGCAAATCGAAGTTCTCGAGATAAGCCGCACTCGTCCAGCAACATCTGTCCGATCCTCATGCCCAAACTCGTCTCCAATTCGGACTGCAGACGTGCTCGACCGTACTAACAACAACTGCCGATATCCGAGCACTTCAGTTACTGGACGGCGCTATCTCTCCGGCATGTCGGTCTTGTGGCTGAACTTGTACTATAGCTCATTTCACGATAGCGTGGACATCTCCGCATCAGGCACAAGCGCGGAATAGAGGTCCGTTTGGAGCACGAAGATTATCAACTCAGTGCCTGGAGTTGACGTACAAGTATCTGCTATACACCTGGTGGATGCAGGTCCTTCAGAGCATTGTCCACGACCAGTTTGCAGCTTGCAATTGAATTGCCACAATGGCTTCTAAAGAGTACACCGAAGATGTACACCTCTTCTCATCCACCTCCACCACACATGTGCCGACATGTTATAGGAGCGTCGGCAGCTCGAACATGAGCTCAATGTCAAGATTCTCCCCAACACTGAGATCATGGCAGACATAGGAAGCCACCCTTCGTCAAGGGCTCCCATCGAGACGTGCTTGTCCCACAACCATCAGATGAACCATACGATCCTCTGAATTGAAGCACTTGCTGGAAGACAGCATACATTTTGTCCACAGCTATGGTGAAATTCACTCAAAGCTTCGGTCCGCTCGCGCTTGCACCCATGTTTCCCGCCCTGATGGAGGCCTTCCAGTGTGATCTTGCTGGCGCGGTTCACAGACGTGAGTATCTTGGTGTTGGGGTTTAGCAACTTCATCTGGTCAGCCGCGCCGTCCAAACTATACGAGCTTAGATTGCTGAAACGTGTTCAGGGCCTCCATCAGTACTTCCTTCGGTCGTAGACCAGTATTCCTTCTCAGCCAGCTTATCAACTTTGGCACTAGCATGTGGCTTGCCAAAACTGATTTCTACGGCTCGTTCATGGGCGTGTGCATTGTCAATGGCGTTGACGCTGGACCGGCAGAGACCATCATGCCTGAGGTCATTGCTGATATCTTCTTCCTGCACGACCGTGGCAAGTAGAACATACTCTACTGGGTTGTGTACATGGTTTGTTACCAGAACCCTCGTACTGAGTTTTCACTGACTACCTATGTAAGGCATTCTCAGGGTGGGACCCATCGCCTCCGGCTCGATGACCGAAGAACTCGGCTTCCGCAGCTTCTGGTGCCTCAACGCTAGGCTCATTGGTGCCTCCTTCCTCATGGTCGTTTTCATGTTCCCAGAAACCCGCTTCAAGCGCGAGGACTCGTTAGCCGTCCCCACAAAGCACATTCACACCGATTCCCCTAACGAGAAAGGACACGCAACAACCATCGAAAACGCCTTAAGCTCAGACGATGGCGAAATCCACCATGTTACCACCGCAACTCCTACTGTTCCGAATACAGGTAACGGCCTCACGCTCACCGAAACTGCAGCTCACGAACCCTAGCTCGGAGCCGGCAACGGCGCGTTTTTCAACCCAACGCGCACCCCTTCCGCTCCAGATTCCTCGACATCTGGATCCCCTGGAAACTCTTCGCGTTCCCCATCGTCAAATTCGCCGCATTTGCTGTATCCTGGTCCTGGTCCTCCTTCCTGACCATCAACCTCACGCAATCCCAAGTCCTGTCGCTCCCACCGTACAACTTCCGCCCCGCAACTGTCGGCTTCACAAACTTTGCTATCATAATTGGTGCACTCATTGGGCTATTTACGTCGGGCCCATTGAGCGATTGGATTGCTGCGAGAGCTACGAGGAAGAATGGCGGCGTGAGGGAGCCGGAGATAAGATTGCCTGCTATGATTCCATATGTTGTTGTTAAGTTACTTGGTAACATTGTGGTTGCTGTGGGATATGAGAGGAAGCGGCCTTGTGAGGCTATCGTCATTATTGGATATACTTGCGCAGATATTCAGGTCGCGGCGTTGCCGGGGAGTCATTGTTGTGGGTCCAAAAGACCCTGAGTGCCTCCAGGCTACCGTGACACTGAATTGGTACGCGTGTGTATCGATACACTCTCACGTCCCAAGAAAGAATATCCTGGATCGTACAGAAAGGGCCTGTGTTTGGCGATAGCCTGGGCTAGAGGTACTCAGGGCATATCCCATAGGTGTTGATACTCCGGTTCGCTTAGAATGCGATCTCTGGTTCAGTTGAAACTTGCAAAATCGGATTGGTCGATTTTCAAACATGTACGTTATTCAAAAGTACAATACCATGGTGCCGCAACGTTCGAAGAGAATTTTCTCTGAGAGCCCGTTTCAACCATGTCCCTCTTTGATTTGCACACACTTCACCATAGATTACCTCCCCTCTTTAAAGCTCACCGATTTCGCACAAATATTCCGCACGAACAATCAAATGTCCACCACATACCACCATCACCACAAGGCCAACACCGCCGACACGAACCGTATGGTCCTGGTATACATGCTCCTCTCCATTTTCATCTTCCTCCTCATTGGCGGCCTCATCTACTATCTCATCAACAAATACCATCAACACACCTCTGATCACCATTACCTGGAAGCGTGCCGCCCACTCCTCTCTGAAGACATATCAAGGCCCTATCAAACCTCCCCACCATCTTCTCACGAGGCACTTCTCCAAGACCCTGAGATCAGGAGGATAATGAGGCGCGAACGAATACACCACGACATCTCAGGGGTTTATCAAATTTCCGTCAGAAGACTGGCAGACGATGAGGTTTCGCTATCTAGTGATAGTTCGGAGACGGAGGATGAAGAGCATAGTCGAGCGAGTGTTCAAGAGGGAATGGAGGAGCAAGAAGGAGAGTCGAGCGAGAGTGAGAGTGAGAGTAGCGACGATAGCGATAGTGATGGTGATGAGGTTATGGAGATGCGGCAGCTTACGGATATGAGGGGACCTGTTTTGCCGAAGAGGGTTGCTATGTTGAGGGACATGAGGGATTAGGTGCGTCTAGAGCGGACTGTGCTTGCGGTTGTAGAGTTGGAAGGGGTTTTGAATGTTGTTGTGACTTTCCTTATCATGCCTTATCTTACTATTGTATACGATGACCATATGAGTCGTTTCATAGCCCAAATGCAAAAACTGTAGACAGGAATATAAAAAGTCCAGAGAAAAAGCCTTAAACGTTCAGGAATATCATGCGAAGGATATAGTTCAACAACCACTAACCTCGAAATCTTCCTCCAGCACATGCCTGACGCCTTGATTCGCAACCAACACCACGTAGTCTACATGCTTGAACAGGTAGAACCCAGAGACTGGTAATGTTCCAACAACTTCGTACTGCCTTCCAATCTGCAGGGGCAAGTAGCAATAAGGAAGAAACGTCTTCTCCAAGACGTGGTACATGGCCTCGAGTTGTTTGCGATAGAAGTAGTGTGCCATGATCTATCCTACATGATCTAGATGGAAATGAATGTGGAGCCTCTTGCTTTTCGATCCTGGGCGAAGCTTGCACTTGACGATTACGAGAGCTGTGACTTGGCGGAGGTATGTTTTGTAGACATTCTGTACTAAAGGGCCGAAGTCCCAGTCCACCATCACTGCCTGTGAGTAATGGATAGTGACGAAAAATATCTCCAAAGACTGTAGGTTTGGTTGACAAGGTGGAGGAATTAGCCAGGCAGCGCGGTAGATCGATGATGATTGGAACTCGATCTCAAGCACTGGAGGAAGATCGAGTCTCTGGATTGCGCCCAAGGTATCGTAGCGTAATAGGTGACTTGTCTTCAACAAGCCCGCATCTGCGAAAGTGACCGGTGTTGGCTGTACGAGCTTAGAGGGGCTCTCTTCGGCAAAAGTTGGACTTGTTGAACGAGCTGGAATGGCGTCTTGGAGAAAACGATTGATAGTTTGATCGCGTATCTCTGGAAGAAGTCCATGAAGAGTTAGTGCAGGTCGCGCCATACTGCGTTCGAATTAGGATATCAGGTATCGCAACCTAGGTGTCCAGGCGTGAGTGAGTGAGGTAATCCAACACGTATGCAGACAGTGTTGCCGTATATGCATGACGTAGAAATATTGAGTGTGCGAGAACATATTTGGAATTTTTTAAAACGCAACTTCAGGTTGCGACTCTTATAATCGTGTTGACTCAGTGCTTGTCAATGTGAACAATGGTACTATATAATGACTTTCACAAGTTGTTGACCCCCCTCTGTCTGGAAACCATAATGTCATGTACCCACGAAGCTGTTCTTCGGGGCAAAAAGCCATATCTCATCATCGTTCCAATTATCAAGGGAGGTCAGCAACCTGTGAAAGTTACCGGTATCACTTATACGGCTGTGGGCAGCACATGAATAGTGTCCATGATGGGTTACAATCTGAGTGAATCAGAAATTGAAATATACATTCTCGTACTGCCTACCTCTACGGTTCTCAATCTCCAGATGTCCGTACGCCGCAAGATTGCCCTTCTTTTCGTTATCAGCTTTGGTGTCTCCATCGTCCTCATAGCCTGCTTCCGCCTCATCCCTCTTTTCGAGCTAAATACCTCCCCGGACCTCTCATACGTCCACGGCAAGATGTTCATCGTGGCAGCAATCGAGTACAATTGGCTATCAGTGCAGTCAGCCTGCCCTTACTGAAAACCTTGTAGATAAATATGGCTGGCGAGAGCTCGGCTGCCTCAGAACCATACTACTTGCGTCAGAGGAGCTACAAACTATCGACTCTCAGATCGTCCTCCAAAGGCAAGAGTAACAGAGTATCAAGAGGGAGCATTACCAAGATGGAACACAATGTACGAAGCACCGAGTCTGAAGAGAAGCTGTTCAAGCAAGCTGGCCTCAGACGAGCGTCGCATACTCCTGATGCTAGGATTGTTGTCACGACGGTGAGAACGAGTACAAACCGAGGTGGAAGATTTAAGTATGTAGGTTGCATTCTTCATCGTAAGATGTTTGCTTTTCTTTCATGATACATGTGTCCTAACTTCATGATTCGTTTGCCTCTCTTGCATCGTCTCACTTCAACTTCACCTTCAGCTTTACGTCACCACCTTGAGACTCTGCTTCACTCCAGCAGCCGCTTCTCTGACCTGATTTCAATCACCGCGTCTTATGTACCTTATCAAATAAGCCCTAACAACCTCACACAGCCACCACCTCCAAAATGACCGCCCTATCCCGCCGCAACTCGCGCGCCTACAGTATCCTCTCTGACGACCCACACCCCACACCCCGCCCTTCCCCAGCACCACCACTCACTCGCCGCAGCGGCACCCGCGGCGTACGCGCGACATCAATAACCTCCGACGCCGCACCGCCCACCGAAGCGCCACAAGCAACGCGCATAGCACCGCACTACTTCCTCTCACCTACGGTCCCGGGCCCGTTCACCGGCACCCTCGAAGCAAGTCTCGACGCAATTCTGCAATGGGGCAAACTCCACCCCTCGACCACCGCCATCGTGACAACTCTACTTGAACCAGTCTCCAAATCAACAAACTGGCCGTTGATTCTATCCACATTCAGCACTCCCAGCACACTCTCTCCAAAGCTATCCCGCTTCCTGCTCGAGGAGTTTTTATTCTTGGTGACGCGGACATTATTGCCGGAGCAAATCGCCGAAAACAGACTCGCAATGGGGAGATTGTATGATCGGAAGAAACAGCTTGCGATTCGGTTGGTGTTGAGGTATGATATGCTGAGGGAGTGGTGCATGGGGGAGGGACCGGTGGGGAAGAGGGATGTTAGTGTTGCTTCGGTGCCGCCGGCAAATATCGTTGAGGAGCCTGTCGACAGTCCTATGGAAGAGAGTGGAGTGGTAGGAGGAGAAGAGGGGTATAAGAGGAGGGAGCTGATGCCGAATATCTGGCCGACGCTGATCGCTGCACCCACGGGTGGGTTTACAACGCATGGTGTGAGGGAGAGGATGAAGCACTACGTTACACCTCTCGATAACTACCTGCTGCTGACCGATGAAGAGGTGAAGGGGTGGAGTGATAAGACGCTGGTGGTCAGGGCGAGTCAGATTGTGTTGCAGTGGCAGTGGCTGAGGCAGAAGAATGAGACGCTGGAGGAGATGGAGAAAGGTGGGTGGGAGGAGTTGGATGGTAGGGCTGAGGAGTGCGAGTGGATTGCTGAGAAGAGGGAAGGAGGTGTGGGCAAGGGTGGGAAGGCGGGTGAAGAGGGGGTTTAGAAAGATTGGAAGCTGTGTGGACGGACTTTGATTTGAAGAATGGCTGTGGGGGTACATTCGTGCAGTGCACAAGCCGGGGTATCGTTATGAGCAGCCCCAGAAGACCGTCTCTGCCAAAGAACCACTTACTGGAGGCCACATCGTGGCTTATACCAAGGCGATTTCTAGTCCTCCTCAGTATCGCTCGGCGCCGATGAGAGCGGTGATCCAGATCCAAAAGACAGCAAGACGCTGTTCTTGCGGTCCGCTTTCTTCTGCGGCGGCTTCCCTGACATGACCTCGAGCACTTCCAACATACCCAACAGTCGTCCTGAGCTAGCCTCCATGAGTTCACGTGCTTGCTTCTCCTCCTTGGCATTCGCCCTCTTGCCTCTGCCAGACCCGTAGACGTTATGTCTGACTTGTATACCGGTCTCCATGGCCTCCCTCAGCGCATCTGTTGGCTTGAGTCCATCCTCTGCCATCATGAGCATGAACAACTGCTCAAGAATGAGAGAGACCTTGGCGTTAGCTGCAAAGCTCTGACTGCCTTTCAGAGGCAATAAGATGGATTCGAAGTGGTCTTGCGTTGGGTCGTAGCGGAAGTAGTCGGGCAGGGTGCCGCTAACGAAAGGTAAGAGCAGGTTGGCGAGGAACATGTACTTCATGTGTCCAGGTACTGCCAATGTAGCGAGAAAAACGTTGAAAAGCATAGTCGGCAGGTATCGAAAATCCTCCACAACATTGTCGAACCAGTCGCTGAGCGTCGTGAATTGGGTGGGGAGCTTGATTGCTACTTGTGCCAGCTGAACTTGGTTAGAATTAATTCGATCATAACGGACAGTGCAGACTCACCAACGCTAGGAGACGCTGTCGCAATGCTATTGCGTCGCTGCCGCCTAATCGTTCTATAGCTTCATGCAGATTCAAGCTGCCATCGTTGATGTCAGACAGATCTAATGGAGGGGTGGCTTCGAACTTGCGCTCGATCGCTCGTGTCACTCGTGCGGGAGCGTCCTTCATCTCCTCGTCGCTGTCATAATCTGCCACTTCACCCGTCTCGAAGTCAACATTTCCAAGCTTCTGCTTCTTGTTCGCTCTCTCCTTCGGCTCCGAAGTCTCCCTCTCCCAGATCTGGGGATAGTCTTTCATAGACTCAGCCGATGCTATCGCGAAAATGGCCTTGGCAATGCGCCGTCTCGTCGTTCGTGTCATCGACTGGCCTTCTCCCACGACGTACTGCCAGATGAGGCTTTGCTGCAACGCAGCTTCTTGCCCTGTATCATCGTGTTGGCTTTGCTTAACGCAAACATCCCAGTCCGCCTCCAAGAAGTCTAGCATGACGGCCAGCCACAGTTTCCACCTCTCCCATCGCTTCTTATATGCCGCAGAGCAGTTGAACGACCATCCAACAATGTGCCAGAAGTCGTCGGCTCTGTACCACAGACTCTTATCGTTCGCAGCTTCGCAGTAGAGGTGATCGATATCATCATCTTCTTCAGGAGACAGACTTCTAGTCGCATTCCTGTATCCACGTGGACGTCGTCGTGTGCGCTCTGCAGGAAAGGTGAATGCTTGCCGTATGTAAGGATATGCTGGTGCCTCTACAGTGTTTAGGAGACATTGCAGGTAGCGGAGGGCTGCATCAGAGCTTTTGCTAGTCTCTTTCGAGGGTGTCTTGAACTTGTGGGGGATGAGAGAGGCGGCGAGCGCAATTTGTGAGGGTGGTGGTAGGAAGCCAATGTATGGTTGGGCGGGGGTAGAAATGGAGGTGCCAGCTGCGAGCAGGCTGTAGAGGAACTCGTACGCGTTTGCAACTATCGTCATTTAGTGCATGGAGCTCAACATCGACGGAGAACTCACACTGAAAGCCTTCAATGAATGCCTTCGCGTGGTTGGCGAGCTCGTATGCCGCTGGTTTGGTAGGGCGCCTTTGCGCGCGTCGAGGACGTGTCCCTACAGCTTCGAGGGCAACTGACAGCACACCATTGCTGATGAGACCTGATGATGACCTTCGTTGCGGTTCTGGTGGTTTTGCGACCGTAGTCATGTCGGTGGTGTATTGTGCGACATTGAGGGAGGAGCGTGAAAGGTTGAGGTGGGGAAGTCAGACGCGTCGCGCGTGGTCACGACTGACTGACGCAACGCGATACAATTCTTACAACCACTCCCGTCGATGCTTCTAATCCCTTCCCCATCTCAAGCATCAATTAGAAGCATGCATATTGTTGACTTCAGGTACCTGGTGGCCACCGCTTAACTGGAGGCTACAGGCGGTACAACTCCACAAGAGCACAAGAAAACGCAGTGTTGCAGCAAAAAGGCAAGCGCAGTCTACATACACATCGATGGCAGAGAAGAAGTACTGAATTGTTGCGAAGATCAAAAATATTCGCACGACAGCGGCAGGATTCGAACCTGCGCGGCCGAAGCCATATGATATCTAGTAGATGGACTCGTTCGAGTCATACCCATTAACCACTCTGGCACGCTGTCTTTGATTGGTTAGTTGTTAAAATATATACAATATATACTCAATAATATTTTTTCCCCATAGGATGACTATGTTCAAAAAGCAATGCCTGTCAAAAAACTTCTGATTTAGGGCTTCTGAGGGGCAAGTAAGAGGCATTGATCCACTGCGGGGTCAGATCAAATCTCAAGCGAGGCTCTGTCCACACACGTCGAGCTTAACCGTCCGCTTGCAGTCTGCAGGATCGAATGGTTGTGAATAGCAGCAATTGAAATCAGTTGCATACACTTTCGACTGGCTTCATCATAGGATTACATGCAAAAAGAAATGTTTTTCGAGCATGGTTTGTAGACACAGGTCGCGATATCACTCAAAGTCCCATGGCGTTCTACGAGTGGAGTGCTCGAGTCCGGACTTGCGCCAAAAGTTTCTACCAAACCAGGCCTTACATTCAGCAGCAGGTCCAAAAGACGACGCGATAACAAAAAATATGCGGTTTCCGGTACCGGGAATCGAACCCGGGTCTTTCCGGTGCTTCGACCGATTGATCGGTTGAAAGCGGAATATCCTAGCCTCTGGACTATACCGGAGATGGTACTGTTGATGATTAATAACTAATTTGGAATAATTATATTTCTATTACTTCTCTAACAGCGTCCCTGCTGGAGCTGTGCAGCGCCGTACTGCATTTTGGGTCGCAATCTTGGTAGGGTGTGTCGCGAGGCGTGAGCTGGCTTGATGTGGACCGCCCCGCTGACGCCCCCTATCGGTGCCCAAACTCCAGCGTCCGCCTAGCTAAAGAACCATGTCTTCGCAATTGGCTTTGCTTCAGAATACAATATTAATGGGGACCAAGATGGGATGCTGATCGGTAACAGTAGGAGGTCTTGTTGCGTGCGAGGGATTGTGTTTATTAGTGCAGTCCCGACGCATTCATCTGGCAATCGCGAGTGACGCATCTCGACCTAGTCAGCTGTTGCAACAACTCGATGCTCAGCACTGCAGATCGATTCTGAGCGCCTGTGCAATCCTGCCACTGGGCACAATAGAAGCAGCTTCTATTTGCGGATAGAAAAGGCGTTGTCATAGCATCCTTTCGCTGGCTAAGAGCCTCAAACCTTTGTCCAGGCTGCGTTCACCGCGACATGTGTCACTTGCCACGCCCCAACTCGCAGGGCTCTTTGTTGGTTTCAGTCACGTCCTTCGCCACCGAAACCATCCGTTTGCTGCAGTGAAGGGAGGATTCGTATGACATCACATCAACAGCGACTTCACCAAGATGGCACCTCCGCGGTTTATCACTTCGTACTACAGCTTGGAAGCCTCTAGTCATCACCAACAATGTCGAAAGCTCTGCAGATCGCTACGTACAGTACATCATTACCTGGACCAGTTTCCTTGTCGCCATTACCTCTTGCATACCCGGATGTTACTGCTGCAGATTCGTTAAGCGAGGCTGGAAAGCCGATGCCTTCATGTCCTTGGTTGTCGGCATAAGTCTTCGGAATCCTCCCATTGCCCTATCTAAGCTTGACTTACTTGTGGTCCAGGTGTCCCTCCTTGGGGCTCTAGGTCTCCGGCAAAGAGCCTTCTCGTTAAGCTACTCACGGTAAGTGTTGAGTGATGACCAACTCGAGCAATATATTAACACCGCATCAGACCCGAACCAAACAGCTGCAACTCTTCCGACCCAAGCGGCAATGGTCTTACAGTCCGTTCAACCTTGCCCTGCTCTGATTGATGTCAGCTGATTGATACAGTGGTTCTTTGTCACCTTTATCATCGACGACGCCGTGTTACACTTCATCATCCGAGCCGCCTTCTTCATCTTATATCTGCAGTTCTCAGCTCAGTCCAACTTCCGCTTGTGGATCGGCTTAGGATTCGGTGTGAACGGGATGCTAATCATACTCAATATGTTAATCATCGTTTTCCGATGCAAGCCGATTACGGCAGCATTCAGACCGATGGAACGCATGACAGCTCAATGTATGGATACTGAATTCGTTGTCTTTGCGCCGGCTGTTTTGGTATTTTCAAGATTGTATCTCTCTTTTGAATAAGATTAACACTGTGTACAGAACTCTTTGCTCAACCCCTATGTTCTGGTCCTATCTATGCCCATAGTCCATTCGATGCGAGTCTTCTGGACTCACATATCGGAATCTCGCTCGAAAGCCAAGGGAACGCCGCAACACCACTGCGACGTCAACCCACGAGATAGGTTACCATCACGGCTACATATGGACTCGGCGGCGCTACGTATGGGTCCGGTAGCTTCTCAAGACCAATGCCGCCTACAGTGTCCGTGACGAGTCTGGTGGATCGGTCTCTCCTGGCCCTACCAAAGGGAGCGAAACAGCCACGATACCCGACTGTAAACGGAGATTTTGGATCGCGACCCCGTACTTCTCTGAGCATAGCCTGGTTTGCTCGATTCGCGTCGAGTAACTTTGACATTTTGCTTCAACTTATGTCGAGGATCGTGAGTGATCAGTACGCTGTGGGAAGAATTGAAGGATTGAACTGAGGTTGTATTGGGTGAAGCTACGGACAGTACATATAGGTGAGTAGCTGTAAACAACGCTAGTGTGACGTGGCAGCCACTCTCATGGAGGTGAGGTTCGACAGGCAAGAGCGCCCTGAACCGTGACAACTTATATATGCGGTTGGATCTGTTCTTTGGGTTTGGTGATTGCTACATCAATGCCACTCCATGGCATCGAATCCTCGATGAGGAATACTGAATCCAGTTATATCTGTCTTATCTCCAATTCAGGGATAGTTTGTCGTATTCGTGATGATGCACAGAAAGTTCAAGCATGCCCCTAACATCCACGGCCCATAAGCGAGAAAAGCCATCACCGAGATGGATCCATTGTCTAGGCAATGTAACCTTCCCCACATTTAATGAGTGCTTATCCTTTAGACACGTCTTATCCACAATATATTCAGCAGTAGGAAAAACACAATAGATGTGGTCATGCCGGCAACCATCTTGTGCGCAGCGTCAGAAACGCCTTTGCCTTCCACCCCTGCTCTATCACCGCCATTTGCATTTTCTCTAGTTCTAGATTACTAAGACAATAGTCATGATCTAGAAGTACATCAACTCAGGCTCTGAGGCTATTTAGATGTAGAAAGCACGTACTCCAAGACTATCTCCGTGTCAGACGCACCTACCTTTGGCGCTATGCGTTTTAGCGGCAGGCTCTGGTGCGATTATGTAGCAGACAGAGTGGCAGCGAGGCTGAGTGGATTGTAATTAATGTTATGCTTGATTGGTCCGAGGTGTGGCGCTCATCTTAGAGCACACCATTCCTTGCTTGCCTGAGGTCCTCTCGGACGGGCCAGGGGATCAAAAATGCACAGACGACGCCGAGCGCTGCCACGCTTGCTAGCTGATATAGCTGCGGGTATATTGCGGCTGCAACCGAGTTTGAATAAACAAATAGACAGATAAGTGGATCAACCGACCAGCTGCCCTTGGGTGCCAAGCATAACATCACAGACGGCAAGACCTCGGATCTTGATATTCACGCAGAGGCATGACAGGGCGACAACCACTCCCCTAAGGATTCTCCAAGCTCCCATGCAATAATATGCAACTTGTACCCTTGCGTTCATGCCCATACGCCTCTGCAAACCAGAGATATAGGAAGCTTAACCTAAAGAAGAGGAGAGTCAACCCTTTCTAGTTTATGCCTCCGCTATGAACATTCACGAACGTGTGCAAGATCCATACTGCAGGTCCGAACTCTGCCAGAACCAACGCCCATGGCAACCGTGGTCCCGCACACAGAGGAGCACGATGGCCGATATTCCGATGGTATCCATAGCATGTCCTTACCTGAGTGGTTGATCCATGTGTTGTCTGAGCTAAGACTTGTGCTCAGATATATAGGGCGCTCAGGTTCAACGACAGCTGCTCTGTTAGATGTCTTTGGACTATGAATGACAATGATACCTATTTCGGTATAGAGACAAGAGCTAGTTGAGTCGAAGGATCGATTGTCAAAACTCTTGCCAATGTTGAGCGTCTGCAGACACGCCCCGCTGCTCGCATCCTAGAGCTTGATGGTATTGTCGTATGACGCCAGCGCCAGCTTGGTCGAGTCGTGCGAGAAGGCTACAGAGCTGACAGCACTGCTATGGCCCTCGAGCGTCTGCAGGCACGCACTCCAGCCGGCGATTATCACTGGCTTGACAGTGACCCCTTTCGGCTCTTCGTGCCGAAACAACCTTCTGATCATGCTCCCTGTCGGACTGAAAAACAGCGCAGATGCATATGTCTGAAGGGGGTAGCTCTCGATTGGCCCTTTGTGGTACATGACGAATCGACGGGCATCTTGAACAAGCCTAGTAAGCTCATTCGCGTCCCGCATGTCCTGCTCGTGTTTGCCTGTATATTAAGTACTTCATACAAACAAAGTGCCTGTGTACGCCGTACCTGAAATAGAGAGGATAGTTTTGCCATGGAAATCACACCTTTTGCAATGCTCTTGCACAGACTGAGCCCTTCAAGCCAGTAGAGATACTTCTTTCTTATGAATTCATCAACAACGCCTGCGACTTGCAGGCCGCTAGCACTGTTTGCCCAAGACTCGGGCCTCGAGTCGCATAGATGATTGATCCAGTAGATGCATGGGTAGCGTGATGCTGCTAGTTGGTCTGGATCAGGCGGTTCCACATCATTGATAGGAGTTCCTAGCGCTTCCAGGCTGTATATATCCCTGTGCAATGTCCTTGACAGAATCGTGAGCGACCTCGAATAGATCACCCGATAAGCAGTTTCCGTTCCATCTGGGAAGATCTTGTCAAACGCTCTCACAAAGAGAAAGTCTTGTGCGAACTGATGCACAAAGTAGACTGTGTCTTCTCGCAGAGTGAGAAACGACCCATAGAGGCCAATAATCTCTCACACCGACTCCAGGTCGTCAACAAAATCCTCAAGTGGCTCTACGAGCGCCATCAATTCAACGGTCGTAACAGGCCGATACAAGACTGCAGTCGATGCCAGCACTTGCTGACAGAGCTCAGCACCGTCTGACTCACTGATCTGCTGCATCATCCACCTGTACAGGGAGTCTAGTCTAGGCGGGAACAGCGCTATCTTCTTCAGCACGTTCCATTTTGGTGTCGCTTTGAGGTCTTGGCACACCAACGCTACCCAGAGAAAGGTACCGTTGGCGTTCGATGTCAATTGTTGGAGCACGCCGGATCGAACGTTTGCTTTATTTTGCTTTTCCTGTGCCAACTGGTCCACCTCTTGCTTGATGAATATGTCAACCGCTGCCGCAACCGACTTCGCGTTTAGCTCAAGGCTCAGATTGTGCCCTGCCTGCTCTAGCTGTGCTTCAATGTCTGGCTAGTTGCGGCTTGAGATAATCCAGTTAATACGGAAAGACGCAAACGAGTATTTTGCGAGAAAGTGAAGCAGCTTGGGCAGATCAGTGATACACTCATCGAGCGCATCAATGACTAAGTATGTAGTGCCCAAGCTCGGGTCCTGCAGCACGTCTGCAAGTATCTCTGTTAAAGCAACACATGCGTTTGCATCATCAAACATGGTCTTGCCCGCCTGATCGTAGGTCTTGCGAATGTTTGCGATGAGTGCCGGCTGCTGATTCACGAGCAGATACAACAGCCCGCGCAGCACCGCCGTGGCGCTGTTGATGCATGAGTCAGTGGCCTGGCAGAAAAAGTAGGACACAGACGCGGTCCTAGCAATTGTCTTCCGTAGCTAGTTGATGATGCCGCAGAGCAGCATCGTCTTGCCCTTGCCGGGATCGCCTTTGATCCACAGCAGCTGGCTCTACGGGTCGTTGTGCCATTGCTGGAAACTGCTGTTGTCAAGTACCCAGCGGTAAGAGCCCTCCAACAAGCCGCCCTTTGTGTCCTCAATACGCTTCTTATCGTTACGGGAATCGGTAGAACCTAAGTCACGTAGACACTCTTCCCGGCTTCGAATCTTGTCATGAAGCCGTCTAAAAGCTTCCTCTGTGCCTTCGCTGTAGACTGGCGCCATGTCGACATCAAAGATGCCAGACAAAGAGTACACCGCATCCTCCTTGAGCTTTGTGTGCCGATTTTGTCTCCACCGGAACCGTTCGTCGACGCTAGACTGAGAGAGGGTGATCCCTTCGAGCACCTCGTGTGGGATGGTTATAACTTCGTGAATCTGAGACTTTAGCGACATCCTGTCACCGAGCCTCAGCCATTCGTGCAAGAAGAACTCGACCAAGCCGGGTGCGAGAAGCTCCTGCAGCGTCCAGCCACGCGTGAACCACTTGCTTTCTCGGCTGAGAGCACGCGCCAGAACGCCAGGCGCCAGGCTGACAGCGGCTAAACCAGCGGCTGCCCACACCTCAAAGTCCGGATTTGATCTAGCAGAGCGGAAGAGGGCCGACCCGCTTCAATGTAGTGTAGCAATGAAAAGACGGTTGAGCACCAGTTAATTATAGCCCGCAATTGTATCTTGCAGCGATGCCCGGCTGGCAATGTAGTCAATCTCTGCGCAATTCTTAGTGTAAACTGACCCCTCCTAACATATTTCCAGTGCCTCAACACCAGTCTTGGATAATGTACTTCTAATCAAGATCTATCGCCCTGGTACCCTAGAATTGGAGAGAGCGTACATGGTCGCGGTAGAGTAGGGGTTGAAGGCAAAGTGGTCCGTGATGCCGCGCGAGATGATCGCCGACAAGACCACAACTGTCGTAGTTTTTAGTTGCAGGATCAGAGACGAGAAAAAGTGTTCAAAGGATTAGAGCATATTATGTGTAGATTTGTAGGCGCGTGTGGGGAAGGTCGAGCTGCCTGAACGGTGGAACCATCTTGGTGAGGGGCATCTCTCGCTTACGGGCCGCGGACGTTAGTGCCTATTTTAGCGTGACAGGGATTCTCAACACGTTCGCGTTCGCGACCTCTAACACCCTCTCATCTGCATCACCACTATCGAACCTCGTCAACTTTCTGCCACAATCTTACCTATTTTTTTTAGTCAACACTATAGCTTATTCTGTTTCTGTTCAATCATGCCTGCGCCGCACAAACGTTCACGTCCGGCCGATGAAGATCTTACATTCATCCGTTCGACTCAACTCTAGGATGATGTCTGTTCCTACTCTCGACTTTAATGACTCTTCTCTTTACACTTTCAAGGGCCTAGGAGGCGGATCCTCACCACTGCTCGACCGCTTGACTGTCGGTTCCGCATCCAGAATGGAGATATTACCCATGCGAGCGATTGCACCTAATACCACGTACCGACACGCATTTGAAGACCCCTCGCTGAAGTGCAGCATGATGAACGCGACTCGATAGGAAACTTTGAACGACATTTGGAACATCACACAAAGCTCAGAGATGGCCAAGCAAAGCGGCAGTGAATGGTTCGATCTCAGATAACTGTCATTCAACTTGGGAGAGAGCCCTCCAAGTTATTTTGTTGCGGTATCGGTCGGTCTGTACAAGGTCTGACTGTACCCCTGACAGACTACCCTAGTCTAGTGTGTGACAGGTCACTGGCCTGAGGTCATGTATATAGTCGTCATCTCCCAGCTAGATAGCAATTCAGCGCAGTATTCCATCGACCCGATAGTCCTACGTTATCATTTACCGTAGCTATTAGTATTCTACAGTGGCACACACCGCAACATATTTCAACTCGATGAAGTTTGTTGCCGATTGTCTGGCAAATGACGCTTATAAATCCTGTCAGTATGGAGATCCGCGCATGCTTTGGGTTGGTTCCACTACCGAAAACATCGCATGTGCCATTTACACCACTCGTTTCAGTCTCGAGTTCCGTGAATCTGGCGAAAAGCAAGCGACAACGGCCATCGATCTTGAATGGAAGGATTCGGCATACGATGGAGCTTCGGAGGCACTATCTCAAGCCTTGGGAACTTTGCTTGGTGGCGCTATTGGACCTTTGTATACCTACATCGGAGGACAGAATGGAAACACCTTTCGCACGGCAGCCCTCGGCACGGCTCGAACCAGGATCATGGAAACAATGCTGGGTGGATTGATTTGGACAGCTTTTACTTGGGAACTTGGTGATACAATCGCTGAGCTACCTGCCGAGGACCGAGAACTGGTTGCCAATAGGACGTTTGCTGAGATGCTTGAAGAGCTTTCAAGGAGTCAGAAATTAAGTACTTTCAGTAGCGAAGGCTATGGTAAGTTCTCCCTCTTTCTTTGTTTCGATGATCTTTTTGGTCGCATAAGCTGAAACGGTAACACAAAACAGGCTTCCTACGCAGAACCGAGTACTTCGTCTCGTCTTGCATACCGAAATCCCTGTCCATTTTCCCGCGTTTACTTGTCATTATGTCTAGGAAATCTGGACCTGTATACCCCAGAAGTGCAGATCGGTACCAGTGCGTTACTGGAACATAACGACGATCGGCAACTACTGTGCACGAACTCAGAACACAGTGCTGAGTTATGGCAGACCCAACATCCGACCTGATTGAATCAACTAAAAGTGTGGTTATCGGACCATACCTATGGTGCAATAAGTACGGCTGCCCGTCTTGTGGGGATTCTCTCAGGGTAAAACTCAAGCGTAGGAACTCGATATTTTTAGGCTCTCCCTTCGAGGGTAGGGCCAGCAACCAGGCACAGCTTCGAGAAGATTGCGTCACATGCCAGGTACTGCGCGCAATTATTCAGCCTGTAGAGCACCTGGTCCCGACAGGCTGCTCTGTATACATGGGGATTCAAATAAGGCCTACACTTACCGTTTGCCTGACGGACGACCCCAAGGAGTCGCGATTGTTCGGCCTTACAAGTTTTCGCGCCTTTTGGTGAGTAGGTCCAACCCAGAGACTACACCTTATTCTAATGGGGACAGCTTCTGGACGTGATCATGATTAATATTAAGACCGGTCGCATGGTACACGCTTTTAGCTAGAAAGTTGGCCTCGCGACCCAGACATTGGCAGATTTGCCGAAACGCTGATATGGGTCTCTGCTCGACTAGAAGCCCGTGATACTGAATCCTTGCAGGAGATTTGTTGGAATAGGTCTAAAAACACGTTACTTACCTGGCTTCTTCACATAAATGGCCCGGACAATGCTCGACTGATGACAACGAATAATACGGCTAGTAGTGAGTTGAAGCGGACGCGTTACCTCTGTTTAAGTCATAGGCGGGGAGTGCCACCGCTCCTTAGCACAACGAAAGAGAATCTTCAAAGCATCAAGGACGGGATCCCGTGGGAGACATTGCCGAAACCCTTCCAAGATGCTGTTACTTTTTCACGCAGTCTGGGTTGCGCCTTCCTCTGATCGACAGTCTCTGCATAGTCCAAAATGACCTAGCAGACTGGCAACATGAAGGAAGTAAACTGGCGGAAATCTATGAGAATGCGTACTTAACCATTTCTGCGACACATCAAAATGTCTCGACGACTAGGCTATTCAGGCACCTACATACAGCTCTATCAACGCATACCTGCAACATTGGGGATTCGGGTGCAGACCACGTCAACCCCAAAACGACGAAACTCCATGTTCGCCCTTTGGGTTCATATCTACATACCGACTATACATGCTCCAAGGCACACCCTCTTTCCAACCGAGGTTGGGTCTACCAGGAATGGTTCCTCTCACCACGAGTGGTCCATTTCTGTGCCAACGAAGTGATTTGGATCTGGCAAGAGACCACTAAGTGCGAGTGTGGCTATGGCATCAACGACTTAGAAGAAACATATTTCTGCGGTATCCCGCAGGGAAAACATGGACACATATTCAATCCAATCGAGATGTGGCAAAGGACAGTGAGTGAGTGAATACTTGGAGCGCAAGTTGACATACGAGAGCAATATTTTTCCAGCACTTCGAGGCATAGCAATGTGGTTCTCGGAGACAAGATTGAGTGGACGGGCTTTTCGTCTCAGACATGGGAAGCAAAGACCTTCGTCGTATCTAGCCGGTATGTGGAGCGAGCGCCTGAACCATGATCTTCTCTGGTCTCTTCAAATATCGTCACTCGACAGAATCTGGTCCGATCCAAATTTCCGACTCGACAGCGAGAACCTGTCTGATTTTGGCAGACCTGTACGATGGCGTTCCCCTAGCTGGTCGTGGGCTTCGATCACTAGTGCAGTTCGGTGGCCAGTGAAAAGTAAGAAGGCTGTCTGGACCGAAGTAGCGAGGAGTACGGCGTCGAAAAAATTGGCTAGAGATGACTCGTTTGGTCGACTACAAGGCGGCGAGCTGAGCGTTGAAGGCTCCTGTGTCGATGGAACGCTATCTGGCCAACACAAAGGCGGGAGCTCTCCAGTACTGACATCCTCTCCGGAGGCACATTTGAACAATGACAGCTGGGGATGAAATACGCGCAGGTACCACAGCGTCGCATACACGAGTGTGCACTATGCTGGTCGCCAGAGCGAGTATGCCGCAATTTACCACGTTCTACTACCTGCTCTTTCGACAGCTTGAGACAACACCCCAGTTTTGAATGAACAGGCCGTTTGGATAGGAAAGCCTACCTGATCGATGTCCGCAGCGGAGCCGGGTACTACTCCACGAAACGCACTGAGGGGGGAGCAATGGAAATTTTTGGGAAGCACATGATGGTGCAGTTGACAATTGTCTGATTATCAAAATGTACCTCACGGCTTCAGCTCAGCTCTCTCACTGTCATGCATATCGTCAAGGTTGAACGGTTTGATCTTACTAATGATAGTCATTTTGTCTAGTCCCCATCTAAAAGCCCTTAGGCAGTGGTATCGCTCGCTAAATCGCGTCAAAAAACAAGCAAATCCTCTCGTCTCCCCTTCTCCAACCACGCATCTATTCCTGCGCCCTCGCCTTCCCCTTATCCTTACTGCTCTTCATAACCATCGCATCACCATCCTCCTCCTCCCTAACACTTTCGACTGTCGACGCAGCCGATACACTCCGATCATCCTCTACACTACTCCTGCGACCAAAGATTTTGCTGAGACCGCTGAGGCCGTTGTGGCTGCGCGAATGTGTCGTGCTAGAGCTGAGGCTGAACAGCGACCCAGAACTCGTATTCCTCTTCACACTATCGCTTTTAAACAGTGATAGTGAGCCGCTACTAGCATTGCGCTTCAGACTCCCTTCACCGTCGTCGTTCATAGATGAGGCTAACTGGCTCTCTCGCTTCTTCTTACTCGGGTCCTCGGACTTCGCGTTCCAGGCGGCGTAGTAGTTGTCTGGTGACACAGAGAGGGTGAGGGGTGGAGAGGTCGAGGGCGAGTTTTTGATGGATTTCCAGGCTGAACGGATTGTGGAGCGGTGGTCTGGGGGGTATTAGTAGATGTCTGAGAATGGTGCCCTGTGGTGGGCGTGGACTGGAGGGGGAGGGTGACGTACGGAAATTGCCTGCGCCGCCGCGGCCGTACATGATGTAGGGGTCAGATTTGGGACTTGTTGATGAAGGCATTTTGTGTGATGTGTGTAGTTTCAATCTGGAGACTGATGCTGTCGAGTTCTTCGAAATTTGTTTTGTGTTGTCGAAGTCGTGTGAACTTCAATTTGATGTATCGATTGTGGTTCCGAGGGTCAACGTGCAGTATTACCTCAAAGGGTACATTCGGGGTACCAACCCATATATTCCTCCCCAGATACGCAGCCCACACGTAGCCCAACGCGCCGACATCGTCACCCCAGGCCTATCTGCAGCCTACCTCCCCGAATTCTCCCGCATGCGTCTATCTTCTCCTACTCCTAGAAACTAGAGCCAATCACAGCGCTCTAGGCATAGAGACTTCGACGAGCGTTCGTAAGGCGCGGCGTCAGGGCATTGGCCAGCCACTGTGAAGTGCGATGCTTATCAGAGCTTGGAGATCTCGGGTCACGTGGCGGGTGATTGTGACTGTTGCGATTTGTGTAACTATGACGGCGGGCTGAGTCCGGCGAGGCGTGAATGGGCGGTGCGAAGTGGCGGGGCGAGTCTGGGGATGATCCAGGCAGAATTAGTGTTGGAGTCGGGGAGATCGGCAAAGCTTCGAGAAGGCTGATCAAAGGACGAAGGGAAGGAGAATCGAGGACCGAGATGACATAAGGTTATAAACGAATTTTGACGTCGCATAGTAGAAGTTGTAGCGCAAATGCGCACCCTTAAGTGCTTCGACCTATGTATCGCTACTATCTTTCGAGGCTTGGGTGTAGCGGAAAGTTATCGTAGGCATCAGATTGCATGTTGATTGCAAGATAGTCGCTCCGCCGGCGGCTGTAGTGTGACACAATTCTTTGTGTAATTATCGAGACCTAGTTTCTACTCTTAAAGTTCCACTTCACAGCCTAGGTCCTCCGTTAGCGGCGCCATCCGTACGCTTTGCCAAATGGGTGTCCTGACATCGCAGGGTCCAGGACCCTCGACAGCTCTTGACAGCCAGCTCACACGACACCAAAGCCCTTCGCATTTTGTATCGCCAACTCCAGCTTCCTCCTCATCTTCTCCTTGTCCCTGTACTCAGGCAGGTACAGCTTTCCAAAGCAGGTACTACTGGTAGGCAGCTGCGCTGAATCATTCCCCATGCGCACGATGTTGAACGTGAGACTCTTGTAGCCTGTGACCGGCACTCTGTCACTCGCCGTGACGAACTCCAACAGGTGTGTCGCATCCTCTTGCGAGTATTCTTGCACAATCTCCCAGAACATCCTCACTGTAGGATGCGTGGCGTCGTAGTCTTCGTACGTTGCACAAGCGCGCAGTTCGGGGATTGAGATAGTCTGCGTGCCTTCGACCAGTTTCTTGAGAGTTTTGGGCGTGAACAGCTCAAGACTGCGTGGATTGAGACAGGCGTTAAAGCCCTTTTTGAACGCTTTGAGTTGAGGGCGGATGGAGTGCAGGATGAGGTGTGTAACGTAGTCTCTGACAAAGGTGCCGCGGTTCTCGTTGGTGACTATTTGTGCCTCGCCGGGTGATGAGTTTTCATCGTCTCGCTTGGTCATGTCAATATCAACTTTCTGGCCAAAGACCTCGTAGCTGAAAGCGTAGTCGCGCATGAAGATGTCTGCTACGTCGCTGCCCTTCCAGTCAAGGAGGGTCTCGAAGGATTTGGCGAGGTCGGGCCAGCCATCGCGAATGTAGTCGATGCTAGTATGGTCATCGATGAACTTGAAGCGTGAGTTAAGCATCAGATTGTAGAAGGCTAAGGGGAAGGTGACGGGTAAGGTGATGCCGTTGTAGATCGCAAGGCTGAACAGTACACCGAGCATCTTGAATTTCCAGAGAGGTTCGAGAGTGCCGGGCTGGAACCATGTCATCTGGGTCTTTGAGTCGATCGTGAACATACCTAATAGTGTCAGAGGGAATTTCACGATGGACACCGATCTGCTTACCATAGTCCGGCGCAAACGCCTCGCCCAGCACGACACGAAAGAATTCGTACGTAACACCGCCATGGTCCAGGCCAACTTCGCCCTCCTGATGACCAAGCTTGACCTTCAGAGGCTTGAGCAACATCTTTCTCTCTTGTCTCCAAAGCTGATCAAGTGTATCCTTCAGAGGCTGCTCTCGAGTGACGTCCAGAACAAGATAGTCGTTCAACGTAACTTTCAGCCGATGCTTAATCATGTACAGGTATGGCTCGCGCAGGATTGAGTCAAGCTGTCGCAACATCTGCTGTGTGTGCTGTGTGTGATCGTACTGAGCCATCATGCTGGTGAGATTGATGACTCGAAAGAACTTGACAAGGTAGTCTGTTGGATGAAACTCAGGATACTGCAAGATGTGCAACACGTTAGGCTGTAGTTTCCAACCAAGGTAGTCGACTGGATCGTTGACGGCGTTCATATGTTCGTGAAGATATGGTATCCTGAACATTCGAGACCATACGTTGAGCTGGCGCTGTTGGTCGTCTGCTATTGTCAGTTCACACACGTTGGCATCGGAGGACGTGCGCTTACGTAGCTCATGAAGCAGCATCACCGCTGTTCCAACACTGGACCATTTGTTCACCTCAACCTTACCGTTCCAATTCTTGATGATGATTGTCTTTAGCCACTCGATGAGCGTAGCCGTTACCGTCCATCCAGGTTCCTTGTTTGTCGTACTGATTGACTTCATCTTGCGCTTGCTGTCAAGTGCAACATGCTCGACAACTTCAAGATGCCGAACCAGTATACTTATCAAGCTGTCTTTCCAGGCAATGGACCCAGATTCTACTGCTGTTGCATCCGTCTGCATTGCGAGAAGTATGTGTTCAAAACAGATTCGAGCACCGATGCCTCGAAGCAGGCGATCAGCAAGCCTCATGGCCGGCTCATACTCCAATGCATCAACGATATTAATGTATGGGTCGAGGAAGTTATCAGTGTCTGCAGTCGCGACTGGAATTACAACGCCCCAAGAACGTAGGTTGCGCAATTGTGCCCATGAATGTGACCAGCCGACAGGTACGGAAGAAGTCAGGGCATGAATACATATCATCGCGATGTGAGCGGCTTCATGGTTACTGAGATAGCGAGGGTGATTTGTAGGCTCATGCTTGCCAGTGGAACCATCTGCCGAAGTACCGCTATGGGTAGGCTTGCTTTTGGCGGCAACGTGTGCGTCGAGTGCTGGTGGACGGATGAAGAGAGCCTCGACGGCAACAGAAAGGCTGTCAAATATCAACGTTACATTACGCCGACTCCAGTCTCTGAAAGAGTGTGCAAGGCGCGAAGAGTCCAGATGTGGCAGCGGCGAACGTTCGAAGGCCTTGTTTGAGTCATGAAACGATTGTAACAATGTCTCTGCATCACTCAGAGTATAGAACAGCGAGCGGTCGATAAAGGCTTTGGTAGGTGAAAGTCGCCGAGATGTATCATGCTCAAAAGCAGTGTCGGTTGCTGACTCCTGGTCCTGCCTTCCGCGGTGGGTTTCATCTTTCAGCCGATCAAGCACATCGCAACTCAGGTTTGCGGCGGTTGGTATGGCCAGACGATCAGTTTGCTTTGGCTTTGTGGCCTTCTGATGAGGTGGCGGTAGTACTGGCGGAGCCTTCGATTTCGGCATGGGTGGCATGATCGAGCCGCCGAGGGTGAATGACTTCCTGCCAGTCCTCGTTATTGACATCTTCGGTATGTCGACTGTGCTGTCGATTGATGTGTTGCTTGTGTTCTTCGTGACTTGGACTTGATCTGCGACGGCGGGCAGATGGTATGGCACTTTATGAACTTGCTGCCCATTGCTGAGCACTTGAGGCTGATCCCGAGCAGCATGTGCCTGACTCTGCGCACGGAGGTTTTGTTGTGAATGTTGGCGAGCGATGCTTGATGTCCCGTTTGCACGTGCTGTGACGTCTGATTCATTTGCTCTGCATGTGCGGTGGCCTTGTCGTGTTTCATCATTGGAGGCGCGCAATGCGTCAAGCGCCTGCAGAGGGCTCGGTAACAGCTTCGAGTACGAATATATCAGCGAGGCACTGTCATAGACGTTCTGCCCGATTGACTTAGTATCCTTCTTAGTCTGATGTTGACTGTCGATGGCGCGTGCCACAGCATGCTGCACCCTGCGTGCTTGAACCCGTCGTGCATGGTCCTTATCTTCAACTGTTCCATTTGCAGTGTTCAGGTCAACAGCACCCTCAATCTCAAGAGAGCTTGGGGACACTTTGAGCTCATGCGGGCACAGTCCGCGGTGGGGATTGCTTTGACTGGCAAGGTAGTGGGCTAGTGCTCGTGCGGTAAGCTGCGTCGGCGGTCGGTAGGGCTTGGAGGCACAGCGCTTGTTGCGTGAGAGACATGTCGAGGTATCACAATAGGCGCTCTTACAGCCGTATAAGATCTGTGACAGGTACCTGCATCTTGGTTAGCATGTGTAATGAATGCACGTTGACAGGTACCACCAAGACATACCGGCGCACGAGGTACTGGAACTTGCGCTGCCTTTCCAACTGCGAGCATTCTATTATTCGAGTGGGGTCTTGCACGTCGATCACGTTGCTGAGGCAGCGCTCCAGTGCTGGTGATGAGCGTCTTTGACCGTTTGTCCGTACATCAGACGGCATAGTGCCTGCGCTGGAGGATGCATTTGATTCATCTCGAGGGCGTCGAGGCCCTCCTTCCGACGTGGTCATACCATAGAGCGAACGTAGGGGTATTATGTATATGTATGCTGCAGCAATGATGATGAGTACCGCATTGCGCAGCTAAACAGAAGCCGTAGGGCTTGGTGCATAGCTCCCGCACCTGCCATGCGGATGCGATCCGAGGCTGCAGGGGCCACCAAAGCGGCAGGGGTCGCGCTTGGCAAACTCGCAAACGTCATTGGCGGCGCAACTTTTGGACGTCCAACGTTTCGCCGCCGCAAGGGCTCTTCGTGTGATTCCATGATTTTCGCCGTGGTAGACCCGTCCATGATAGGAATTAGATAGTTTGCACTTGCTTTCTAACCGCAGCTCAACCGAGCCTCCAAGATCAGAGATTTTGCCTCCTCGGCCAGTCATAGACGCCTCAAAAACCATTCCGCACAACCCCCACTTGCTAGTCAATTATTCTTCCATTTCCCTTCCGCGACCACCACCCGCGCTCACCCTGACAACCCATAACCGTAACCACATACTCCCACAAGCCAGCATCATGGCGTCCCAGCAGGTGCCTACCCAGGCCAACATCCAGTCTACCCACCCTTTCACCTGCAACACATGTCAAGTCGCATTCCGCTCCGGAGAGTTGCAGCGGGCGCATATGCAAACCGACTGGCACCGCTACAACCTTAAGCGTAGAGTCGCGTCTTTGCCTCCCCTCTCTTCTGAGATTTTCACCGAGAAGGTCCTTGCGAACAAGGCATCCGCCGCCGCATCCGCCGCAAAGGCATCATTCGAGAAATCCTGCGCCGCCTGCCAGAAGACCTACTACAGCGAAAATGCCTACGCCAACCACTTGAACAGCCAAAAGCACCGCACAAACCTTATGAAGGCGTCTAGGGGTGGCCTGAACGACGACGCAGTATCGGTCAACGGCTCGGTTATGAGCTCTGCGTTCTCCCTGGGCGAATCCATGGCCGAGTCGGAGGCTACTACTGTTGGTGATAAAGAGGTCGCAGATGTTACAGACGGGTTGAAGAGCGCCAACTTGGAGGATGGTGCCACAGAGGAGGCTCCCACCGAAGACGACCGAAGCTCAGTTGCCACATCCAAGATCATCACCGACCCGCTGCAAGACTGCCTGTTCTGCAACTACAAGTCGCCGACAATGGCGTTGAACCTTCACCACATGGGCCGCTATCACGGCATGTTCGTTCCTGAGAAGGACTTTTTGGCTGATCCTGAGGGCCTTCTTAACTACCTCCACAGCAAGATTCACGAGCAGCACGCTTGCTTGAAGTGCCACAAGGTCGTCCACACAGCATCTGGTATCCAGACACACATGCGCGATCGTGGTCACTGCATGATTGCGTTTGAGAGCGACGAGGAGCTTGTTGAGGTAGGCGAGTTCTATGACTTCAGCAGCACCTACGATGACCAGGTCGCTTTCAATGATATGCAAGACGAGGCAGAGGCATCGGACGATTCTTCCTCGACAACAGGAGGTGGTGTTAAGCTTGGAGCCCGGCGCGAGACCAAGACGACCACAGAGGATGATGCAGATATGTCCAGTGGCGAGGGCGACGAGGGCTGGGAGACCGACAGCACAGTCTCAAGTGTACCAACAGACGAGATCACCGCAATCCCTATCGACCGCTCCCACCGCCACAAGGGCCTCCACAAGTCAAGACATCACAACCACGCTGACCCTCGACCCCACCGGGCCGCAGATGGCTTCCACTCGCACGCACATGCCACACCTACCGCAGTCTACCATGACGAATACGAGCTGCATCTTCCATCCGGCCGAACCGCCGGCCACAGATCGCTCAACAAGTACTACAGGCAGAACCTGCACAACTACCCCGGTGTCGCCGAGCGCATGGAGAATGCACAGCGCCGCCTCACCGCACCAGAGAACGACGAAGACGGCGATGCTGAGATGGAGGATGGTGAGCAACGCGGTCGCGGCGGCCGTGAGGTTGTCACACGTGCCAACGGCGGTTTGGGCATGATCGGCGTCAGCGACAGCAAGAAGAAGGAAGTTGCTACCCTCGAGAAGAGGCAACAGAAGCAGGCCGATCGCGCAAGGAATAGGTACCAGGCTGGTAACGAGAGGAGGGCCAACTTCCAGAAGCACTTCCGTGATCCATTGCTACAGTAGATGGTCAGCAGGCTTCTGAGGTTTACCAGCATGTTTGATGTTTTTGGGCATGCGGTTCTAGACTAAGAGGTTCGAGGGTAGATTTGCATTAAATGAGACTTGATTGCAAAACGTCACAGGGATACATGGAAAATTGTCACAAAATGGTGGCATTCAAATTCGGATTGAGCTTTCAGGTACCACACATTGCTTGTCTTTCCAGTGGCAGAAGAAGCTGGACGCAGGCGCGCGTGCCCTGGAAAATATGGGACACAATCAAGGCAGGAGTAGACGCTACTTATATCCTAACAAAGTGTTATAGGGCTACAGCCATTTGTGCGCATGTTTTGGACTACTGTAATTTTGCTGAAAGCCTCTAGGAGTGAATCTGCAACGCGATAGCTTCTGACGACCTGCACCTTGCACGCGATTTAGTGCGATTCGCTAGCGTGTCACGATCCACTTTGCCACTTTGCGTCGTCAATGTCCGTCGTCCTTTTCCGTCATCATCGTCGTCAATATTGAAAGTGTTGAAAGTGTTAGAATTTTCAATACTGTCGACACTATTACTTATCAGAACCACCATGCAGATGCACTGCAAAGCTTAGCTTTCGTGTACCCTCTTTGAAGGATCCGTACTTGCTTCTGGACCGCCCGTCGTCATTTATCGTCCTTTCCAAAAGGACGCATACTAACAGAAATGACAGCAATGACACTTACCGACACTTTTCCACCCGCTGATCATACACACAACACACGCCAACAAGTCTATGCGTTTATTGTCCTGACCTCCATTCCAATTTCTCTCGCACCTTCTCCCTCTTCCATCGACTCTGATCACTCGTCCCTCACCCGTATTCCCAAGCCTTTTATAGCACACAAAGAAGTCGGTGAATCTGGTAGATATAAGGAACAGTAAATGTTACTATGAAGAGGGAGTTCAGATGGGATTCTGAACCTGCAAGATCAACGAAGCCCAACGACGCAGACGCGTGCTGCACGCGGTGACGCGTTGAGAGGTGACTGGTGCTGATCAACCCCGAGCTTCTCTCCACAAGATCAGATGTGCACGTTAGGCTTCTAAGACTTCTCAGGGAGTGATACCCCTGAGTCTTGGAGCATCTACACACAATCGTCATGGGCAAGATGTTTGTGTGAAAGAGGAGCATGTTTGTTGAAGAGAGGCCAAGTGGCAGACCCCTGTCACGCTAGACGCGCGTCTGCACGTGGGAGGAGGTTGCCAATCGACCTTACACCCACAAGCCTCCATCCACTAGCCGTTACAAACCAAGCTCAAGAGGCAAGTCATGGTACGCTGTGCTTCACCGCATGCTCGGTTCTTCTTCTAATATTGATGAGGTTTCAATGTCCACCAGCTCGAATGTTCCGTTTCTTCCACCTGAGATCTACCTTGTCCTTGCGCGACATGTCCACCGTAACGACCTCCCGAACTATCGTTTGGCAAGTAAGATACTTGGAGAAGCAGGCAAACCAGAGCTATTCCATACTATAACGCTTCGGACCACTGGTGCCAGTTTATCCGGGCTTAAGTACATCAGGCGACACAAACAGCTCTCCAAACTTGTACGGACTGTGATATGGGATACAACTGCCTGGAGGGTAGGAACCGACGTGCGGGACTGGCACGAATGGACAAGACACTGCAAATCACGAGGAGGAAACGTTACCCCCGATCAAGCTGCGTTATACAAGGAACTCACTGCAAGCCGACGCCATTGGATGGCTTACATATCGCGCTTGGATGAAGAAAGAACGGCTGTCGGAGAGATCAAAACCTTGTTTCTCGAACCGCCATACCCTGGGCTCCAGCTGCCTAACCTACAAAAAATTCATGTTGTCAGGGGCGCTTACCAACTCAGTCATCGGCATGTGGTCGAGATGCAAGAGCATGCAACGCTACCTGTCACCGTCCCACTCAGTACTTGGAGGGGCGATTCATTCTCCCGCTCCTTCCCTTCTAGCTTAAGTGTTGCCATCTTTGATGCGACTGCCAGCGCAAAGAAATGGCGGATCGATGGCCTAACGATACAGGAACTGGATATGCTGGCTTTCTCTACCAGAGACCTTGGTGCCGACTCTGACAACAACCTGACTAGTATCACGATTCGACTCAGCGCTCGAGACAAAGAGAGCTACCCAAATGTACCCAGAGCCTGGCTCGCCCTGTTTCTCAGCCGGTGGTATGGTCTCGAATCTATTTGTCTGGAGTTCCGTAGCCGTGTGCTTCGCGAAAACGGGTTGACAACCTCCATACGGAAGATTCAAGATACCTTCGAAGTTTCGAAGGATCCTCTCTGGCCATGCAGGCCGGAGGGTCCTGTGACATGGACGAAGCTTCGCAAGTTATCGTTGTGCCATTTCGACTCGACCCCGAAAGCGTTGTTGTCTCTGATCACCAGACACAGCTCGACCTTGCGAGACTTGAGGCTCAATGCTATATGGCTCGACGGGGAAGGCAGTGTGCTCTCTGCAGAGTACTCCTGGCGAGAGATCTTCCGAAGTATCAGAGCAACAACGAGTCTGGAAAAGGTGGCACTGTCAGGAGTGTTTCGTAACAACAGTCACGAAGATGACGTGTGGGATTTCAACAACGAAGGTCTTGCAAAAGTCGTGGCTAGTTGGATTACCAACGGCGCGGAGTGTCCATTAACAGACAACCTCGATAGCGTTTGAGAGCCGTTGCGCTGATAAAGACATCTCAAACTTTGGTGGAGAAAGAACGTTGGGGGCGGGGACGCGGAGATTTCCTGGCGGGGTCGGCCCGCCGCTGATAACTTGTTGACTCGAGCGCTTGAACGACATCTGGATCTGCAGGATCTTGAAGTCGAATATTTGCCGGAGCCAATCAGAAGCTGTATCTGCAGCGATCATTTCAGGTCAGCGCAAGATGCGCGACTTCGAGGAGCCTCATTTGAGGATTGCATCGCCATCTCAGCCCCCAAATCAGGCCTTCCAACCTCAACCAGCCCTGCCCATTGATTGACACGGAGCGACAGCGTCGGGTCAGCATCCCGTCATTTACGGATGAGGTACATTTGTACAAATGTGACATCGGAACAAGTCTCATCAATGCTCCTTCCCGCTCAAAAGTTTCACCTTGACTCAGCGTCCTCAACTTTCTTTCATCGTCGCAGTGTCGGCCATGATCACCGAATGGCCTCCATGGTCATTGTATCGCCTACTGGTCTGCATCTTCATAGTCTCGTACTTGCTCCACACTCTAGTTGCCTCCAAAAAGTCTTCGATTCTAATGGCAATGAACTAACGACCACAAGAGCATTGCCCTGCAACCCGAACTCGACAAAGGATGGGCTGTGTTGTGCGCCTGGGGACATCTGTGTGAGCAATGGTCTTTGCAAGCCAGGCCCAGAGATCACGAACATTGGTATGACCGACACATACAAACCCACTTGCACCGATGCACGTGGACAGTAAGTAAAAGCTTATCTGGTTGCAACAGCTGTAAGAGATGTCCTGATCCGACTGCGTTGCGAATGAGGCTGACATACTGTAGTTGATGGATGGGGGATGAAGCAGTGTGGGGACAACCGTTTCTGCTGTTTTGCGAACAACTCGACTGGATGCGACTGTGTCAACACGAGTTTGTTCGAGTTAGAACGCCGCAACATTCGTCACGACACTACCTTTGAGTACCCTATTCTCAACAAGCACAAGCTTGCCCGCCAGCGCATCTGCGTCTATGACCTTCGCCTCCTTGTCAACCTCGGCCTCGACGTCAACCTCCCCTTCTGCTCGATCTTCGCCTCAATCGTCGAATCATAGCGTAGCCATTGGCGCTGGTGTTGGTGCTGGTGTCAGAGTGCCTCTGCTTGCGGCAAATGGAGTGCTTGCATGGTACCTCCACAGGAGGCAGAAGGCGCGCGAGGCCTCCCTGCATCAGGGAGGATCATACCCTATTGAGGAGCTGAAGGGTTGACGAAAGTAGGATATGCACAGATGGCTTCTGTGAATGAGCTCTCTGCTGATAAACGGTATGAGATGACGTTGTCAATACTTCGCAGGAGATTGATGGTGTTGCGAAGTATCAAAAGGACGCTTGAACGAAAGAGAACAGCCCAGTAGTCAGTCTGTACGCATGGCTGAGTCGAGAAAGCCGAATGCAAGTCCTCCAATCCACCAGAGTCTTGATTGCATCCGTGCTTCAGCCAAATCGACCACAGCGGACACCGTTTCCGCTGCAAGACCAAGAAGTGGAGAATGAAGAGTCACTGAATCCTTCTTATTCAGTGCAGACCATCGATCTTGGTACGGAGGAAGAAGTAGGTTCATGTCTATACATGTACCACCGAGCAGTCAGCACCGCCAGCATCTGAGCGAATATACGCTCATTATGTGCAGAACTATCTACCCCTGTGACGATGCCAACAGCGGTACCCACCCAGACCGTGCGGCTTCAATTGGTTCTCTCGGCCTTGAGTAGGTCATGTTTTGGTACCTGCCAAGGCGGTGCGGGTTGCTGGGCAATGGCGGAGGATCTTCCGCTTCCCGTTCCCACACCTTCGCCATGCAAACATGCGTTCTCCGCACACCGGTCGCCCTAAGAATAAAAGAACGCTCCGCCGATGGTCCACCAGCTGTCTTGACCAGCAGAGCGAGTAGCCCTGCAGGGAACACTACTGAACTCTTCCATTGATTCACCAGCTTTGCCAGCCTCGATAGTGATGTGCACGCAAACTGGCGAAAGCTTTTGAGAGTCAGTCTAGAAGCCATGCATTGTATCAGCAGAAAGACAGTGGCCCATTCTCATCGCTTAGTCTGACAACTTCCAGCCTCGAAGTTCCTTCCGATAATTGGGCCCTGGAGTCTTCAGAAAGCTTTAATCTGCAACATTAAGAACGGCCAAGCATCCGGAACAGACATCCGGAACAGACATCCGGATCACACGCATGGTTGAAACGTAGTCGGTCTTCGTCTCACACCAATACGATCTGGCGACGATGGCGTAGAGAGGATTTTACTCATAGTAAACCTTCTCCAGGTTGCAACGCCAGCCTTGGCCTACCACATGTCGATACCAAGATCGAGGCAATCTCACAACACGAGAAACGTAACAGCTATCGACAACTTTGCTCGACCATGGCATCCGAACAAAATCGACCGAGCTCAAACCCACTTCGACCGTCTCCTTCGCAGTCGCTCAAAGAAGTAAGCCCACACGATTGGAGCTGTTGGGCTCGTGTATACTCACGTCCTGTGCAAATTCACTCCCTGCAAGTAGATACTTGCAGCGCTAGACGAGACATTGCCCAGTTCAACGATGCATTCATATCCCATTGGTCTAGAGGACCTCGCGATCAGATCTCTACGTTCTACCAACTATAAGTAGCGGTACAATATTACTAGTCAGTTGAAACCCCAGAGCACATTAGCTTCACTCCTTCAATATCCTTACATTCTTTCCAATACATTCAGTTCTATCGTCGCTATGCGATCTGGACTCACCTTCGCCGTTACCGCCATGGCGGTGACGAGTGCTTCGGCACAACTCCTGGAGTTCTCTGTCGACCAGGACTCCCATCGTGCAGATGCCTTCTGGCAACAACAACCTCAATGTCGGCGGTTACTTTCGCGTCGACCTTGGCAACGCTGCCCTCGACACTCCTGACGACAAGGGCAAGTCCTACATTGGACACACCGTCACCGTGACTCAGGCCCTTCGATCCTGCTCGTTGTATCAAGGACTGTGAGGAGACCACCCGTTACAACCAGCGGACTGGTGGCCGTGGTATCTGCCGCTTTGTCAACACTTACGTTCTTGTGGAGGTATGCACGTCTTATGCTTGAGCAACGGTCCTTGTGTCCCGTACTGACATCTGTGATAGAACGGCAAGCCTGACGGCCAGGTCTGCGCCATGTACACCCGCGCTTGGGGCAAGGAATTCGCCGTAAACACTGGCTACCACACTCTAGATGCTGAGTACACTATCAGGAGTAGCTACTCTTACTCCAACGACAAGGATCCTGGCAGTGACAAGACCTGCCTGAACGGCCTCAAGGAAGACCCGAAACCGTCCAGGAAACCGGTGCTTTCTTCCACCCCCAGTTCCACCGGCAAGCCTGACAACCCGAGGTTCACCTCCAAGCCAGATGATCCCAAGTCTACGGGCAAACCTGAGGATTTCAGGTCGATTGGCAAGCCGGAGGATCCCAAACCCACCCCGACACCCACTTCCAAGCCTCGAACGAGGGCCTGAAATGCTTCATAGCACGCGCCTGGTCTCCCGCTAACAAGCTTCTGAGCGGACGCTGGCTCGACTAAAAGCACGACAAGCTGACTGCCTACTGGAAGCACTTCGAGAAGGATGCCACTACCTCCTACATCGACTGCGAGGGTCTCTGGCGCAATGCCGCGACCGATAGCGTCGCGCTCCGGGACCCATTATCAGTAAGAACCAGTGGGGATATATCAAGTTCGACGGCAAGGGTTGGGGTAAGTGGCCGCAGATCACCGAGTGCAAGATTAAGAACCGCGATACTTGGGGCGGCAAGTTCGATGAGTTGACTTACGACAAGAATGGTAAGGAGTTCAAGGCTAAGGGTTTCTTGCTTACTTGGAGGTTCGGTCACCCCAGGCACGCTAACCCCGTCCGTATCGAGACAGTCAGGACTCAGTGCCCAGGGACTCGAAGAAATGGTAGTAGATCATAAGTAGGGCGCCAATGAGAGATATGGCTTGGATGAGTGGGTAAACGGTGAGGCTGCTAGGCTTCTGCGAGATGTGAGAGCGTAGGATGGTGGTTGCGATGTGTTTTTCTCTGCTCTTGTACCTTATTTGACTTCGCGTGTATAGTCTTCCTTTACTTAATAGATGTTTTTTCAACGATCTTACAAATGTCAAAGATTTTGTTGCGGTATCAGTTGGTCCGTACAAGGCCCGATCACCCTTCCCTAGACTGTTATGTACTAACACGTTACAGGGCCAATATATATTGTGGCGGCGTGGGCCGCTGTGGTATACTGATAGCTACGGTAAACAACAACGTAGGACTATCGTGTCGATGGAAGACTGCGCTAAATTGCTATCTAGCTGGGATATGACGACTATATACCAGACCTTAGGCCAGTGACCTGTCACACACTAGACTAGCCTGTCAGGGGTACAGTCAGACCTTGTATGGACCAATCGATACCGCAACATATATCGTCATCTCCTAGCTAGATAGCAATTCAGCACAGTATTCCATCGTATCCTACCAGCGGTCCCTTGCTGCAACAGATAACAGTTTCTTAGTTGGTAGGATAAGTGCGAGGAAGTGACTACTGCAACGAGAGGGGATTTGATACACTGTAGTCTCCTTTTAACATTTTAAACAGAGCATGTAGGTACTCGTATCGGAAGACACTGGTACTTTGGGATTCATCGTACAAGAACTGGCAACTATAGGAACTCCAAGGTTAGATCTCGCGGGGACACATATTATGAACGTCTCCTCATTTCAATTGATCTAGGTCACAGGACTCCTTCTCCCGAGCACGACACAGGGAATCTATCAAACCAAGTATTGAATCTCCATACATTTAGTGGTCCACTTTGGCTTTTGGAGAGCAGCAGGAAGATCGTTTTATAAAACTCCATCACTTCGTCTTCAGACAGAACATGTGTTCGGCGCATTTGATTCTTGAATTTGAGCAAGAGACAAGGAGGGGTCTCATGCAGCGCGTTATCCTTTCTTTCATGCACGACAGAGTGAGCGAGTGTAATATAGAAGGACCAAGTGAGCTACAGAACATCTTATAGATGCTTTTGGATGATACGGTGACCTCTTCAGAATAAAGCGTACTAATGAAGTCCATCGGCTCCCAAGGACATGAAGATCTGTTGCACTACTTTGAGGTATGCGTCAAACAACCTTCATGCACTGAGTGACTCCTGGATTCTGCAAATACATGTATGCAGAGCCGAGAATAGGAGCGGCAGAAGGCAGGACCACACATGCGTTTCGGGGAATTCACTTTGGAGGCAGACACACAAGCTTGGCGATGTGGATGTTTCGAGCAGTGATAGTTTTCTGTGTTATCGAAGAGTATGATTTTGATAGACTCATATGTCAAATAAAGAAAGTTAAGAGGTGGCGTAAAGAGCAGAGTTGAGAAAACATAAATGCAAGTAAACAGGCACCGCAGAGACTCTCCTGCATTTTGGTGGCATCTTCTTCTCGTATGAGTACTCAAAGCAGGAGACCGTCCAGGAAAGCGTGTACACCAACATGGGGGAATTGCCGACAGAGAAGCGCTATGGTCTTGGTCTTTGGCGGATTTTGGATCCGAAGGAAAACAATCCATCACGCTTGTTACTAGAAAGTTTTGGAGGTCGTCCACAAGCAGGCTGCATGCAGATTTTGGAAAGGCAAGAAGCAAAGCTACATGACAAAGTAAGGTTCTACTTTGAAAACAGGGCTCTTGCAGTTGGTGATGGAAAAAGAACGTGCAATGGGAGGAGTAGCGAACTTTTATAGACGATGGCTGGGGCGTCAGCTTCACGCACATGTCGCCTGAATTCTGTCTGATCCTGGCTATGTCGACGCCTTGGATGACCCTCTCCACTTTCTATGCTCTCTGCGCTGTCTTTACATATATTGTATCAATCATCTTCTCTCAAGCCTTCTTCTCCAGCTCTTTTAATCTCTTCAACCCTGCTCTTGCGTTCGTCTGCCCCTCAGAGAAGCCCATCGACTTCGCCAGACTCGCGGCTTCCTCATACTTCTGCCTCGCTTCCTTAATATTCCCTTCCATCTCATAGAACTCTCCAAGGTTATGTGTAGCTACCGCGCAGCCAATGTCGCACTCTTCTGTCTTATCGGTCGAGGGTATCGCGGCAGCGTGTGCGAGGGCCTTTGTGGCCCATTGGCGGGCTTGATCGATAAGTACGGCGCGCGGTGGGGCGTTGGTGACTGGGAAGTCGGTGGGTGCGGATGAGAGCGCAAGAGCGTCCTTGCTCGACGGTGGGCTTTGTTGGCTGAGGCAGGTGGAGATGTTGTTCACTACGAATGTCAGAGCTTCCAAACTTTTCGAGTCTTCAGTGACTTACTCAAGATGATGCTGTGACATGACTTCGGCGGGCACAGCTCCAAAGCCTTGACGAAAAGCGGCGTAGCAAGGTATCGAGGGCCGAACTCTTCGTAGTGTGAGCCAAGCGCTTCCAGCGCACCGCCCAGCTCCTCATTCGTCAAGAACTCGCCCTCTCCCTGGTATAAGCCATTCTTCTCTCGTCTTTGCGACTCCGCAAAAGCGGTCTCCACTGCCTCCACAAGCCTCTTGCCTCCGTTCTGTGGCTCGTTGACATACTTGATGTCGTACAGCTGACCAAGCTTGAGGTTGATCTGGACTAGGTTCTTCAGCACACGGCTCCTGTTTCCGTCGTTCCAGTGCTTGTGGGAGAACTCATCCATCCACTTCTGCGTGTCTGCCCTCATAATTTCAAGAACATCTGTCGCCAGGCTGTAGTATCCTGCGTCCTCGAACAACGCCGCAATTGTATACTTGACACCCATGATCTCGTCACTGAAGGGGTCCATGCCCAGCTCATCGGCCGTCGCGAGAGCTTGGCGGAAGTACTTGTTGGCTTCCCGGATATCGAGCCATTTCCCACGGCTGTAGAAGAGGGCTTTACGCAGCTTCTTCGCGACCGGTTCGGGAAAATTGTGGTATGGCTTTATGATAACATTCTTATAGTACCATGGAAGGTATATTAGACACATGCCAGAAAGCACTGAAAGACTGGTGGCCATCAGCTCGGAAGTAATGGCGCGGCTGTTGAGGCTCTTACATGACCACTGCAAAGGGAAACAATACAGGGCTTTTTCTGTATTGCTCTCTGAACTGTGTACTTATCGAAGAGCGGTAGCGCCTTCCCAATTGCTGCGGTAGTGGGCTACATGTTCTTGTAGGTAGCTTTGTGAGTCTGTGTAGTGACGGCTGTGCTTGACATCGGCTGAGTGCGCTTATGCGCGGTGCAACGCGCGGAATCGTCCTTAAGAACATCGTGAGCCAGACAAAGGCGAATTGATGTGAGTGATGGCATCTGAAGCTTGGGGAGTATCGAATGACGGGTCGAACTTTTAGCGGTCGCGTACCTTCCGCGTAGGGCTGGGGTCTAAGTTAATCGATAAGAAACTCATGACGTAGCCAATCATCGACGCGTTCTCAATCAGCTCGTCTCCCAGGCTCTCGAAGCTCCAGACAATGCTTTGATATGATCAACCATGTGTGGCAGATACGCGCTGGCCTTGGTAGGTATACACGACCATGGCGATAAGATATCGGCTGATCAGATTTGTACAGCGGCCATCAGAGGTGCGCCAACAGCTTGAGCAGTCGCAGATGCCTGTCGAAGAAGCTCCAAATGACGACGATGTACGCCAATCCTACAACTTTGCGCCTGGGTACCACGGACTTGTGTACCGAGCAGAAGGTCACGAGCATGGTGGCTGTAAGGAGAAAGATCACGAAAACGAAGGAAAATCCAAAGAGGAAGGCGCGACAGATACCAAGTACAAGCTGCAGTCAATGCAATGGGGTAGGTGTTGCAAGTTGCTTTTGAGATGCTTCAGCTGACATCAATTACTCAGGCCTTGTACCGTTCTGGACGAAGCGTAACCCTGACTACGGATCCAAGATGAAGACTATCAATTGCCGGGACGACTCACTGTTCGAAGACCGCGGTATGTGGACGACTATGAAGAAGCAAAAGCGCTGCATCATAGTCGCACAAGGCTTCTACGAGTGGCTCAAGAAAAACAATGGCAAGGAGAAGATTCCACACTTCACCAAGCGCAAGGATGGGCAGCTCATGTGCTTCGCTGGACTCTGGGACCGTGTTCAGTTTGAAGGTAAGCTCTGCGCTTTCAGGATACCCACTGCAACAGACGTCTGCTGTGGAGTCAACATCCCTAGGTTCTCGACCTGCGTACCACGTTTTCCACGCCTTGTGCGCCTGCTGTGACCGTACTGACAGCCCTGCTAGACAGCAACGAGCCACTGTACACCTATACCATCATCACGACAGATTCAAACAAGCAGCTCAACTTCCTGCACGACCGAATGCCAGTCATCCTCGACAACGGCTCCGACGCCATACGGACCTGGTTGGATCCTAATCGTACGGAGTGGAGCCACGATTTGCAGTCATTACTGAAGCCATATGACGGAGAGCTTGAATGTTACCCTGTCAGTAAAGACGTGGGCAAAGTGGGCAACAACTCGCCATCATTCTTGATACCCATCGATAGCGCCGAAAACAAGAACAACATCGCCAACTTCTTTGGTAACCAACGAAAGCTTGCGAAGAAGACCGATACGACGGACATCAACAAAACGGAGCATGACCTCGAAAAGTCCACGACTGAGAATGGGCATGTCAAAATCGAACACGACTCCAATGAAACTCGTGACACCACAAACCGCGTGGAGGGTACCGAAGACAATGCGCCACTACCTGTTCCAAAAAAATCGCCCTCGCAAGTTGCGGAAGTTAAACAAGGCATCAAACGAGAAGCAGAGGATGAAAGTCCTACAACAGGTGAACCACAGGCGAAGCGCAACAAGACGGCTTCACCCCAGAAGCATGAATCTCCCGTGAAGACACCTGCAAAGAAGCAAGGTACACGCAGTGCCACAAGTAACGGTAGTGCAGCAAAGACATCAGTGAAGAGCGACGGGAATGCGAGGATCACATCCTTCTTTAGCAATAAGTGAGGTAGTTCCGAGGTACGCGCGTACCGACCATATCCTCGGATCCGGAAGCGCAATGTTCATTTCGCAACGTGCATCACCGTTATCAGCGCACCGGCAGGCAAGGACTTTTCTGACATTAAGATAAGAGCTCCTATTGCAACAGCCACGTATAATTCGTCGACCTCGGTTCTCGGGTAGGAGTAACGGTCCGGTCTGACTGCAGCGGTCAACGTTATGGACTGTGTAACATTGGCATGATCAGAAGAGAACATGACTTGCAGTTGTGTTGGAGCACAGGTAGAAAGTCGATAGACAGTGCGGTGTACCCAGGTGGTTGCTCAAGGCGCTAGCGCACCCCGCCACCAGAGCGGAACCTCAAGAGGCACAACACGAGAACTCGAGAGCCATCAGCCCTGCGAAACACTTGCAGCAGCGCGGCGTCTTCGTTCTAGTCGGCCCTGCAGCGCGCAATCAGCTTCAGTGTATACAATTGGCTAGTACATTCGACTCCTCTTGGCCTTTGAAGTGACAGGACGTTCACCCGATCTACATCATGCATCAGACAATGCAACGGTTACCCCCCCATTAAAGATCATCGCGTTCGGCGTAACTACCTTCAACATCGCTGTTCTCCGCCCTCACGGCGGGAGAGTCCCGAGCACTGTATTTCCGACCGTGCGCATGCCCAAGTCGTTAATAACCTGGGCTGTGCGCGTCGCGTTGCTTTGCCGTTGCTGAGGGCTCATCCCGTATCATCACCCTTCCTCCAGGATGGCATCGTTCGCGGAGATTCTGGCGAAGAAGCCGAAAGTACAGACTCGCCAGGCACTCATGGTCGTTGGTCTACAGAACGATTTCCTCGCACCAGCTGGCTACCTGCCTGTAGACACCACGTCTGGTTTTCTCGACCGCATCCATACTCTGATCCCCAAATTCCGTGAGCTCAATGGCAATATCATTTGGGTGCAAACGCTTTACGAAGCTGATCGTCTTGCAAATACTTCTTCTGCTGGCGAAGGAGATTCTCTGGTCATCGCTGGTTTGGTTGATGGTGAGGAAAACAGCAGCCAGGCAGGCGACGACGAATCAACCAAGGACCTACCCTTGGCTGTGCCACAGACGCAGTCACGCTCGGCAAAACATAAACAACGCGCCCTCGATCTTTTCAAACGCGTTGCATCGCGCAGGAAGGTGCTACCAGTTGAAGAAGCAAAAGCGACGGTTGAAGAGGATGAAGAGCTATTCTTGCTGAAGCGTGCAAAAAAGAGCGCAGCATGCATGCCGGACACGGAAGGCGCCCAATTCACGAAGGACATCAAGGATCTCATCGAGACACCTCGAGATGCTGTCATCAGGACAACAAACTACTCGGCCTTCCTCGGTACGAACCTACTCCTGACACTGCGCGCAAGACTCATCACAGAGATCTACGTGTGTGGATGCCTCAGCAATGTCTCTGTTCTTGCGACAGTCATAGACGGTGCGCGCCATGGTATCAAAATTAACGTGGTTCAAGATGCTCTCGGCTTCCGCAGGCAGACTCGACATGATCTCGCGCTAAAGCGAATGGAGGACTTTTTTGATGCGTGGATGGTCACGACCGCAGATGTTCTTATAAAAGAGCACTTTGCGGTTGTTGAGCCTATGAAGGAGGAACCGAGATCTGACACCAAAGACCCTAAGAGAACCGAAGACAAGCTTGAGATGATGGTCGGCAAGTTGTCCTTGAACGACAAATCGAATGCTGCATCGACAACACCGAACGGCCATTCGACCACAACAACTAATGGACAACCCACTTCGACAAATACCTCGAGCCCCAAAATCCGAGACAACACAGCAGCTGAACATGTAAACAGCGACGAAGAATTTGCGGCGCTAGCGAAACTTCGTCGGACAAATGGGGCAGAGCAACGGCCGACAGATGCCAGCGAACCGAAGTTGGTACAGAGTAAGGCACGCATGAGGAAGAAGAAAAGGAAGAAGCCAATGGAAGGTTCTTTGGTAGAATCGAGTGCACCCAATGGCGAGTCGAACAAGGCGCCTAGCCATAGTGCGGCTGAGCCAGCTGCAGCTACACGGGAACAGATCGACTCGTTGAAGGCCGCGGCGTTCAATGCAGAAGCTAAGAGTGACAGCATACAGAAAGAGTTACCGGAATCGCAGATTCCAAAAGCCACCGTGTCGAGCAAAGATGGTTCGGTAGACAATGCAGACCCAATCTCGACCAAGGCAACACCCGATGAGTCAAACACAGAGTCGACAGCACCAAAGCTCAAACCTTCGTCAACATTGCTCCCACAAGCATCTAACTCTGTTGAACCATCACCGCAATCTGCACTAGCAAGAACGGAAACATCTCTGTCAACGCCTTCGCAAACCGCATCAATGACCAAGACCGCGAAATTGAAGTCTCTTGCGAACTTGCCCGTGCTAGGCCCAGGTGATCACATCGCTGAGGGCGACTCTCGAATTGTACATGACCTGATCCCGTCAGAGTATTGCCACCCAGCCGACCCTTTGAAACCTCTCGCAGATACAATCTTCCAGCAGCTTTACAGTGAGGTTCGATGGCAAAAGATGTTGCATCAGCAAGGAGAGGTGCCTCGTCTTGTGTGCTGCCAGGGCGAGTTCGGTGACGGTGGATCAAAGCCTGTATATCGCCATCCTGCAGACCAGACACTACCTCTGCTTCACTTCTCGCCGAATGTCCAGTGGATCAGAAGGGCGGCCGAGAAGCTTGTTGGACACCCACTCAACCACGTCCTCATTCAACTGTACAGAAGCGGCAACGACTACATATCAGAGCATTCAGACAAAACGCTCGATATTGCCAAAGGCTCATCAATCATAAACGTAAGCTTCGGCGCGCAAAGAACAATGCGCCTGCGCACCAAGAGAGACTCCAAGGCCAAGGCAAATGGCGACGAAGACGCCCAACGTGAGACCCAGCGCGTGGCCATGCCGCACAATTCTATGTTCGTGCTTGGCTTAAAGAGTAACGAAAAATGGCTCCATGGCATCATGGCAGACAAACGCAACGAAGCCGAGCGCAGCGAACTCGAGACAGCCTATTTAGGAGCTCGCATCAGCCTGACCTTCCGCCACATTGCCACTTTCCTTGACGCAAAAGAGACTGCTATTTGGGGTCAAGGCGCAACATCAAAAGATCAGCGCGGCGCAGCTGATGTCGTTAACAATGACGAAGCAGAAGCCGAGCGCATGATCCGTGCCTTCAGCCGTGAAAACCACAGCAACGAGTTCAACTGGGATCAATGGTACGGCGATGGCTTCGACGTCTTACACTTGCACGAACCGCCCGAACAACTTCCAATCCTATTCGCAAGCAACAACGCACTTGAGACGAAACAGATCCAACTCGCGCTCTGGGAGAGCAAGATCAACCACGCTTTGCTCGAAGCACCAGGCCTCGACAAAGAACACGGTGCGGGACAGAAAATCATGTTCCGCGACAACGACACACACTTCACCGAGGTCTCAGGCCTGTCGTCGATACTCCACTATCTCGATCGCTACCACTCTTTCTGTTCAGACAGACCAGTCACAGCAGCATCTTACTTCCTGCTCTCCCTTCTCTCCCAGGTCCCAGACTTCTTCTCCAATCGCACAGCAAACCCAGCACCACCAAGAATAAGCACAGAGATGCTGGATCTCTCAACCATACTGCACATTCTGTCTGGGCAGCTCAAAGACCATGGCGGTCCATTTATAGCGGGGAAACGGTTCAGCATTGCGGACTGTATTGTTTGGCCGGTGTTGAATGAGTGTGTGGACAGTTGGGTGGATTGGGATGAGTCGGAGTGGCTGGAGTTGGCGGAGTACTACAAAGCGACGTGGAAGAAGAAGGCGTGTTTGAAGAAGCTGAGAGGTGAACTGCTTGTGGCTAGGAAGAAGGCTTGATGTGAGAGATGGCGTTGCATGTAATCTTTTCTACATGGTCTGTTTGCCCATTGCCTTCTTGTAATATCTAACATCTTGTATCACTTCATTTGTCCACGTGCAATTAGTACCTAGGTAGTCGTAGGATGACCTTCACGTGCATCTGGAGCCTTAACGCCAAGCCTATCGGCGTTGTGAAGTGCCGACATCCTCAGATTCTCGAGCTCTCGATCTCCACCTCGAAGCTTCGCGACGCGCCGCACGCATCTCTTGCACACCAACGTACACCCACGACAGCCACCATTCTTTCTTGGAAACCAAGATCACGACAATGCCGAAGTTCTTCTGCGATTACTGCGATGTGTATCTCACGCACGACAGTATGAGCGTGCGCAAAGCGCACAACAGCGGTCGCAACCACCTGCGCAACGTTCAAGCCTACTATGAGCAGATTTCCAGCGACCAGACACAACAAGTTATCAATAGTATCACGGACGCATACAACTTGGAAGGCCAGGCGAACCCACTGTACACAGCGAACTTGAATGGAGGATTTCCTGGAGGACCAATGGCTCCACCCATGGGTATGGGAGGACCGATGGGGATGCCCATGCCAGGTGGATTCCCGCCGCCAGGTGAGTTCGAATGCCAGGAAGTGTGTGAAGAGGAGCTGACGAGAGACAGGCATGCCAGGAATGCCACCACCATTTATGCAGGGAGGACGAGGCGGCCGTAAGTCAAGATACACTGCATATTAGTAGCTCAGCTGACCTTCTACAGCACCTAACATGCCTCCAAACCTTATGCCACCTTTCCCACCAAACGGTATGCCACCAATGCCTGGCGGCATGCCTCCATTCCCACCACCGAACATGGCCGGAGGACCGCCGAACATGTCTGGAGGACCATCAAATATGCCATTCCCGTTCCCTCCGCCGAACGCAGCGGGTTCACCACCAGGCGGCATGCCGTTCCCGCCGCCAGGTGGTATGGGCAACATGCCACCTCAGCGCTTCCCTCCCGGCCCACCTGGACGCTAGGTGCAATCTAGTGTGAACATGGGAGGAACGAACTACACGATACCAGAAGGATACTTCGCGGGGCAGAGACGCAAGCGCGATGATATGGAGATACCCAACATGCGAGGAGGCGAGGGCCGAGACTGGAGTGGGTCCGCAGCTGCTACAGGGGCGAACGCAGCTGCGTTGCCGAAGAGGTTAAAGATTGAGCCCGCAGCTCCAGCAGTGTCATTCTGAACATCAGATCGTGATACAATGTACGTTCAGTATGCTTTTCACAGTAGACTGGACTCACGGTGGTATAGCAGTACCCAGACCATCAAAAGCAACAAAAGAACGAATAGCCGTACACTAGATACTGGTAAACCCTTCTATTTCCATACACTGAAGAGTTTCTTTGCGTACGTCCCTACATCCATCATCTCCACCCCCAACACATGATTCGCCGTCCTCTCCTTCTCCCACCACACTCCATCTCCAGCAAACACCAGTCTGTATTTCTTAATCCTATCCTCCGGATCCTTCCTCAGTTCCTCCTGCAGATGCTCAACACTCCACGCCTCCCTTACAACCTCTCGCCCCACTACCTTCTCCACGATCTTTGTAAGATCCGCATACCTAATCGAATCGCCCGCGACATACAAAACCCTATTCTCAGCATCCACATCGCCCGCCAGAATCCTTCCAACCACCCTCCCAATATCGTCCACATCAGTCACTGTAACTCCATGCTCCCAGTCCTTCAAGCACCGTACCGTGACCTCTCCCCCCTCCACTTGACTTGACCGATCAACAACGCCCCAAAACGGCTCAAATAGGAAGGACATGAAGATCCCCGTACTCACAACCGTCCACTTGACGTTGCTGAAAGATGCTTCCGAGCGGAGGAGCTCGCGGACACGTTTCTGCTCGCCAAACAAAGGCATGAAGGAGTGACAAGAGAGTGTGACGTCGTAGTCTACGCCCCACTGCCAGGGGAAGAACCACAATCTGCCCTGTCCATTCTGTTTTCTCTGTTTCCCTGCGGAGAGGACCTCGGAAGCTAATTTTGTGAGTGAAGAGGGGGTGGAGGTGAAGCCTGTTGCGCTTATCACAACATCGTAGCGGCTGAGTATTTCCACGAGGGCCGGCGAGGGGGAGGTCAGGTCGATGGTAATGAGATGGATGTGCGAGGAGCGTAGGTGAGCATAACGGTCTGGCGAGCGTACACCAACGGTGATCTGAATATTGGGCAGACTGGAGATGTGCGGGAGGAAGCTGGTGCCGAGTTCGCCGGCGCCGAGGAGGAAGATTTGCGTTGGGTCTTTGTTGGTGGTGGGGGGTGTCATCGTGGGGCAGATGTTAAAAGTATAGATTGGGTGGAATATAGACGTTCGATACTACAGTCTACAGCAGGGCTATTTGCTACTATATGTCAATTGCGAGTTATGCAGGGTTTCGTGGAAGAAAGTGCACTGCTGATCGTGTAGATGCATACATGTTGTCAGGCGTTCAAGAAGACGGTGGTTAGCGCGGAGTTTAGCCGTTAAAGGACGGAGATACGAGTGGACTTGAAGATGTGCAGATTTGGTGGACAGTGTGCAAACATCGTGCACAGGAATTATTGTCGGTGGAAGAGATGTCCGATTCAAAGTTCAACAATTCTCTCAGTCTGATAGTATCTGCTATAGGCCGCAGTCTTTACGATGAAGGTATGTGCTACGGGTTCAGGGTTAAGCTGTGCTGCCTACAGAAATAGCCATGGATGACCTCAACGTCGGTTATGTCTGTAGAGTCAACACCGAACCAACAAAAGGCTTCTGTGTTAGAATGTATAGCTACTACAGGAAAAAGGAAACTTCATCACATCAGGTACAATGTCATGCATATTAGTTTCGAGGTGTCGTGGTGTTTAAGACATCATCGAGTGAGGAAGACGCCAAGCGCTCGCCTGCGCACCTCGATGCGGCTAGACTGGTGCACGGGCTATTTGCATGCCCACAGCGCAAGAGCGACCCCGACAATTCAATTTCTTGCTCGCGACTTACGACAACCATCACCGTCGACTTCCCTCTCAAGCCACATACCGCAATCATGGCCGAGCAGTTGGTTCTCCGTGGCACCCTTGAGGGCCACTCTGGCTGGGTTACCTCCCTCGCTACCTCTCTCGAGAAGTGCGTTTAGAATTCTGGATATACAGCCAGCGCGCGGCTGCAATGCGACAGAACATGTGTACTAACGACGGCCAGCCCCAACATGCTCCTGTCCGGATCTCGCGACAAGACGCTGATCATCTGGAACCTCACCCGCGACGAGACCTCGTACGGTTACCCCAAGAGGAGCCTCCACGGCCACTCCCACATCGTGTCCGACTGCGTACGTACACCCGCGCATGCGAGCAATTGGCGGCCGCGGCAGCAATGGCAGCAGTGCAGCAATTGGCAGCAAGGAAGGCGCGACTGAGCTGACATGCTCCACAGGTTATCTCCTCTGACGGTGCCTACGCTCTCTCCTCGTCCTGGGACAAGACTCTCCGCCTCTGGGAGCTCTCCACCGGCAACACCACCCGCCGCTTCGTCGGCCACACCAACGACGTTCTGTCTGTCTCCTTCTCCGCCGACAACCGCCAGATCGTCTCCGGTTCGCGCGACCGCACTATCAAGCTCTGGAACACCCTTGGTGACTGCAAGTACACCATCACCGACAAGGGCCACACCGAGTGGGTCTCTTGCGTCAGGTTCTCGCCCAACCCCCAGAACCCCGTCATTGTCTCCGCTGGTTGGGACAAGCTTGTCAAGGTGCGTACAATCCCCTGCACAAGCACAGATTCGCGGTTTGCTTTTATGATGATTTGGTAAAAAAAGTATTTGCTACTTCAGAGCCCCCATCTAGGGCTATGAGAACAACACTCACCTTTGTACTGATTTTACAACCTGCGACTCGCTGATTTTGGAGTTTGCAACCAACAGCCGCTGACAAGAACACAGGTTTGGGAGCTCGCTTCTTGCCGTATCCAGACCGACCACATCGGCCACACCGGCTACATCAACACCGTCACCATCTCCCCTGATGGTTCGCTCTGCGCTTCCGGTGGCAAGGACGGAACCACCATGCTCTGGGACCTGAACGAGTCCAAGCACCTGTACTCTCTCACCGCCGGTGACGAGATCCACGCCCTTGTCTTCTCGCCCAACCGCTACTGGCTGTGCGCTGCCACCTCCTCCAGCATCATCATCTTCGACCTCGAGAAGAAGTCCAAGGTTGACGAGCTGAAGCCTGAGTACATGGAGGTTGGCAAGAAGAGCAGGGAGCCTGAGTGCGTCTCCTTGGCCTGGAGCGCCGACGGCCAGACCCTCTTCGCTGGTTACACCGACAACAAGATCCGCTGCTGGGGTGTCATGTCGAGGGCATAAGTCCTGAGCGTTGAGTCGATGTAGTCGTATTGTACTGTGACAGGTACGAGGTAGTTGGCGGGCGCAAATGGGAAAATCACGATTCCACATGTCAATGACATCTTCTGTAGCTTGCCATGGGATATGAGTGACGCTCATGAAATGCTCAGGCGCTTTATGCAGAGACGGGTTTTGGGCATGATCAATTCCTTTTCGGTATTAGCACTTCCAGGCGCTCAGAGGCAATGAAAATATCAAGTCCATCTTCTCCACGTGCTAGGTGAATACATTCCTGCTTCCACCTCCAAGCTCCCCACTTCCACGCCCCTCCCTGACCGAGCCTACAGCTTAGCAAACTTAACCTTCCGCTTCTGCATCCCGCTCAGCATTGCCTCCTTGACATCATCCGTCTGCAACATCGCCGCGTTCCACACCGCGGTGTAGTTAAGTCCCTCCGCTACCGTCTTGTCCCGAGAGTAGTTCAGGATCTCCTTTGTGCCGAGCACGGCTACGGGGGACTTGGAGGCGACCAGGGTCGCGAGGTCGAGCGCCTGGGGTGTGGTAAGTACGTGATACGGAGAGGACGGGTGGGGGAAGACGCACCTCTTTCAGTCCGGCTTCTTTGTCCTTCGCAACCCTGCTCACCAGTCCGACTCTCAGCGCCTCATCAGAGCCGAAAACGCGTGCGCTCAGTGCGACGTCTTTGATCCAGCTCATATTCCCCACCGCATGGGGGAGCCGCGAGAGCGTACCGATGTCTGCTGCGAGCCCGATGTCGACCTCCTTTACGCTGAACTTGGTGTCCTGCGTGCTAATCCTCACGTCGCAGGATAGACTCATGTCGAGTGCCAGCCCGAACGAGATGCCGTGCATCACACAGATCACGGGCTTTTCGCACTTTTCTAGGCTGGTGATGCAGTCTTGGAACTCCAGAATATGCCTTCGCAGACCTACCCCCATGTTAGCCTGAGAACTACAGGGAGGAGGGAATGATGGGTGGGAGATGGTAGACGTACCGTTGGCTTTTCTCGCGCTGTCGACAGTTGGTGGAGCAAAAGTTCCTCCTTCGCTGGCTGCTTGCACGTCCAGACCGGCTGTGAAGGCGCGGCCTGCGCCGCTGTAGACGATAGCGCGGACGTTTGGGTCTACTGATAATTTGTCGAATAGGGCGGAAAGGTTGTGCCACATGCTAGTTTGGTCAGTCTGAAGGCCATATTGGAGAATCTGTGAAGAAGTATGACGATAGAGACATACGAAGATAGTAACAACTTCTTGCGAGTAGACTAGATAACATATTGGTTGATCTCAGAAACGAGCAGAGAGAGGAATCCACTTAGGTGATCGAACGAGAGCATGTTGTACTTACACCTCCTTGAACGCATTTAGCTTCTCCGGTCTGTTGATCTCGACATGTGCAACAAATTCAGCCGGAAACGAGACATTGAAGAACTCGTAATTGTATGTTTCTGCCATGTTAATGGTGTTCCTTGCTCCTTCTTCGCAAGTATCGTATAACTCCGATCTCTTCCTCTGGTGCCTCTCAGACTAGGCTAAGTCTCTCTTCAAAGCTACAATGTAAGGACTAGACGAAAATTGGAGTAGTGGCCAGGACTTCAAGTTGTCGATCAAATGTTATGCGTTGACATTGATGACATGCACGGTCGAGTCGTTCGGCGTTGGCGTCGCGTGGGGAAGGGGAGATGCCGAGGTATGTTTCGATGCGGTTAGATCGTGTTAAGTGAGTGCAATCTCATGTGCAGGTGGAACTATTCATCTCGACAAGATTTGTCCAATTTACCCATTGTCTGGGATGTTGTTTTGTGTGATCTAAGTCTATCAACACACAAGGCGTCGCCTATGGTGTCATCTAAGGTTCCTCAGCTTTTCGCCCCAATAATTGTATCCAGCTCTAATATTCAAAAGCCAAGAATTATCCCACAGTCAGATAGCATAGCTCTGAGGCTCAAGCTTGTCCGGAGTGATCCGTGTAGGATACCAGAGGAAGCATACCACCATGACCGCAAATATAAGAGTCGTGTCAAAGATGTACAGTGTCCACTCGTGCTTCAGCAGATACCCATCATTGCCCATCGCATACTCAGCAACACGGAAGATTGACCGCACCATGATGAGAGTGCTGACGATGTAAAGCATGCGCATGCTCTTCTGTCACGGCAAGGCAGAGCTGCAAGACTCCGGCGTGGGCCTGCGTTCGATTCGCCTCTGGAACAAGACAGCCGTAACTGCGAACAACCCGAACATGATGATTTGAATCATGAGCCCTCCAATGACCATTCCCTCCCCGGTTTTGATGCTGTTGCCGGACACCATCAAACCAGCCACGCCGCCCTGCACCACGAAGGACAGGACATCTCCGGTGACGAAGATCTTAGTGAGCCAGCTCGGCTTGACCAGGGAGTGATGATTACCGTGAACGCCGCGGATGATGCGACTGAGACACATGTAGATCGAAGCTGCGAAGAGAGCTGGACCGAGCAGGATGAAGACGCTTTGAGTCGAGTAGGGCATGACACGCCCGGTTTTGTTGTGTGCTGATGCTCGGGCATAGTATCCTGCGAACTCAACTGGGACGAAGTCAGATGCAAGTTCTAGAGTGGGGATGCGAAGGCTTATAAAAACCGCCGATTACGAATGGTACGCAAAACCAAGTCTTGATCTTGGACATGTGCCAGGAGATCGACGCGGTCATGACGAGGGAGAGGAGGATGAAGATGACTGCCGCTCCGATTGACGGAACGTAGTTCCAGAGGTAGTAACCATCTCGATAAGGCTCGAGCACAGCCATGTTGAATGGGAATATGGCTATTATAAGGGAGGATAAGGTGGACTACTCTTGTATATAAATGTTCTTCTAAATTTGTGGATGTCTCATAGGTGTAGTGAAGCCTACCATTGTATATGGGCACAGAAACATAGTGGACCCACTGCAGAAACATGGGGAGCATGCATGTATTCGCAAGGCTGCCCGAATAAAGGCATGCTGGGCAGTGACAAATCAATCTCAGCTTGAGGACACAACGAGATACGACGTATATGTGTAGGGGGTTGTGCAGTTGCTGGAGAAATGTGCAGTGATGGCTGTCGATGGAAAGGTTGCACTTGCCGAAAGAGGTCTATACGAGTTAACACGATTAGTAAAGCTTTAGCACCAATCAGATGCGCCCGTATGCATTGACCACCATTCGCATCCATGCTATGAGGGCGCAAAGTATATCCGAAACGACCCCGAGCCCCTTCGAAGACGCATCAAAATGTAGCGTCTTCCCGTAATGCTCTCGTATAAGCCTACGCGAGCGCCGCCCATCTTCATCGACCTTACCTCGTGCATATTCCATTGAAGCTATACGCATGAGTTGGCATGGCTCAGCGTAGAACACACAGGAAGTCGAAACTCGGCTGCCAAGACTGTAAACGGCGGCACATTAAGGTAAGGAAATCGCTCCTTTACTCTACCATCATGCAATTGCTCTATTCTTGTTACGGCGTGGCGCGCGAGACTGCAATTCAGGCTTGCCACCAGATCAAAGACCTCAAACTGATATCATGTTTTTCTGCTCTACTTTGGCTAATTCTACGTGACATATAGTGCGATGAAGGACGACCTAGTTGTGTCAATTGTACAACTACCGAACGTCAATGCGTGTACGCACCTCCGTGCCCTCGCAGGGTTCGATCAACATTGCCTCACACTTCAACCACGGATGTCGGATATACGTCCGCAACGACGTCACCTTCCTCAACACTGTTACTTCCTGCACCTGAACTGGCTCATTCGATGTCTACCCCACCTTCATTGGCAGCATCGCCCCTCTTGACACCGGCTTCATCACTTCAGTACAGCGCCCCTTGTTCAAACCTCAACATACGCCATATGGAGCTATTGAGCAACTTCATGCTCGAGACTGCTCCAAGTCTGAACATCGTGGGGATGATGGACTTGGGCTTGATGCGCACTATAATGCCAGTCGTACTGTCGGCGCCGTATCTTCTGCTCCAGGTTCTTGCTCTCTCTGCTCTGCATCTTAGCCGAACGAGACCTGGGCAGGCCGGCATGTACCACGCGGAAGCAACCTCGCTACAGATTGAAGCTTTAACGTCGTTCGACAACCACCTTGAAAACATTAACGGCGAAAACTGCGAGGCCATGCTAATATTTGCAAGCTTTCTCGGCATACATTCACTTGGGGAGGCAGTGATAACTTCGAAGAGCGACGCGGATGGCTTCCTAGACAGGTTTGTCACGTACCTGAACCTTCATCGTGGAGTACAGACTGTCACTGCTGAAGCCTGGGCGCTGTTGCTTCGCTCGAACATTTCTCCTATGTTGCATCAAGCTAGCAACCAGTTGAATGCTGCAGCGTCACATGCTCCAGAACGAGCGACTTCTGTGACTGATAAACTGAACCGCTTACTGGACGATGGCGACATGAGTGCGGAGAACAAAATGGCATGTCGCAATGCAGTATCCAGACTGAAGATGATGTACCAGGTCGAGTACTTGGAAGACCAATCTGTGAAGACACAGCAACACTCCTCAGAGCTGATCTGGGCTTGGCCTATCCTTCTATCAGGGATATACACAGATCAGTTGCAGAGGCGTCAGCCCGAAGCACTGATCATCCTTTGCCACTATGCTGTACTCCTGCACGAGCGCCGTAGCATGTGGTGCGTGGATAATGCGGGTCGTATGCTGATCGAGTCAGTCACAAAGTCATTAGGGTCATACTGGAGACAATGGCTGGATTTGCCTAACGAAGTCATCATGAACACTTTCATGTCATGAGTTTACCGTGGTAGAACAAGTGGAGGAACCAAACGATAGTCTCACGTCTGCTCGCATCCACAAATTTCGCCACCTTGGACACGAGGATTACGAAATCTATACACGGGTCCTCTATACGGCGTTTAGCCCCGGCTTCGAGCACAGAACTTCGATTTTCCATCAGCATGGCCACTGTGCATTGCCCAGGTGCAGACCACAGTCGTTGGAGTGTACCTCAGAGCGTTCACTGCCGTACAAAGTGTTCTCAAGACTGCCTCTTCAACTTCTAATCTTCATGATATCTCCGGTATGAGCAACTACTCGACAGTACCTGCGCTGGCATGCAACGCGAGTGCCGCCTTGTTTACTGAGCTCTTCGGTGCCGACATCATCAATATATCCGGCAGCATTGTGCAAAAGTTCTCGCAAGATGTTTACCAGTAGCTTTACTGCAATCACCCCTCCATCGCCGTTCGGAACGTCGAATTCTGCAACATCACTGTCACTTACACGCACCCTGCTCATAACGATACAATTCATGTAGAGACATGGCTCTTCACGCAAACTTGGAACAGACGACTACAGGCTATTGGCGGCGGTGGGTGGGTCGCAGGTCGCTTCGCCATGACAGACATCGGAATGGCCCTGGGCGTTGACTAGCCCGGGAAACATCAATCTGTATGCTCTGCAGGACCTCGCGTCAATAGCGTTGAATGGTCAGTACGTACTGCCACTGACTTTACGAGTCTGCCACTAACGGAGCGTGTAGGCTGTGCTCGCCAAAGAACTTATCAGAAGTTTCTATGGCCGACCTGCGGGTTACTCGTACTGGAGTGGTTGCTCGCAAGGCAGTAAACAAGGCTTCATGCTCGCTCAACGATATCCAAACGCATACGACTGTATAACAGGAGTGGCACCGGCGCTCAATTGGGCACAGTGCATTCTGGCGGCATCGTGGGCACAAGTCATGATGTCCATCACCGGCCAATACCCACCGAAGTGCGAGGTCAATGCACTTACCGATGCTGTAGTGGCGGCCTGTGATCCCTTAGATGGTGTAACTGATGGGCTCATCAGCGATATGTCAAAGTGCACTTTTGACCCCTTTGCATTGGTCGAGAAGACCGCGCACTGCCCTTCTACCAACACAACAATCGTCATCAGCCATGCCGCCGCCACTATCGCAAATCTTTCCTGGACAGGGCCCCGCAAACGAGGGGCGATTTCCTTGGCACGGCGTGAACTACCAAGCACGTCTTACAGGCTCAGGTGCGCCATCAGGTACCACATCAGATATTGGTTACGCATCCACCTCATGCAGTGCGAATGGGACTTGCACTGGTATTCCAACGAGGCTCGGCGAAGCATGAATCAGGCTGTTCATAAAGAAGAATCCGGAGTGGGATTATAGTAAGATCGGGAGCGTGGAGGAGTATGCAAGACTGTTCTATGCTGGTGTGCAGGAGTGTGATTCAATCGTCAGGACGGTGGATCCGGATCTCAGCGCATTGAGGAAATCTAGAGGTAAGATACTGGCATATCACGGACTGGTGAGTTTCCCTTCGAGTGCTATAGGAAGATGTTGCTGACATGCGTTTCAGGCTGATGGATTCATACCCACTAGGGGCACCGAAAATTACTACAAACGTGTCAATGACACGACCTCGGCTATCGACGACTTATTCCGGGACTTCGAAGTCCCTGGCCTTGCGCATTGTTCTGGCGGACACAGTGGTCAACCGACTTCAACTTTCCAAGCACTCGTTGGCTGGGCGGAGAAGGGTGTTGTACCCGACACGCTACCTATTGAGTTCAATGACATGAAGGGCATACAGCATCAACGTATACTGTGCCCATACCCAGAGAAAGCAAGTTTGAAAGAGAAGGGGTTGGATGTTACGAAGCGGGAGTCGTGAGTATGTGCATTGTAGTGAGTGGATTTTTTTCATGACTCACGGGCCGAAAATTTTCTTTCACGCTTCACATCCGAACTTCATATTGTTCCCTAAAACATTGTGTCGTCAAAGCAAATGTACTGCCGAAAGATGATGAAAACTTCATCAAAGTTTGGGATATATACGTCGTAATGTGGCTTACCCTTCATCGAATTGAAATAAAGCTGAGTGGCGCAGCGGAAGCGCGCCGGGCTCATAACCCGGAGGACACTGGATCGAAACCAGTCTCAGCTAATCAACATATTTTTTGCCTTTTGACAACCTCCTCACTATTGAGGATGCTGCCTCTTCTTTCGCTTTGGCCTGTTGGTAACATCCCAACAGCGTCACCACCGAACCACATCTATGCGCCACCTCCATCACCTTCTCTTTGGCACGACTGAGACGTTTCCTTCTGCGCTTCTCAGACTTCCACAACGCTTGACCATCGACTGTCTCCACACCGGCCTGCTCTTGATCTGAGTCGAAGTGGTCCCCATCAACACCAATACCGCCTGGGTGGAGGAGCTTGTTGATGGATATTCGAACGAGTTATCGTCTTCAGGAGAGAGAAGCGTTCGACTTCCTCCATCTCATCCAAGATCCTCTGCGTGGCTTAGATCTCATCGATCTGAGTGATTCTTGAAGCGACAGACACTTCGGCCTCAAACTCATCTGTGGCAGGCTGCACAGACTCTTCACCTCGTTCGGACTGTATCATTTCTTTATCGTTCGAGTTTGCGTGGAGCACTTCTAGCGCAGGCAGAAAGAAGGAACCCCTTTTTTCTTAGTTCTTTTTCGTTTAAGACTGACCAGCTCCATGTTTGACGGCTTAGAGTACTAAACAATTGGGAGAGAAGATTGATTGTGAACATTCAAGACAGATCATAGAAGGGCCAGTTTCCCGATGCAGGGAAACCGTGTGCTGTACGATTTGTGAACGGTAAACTAACAGATCACCGAATGGGGCAGACTATGCTTTGTAAACATTGATGGGAGAAAGGGGCTCTGAGGGGATAATGTCTGTGTAAAGTTTGTATATGTTCGCTCGACGAGTCGTTGTTCCTCATGCAAGGTTTTGCAGTTATCGACTCCACCGGTATACTCATTATCACCATCGTCATAAAAACTCATCAGTTCGCCCCTTATCGTCCTAATTTATTGGTTGGTTTCGGTCACTGCCCACGTTCAGTCAAACATGAGTTCACTTAAGAATGTACTGTTGATCGGAGTATGTATTCCACTCCTACAACACCAGCACAATTGCTCGTAACGCATCTTGACCAGTTGGTTCAATAACTTCGCGCTTTACTGATGCATGCTTAGGACGGCGGCAGTCTCGGAGCCCCCGTACTCGAAGCCTTCGTATCCTCTCCTGCAAAATAGCCATTCTCAGCCGCTCAGAATTCCGCTCTTCCTTTCTCGGCGGCATCTCCGTTCGCAAAGTGGACTACTCGTTCGTCGAATCAGTCACAGCTGCGATGCGTGACCAAGATGTCGTAATCAGCATGGTCGGAGGCATAGCAGCGGGCGACCACAAGTTTTCATCGACGCGGCTCTAGCTGCAGGAGTCAAACGATTCTTCTCCAGCGAATTCGGGTCTGACTCGCGAAACCCCAAGTTTGCTGAGGTCAACCCTTGGGTCCTTCCCGCTTAGGCGGCGACAGTCGACTATCTGCGCTCTCACGAGTCTGAGATGAGTTGGACGAGTGTATTTTTTCCAGAGTTTAACATCTTTATACAAAGATGTTCTACGTTATAGGTGTCAGAGTTGAGCAAAAATTTAGATTCTAACATATATTAAAAATCTTGCTTAGCAAACACTAGAACCTTAAGACAGGCACAAGAACTGTACATACGAGAGGTACATGTAAAGAATCGCATAGGCGTGTAACAGACATTAGACAAAGGCTTTTTTTTTACTTTGCACACACTAGCAATGCGTACAGCCTTATAGTGTTAAGAACTAAGTTACTAGGTTCTACCTAAGATTAGCTAAACATTTACTCTTAGCTACTGTTAGCTACTATCGGTGGCTGGCGAAATGTGCGGGCCGGCCTCCCATGGTAGCCATAGTCTGTCACTCACTTTTGATAGGCAAAAGAGGTACTGTGAGTGGCCAAAGGTACCCGTGTAGCATGTGAGGGAGACCCGAACCCTATATACATGTTCTCTGACGTGCCCAGGACCCTGAGCCATACCTGCGCAGACCCTGAACCAGATTTGGGCAGCCTCTCACGGATCCTACGGATGAACGGCAACGTCATCTACCTTATCATAGTGCCAGATCCGCACACATATCACAGGTAGACCGCCCACACCTCCCCCTACCTGCTCCTTCACCAAATCTAGTTAGCTTCGACAGTGGGTCTTTGTGTGGCTTTGAGGGCTAGTGTACCAAGAAGGGGGTGGTCCATTCATTTTGCATGTCATCATACTATAGCTATCTAGCATTGCTAGTATGTATAAGATCTTGCTCTCTTGAACAGTTTGTTAAGCTGTTATTATGACTCAGCCTCCGTCTGTTATGAAAATGTGACATGCTTTAATTAAAGTTATAGGTTTATTTAGAAATAGCCCTTAACTCCACTCCTCATCCAACATTGTCTTCACAGGATTCTCAAAAACCCCTCCAGCGCGCTACTGGAGGTACGGGAAACCGTCACTGTTCGAGGTCTCTATCTAACCGAAGGCCTGAGTTCTGGTGTCGATGTTTGTCATCAAAGATAACTGGCCGACACTATCCATTTCGCCATTCGCAATCTCCCTTCTCCATTAAGTCTCAATCTTACCCATAGTGTCTCAACCCCAATCAAAACATGATGCTGCTTTTCCCCTTAGCCTTGTCTTTCTGGCCTGCATAGCGCATCAGTGACAGCAACAGAAGGCACAAGTGCGACTTACGTTCTCGTGGATGCGGCTTCTCCATCTTGCCCTCCTCAACCGACTTGCGTTCCTCCATGTCATGGCTCGATGACTCAATCCCTGCAAAGCGGTACTGCTTCGCAGCTTCCTCCACACCGCATCTCAATCCACTCCCCATCCACCACCTTGCCATAATCGCCATCTTCGCTCGTCTCTCTGCACGAAAGCTCTTGCACCATCTCCATCCGCTCCATAATGTTCTCAAACTGATCATCAGTAAGGTGCGATCCCTCAGTCTGCGCGGGAGAGTGATGCTGCCTTGATGAGAGTGGCCTTCAACATACGCATCGAGGCTAGTCTCGCTCGCCAGGTGACATAGTCCTTATGAGTGGTCGGTATTCTGGCAAGGTGCTGGATGATTTTCTCATTCGCGGGCGGCCCGGCGAGTCATGGGTGAGAGCGTTCTGTTCGTCTGAGCTGAGAGTGTCGAAGTCGGGACTTGCGTCGACCATGCTGGAGTTGGGGGGAAGTGGTGCCTTCCAAGATAGTATGGGCGTTTGTCACTTTTCACGTGGGCTCGGGATTGCTGAGATGTCTTCACTTCGTCGACGAGGCCTATGTTTCGTGTAAAGGAAGCCAAGTGCCATGTATACGTGGGTAATGCGGTGTGGATATCAGTCTGCGTTGAGACCGTGAGCCCGTCAGTACAATCTCCCACACAACAAGCCATGTACCTCTCGCACACCTTTCCTTCCGACAAGCTCATCATTTTTGTTCCATCACTCAACCCTTAACCCACCTCACCACTCTCCCTCACCCCTCATCCCCCCTGTACCCTCTGCATACCCTCCCCATCCACCTCCTCATCCACCTCCTAATCCACCTCATCTACCTCCTCACCCACCTTCTCTGCATCCCTCTCATACCCGCCCCATGCGAAACGAACAATTCGTTTGTTTGTGCTGTATTGAAAAGGACCCCTTTGGTGTGTTGGCGATGATATGGGAAGCCGTGTGTTACATACGTACCTTCACCGCTTCTCAGATCGACTTTGAGTGTCCCATCAGCGGCGTACAACCATCGAGGATCCTGGAAGTACGGTAGCTAGGTTAGGAAATCATGATTCACTCCTTGTACTTACGTCTCGTAGATCTAAGACTGGTATTATTGCTCGCTAACACTATATCTATTCCCACGACTCAACTCATCCATGTTTCGTCCTCCTCCATCCTCGGACTATCTTTTCCCCACACACCACCTACCGTGGCCCGAAGGGTCGTGGCCCCAAAATCTGTCTCTTCCCCCCAAAACTAATACCTCCCCTGTTTTGACTATCGCCGCCCATGTAGCCATACTGGTTGACGTCCCATGATTGTCCTTCTCCAGTACCAGCATTGATGTCCTTAGCAGCATTCTGCAGCTCCCTTTGCGACTGCTCCCACTCCTTCTGGCGTTCGCGTTCACGCTCCATTTCGCGCTCCAGTAGGGATTTAGACGCCCAGCCGCGGTCCTTGGTGGTCTGCTGACTCGCCTTACGCCTCGCGTCCTCAGCGCGCTGCTCATTCGTGCTAGTCGACTCCTGCGGCGCGTAGGTCGACGGTTTGGGAGGTATTGGAGCAGGGTTTGAAGCGAGATAGCGGTCCGTTCTGCTCTGCGCGCCGGAGCCCTGAGATTGCTTCATGTAAGCCGCGGGATCAGGCAGCGGACGTGGAGACGCGGGCTCGGGCAGTGGTCTCGAGCTCGTGGAAGACGAGAACGCTGGCTCGGGTGTGTGAATCGGACGTGCAGGTTCGTGCTGGTTCGCGGTCCATGCGTCACGCAAATAGGCGCGGTCATCTGCCTGGGCCCAGGATACATTGCTCTCCTGTGGCGAGGGCGCGCGGGGCGGTGTTTGAGGGCGTGAGCGGCTCTTGGAGCGCTCGCGGGTGCGGGACTTGGAGCGGGCGCGTTGTTTACGGCTTTCGCGCTCGTGTTGGTATTGGCGTTCGCGCTCTTTAGCTTCCTCCAACTGACGTTCCAGCTCGGCGATGCGGTCGTTGTGGTGGTCGTCGCTTTGGCTGTTTCGACGGCTGCGCGGTTTTTGCTCGGCCTGGTATTGGGATAAGTACTGGCCTCGAAGTCTGGCGTCGCTGCCTGCGCGCTTTCGTCGCACTTCCTTTTCGGCGGCCTCCTGGGCTTCGCGCTCCTCTTTCTGTCGCGCTTCTTCTTGCATTTTCCACTGCCGTTCCTGCTCTTCCCACTCCCGTTTCTGCTCTCCAAGACGACGCTCTTTGGCTTCGCGCTGCTTGCGCGACTCCTCTTCCCATAGCCGTTCCTCTTCAGCCCTCTGGCGCTCTTCCTCTGCTTCGCGCTCGACGCGGCGGTGCTTCTCGGCCTCCTCGGCAGCAACCCTCAACCGTTCCTCCTCTTCTGCCTTCTCTCGCCGCTTGCGCTCCTTCTCCGCCATATTCGGCACGTGAGGTCCTGCACTCGTGATCTGCCGCCGCGCACCGAATGCGATGCCCTGATTGCCCTGGCTCGCGCCGCCCATGTATCCGTACTGGTGAATGTTCCACGCTGGCGATGTAACACCCTGATCTGCCTTCTTGCTCCAGCTACTAACACCGCCGGGAGGCGATACGGGCATGCCATTCGAGTTCCTGGAGGCATTGCTGCCGCCGGTGCGCGAGGGGCTGAGCGGCTTCGGCTTGTCTGGCGGGGGCTTCATTGGGTTGAAAGTCGAGGAGCCGTAGCTCCTGCCGAAGTCGGGTCTTGAGGGCGTTGTTGGGCTCATGACGCTGCCGCCACGCTTGGGTCCAATGCTCGTAGGGAAGCTGCTCGAGTTGATCTGGTTGGCGGCGCGCGAGAAGGCTGTCAGGCACTGCAGCACCTGGGCCGGGTCTTTGCTCTCATAGAGGTCGACGGTAAGGAAGCGGTCGTGCGAGGGCATGTTGAGGGGCGGCATTTCGCAGGCCTTGAGGAAGTGGGCGATGTTCTCCATCTGGATGAACGGCATGGTGGACTTCTTGGAGCGGACGGGCGTGGGTATCGCCATGTTGACGAGCCTGCGACATCAGCATACCAATAGCAATGAGCGTATGAATCTCCTACCTGCACAGCACCGTCCCATCCTTCAGCGCATCCAGCAGGTCTCCCGCCGGCAGCCGCTCACCCAGCGTCTCCTCGATCCACGCGCGCACCTCGTTGGCGGCCTGCGGCGTGTATCTCCCCATGCGCAGGTTCTTCATGTCCTGGTCGAGGCTCGTCACCGACGCCATGTTTATATAGAATGCTTGACTGGTCGTGTGTTGTCCGAGCCCAAGTCACAGCAGCCCGAGCAGGTGGGGGAGGCCTGGTTACTTGCCGCGTGCGGGCAGGGATGTGGATGTGTACTGGCAACGTCATTCGCCAGGGTCTAGCATGATGCACGTCAACCCAAACCGTAATCGATCACTAAATTACCACACCACGACCGCGACAACACACCATGGCGAAAGCACCGGGGCCTATCAAGCGGGCGTGGTACGAGTGGAAGATGCTGCGCTTCCCCTGGCGGAAGAAGTGGCTGGTGGGTCAGTCAACCCATTTCCATCCACAATCCCAAGTTCACAAGTGTTGACATGGCCAGGCTTCGATCTCCAGGGCAACACATTCTGGGAGTTCAAGGACGCGCTGCACTCACTGCGCAACCGCCGCATCGCAAAGTACCACCGCTCGACACACTACGGTGACGTGAACGTTTCTCCCGGCTGGATGCAGTGGCTGCGCCACACGCGCTTCGAGCCGCCGACGCTGCAGGAGCAGCAGCAGGAGGTGCAGAGGCAGGCGAATATCAAACTGCTGGCTGCGAGGGCGGATGAGCGGTGGGCGGCGAAGCCGAGTGCGTTGGATGCGCCGGATATGCAGCAGCCGGTGCAGATGCTGGAGAGCAGGGATCCGAAGAGTGGTGTCGTGCAGATGAATGCTGAGCAGGAGCTGAGGTCGAGGGGGCAAGAGTCGCGGACTGCTGAGGCGAGGAGTGAGGGAGGTGAGAGGCCGAGGCATGATATGCGTCCAGATGTGACGCCAGGGGCAGAGGGACCGCAGAATGAATCCGGGCTGTCTGAAGAGGCGCCTGCATTTAAAGCGAAGAAGCGAATGAGGATAAACAAGGAACCCAAGGAAGACTCGCCGTGGAAGCAAGCCGGTGCTAGCAACCCAGGAGACGACTGGCAGCCGAAGGCCTGGACACCGCCACCGAGGAGGAGAGGATGACATGTACGATATGATGTGTAAAAGTGTGGTATGGCATACGAAGAGATACTACGGCCTTGTTTGTACATCACATGTGTATCAACGGTATTACACTTAATTGCAATGTCTTAGATTATGTCCTGGTTTAGATCGTTCACCATGTCCCGTAGTGCTCCTGATTACGCTGCTCACATCGTGATTTATACCTGTCTCCTGTCGACGCACATTTTGAGTCCTTTCGTACATGTTGAGTGTTGCTGTTCAAAAGCTTGCCAACTTAGCAAGCGCTTGCTGTATAGCTTCGCCCTCCTCATGAGGTCCGTTCACCTAGACTTTCACAGCCATGCCTGTCTATCCACTCTTTCACTCCCAGCAACGGCGCCACCCATGTATATGCATCCTCTCGACTTCTTCTGTTTTCGTGTACTGCCATCACCACCGCCACAAGCACCTGTCAACCATGGTGATCACCCGAGCACAAAGTTCGTCCACGCGCAAACGAAGCAGCGATGCCGTTCAACTGGATGAAAAGGGCTTCAACTGGGCGCCCTGGGCGGTCGAGGAGCGTCACGTTGTCTACGAATACCTGAACGCCTGGGTCCAGCAATATGGGCTCGACGCGTTCTGCACCAAGAAGTGGGCGAAGGAAGAGTTCGTCTTCCTGACGAACACCATCAACGAAGTCAACGCTGCGAACGACGCTGATACTGCGCCACGGTCGATGATGAATGTGAAGAGACAGATTCGTCATCTATACGAGGGCAGGTTGAGCCCACTTGCGAAGCTCTGGAAGCGCTCGGAGGACCTGAAGCTGAGCATCGAGCTAGGAAGGGCGGTCGAGGAAAGCGAGCGGTTCCCGCAGATGACCGTTCCGGTGGCGACGCTTGTGGATGGTATATACATCATCAAGAGCGGCGAGAAGGAGGCCAAGAAGATGGATAAGGAGGTTGGCAATGAAGCTGAAACCCCCGAGACGCCACCAGCGAAGGAGCAGAAGGAGAAGATCGTCAAGCTGTCAGTGGAATGGACGCGGCTCCATGTCCGTCGGGATGGTGGCACGTCGGTCCTGAGGGAGGGCGAGGTATGGGAGAGCCCTGTGACAAACGGTGGGAGTCAGGAGAGCGTATCGGAGGATGACGGGTCGGAGCCTATGTCATTCTCTGAGGGCGAGGAGGGTGAGAGGCCTTGATGCTGTAGGTGCAAAGGCAACCTGGTGTGAGTTTTTGGTATTGCCAGTATTACTGCAACCACTTTAGTGGGCATATGAGACAGTAGACACTCGATATTTAGCGCAGCTATGAACAGTGTCGCGAATAACCATGATATTGACTGTGAAGTGTTGCTGATCTCGACGGGTAGACTGTTCAGAGGTGGTTCAGAGCTGTGTCAAACCAAGATGATGCATCGCTGTTGATCCTAGCCATCTTGCAAGGTCCAGAGGATCGTAGCTTTCGCCGTTGGGAGTTCCCGGGCGGGCCCGTAGCGCACGGCCGGTACTCACCAGCAACGTGTCTCGTTGTAAAGGAGCGGTCCTTTCGGGGGACGGTACACGGCGCAGCAACGTGGCGGCATGCATCTGCTCGAAGCAGGAATGAATAGTGGCAATAGTGTACTGCTCTTTCTCAACCCGCAGCCTCCTTGACCTTTGGCTCTGGCGCCTCGTCAATGAACGTTGGTGGTGCGGTGTCCTCAGTCAAGAACCCAGGTACACTCGACGATTCGCCAATACCCTCGAAGTCGACCTCGTCACCGAGTGCCTCCAGTTCAGCGTCCAGCTCCGACTCATCGACGTCTTCTGGCACATCGTAGCTGCGGCTTATTGCATCTTGAATGTCGTTTCCTATGTCCATAAGATCGGCCATCTCATCCTGCAGCTTCTCAATTTTGTCGATATTGACTTTGCCGTACTGCTTCCGTAGCTCCTTGGTGGTCGTCTTCATGGCGTCGATGGTGGTCATGGTGTTCTTGAGGTTGTCCTGCATCATGCCGGCTTGCTCCATATTCCACGATTGGGCCTGAAGCTGGTCTCGCTGTGACTCGTACATCTTGCGCTGCTGGAGAACCTTCAGTGCCTTCTGCTTGATGGCGGTCTTGCCAGGGCCGTCGCGCATCTTTGCAAGCTTCTGCTGGTAGGCGGAAAGCTCAGCGTTGAGCTTGGCAAGCTTGACATCAAGGCTTTCTATCCGTGTGTCGACCTGGGGTGAGGTTAGTATGTGTGGGGAAGGTGTAGTTGTGGTGGGCTACGTTTGAGATGGCGCTGTTGAGGGTTGGCTTGGGCGCCGTGCTCTTTGCTCCGAATAGACGGTTCATGTTGGACACGTGTGACTAGAAGGATATTGTTCCTGGATTGCAAATTCGTGTGTGCTTTAGTGAAGGCGTTGATTGTTTGGAAGGTATGTTTGGCGGGGTTGAAGCGTAGGCAGTCGCGACCGGTGGCTGGAGCTTTCCACGAAACGCCGCGCCAGCGTCATACGTCACGTGCGGCAACCACACCTTGAGCCCGGAATTGATAAGACATGCATACTGGGAGCCCAAAACTGAAGACGATTGTAACCTGCTGACTAGTCTACGGGACGTCTGATCGTGCCCCTGAAACTACTGCACCCGTCTGGCAAATCCAGGTCGGCTGCTGCTCCCCAATCTGCGCCACGCTTGTGAACCGCTCCACAACACAGCACATCGTTCCGCCGGGAATGAAGGGTCCATTCACCTCCACCCACTGTTGTACCATAATCCATATCGAAGCTCGCGATACCCCCTCGTTCACGTGCATGGCCTGGTGTTCAATCTGAGTTGTGCCTGGCTTTTGCTCGTATGTTCCCTTCCCCCGCAGGTATGTGTCTGTCTACGCTCGTGCGCCTAAGCTCCAGCCTTGGAGCCCTATGGTCACGTCCACGCGCATCTGCTGTCTGACACAGTGCTGTCCGCTAACGGAGGCCCATTGTGCAGCCTCCTTCCTTCCGTCCCGTGAGCGATCCTTACCCAGTGCCCCGCTAAACCTCTTGCTGCGTCCGAGTCGCGCTCCCTCGACTCCCTGCCCCGCCTTCGCTAGTCACCATCACAACAGCGGCCATGTTCTGGCGCTTCGGCGGGTACGCACAGCTGTCGTCGCTGGACAGCATTCTCGACAAACCTGATGTTACAGTCGAGGAGCTGCTGGAGGAGTCGGACCTAATACAGGAGCTGAAGCAGCAGAATTCAAAGCTTATCGAGTACCTGCGTGACGAGAATGTCCTCGAACGGCTGCTACGCTATGTCACCGCTGCAAAGCCCTCTGAGTCGACCGAAGAGGGTACACCTGGCGAAGGACTCAGCGAGGTCGGTAGCCCCAGCCGCCAGAGCTTCTTCGGCAAGGTTGCAGGACGCGCGCGTTCGGCGTCTACAGCGAAGTCAGATGCCGGTGATGGAGAAGAGAGTAAGGAAGAGAGACAGCGCATGAAGTACGCCTATGTCTCTTGTGAAATCTTGTCGTCAGAGGTCTGGTCGATATCAGAGGCTGTGCTGGAGAACCAGGATTCGCTAAAGCAGTTCTGGGCATACATCAAGCAGCCTGCACCGCTCGACCCTGTACAGGCTGGTTACTTCTCTAAAGTCAATGAGTCGCTACTGGACCGCAAGATGGAGGAGATGTTGGACTTCTTCAAGTCGCTCGACAACGTTGTTACAGACATGCTCCAGCATGTGGACTGCCCAGTAATCATGGATTTGCTGCTCAAGATCATCAGTCTCGAGAAGAGTGAGGGTGGTCAAGGTATTGTCGATGTAAGCTCTCCCTCTACACCGCCTGACGCCTCTTACTGATAAGCCCAGTGGTTACAACAGCAAGACCTCGTGCCCCGCTTGATCGCCTTCCTCGGACCTGATCACTCCACATCGACGCAAACATCCGCTGGCGACTTTTTGAAAGCTATCATAACAATATCGGCCAATGCAACGACCCAGGATCAGTCGGTGATAGGACCAAACGAGCTCACACGCCAGCTTGTGTCTGAGGCATGCCTCAAACAGTTGATCGAGTACATGTTACGCGGCGGTAACCCCTTGACAGTGGGTGTTGGAATAATTATCGAGGTCATCCGCAAGAATAACTCCGATTACGACTTGGAAAATCAGATTGGGCCCGTACCTAAGAATTCAGATCCTATCTACCTGGGCACGCTGCTACGCCAGTTCGCAAACCACATTCCACAGTTCATGGAGTTAGTACACAGCTCTAGTAGGGTTGTTGTGCAGAACGATGGATCTACGGCGATGAAAAAGCGAGAGCTGAAGACAGCATTTGGAGAGAAGATCGAACCGCTAGGATTCGACCGGTTCAAGACATGCGAACTCATGGCTGAGTTACTGCACTGCAGTAACATGGCTCTTCTCAACGAGCGTGGAAGCGAGGCTGAGGTCAAGAGGCGGGATGCTGAGCGTGAACGTCTCAAGGCTGAGGGCAAGCTGACATCGGGTAACTCGGCAAACCTTGGCGACTTTTCTACCAGCGTGGATAGCCAAGGCTTCCACCATGCGCGCGCACCTTCTGTAGACTCGCCCGAAGAGATCAAGTCTCTGCAGGTGCAGAACAATTCAGAGGACGATTTCGAGAAAGTGACTGCCCCGGAGGTCGCAGTGGCCACAATCGAAGCCACCGAAAAGGAGCAGATTGGCGAGCCTCTGGAACGCTCACCCAAGTCAGATCCAAAAGAGTCACCCGCCGAGAAGACGGGCGAAGGCGATGGCGAATTCGTGGACGAGCCACTCACACCAACCAATGACGCAGCATCACCCGCCACGACTACGCCTGCAAAGGCTGCCGACGATGCCGAATCGCCCACTTCGGCAGGCCTAACATCTAAGGTCGGAGGTCTCGACCTAGACAACGACACTGTCATGGGAGATAGGGAAGAAGCAATCGAAGAGCCTAAAGAGGAGACTGAGCCAAAGACCACTCCATCTCTCCTGACCCAACAGTTGAACCAGACTTCGGAGGAGCCAGAGCCTCTGTCACCGCATGCTGATGATAAGCCTGCGCCGCTTTTCGCGGGTAAGAACCGCGAAAGCAACACTGAGGCCACGAAGGTCGATACTTCCAAGTTCACAGCAGCTGCGCCGGAGGATGCTGCAGAGGCAACACCCATCGACGAGACGTCAAGTGTGCATTCGATAGTGTTCGGAGGTGTCGAAAACCAGGATGACCAGCAACATGTGATCGATATCGATGGTACTCCTGTCGTTGGTGATCTCCTTAAGATCACCTTCGTCGAGAACAAGGTCGTACCGACCATTCTTGTAAGCCTCCTTGAACCAGATACCCTTGCTTTTTCTAATGTGTACAGGACTTCTTCTTCCGCTTTCCATGGAACAACTTCCTTCATAACGTTGTGTACGACGTTGTACAACAAGTGTTCAATGGCCAGATGGAGCATGGCTACAACCGATCGCTAGCCATCGACCTCTTCCAGACAGGTCGCATTACCGAACGTATCATCGAAGGTCAGCAAGCGAGCGACAAGGCTCAGCAAGAAACCTACATGAGGTTGGGCTACATGGGCCATCTCACCCTGATCGCGGAAGAGGTGCTCAAGTTTACAGAAAGGCACCCAACAGAGATATTGTCCCAAGCGGTTGTCGACAAGGTCCACAGCGAGGAGTGGATACACTATGTCGAGCATGTCTTGTCAGATACTCGCGAGAGGGACAACGCAATCCTTGGTGGTGTTCGACCCGACATGAGCGTTGGCCCAAGGCAAGCCGTGCTCAATGCAGTGAATGCAGCATCTGGATTTGGCGGAGACGGCGGCCTTTCAAATGCTAGCATCGGCAACAATGGAGCCGTTGGTCTCGACAGCATGGATCTCGCCCAACAAGGTGACACCGGAGGTGGTGGGTACACCTTTAGCGGTGGCTCCTTGCTCAGCGGCTTTACTAACTCGAGTGACGAAGAAGACGAAGACATGGAGGACGACGATGGTAACAGGGAACGACAGGGACCTGTCGACGACTCCGAACAAGTGGGTGAAGTCTCATTTGACGATGCTGATATGGACTACCGATAACCCCGTCTCATCCGAACCCTACCCGAGCCAACACAACACGATCTTGTTTGCGCGCTTGGTGCGTTTCTTTTCTATCTCTGTCCATCTTGCGCGCTATTGAGTATGAGCTACGAGGCATTTGCATGCTGGGTGTTGGAATCATCTATCTTTTCTGTACATACGACCCTCACCGGGTGTATGACTTCTGTAGCAATATCCGTCGCGGCAGGCGTTTCCTTTGTGAATAATTCTCACACATGTCTTCACTCCTCTCCTTGTCACATCTCCCGCCTCGCTCATCAGCTCGTTGCCGTTACGTTGAACATGGCTGACAGTACTGCAAAGGCCAAGATCCCACCACCACTTCAGATACCACCTTCTCGCGCCCGCCGCCAGTTCGCTCTCCGCCTCGCACAACGTAAAGCCGAGCTCGAAGGAAAAAACAATGACGATGGCGACGACGACCAAGGCGAGAAGACACAAGAGCAAGAAGAGCGAGAAGGGCATCAACGTTTCGCAAAGATGTTTGAGGACATCGAAAGCGACTCAGATGACGGGAGCTTGGGTAGCATTGAGGATGAGATAGTCGGCAGACTTGATGTGGAAGGCCGTTCAAGCCCAGAGAAGGAACGGAAACCGGAAGGAAGCGCATCAAACAAGAAAGACAATGGCGATAACGTGGTCGTTGTGTAGATCTAGGTTGGCTTTGGCAATGTAATGGTAGTGGCGCGTAGACAAGAGATACCTCGGTAGGATAAGATGCAGGAAATGCGATACGAGTTACGTTCTTCAGTGGGTGTTAGAGGTTGTGGGTGATGTGTTGCCAGGTATGTTCCCCCGCGGTTGCACTTGGACCAGCCATACAACACACGACAAAATGATTCAGGATCGTAGCGCAGGGGTCAGGCAGCTGAGTATCCAGCTATGTGTGTCGACCCGCAGGTAGACTGGCTCACAGGTCGCACCTGCCTCCGAGGTCACGCCCACGTCATCGAGACCCGGCAGCGCCACTCGCACGCTTCCCTATTACCTTCGTATACTCGGATTCCAAACAATCCGCTATGTGCACTGATCAAAGCTACTGCAGCACAATGCCTTATCAAGGGCGCGACGAGTCTCCTCTCACTTCGACCGTGCGTTACCGCAGCTTTGGTCGCGCTGCCGCCTACTTCAAAACAACCACGGTCAACACAAACTTGCCGTCAAGTCGCACAACAAACTTTCACTTCCTCCACCTGTCACTTGATCAAGCTTCTAAAGTATCCGCGCCCACTCTGTTCTACCTAGTGCTTCTCCCTTCTGCTCACAAACATCGCTGTCTCGAGGCTCCGGCAACGTATCAATATCAGATCACCGACATTTGGAGAATACGTCCAACATGAGCTACCATCAACCAGACAGCTTGTTTGTGCCCGAAGAGTCGCCAATACCAAGGTACGCGGCATCGCCCATGTGGCATGAGAACCGCCTGACACTACGCAGGGAAGAGGTTGTTGGTGCGGTGCTGCCTCCACAAGCATTCGAGGCAGATCGTTTTCATGGCGACACAGCAGTCACTGGAGCTGAAAAGGTTCATGACCCTACGCAAGAGCCACTGCTCAATCACCCGTACTTTCGCCTCGATGTACCGACACTCCATACCGAGATTGACACGGCGTTACGAGATCTCTGGATCGACCTGCAAGGCTTCGAAGATGACGACACAGAGATGGCGAACCAGCGGGAGGTCATACAGCAAGGACGAGCTATTGGCGTTCCCAAGCCCTTGACTGTCACCACGGTCGGCCCAGCAGGCGCTGGAAAGAGCTTCTTATACAAGGCGCTGTTCAACCGCCCCAACATAACCAAGAGTTCCGCGGAAGGACGCTCGTGCACACTCTATCCTACCAAAATTGCACTCCAACCTGAGGCGCTTACCGATACGACTAGAAGTGATGTAGATATCGAATTCTTCAACGCAGCTACAATATCCACCATGACCGAAGGCCATATCAGGAGGTACCATGAGTACCACTTCGGCCCAGACCGCGACCCGGCAGATGATGACAGCCGCCGTTACGCATCAACCGCGAAGGAGTTCTTTGATGTCGCTTTCAACACAGAAGGCACTGTTGACTCCGCCACACATTTGCAGTCTTTACTTACAGCAGACATGATCAGTAATGGCAACTTTTTTCATGCTTGTGTCGACGCCATCGAACAGCGCATATTGTCCTCAGGCGCCACCCAGAACCACACGCTTTCCTATCTACAGGTTGAGGACGACAACATCGATCAAATCCGAAGAGTAGCCGACAACCTAGCACCGTTTGTTGATTTCCTCGTGATCAAGACAGGTGCCGCTCTCCTGAAAGCAGGCTTGACTTTTATCGATCTGCCGGGTAAGCCCGATCTTACATGGGAACCGAGCATGACACTGACTGTCTAAGGTCTCCGCGATATCAATCAGGATCGCATTGCAAGAGCCAACGCCATTCGTAGAGACGTTGACGTCGAACTGATCATCTGCGATCGGCCGGAGCGCGGCCTGGAGGACGCAGACCTTGACGCACTAATCAGGCAGTCGATCCGGGCACATGGCTTCAACAACACAGTTCTAGTATACAACAAAGTTGACGTAGGAGCATCACCTGTTCAGGGCTTTTATACACGTGCTGACTTTCTGATTGAAGACCATTTTCATGAGCAGCGTCCAGGACGCCAACGATCGAATACGCGACTCTACAAATGCTCCATACACCACAATCAGAGCTTTTAAGGCTGAAGCTGAAAGCATACAAGATTACAGCGTCAAGCGGGCTTATCTGACGTATCTGCAAGAGCTGGCACTAAACGCTATGATTCGTGAACGAGCGGAAAACCTTCGTGAGAACATCGTCACCAAGTACGCAGCCCTAGATCCTGATTCTCCCAACAACATTGCCGTCTTTGCCATTTCCGCCGCACAGTATCTGGAATGGCTAGACCCGTCCCGCCTACGCTCACCAGTCATGAGTGTGAGCGACACTCGCATCCCAGACTTGAAGCGGTACCTGTTCAGTCTGACCAGTACCCGCAACTACGAGCATCTCTGGAATCACATTCACCTAGTCATGGCTGAGATTGCTGACAGTGGAACTCGTGTGCTGGAAAAGTTCGAAGACGATCATGGCTACTCAGCGTTCTGCGAGCAGCTCGCCAGGGAGCAGATCCCCATGTTACATGCCGATCTCGGACAGCTTGCCAATACGCAGTTGCTACCGTCCCTACAAATCTGGCCCTTCCAGCCGGACGCGGAGCAGCAGTTAGAGCTCATGAAGGGTGTCATTGCTGGGTGGCAGCAGACTGTCAACGGTCCAGTGCTCGTGGCGTCATTTAGTAAAGCTCTGAGGGATAACGGCTTCATCGCCAATAGCCGGGCACGAGCGTTGCAAGGCTTGCGTATTAACTGGAATCAGACATTGCAGGAATGCATGGAGTCGGCCATTGAAGCCTTCGTGAAGAACACGTCCGGGCGATTCGCTTCCGGATGGAAGCAAATGTCTAGCAGAATCGATGACTGCATGAACAATTTCTTCGCCACGCTCGATAACTCCGCCGACCAGACCCCATTCAAAGACAGCTTCCATCGCGAGTGGAGGAAACTCGAACACGCCATATTCACTAAGTCTGGGTCTTTTGAGTTTCAACTCCACCGCGTCGTGCGTGCCACTCACCGGTTTGCCACTACCGAAGAGGATGTTGGCTGCCTGATCGCTTCGCTCATGGTACCTATCTACCAGAAGGTGTCGAGAAAGACTGGAGCTGGCAAGTACTCACGCCAGGTTACAGCACTCAACCGCTACCTTGTGACCGTCGGGTGGAATGGCGGCACGATTGTAGACCGCTTTGAGGACGCAGTGGTGGCAGACTTGGAGGGTAGGCTGAGGCCGGTTGTGCATTGGTTTTTGAATGAGGTCAAGGCGGAGCTGTTGAATTTCGTGAGGGTCATGGAGGAATTGTTGGATAATGATCAGCAGATGAGTGTTGGGCAGAGGGAGGCGAGGAGGAGGTTGAAGGAGGCGTTGCCGGTGTATGAGGAGAGGTTGAGGAGGTTGCAGGAGGCAGTTCCAAGGCTGTAAGAGTAAGATTGAACAGTTGGAGATGAGAGATATGATTGAAGAGTGAAAGTGGCGATGCAGCGTATACAGGCGCCCAGTTTCCGTCAGACATGCAGAATGCCGCATCCAACAGGACATCATCTCAGAACCCCGAGAAAACTGCCCACGACCACTGACTCCAACCAGCTCATTCATCTGAAGTTCTTTGGCACGTCTCTATAGGCTGACAGCCTCCAGGCGTCTTTGGAAGGTGACTTGATGAGCTGCCGTCTTGCTTTAGATATCAACATTCAATCACACTGTACATGGAACACGTGCCTTCTTACACACGTATAAAAGAGTCATTTTATGTTATACCTCTTTCTCCTCACAACACCTTCTGCCTTTCTCGCCGAAAGAAGCTTTGATTGATTTCATGACCCCTAAAAGTGATCAACAAGTCTCATGGAGTGAGCGTTCGAACTCGGTCACAGCCGTGTCTATGTGGTACAAGTTCCTCTAATGTAGCAGTGCCAAAAGTCGGAAGGAAGGGATAAATGTTCCATGTTTGCCTGTGCTGTGTTGCCAGTTTGGGCATGAAAAGTGGCCTTGCGGCGCACTTATGCTGTTTTTGCTTTGCACACCGTAAACTTGGCTTCTTTCGAAAAATTACAGTTCCCGCCCCCATATCGCTAGCGAGTACCAAAGACTTCTGGTGTCGCGCGTATGTGACTGTGCTCGCTGAAAGTCCATCCATTCAACGTTATGTCTTGGCTTGTGCGAGCCACCTCGATCACTGAAAACGTGTTTCTCTTGACGTATGTCTGAAGTACGGAAAGGATAGCTCTTCAATCCATGTTTGAAGTTCTGCAGCACCACTTGTAGGCATCTTCCAAGTCTATATACACTTATTGAACCTTTTGGATTACGTCTCACTACACGCCTCCTATGCCCTCTAGACTCAAGAGCTCAGTCATTATCATGCCTTGGAAACAGGAGGACTTTCAATCACATAACATGTTCTCAGTCCAAAGATCACCTCCAAAACAATTATGCTTTTGCTGTGGCAGAATTGAGAAATCAAGAATGAGATACCTTTGCTCCATTGTACCATGCAAAGCCGGAATGGCCACTTCTTCTCGTAAGGTCACCAACTTCCAACTTTCAAAGGAGCTGCATCCAGAACCGATGGGTCAAACGTCGAAAGCAAAGAAGTGAAGTTCGATGAGATAGTGGTTCTGAATTGTCTAGGTACAAGCGGCATGTTTAACTCTGGGCTTTTCGAAGATCGGAAGTATCTACTTGTGTGCCATTGGCGGAGATCGAAAGTGTGGAACTGACAATCCTATGTTTGGCTTCCCTGATTTCCTTAGAAGTCTAGCCGAGCGCAAAAATGTTATCACTTCTTTTTGCGTTACACATCTAAACATCTTCAAGTTTTCTGTGTTCAAGAAGATAATATTTCAGAGCCATGCGACTGAAAACAGAGTACAAACCCAGATTAAGATTCTCAATATTGAAGCCTACTACAATACTGCGCCTGTCCCAAAATTAAAGTCGAAAGACTTGTGCTCCATGAGCGTCTAAGCTGGCGCATTTCTTCACAAGCAACGCAAACTCGTGATATAACGGAAGTCGCGAGCCTTCTGAAGTACAAATTCCTCCAGGTCATCTCATTACCGCGTTCTTCTCCACACACACACACTGCATAACTTGCAAAATTCGCAGGCGAGGACGCTACATTCAAGGAATGGTCTTCGGAAAGCTCCATGATCTGGCTGCTTGAAATATTTCTTATAGTCACCCTGAGACCCTTCCAAGATTCCGATGCTACGTCAAGACTCAGTCATGAAGCTAGCAAGCATCACAGATCGTGTTCTCTTGTGCGATGGGATTTGCCCATCGTAAAGGCATTCTACTTCAATTTGTGCTTCTTTCTTTGCAAGGGGTTGAAAGTTGAGAACCGTGTACACTGGCTCTTGAACCAATAGTCCAAAACTGCAATTTGGATCCATACTGTGTCGGAGTCCGACGGGTTCGTCGGCATCATTGTGTCAGCAAATCGCTCTAGTCTCACTTGCTCTCTTCTTTACTCTTGAGACAAGAAAGACTAACAATGCAGTTGCATAATATCCACAGAAGAGTTAGGCAGTTACATATTGGGGGGCCAAGAGAGTGAAGAACGAGTGCACATGCACGTCACGTCCAGGACGTTTAGGCGTCGCTGTCATGGTGCTTTCTCTTGTTTCACGATGTCACTCGCTTCGTACTTTATCAGCCATGTTGCATTCTGTCACTTCATCTACATGATTTCAAGTTATCTCTGCCAACCCCTCTCGCTGTTCACCAGAAGAATATCGGTGACTTTCACAAGTTGCTGACCCCCCTTGATAAATGTAACGATGATGGAATATTGTTGCAGTAAATGCAATAAGTGAAGGTGTAACCGCGCAGGGCAGTAAGTCAGGGGTAACCGCGCGAAGCAGTAAAATCAGTATATTCTGTTGTGTTGTTGTTCAGTGTTCTGTCTCTCTCACCGGGCCATCAGGGTCTGTTTACATGACGTATCTGTCGTTCAGACAGAAAGTGCTATTGGAACAGGCAAGAGCACTGCACCAGCACACGTGGCAGACATGACCTCTTTACTCCATAAACCGTCACAACTATAGCTTTTTGGCCCGAAGAACAACTTCATGGGTAGATGACATCATGGTTTCCAGACAGAGGGGTGTCAGCAACTTGTGAAAGTCATTGTACCGCTTCTGTCAGGTATATAAACTCAGCCATCCAACTCAGACTCGGATTACATATATGCTCTTCTCCCACCATGAAAGAAGATCTCTGTTCAGACTTGTCATGTACCAAAATCGATTGGAGACATACCATGTCCGGTTGCTTTGCTTAATTCCGTACGCAACGAATACATGTGCTGTGACTCGACGAGCGTTATCCTCCGTTGCACGCTACTGATTGACTCGCAAGCGGTAGAACCGATAATGGCCGCGTATGAATCAACTAAGTTGATCTGAAGACCAGAAGGACAGACATTCATGAGCTCGCACTTGGTCTTGGAGGTCATGCACCAGCCTTATAACTCCATTCTGTTAATGACTGATAGGAAGCATGATGAGATTTCAGAGCTCTTGAGTAAGTATATATTCCAGATGGTCCTACAGGACGACAGGACATATCATGTTGTTCATATTCTTTTGGAAACCACACAGAGGACAATCATGTACTTGATGGGAAACCAGTCTGAACCATTATCTGGGGATAAGGCCTCTAAGCAATGTTGAAAGATAACGAGAGCTGTAATGGTGGGGGGAAGAGAAATAAGGGCCAAGTTTCGAGGACTTGTATTTTGCACGGTCGACGAGACAGGACATGGAATGTTTTTTTAAGTTTGGAGGCCAGGCGTTCTTGGTCACCTTCTTTGAGAATGGGGATGCCAGTACTCACAGAATGGAAGAATGAGGAGAGGATTGGTGGCCGCGAAAATTTGATTTAGACGAATGAAATGCTAAATGGTGTCTATCCTCAACGCCGCGCTAACGTATGCAGTACATATGCTCAAGGTCTGTGAAGTACCAGCTCATTACAAGCCCTTACCCCGTCTTCCTTCCATCCTCGACCTCCGTCTTCCCCGCCTTCGGCTCATCATCATCCTTATCCTTCTTGCCCTCCTTCCTCTTGCGATCTTTCCTCAGCGCCTCAGCGACCTTCTCATCCTTCTCCTCTTTCATTTCGTCCCACTCAACATCGTACTCATTCGCAATCGCCTTGATCTCCTTTCTTAGCGCATTGCCGTCTTCGATAAGCACCTCCCATTTTCGCAAGTCGAAGTTGTGCTGGCTGTAGAGCTTCGATTGGCGGCGCGAGATGGTGAAATTCAAGGCTGAGCGGTACGAAACTTCGCGGTTGTGGTATAGGAACCAGACATAACCACCGATTAGGGTCGAGAGACCTACGAGGTACTATGTAGATGTTAGGAGGCGAAGATAGTGAGGAGATGGACATGGGTACGTACGGTGACGGGCTCCATGACATCCCAGCCGAGCTCTGTCTGGAAGGTGAGGTAGTAAACTACTCCCCACCATCCTACAATACCAGCAAAACCAGCGGTAGCAACTTGTTGGGCTGCCTTGTGCGCGAGCTTGTCGCACTTCTCCTTGACTTCTGCCATCTCGCTGATTTGCCTGGCAGCCTTCCTCAGACGCATGCGCAGATAGTATGTTCGGTCGTTGAACGAGGGAACCCCAACACGGATCTCCTCCGGTGCCCCCTCAATTTCGATAGCGAATTCCTGGCCACGCGCTGCGTCACGGATGAAGTCGCCAATCTCGGTGCTGCTGGACCAGCGCACGAACTTGCGGCTCGAAACGTAGTCGCTGGGAGCATCCTGGCCAAGGCCTGAATACGACTCGACACCACCCTTGCCATGGCCGCCGCGCAATTCGACGGCTTCGTCAGGTGTCTTGCGGTTCGTTATCGCACCAGTCTCTTCGTTGCTTTGGGACCTGATCTTGCCTGTCTTGACAGTCTTACCGTCTATGCGGTGCTCGTCTACCTGCTCAAGGTCCTCCTCGCTACGTGTGGGCTCGCTGTCCTCGCTTACGATGGCCTCGCTGGCCTCGGAGGCCTGCAGAGAACCCTGCATGCTGTCTTCGGCGCGAAAGTATACGGCAGGAATGCGCTCTTTGCCATCCTTGTCTTTGATTGTGGGCAGCTCAGCCTGGATCAGGCGCTCTAGGTAGGAAATGGGCTGTTGCGGGTGCACGAGCAGCGCGAGTGGTTCAATGTCTTTGCGGTCCGAGTTTGTGTCTCTGGTTGTGAGAGGGAGAATGATCTTGAGCATTCGAGAGGGCGTAGTGAGCAGCTTGCCTACAGTATGTTAGCTGTGGGGTTGGAAGAGACCTGCACAGTGTGTACCCTTTGTCATGGCTCCAGCGCTGCGCTGTCGGGCCACAGGTGGCTGGTCGCTGCCTTCCCTGTGCCATGGTGTCCGTATCTGTTTGCCCTTATCCTCCTGCAGCTTCCTCGCAAAGTCATCCTTCTCTTCTTGCGTGATGTTGTGGTTTAGCTTTGACGCTGGTCGCGCATTTGAGTTGTCGTAGCTTCCGCCATCCTTGCTGGGGAGCTTGACGTTCAAGCGAGCCGTGATCGCGAAGTTCCTCAGCTGCAATGGCTGTGCCGCTGCCTGTGCCGCTGTTACATTCTGCAGTGACGGTCTCGCAAGTATGCGCGATTGGAGAGGTGTGTGGAATGTGCGTGAAGCAGTCGAGATGCGCGAAAGTGCTAGGGCTGATAAGCGGTGCTTCATCGCTGTGATAGGAAGCAATGCAATGCCGGGAAGCCGTAAGAATCGGGTAACACGGGTAGCAGCACAGAAATAACAAAGATGAAGCTGCTTCGCGCTGGCAAGCAAGCAGGGGAGCTACACGCGACAAGCAGGGTCATTGGATACGGCGACGTCATCGTGATCCGCCGTTTGGGGCTTGATCGACGCCACACCCGCGGCCAGACTTCAAACACCAAACTTCGTCAGTGCCCGGGAACCTCTCCACGAGGTGGTTTGGATCTGCCGCCAAGACACATTAGGCTTAGTTCCTTCACAGCGATCTCCTTTACATACATAGTAGCCCAGACTCGTAGACAATACATCAGAACAATGCTTCCCAACTGTCCCCATTGACAAACTTCGACACGACGAACATGATCAACTTTAGAGATGTAATGGAGAGCTTCATATCAGAAATAGAAGCTCTCGTTCAAGCAGCCCTGAGCTCCTAATTCCCTGGCAATTCAGCAACCGTCTCTTGTCCCTTACCCTTCACGTCCTCCAGTGGCCAGCTCCTGGCGCTGCGCATTGTCAACTTCGACGAGGTCAGTGTGCCTGTACTTCTCGACAGATCCCACATCTGGAACACTGGCGACTTCCTTGACCAACCTCAGCTACCACAAGACAAAGTTAACCCTGGCCGCAATCAACAAAAGCCCATCCAAACCACCGTCCACACCCGTACCGATCTTTGTCACGCTATTATCACTCTCCTGCGCTGTACTACCAAAGTCTACCCTGGTGTGCCCGTCGTCGCATGGTTGATCGTAGACGATGCCTCCATAGAACTTAGGCCTAGCCTGGCAGCTCGTAGAGTGAACAGTGCAGTCTCAGTGCTGCAGCACCTCTGCCCTTCAGCTGCGCTCTCACAACAATACCTTTCACCCATCAGCACGCACACCTAACAATCACTCGTCTTAATCCCACTTGTAGCACAGGTCTTTCCATCCGGTCCACTCAGCGCCTTCGTTGGCTCACCACTCGTAACCCCTTGTACACATCGCAAAACTTCGCATCAATCAGACAAGAATCCTTGATCGTCGTCGAATCTGCCTCGTTGCCATTCACTCCAGCAACCAACTTGCCAGACACGACCTTGATGCTAGTAAAGGAGCTTTTGCGCGTGTATTGCTTGGAGCAGTTGCCCTCCTAAGACTCCATGTCAATGCTTCGTGTGCTTGATCGCTGTGGGCATTGCTACGAATACTTACGATAGACTTCAGAACGAAGATACAGTCCATTTCGCTGTAGCCGGGCAGCTCACAGATGGTGCACTTGTGAGGAGCCGACCTACCTGTCTGATACTCGACCTCGAGGCTGATCGTCGATGCGATAGACATCTCGGGAAGCTTCGATGACGACCTTCCATCTGCCGAACTGCTGGGTTATGCAACACGCTTCAAGGGTTGACGTGTTGCTCACTGCCCAGGGCTGCTGTAGACAGAACCCACGCAGTGACCTCGTAGCAGAGCCCGGGTTTAAACCCGAATGGCTCATGGCCAGCAATCCACTAGTGACACGTCTAACTGCATTGTGGCGGGTTGCTTGCTTGGATCCACCATAGAGAAACCATACCAATACACCAACATGATAAGGTGACAAAGTCCCATAGATGCAACTAGAAAACCAGGTGCTCGGCGCACATTGTTAGGGTCTTTGGGTATTCGTGGCAACTTCCACGTTGTTGTGGCATTCTCGCGGACGCAATCGCCTGGTTGCAGTACCGAAATTGCCCTACCTGGGTACCTAGGTAGCAAACCACGTTCGGTTCGAGAAGTCGCTTCTTGTTGTCGAGCAGACATTCGCAGTCGAGTTGAGGATCCTACACCCACATATCAAGTCGACCGGCCCACGGCACAGTCTGGAGTAGCTTGCCATGCATCTCCTGAATCGCTGCTCCTGCTGTGCTCTGTTGATGGTAATCTCCGCTGACCGTTTCCCAGCATCCAGGTTCCACGCGGCTTAGCCACGCTTTGGCGTTCCTTGTGCGACAAACAACGGCGCTGATCAGGCTGCGTTGAATCTTCGGACCGAAGAAAACTGACGTGCAGCATCAGACATGCAGGTACGAAACTGTATTCCATAGCGTGCTACAGTTGCTGCGGGAAGATACTGATCAGTCTCGCAGTGATTTGTCGCCTTATCTTGTGCTCTTGTTGTGATGCTATGTCATCGCTGTGTTACGAAGAGTAAAAGTTGACGTTGTGTTTGCCTTGTGGCACGGCGTGCAAGCGTTGAAGCTATTTGGTGATCGGTGGAGACGATACTGCAAGCGACGCGCCCTCCGTTTTCTCCTTGAAGGATTATTGGAGTGCATCCGTGGACAGCGATGTGAGTGTAACAACGCGAGGGGCGACAAGCAAAGAGTAGTGTAACCGCGCCTCAAAGGCGTGTTGAAATATCTAGTCATTGAAGAACTCTTTTCCAGAGAGCAAACAACTTTCTCGAATGTCCAAGATTTGCGGTGGTAATTCGCACGGACGGTTTAGTATGCGCTGATGCCCTCGTGGAGAACGGGAATCTGCAGCTCGGCTTGACTAGGTTGCTGGTAAGGTACAACGTGTCGTTCAACGGCAAGCAGCGTCTGAAGCCACGTTGTTAATCCTTCATGTAAAGATTGTCCTTGACAGGTCCAAACGAGGTGCTACACCGACTGCTGGCCCGTTGCCTAGCTAGCCGGCAACCGATCTGCATACGTTGTGCAACGTCTAATAGCAGACTTTCGCATGGATGACTGGTGGAGTCGTGTAGACGTGCATGAAGATCCAAATGATGTCGAAACATGAGGATGTCGCTGGATTGGCATGCTGGCAACAGCGTCGCAATTAGGGGTCCCTCAAGGCGCCCAGGAGCGGAGCAGCGGTTTGCTTCAGGTGTCTATCTCCTTTCCAATAGACTGAGAATGCACTGACTCTATACCAGATTGCCGGGAAGACGAGGTTTCGCAGGCATGTCGCCGTAGGTGTAGCGTGAGCATGTGCATGACCTAGGGGAGAATGTCGCGAGCAATATCTCCCTTGCAAACGCGTCTCGTGTATGCGTCTACACGTGTCAAAATAGAGGCCGTAGCGTGAGGGGAGGCAAGAGTCGAGTCGTCTGGAAGCAATGTTGCCAATGTATAGGCGCTGTTGGCCCTGCACTGGATGCTGTTCCGCTGCGGCTACCGGGCCATAGTGTTAGTGAGAACCCGGGGGTAAGGGTCTACCATACAAAAGATGCACCAGTTGTAGCTACTCGCTTGTCGGCGATTCATCTTGTGCAACACGGGAGGTAAACCCGGCCTTCCAAATGCTACTCATCCTGGCCGTCCTTGCAGGTGTTGGCCAAGATGGAGCGAGGGGCTGATGCAGCTACGCGGCAGTGCGATCTCGCTTTCTGGCACAACTCCGCGTCCTTCTGTTCTCCTCTCATCAACAGTGCAGCCGTGTGACCAGGAAGCCTTCAACAGCACCTTTGCACCATTTCAGTAGCGCGCAACCCACATCCTGACGCTGCGTTCTAGTCGGTTACCCAATTCGGCACCTTTACCGGACTAGTCGATCATCCTGACAAGAATCCATTTGCAATCCAGTCGCTCCCGTCGGATGCGCGGCGACAAGTCCGCAGCCATGATAGCCATCGTGGAGTGCGAGATAGAGGAGGCGACTCCCTGGTGAGGATGGCTGTGGGAGCTATCGCAAATCGGCAGCCTCCGCTTCCTCTTCTGCGATATGGCGTTCCTCTGGAGATCATTTTGATTAAAGCAACCTCAATTGGTCGACGCGATTGGCGAACTGCAGCACACCTCGAGTGCGGCATGTCAGCCGCTCCACTACTGTCACAGTTCCCCAGCCCTGAGAGCTTTCTCGCCGGCAGACTTCGCGCATGAAACCGCGCCAGGGCACGGTGGACCGTGGCTGAATGTCTCTTCGCGTGGCCCCGCTTGGCTAGCCAGGACTGGTGCTGGCCGATCATCAGAACATGGGTCGGATTGGGTCACCCTAACGGCGAGACCATCAGTGGACACGCCTCGTCGCCGCCTAACAAATCCTTATCATGGTGCGGGATGCAGCAACCATGCTCATACCACCTGAACTTAAAAGTTCGTCTTGTCCTTCACTCTGAGGTTTGTGAAGCGGTGCAGATCGCCTATCGGCTCTCTTGATACTCTTTGGACAGTCCCTTTCTTGAGGACTTTCTCGACTCTCTCGACACTTTCTCGATCTTGCACAGAGTTTTTCCAACATGGTCGGCTTCGTTGACAAGGCTAACCGCGCCATTGCGCGCTCCTTCGTGGGCAGATACTTCCGTCTTGACGGCTCCGGTCACGTATGTCATCCTTCACATGAGGTTTGATACATCCACTGACACCTTCTGTAGCCCAAGGAACGCAAGGATGCCCGCTTCTTCACTGAGTTCCGCGCTGGTCTCGCTACCTTCTTCGCCATGGCCTACATTATCTCGGTCAACTGTATGGTCTTCACTTGAAATTTCAAGAAGCAATGCTCATCATCTTCAGCTACCATCTTGGCTGATACTGGCGGTACCTGCGTCTGCCCGGCTGACAGCATGTCTGACCTGTGTGCCACCAACGAAGAGTACCTCCTTTGCGTAGCAGTCGTCAAGCGTGATCTTGTCACTGCCACCGCTGCCATCTCCGCCTTGACTTCCTTCTGCATGGGTCTCTTTGCCAATATGCCCATCGCCCTTGCTCCTGGAATGGGTCTGAACGCCTACTTTGCCTACACAGTCGTTGGTTTCCACGGTTCCGGTACGTCAAGTCACACTGATCGCCTTCTTCGTTTTTGTATTACTTTTTGTGATACATGTCATTTTCTTCTAGCTTGACTTCGTTACACAAATTTCCTTCTTTTGAGACCATTGCTGATTGCTTTTTAGGTATGGTCCCATACCAGGTTGCATTGACTGCTGTATTCGTCGAAGGCTTCGTCTTCGTGGGCCTCACCATTCTTGGAATCCGACAATGGCTTGCAAGGTGCGTTTACATCCGTGTTCTTGCATTTTCTTTGGCGTCATAAATTTGTGCGCCAGTTTTGCACCTCGGCGCGTTTCGGTCCCACTTGGGTCCCATCGCCATCCACTTCGCCACACGTCACTCTCCACAGAAACAACGCTGATTTTGTTTTGTACAGAGCTATCCCAGCTAGTATCAAGCTCGCGACAGGTGTCGGAATCGGACTATACCTCACAATCATTGGACTTGCGTACTCCGCGGGTATCGGTCTTATCACTGGTGCCGTATCGACTCCCCTCGAGCTTGCAGGATGCGAGGATCAGTTCAAGGACGAGACCGGCGTTTGCCCTGGAGGTCACAAGATGCGCAACCCGACAATGTGGATCGGCATCTTCTGTGGTGGTGTTCTGACCGTCATGCTCATGATGTACCGTGTGAAGGGTGCCATCATCTTCGGTATCTTGCTCGTTTCGATCATCTCCTGGCCCCGCCCTACTGAGGTTACCTACTTCCCGCACACCACGCTCGGCGACGACTCATTCGACTTCTTCAAGAAGGTTGTCACCTTCCACCCGATCCAGAAGACCCTCGTTGTCCAGGAATGGAACATCTCGCAGTACGCCGGCCAATTTGGTCTCGCTTTCATCACCTTCCTCTACGTGGACATCCTCGACTGCACAGGTACCATGTACTCCATGGCCCGCTACTGCGGAGCTATTGATGAGCGCACCCAGGATTTCGAGAACTCTTCGATCGCCTACACTATCGATGCTATGGGTGTAACCATCGGATCCCTATTCGGATGCTCCCCAGTCACTGCCTACATCGAGTCTGGTGCTGGTATCTCGGAAGGTGGTAAGACAGGTCTTACAGCGATGTTCACTGGTCTCTCTTTCTTCATCGCCATCTTTTTTGCGCCTATTTTCGCCTCGATCCCTCCATGGGCCACTGGATGTACGCTTGTCATTGTCGGTTCCCTCATGGCACAGTCTGCCAAGGACATCAACTGGAAGTACATGGGTGACGCAATCCCCGCGTTCCTCACCATTGCCATCATGCCCTTCACCTACTCGATTGCCTACGGTCTCATTGCCGGTATCTGCTCGTACATCCTCATCAACACCCTCGTCTACATCATCGAGAAGGCATCAGGTGGCCGCGTCATTCCTCCCAACAAGGACGAGAAGGAGCCCTGGACATGGCGGATTCCTGGTGGGTTCCTACCTCCGTGGGTGCAGCGTATTACCAGCGGAAAGAAGGACTTCTGGAAGCGCGATCCCCAGACTGACGGTGTTGCTGCCAGCCAGGCGAGCGAGAACAGCTCCACGCACAACTCAGCCGAGAAGCACTACATCCAAGATAAGCAGGCCGCTGGCGAGAAGATCATGTAAGCGGTTCGTTTTGTGAATAGATTGGTCGGGTTGGCAAAAGTTAGAAGCGTTGCATACAGTCGCTACGGCGCTGCGTATTGTTGTATTGATAGCATTGCATTTGGTAATGCGTGTGAGCCAAAGTAGATACCCTCACTTTGATTTGACTTAACAAAAGATAATCGTCACTTCAAACACTTGCCTCGCCGGATGCTACGACCGCCAAATGTCAATCTCAAAAGCAGAAACACCGGCGTCGGTGTTGGCGGACGCTACGAACCTTCAGGCGGACTCATCCGCTACCCGCCAATGCATCAACGACTACCCGCCGAACTGCCGGTCCAAATATCTGCTTCACAACACTTTTAGCCAAGACCCGTCGTCGAAGTAAGACCGACACATGCTGGCCGGTGTCGATGGCGGCTGGTCAGCACGCGACGTCGACATCGGCGGGGAGGCCTGAATGCAGCCGCAAGAGTTGGCGCAAGAGTCGGAGCCTCGGCGGCCGTCCGCATGCTGCAGGGCCTTGGCCTACTTCATCCCACCGCTGGACTTTTGCTCGGAGGGGTGGTTCCGCACGCTGACTCGTCCTCTGATGTCTTGACGTTCATATGATCGTTGGCGTTCTTGACAAGAGCAAAGAAACCCCACAGCAGATTGTCTTCGACCAATTGACTAGAATTGCAAAGACTCGCAGGGCTCGCCCACGACTCATACACGATCTACCCATCGCCAACTGCGGATAGCTCCGGCATCGCATTACGAAAGCGTCGAGATTCTTTCTAAGCATTGCCAACCCACGACCAACATTGCGACGGACGGGTAGCACCATTCCGAGCGCCTCTGGAGACTACAAGAGAAGAGAAGAATACTAGCAAACCAGTACATATAGCGACATCATCACAATGCCCGCCGAACTCAACAGACTCCCCGCTAATGGCACCGTCAACGGCATCAACGGCCACACAAACGAGCTCTCCAACCCCACACCAGCAGACTCCGCATTCGATTCGATACCAGACGTCGTAGCAGCATTCGGTAGGACTCCCTTGCTCTCCTCGGACCTCTTACGCATGACCTAAACATCTAATCCCACCCCCAGCCAACGACGAGTTCGTCATCGTCCTCGACTCGCCCGACCGCGAAAACGAAGGCGACCTGATCATCGCCGCCGAATCGCTCACGCCCGAAAAGGCCGCCTTCATGATCCGCTACAGCTCCGGCTACATCTGCGCGCCTCTCACTGTGTCAAGAGCTGCGGCCCTGCACCTCCCGCAGATGGTCGCAGACAACGCGGACCCCAACCGCACTGCGTATGCGATATCGATTGATGCGAACGATGAGAGCGTCAGCACGGGAATCAGCGCGCATGACAGGAGTCTGACGTGCCGCATGCTCGCGGATCCGAACGCGAAGGCGAGCCATTTTAGACGGCCGGGTCATATCTTGCCGCTGCAGGCGAGAGATGGAGGTGTGCGGGTAAGAAGGGGGCATACAGAGGCAGCAGTCGATCTGTGCACACTGGCAGGCAAGCAGCCTGTAGGTGTTATCTGCGAGATGATCAATGATGGAGAGAGTGTGGATGGGAGACCGGAGTTAGTGGGCGGTGGCATGATGAGGACGGACGATTGTTTGAAGTTTGGAAAGAAGTGGGGGATTAAGGTGTGTACGATTGAGGATATGGTTAGGTGGATCGAGGAGAACGAGGGGAAGCTGCCGGTGCAGGCGGTGTGATTGCAGCGAAGAGATGACCTGGCAAGATGACATGGCCAGACGATATGGCTGTACAGATGTCCGGAAGATAGTTGCGACTTTGTGCATGTTTGGGAGTATCTGGGATCTCTCGGCTCTGTTCTGCGGGATTGTACTCAGTAGATGTTTAGTACCGCGCAAGCGTTCCAATACAAGCTCAGAACAAGATTGCACTCCCTCAATCTCATCGCACGAAACATGTGAATCGACCATGTACAAGACAGTGCCGTGTGACAATACTTCTGGTCGTAGGAAGAAGCTTTCACGTGCTCAGGCGCTGCGCTAACTCCAACGCGTCGCCAATCGCGTCTCCCAATCACACCTCATATCACCACCCAGAACCCTAGTCGGCCAAGCTGCGACACCTCACACACACTGCGGTCTACAAACCCACAAACAGCCCTCTACCTAGCCACCCACGCCCACAATGTCCGCGCCCGCGCCCACCTCACACAGTTCCTCTCGAGACCCCCGCCGCACCTCAACAGTGCCAAAACGCACCTCGCTCCTCCCACGCCCCAGCTCCATAGCAATCGACCCCACCGCCCTCATTGCACAACACGCCCAACTCACCGGCACACACCCCATCACCATCGGCCCGAGGGCCGTGCTACATCCGCACAGCAAAATCGATAGTACTGGGTGTGTGGTGATGGTGGGCGAGGGCGTTGTGGTTTTTGAGAGGGCTAGGGTGGGTGTTGCTGATGTTGAGGCGCAGCCCGCGCTGGTGAGGAGAAGTAGTGGGATGAGCGCCGGGGGCAGAGATTCTAGGGCGAGGGGGGATGGAGTGGTGTTGGGGAGGAATGTGGTCGTTGAGACGGGGGCGGTTGTTCAAGGTGCAGAGGTGGGGGAGGGAAGTGTGGTGGAGGTTGGGGCTGTTGTTGGGAGGGGGGCTGTGGTTGGGAAGGTAAGACATAACGGCATTGCTCGTTTCGTGGCATTTGCTGACAAGCTGCAGTATTGCACAATCTCGGCAGCATCCGTCGTCCCACCGTATACCAATCTGCCAGACTACACAGTCGTCTTCAGCGGCTCCCAGAAACGCATCGATAAGACCCTTCAACAACGACCAGATATCCTTGAGGCGAAGATGGCAGTACACAAGAAGCAGCTGGACATGTTTAGACAGTTGGTTGCGAACAACATCACGAAGTGGACGGGCTGAAGAAAGAGGACAGGGACAACTTCCTGTGCTCAAACTACACTCTGGCGGACCAAATGCGGGATATCGGAGACTGAAAGAGCAAGATGATGCACTCGCAAAGTCTGATAGGCCTTAGACGACCAACTTAGGTCCGGAACAAATGCGGCCATCTCGCATCCGTATCTTGTGGATTTCACTCCCACACATTGGCCCTAAAGTTCTTCATCACACCATCCTTCGGTCTTCTTTGCCTGACGATCCCTTCGTCATCTTCTCGCAGTTCACGCACATGGACGCGTACGGAAATCCGGTCCATTGCGCGAGCCAACACGCATGCACCAATATTCGTGCAGTGACACAAGCGGAGAGTAGTATGAGTCTACTGTACGAGGAGGTTTGAGCTGGGTCTTGTCGGGAAAGTGGGCTGCTTCGGACATCAAGGCGCTGAGGACGTCGTATACGGTGTGGCAGAACAATATCGTGCTGGGCGTTCCAGATGGGAAGTACCTCACTTCGCCGGTACCATAGGTCTGCTGCACGCTGGGCGAAACTCGCACTTCCACGTCGGTTATCTTGTTCATGTTTTGAAGAATTGCAATCGACGACGGTTGTGACCTTGAGTTCAGTGGCCTACACCAACACTCATTGCAAAAGACTCACTCATTTATCGACGTCATAAGATGTAGCAAGTTTGCCAATCCGCCCATCTGCTTAGCTTGTCCCGTTGTATCACGCTGTCGTGAGGGAAGCCTTTTACGCGACAAGATGAGGTTCTTTGCAAATCAGGCGCGGCGGCGGTGACACAAATATAATTCATAGGTAAGAGGGGGCACAAATGTCTCAAGGTAGGTATAGAAGACGACCTGTGTAGAGCACCTCCGTTTGTATAGCTGCCGCCTCGTCTAGCTGTGCTTGGCGTTCTACCGAGTCTCTTATCTTCTAGATCTGAATACGAAACATAATCCTTGTAGGTAGTTAGACACACACTTCTTTGCAGAATAAATCCGCTTGGATCTCCCATTCCGGATTTTGTCGTATCGCATAACCTTGACCCTTGGTCAGTTTTAAGCATATGCTTTCCCCGCTTTCAACTTTTTCCCACCAAAAGTGTCCTCAAATGCCAGCTGGGCCCTTTCATCCTTTAATCGAACCATAACCTTTTCTTTTAAAACGTCAACGGTCTCAATGCCACCTCATGTGTTCTCTAGTCTGGTAGAGGGAGTTGAATTGTTGCAGTCGTTACAATAAATGAGGGTGTAACCGCGCAAGGCAGTGAGTCAGGGGGAAACCGCGCAAAGCAGTCAAATCAGTATATATTGTGTTGTTCTTGTTGTTCTGTGATTTTCTCTCACCGGGCCATCAGGGTCTGTTTACATGACGTATCTGTCGTTCAGACAGAGGTAGAAAGTGCTTGTTGGAAAGAGAAAGATCACTGCACCAAAACACGTGATACCACATGACCTCTTTACTCCATAAACCGTCACAACTCATCCCTGAGACCCAACCGAACCGTGCTTCCGAGCTTTCCCTAAATCTGCGGGTTATCACATGCTCCACACGATTGTTACATACTCAATCCACTTCACCCAAGCCAACCAAAAGACTGGACACTAGCACCTATTGGAGTCCGCAAGGCTGAACAAGCTTGAAAGGATCCTGCAATTGCGAAGCAAATCAAGAAAGCTCTGACTGAATGGGATTCACATCAAGAGCATGGTGACAGTATTCGGATTGATAATGGCCTATCACCCAATGGAAATACATTGTTTGTAGTCAACATACTGGATACAGGTCAGTTATCATCAATTCAATGACTTGGTGACAACTAGGGGGTGTATCAGGGTCTGGGGTCTCTCCTGCACTAACGCCCTGTCGCACCTCACCCTTAGGTGAGAGGTTGCTGCCTTTTCCCACTAGCGTTGTTTACAGCCACTCACCTACATATACTGTTCGTAGCTTCATACAATACAACTGCAGTACAATCCTCAACTTCTTCCCTTTGCGTACGGTTTACTGAACTCCAACAGATGCGCATCCCACGAGCCCTACGCCGTCGTTCAACTAAGCAAGTGCTCATCCTTGTTTTCATCTTATTTAATATCTTCGAGGTTGCTCAGATTCTGCGCTGCGTTTCGAGGCCTACGGATGAACCTGTTGCTCAACGATCGGAACGAGTGTATATCGCTAGTATACATTGGAATAATGAACGGATTCTGCAAAGTCATTGGAACGATGCTATAGTCGCTCTGACTAATGCGCTTGGCCGAGAGAATGTCTTCGTTACCGTCTACGAAAGCGGGAGTTGGGACGACAGCAAAGGCGCCTTGAGGGAGCTTGACATGGCGCTAGCGGCACATAAGATCAGGCGAAACATAACCTTGTCGGGGACTACTCATCAAGACGAGATATCTGTGGTGAACAGAGGCTCAGGCTGGATTGACACCCCCAGGGGAAGGAGAGAGCTCAGGCGGATACCATATCTTTCTCGACTTCGTAACTGGACCCTGGAGCCTTTGCAGGAGCTAGCCCGGCAGGGGGAGCGGTTCGACAAAGTTCTTTTCTTGAACGACGTTGTATTTAATGTATGCTTTATCGGCTGATCCCCACTCGGAAAGCCTGGATTAGCTTACGATATTGTAGACGGACGACGTCTTCCGATTACTCAACACAAACGACGGAGATTTTGCAGCCGCTTGCTCACTGGACTTTAGTCGGCCTCCGCAGTTCTACGATACATTTGCGCTCCGAGATGCCGAAGGTCATGAAAGACTTATGCAGATGTGGCCTTATTTCCGAGCAAGGGAATCTCGAAGAGCGATGTTAGGAAACCGTCCAGTGCCAGTGACTAGTTGTTGGAACGGCATGGGTAAGTCAAAGATAGGATTGGTGGGCTCTACAGTCCATATATCGTCCCCTTGTTTACTTCACTGTCATTGACTAATTCGTTACGTTCCAATGCAGTTGCGATGCCTGCTGGACCTTTCGTTTCGAGTCCCCCGCTTCAATTTCGTGGGATTTCGGACTCTCTTGCAGCTTCGCATCTCGAAGGTTCTGAATGTTGTCTAATACACATAGACAACCCTCTTCGCGTCAAGAAGCGAACGTACGTGAACCCGCAGGTGCGTGTAGGCTATAGTGGTGAGGCATACGATGCTGTACATCCGCAAGGATTGCTGCTATCGTCTTGGCAGGTTTTCAAGGCCCTGTGGGAAAACCGCATCCGCCGATGGGTAACCTCACCTTGGCTTAAAGAGTGGAAGGTGTCAAGGAGAGTTGGGAAGTGGAAAAGCATGAGCAAAGAAAATGAAGAAACTGGAGAGATTTGCCTCATTAACGAAATGCAAGTACTTGTTGAGAATGGCTGGGCCCACGCCTAGACAGTCGGTTTGTTGAACAGACCAAGAAGTCTTTGGTACGTTGGAGTCAACATTTGCAACGCCAAAAAAACGCTATGCAATGGGTGCGTTTGTGTGACATAATTCAAAAGCGAGCTGTTCACTTTCTCAAATTCCGCGTCCTCGCATGTTGTAACCACATGGCAGAAGTCACATGATATCCTGTTGTAGAAGGCACTGCCCGGTGGGCAAGTGCACTTACCTCTGAGCCGAGAGCTCCTGTACAAGAACATCACCAAAACAACAATACAGATAGCAATACAATCATTGACCACAGCCTCCGACCGACACTGCTCACGCAGTTACACATGTAGTTACACATGTCGATAACTCAGCTTCTACACATTCAGACAATTGCGATAACATTACCCAATGTACCAATATTCTTGCTGCAACTAATTGCAGAGATTTAAGAACCTTGCCCAGCTGTTCTCTCTCTTTCCTACAGCCCCCAAAGCGAGTTCCACAATACCACAAACCTGTCGACACCAGCGCATCCGGAAAGTCTCTGCTGTGCTGTAAGTTGTCATTGCAGCTTCTAAAATTTATGTCGATATCATTCGGTGCGTGCTTCTGGCCTTGCTTCCTTGATCATACAGCCCTCGGCCGGAAAGTCACCACGACTGATTCATCATCGGTCCAAAAGAGAACGGTTTCCCAACGATGAAGCGATGATGAGATCGGAACTGCTCTAAAAATCCCGGCTCACAACTCGTGAAGCTCTGGCTTCATCCTAAACATCCACAGAGAGCTCGTTAATGTTCTGCGCTTCCTTCTGCATCCCGAACACAACGTTACTTGGGGCATACGCCATGGTGTGCTATGCACTTGATATGGCAGATGTACAACGTCAAAAGAGACATGAGTGTGTTCTCATGTTTGAGTGAACCTACAAGGCAAGGTCTATGCCGATCCAAAAGAAAACTATGGCTGAACACGTTATGTCTGTCCTCCGTCCTCTGTCGACCTTGGATCCCTCGATCTTCTCTTGTATGTTAGTACCTAGAATTTATTGTCTAACCGCTCTATACCGACAGGAGATCTGTAAAAGGACTCCATGAATCTGCTCTTCGCCCTAGCTTCTCATTCACAAGTTTACTACACTCAAAGTCAACATACAGATGCCATGTTTCAGATATTCTTCCTCTGCGTTGCAAAACCATAAAGAACCAGTTACAGAACAAAAAATCGACGCTCTATTCGCCTTCCGTACATACTTTGCAAAATCTAGCCATACATCCTCGATCCCCACGTCACAGTCGCATGTCTTCGACTCCTCAGAAAGTGACAATCCCGGCACAAAGTCAAACCCAGAAATCCATGCCGTTCTGAGAGTCATGTTTTCTTGCAGACTTTCCTCGTTTCAATACTCTGCGACCCGACTTACTCTTTAGAAAAAAAGAGTTGCGGAGCATCCAGGCGGCTTCCATGAATCTGCCGATACCGAATGGTACATCCACCAAATTACTTTATCCTTCTTGGCCGCTCCTCCCCCACCCAACTCTACTCGCTTTTCCACGAAAAGTGACACACATAAGGCATGCTCTGAAGTACCTTTCCCTCCCGCCCTCCCAAGTCCAAAAGCCAGTGCTCTTTGCCTGATGCTCTGTACCTGTCCCAACTTCTCAAAACAACATCCCGCAACAACTACGGGCCAGCGTGCGCTAGAGTACAGAGCCCGCATCGACCGACTCTGCTCGACTCTTACGGCTTTATCGCTCTTCCAAAACATAATCACCAGCGCCTGTGTCCTGGAGACGAAGTGTTGTGCCAAAATACCAAAGGATGGAGACCTGTGTGTTGGGTGCTGTCTCCAACTCCTCAAAAATACAGTTCGTGTGTGCCATGGTCGGAGAAAATCGCGTTGAAGTCTTGGCCGATAGAATACAGGAGAGATTCGGGTCATTTATTGTACCACGCCTTGAGCTTCTACCATTCAGGCTGCGCTTACTGACTTTTTGTAGCTGTACGTCATATGGAACTGTATTCCGACCGCCTTGTCTCAAGAGACAGAGAGTTGTAGTTGATGTCTCGCTGAGTGGCTTTGAGGTCTCAGGACTATGCATGCCCACTGTGATTTGACAAGAAGATCGTTGATCATGGTTTCCTGGACGTGAGCGCCGGCCGAATGTACTTCATGCATCATGGGTGTAAAGGAATATGCACATAATCGTCGGGTCAAGCGACGTCGATACCGCCTTGTCGAGGAATGGCAGAGTGGCGGCGAACTCACGAGCGTGTCACCTTCAAGTAGCACTCGACATGTTGTTCAAAGATCTATTGGACTATCGACTACATCCGTAAGATTTATTCCTTGTCATATCCATCGTCCACATCATGCACCATCCGCCATACATCTACCATCATTACCCTCTCGGTAAACAATCGGGATCGAACGTAAGCCAGCCGGGTGTGTAACAGCTGCTGTGAGGTATCATACTGGGAAATCCATCAATCCACCCATATCGTGTCGCTGTCAGCGCAGACTCGTCCATCTATGATACAAAACAAATTAAGGAACCGTTGAAAACCCAACTCAGTAGATCGAGTTGGGTGACAACCGACGTCCAACTAAGGGGTCGGTGTCGAAAAAAGGTGGAGACCGCGTCGAAATCGTCAGAACTTTTGGGTGCATTCGTGAAGCCATCCGCCATCGTAAGAACCCGTAAACCGTACGCCGTTCGCCATTAAGAAACTGTTGAAACCATCGCGGGTCGCTGTCGATCAAGAGTGATACGGAGCGAGTCCTACTCGGTAGCAACTAGAATAAGTTAAGCCTTGGTCTCTTCCTTAGTCTCCTCCTTGGGGGCCTCCTTCTCGCCCTCACCGTCCTTGTTCTTGACGTATTCGTCGTAGACACTCATGGCCTCATCGACCTTGGCGCGGAGAGCGGACTCGTCGGAGGTGCTGTGACGTGTTAGTTATGGCTCAATGTGCAAATTGGAAGGTGACTTACAGGTTGATGAGCTCACTGTTGTCCATCTCAAGGAGCATACCAGTGATCTTGCCAGCCAACTCGGGCTGCATCTCGTGAATCTTGGGGTAAAGCGCCTCACCGAGCATCTGCTTCTGCTGGCCGGCAGGAGCAGCGTTGAGGACGTTCAGGTCGATACCAGCGGGGCGGCCCTGAGGGAAGCCAGCCTGAGGACCCTGGCCAGGACGGCCGTTAGGACCGCCACGACCACCCTGAGGGAAGCCCTGGCCGCCGCGCATCGCGGGAGCCATCTGACCCTGGGGCATACCGGGCATGCCGGGCATGGGGCCGGCGCCGCGACCACCACGGCCACCCATGGCCTGCTGAGCTTGAGCAGCGAGCTGCATGTACTGAGGAGTCATGTAAGGAGCGGGGAAACCACCGGGAGCCATGCCGGGAGGCATGTACATGGGAGGCATCTGCTGGGCGTTGGGGCCGCCACGGCCACCCTGCTGGGGCATACCGCCGGGGAAGCCACCACGACCGCCCTGCTGACCAGGGATGCTAGCGGGGAAAGGCATCTGGCCACGACCGCCAGGAGGGAACATCATGGGCTGGCCAGGAGCGACGAACATCTGGGGCATGCCGCCGAACTGCTGCTGCTGTTGCTGCTGCATGCGGAGCTGATTGCGGGCCTGGATGGTGGCCTCGAGCTGGTTCTTGCGGACATCCTTGCGCTGAGCAAGAGCGACGTAGAGAGGCTTGCCATCGAACATGCGCTGGTTCATGTCGGTAACAGCCTTGGTCGCCTCGTCGGGGTTGCTGAAGCAGACGAAACCGAAACCCTTGCTCTTGCCGAGGATCTTCTTCTCGCCCTTGATGGTGACCTTGTCGCCAGCCTTGGTGGAGTCATCCTTCTTCTCATCAGAGGACTCGTCCTTCTTCTCCTCAGCATCCTCCTTCTCATCCTTCTTCTCCTCAGTCTCAGCCTTCTTCTCCTCGGTCTCAGCCTTCTTCTCCTCAGAGTCGGACTCGGCCTTGGCGCCCTCAGCGGGGACGGCATCGCGCATGACCTTAGCGGAGGTGATGGTACCGAAAGGAGTGAACATCTCGCGGAGCTTCTCATCATCGACATCGTCGCCGAGGTTCTTGATGTAGAGGTTGACGCCCTGGTACTTGGACTGCTTCTCAAGACGGGCAGCCTCGTACTGCTTGCGGAGCTCCTCCTCACGCTCGTGCTTCTTCTGGGCACGGCCGACGTAGAGCTTCTGGCCCTTGAAGTCGGTGTCGTTCAAAGCCTCGACGGCAGCGGAGGCAGCCTCGTGCTTGATGTAGTTGACGAAACCGAAACCACGGCTCTTGCCCTGGTCGTCCCTTGCGATGGACGCGGAGGTGATATCTCCGTGCTTCTCGAAGAGCTCACGGAACTCGTCGTCGGTGACATCGAGGTCGATGTTCTTGACGTAGATGTTGGTGAAGTTGGCCTTCATCTCCTCGAACTTGCTCATGCGCTCCTTCTTGGGGATGTGGTGGCCGACGAAGACCTTCTTCTCGTTCAGAAGCATGCCGTTAACGTGCTTGATGGCGTTGTTGGCGGCCTCGGCCGTCTCGTAATGGACAAATCCGTAGCCCTTGGAGTTGCCCATCTCGTCCTGAGCGACCTTGCAGGACAGGATGTTGCCGAAGGCGGCGAAGGTGTCGTGAAGAGCCTTGTTGTCAATGGCGTGGTCAAGGTTCTTGATGAAGACGTTGCCCTGACCAGTCTTGCGCAGAGCGGGGTCACGCTGAGACCACATGATGCGGCAAGGCCTGCCCTTGATAACGGTGTAGTTCAGCTCCTCGAGGGCCTTCTCGCCGTCCTCAGAGCTGTTGTAGTTAACATAGGCGTAACCGAGCGAGCGACGGGTAACGGCGTCACGACAGACACGGATCGAGGCGACCTGGCCGATGGAGGAGAACAGCTCGAAGAGCATGGCCTCGGTGACGGAGGGATCGAGCTCGCCGACATAGAGGGAGGCGGAGTTCTGGTGAGCCTGCTGGGCGGTGGGAGTGGGAGCCTCGCCCTGGGCGGCAGGGACCTGGGTGTTGACCTCGGCGCTGTTGGCGTTGGCAGCACCGTCCTGGACGGGAGAGGTGGCGTTGGCGACTTCAGACATGGTGGCTATCTGCGCGGTGTGTTAGTGGCGGTGTGCTGTGAATTTTGCGGGAAGGTGCAGGGTGCGCATGTGCAGGTGCGCTCGCTTCACCAGAAAAGTTTGGACTCACCTGCGTGTCAGACAACTTGCGACAAGAAGCGGTCCTGTGAGAGACCTAGGGAGTGGACAGGCGAGTGTGCTGCGTTCCTTCTACTTGCGACGTGCGGTCGTGAAAGGGAAGGTCGCTCGACAACGGTGGAGGGGTTGACGAAGCGGGAGGAGTGCGTCGCACGGAATTTTTTTTGTAGTTTTCTGGATTTTTTTGTTTCTTTTCTGTTATGTGACGATCCGCGTGAGGGGACCGGGACTTTGGAGAGCTTTGTGTGTGGTGGTGGGAAACGGTGAGAGGGTGGAGGGTACGCTGTACTTTCAAGTGGGATATTTTCTGTGAGGCGCCGGCCAGTGCGCGGCGGCTAGCTGCATTCGGGGTAGGCGGTGAACGAACGAGCTTTCCTGCACCCGAACGAATGGCAGTTGGACTGAACAGAATCTGCACTGACGTCAAACTGAGGAAAGCGAGCATAGAAGACAAGTAGTAACGCTTCGTATTGCTTGCTACTATCTCCGGAGGCGCACAGAGGCGCACCAGCCCTTGCGAAACGGTGGTCCCTGCAGCCGGTGACCACATGTCAGACGCGTTCGATAATGATAACGCAGCCACAGTGCACAAGGAGGCTTCACTGAGGTACATCAGCAAGTTCCAACGATAGGCCTGAGGAGAATGCAAGGAAAATGTAAGATGCTCTGCGTATGGGCTCGCGATTTGTTGCGTGGACGTTCACATGTGGCACTGGAGCCCTGCGATACTCAGTGCATCGAGAACAACTGTACGAACATCTCATTCAACACATCTACAAACAACAGCGAAAGATGGGTATCTGTGCTCAAATCCAACAAAAAACTAGAAAGAACGTGCTTGCCCCACTCTACTCGCTCAAACTATCATCCCAACCCCCTTGTTCAGTAAGAAATTCCTCAACCTTTGTCTTGCACTCTTTCAAACCCCGCCCCAGAGCCTCGTTCCACTGGCTCTCCACAAGCCCGACCTTCTCCTTCAAGTCGTCTGTCAGCCGCTGCTCTTCATCGGCGCGGATGGCTTTCATCTCAAGGTCCACGCTGGTGAGATCTTCGCCTTCTAGCAGTCTCTGCGTCTCGAGGAGGCGCGAGCCAGCGGTCATGACGGCTGTCTTGACCTCGTGCAGCAGGCAAAGGAGATTTATCTGGGACTCAATGAACTGATACGCCGAGCGACCTGCGTGTGCGAGAAGAGTGTAGAGGTACTGCAGCGGGAAGTCGTGGTACGCTGGGTTCTCGCTGTACTCCTGGGCCGGGATCAGGATGCCGAAACCATCGAGTTGGTGCGGCACTTTTTGCACAATTGCCAGCAGGCCGGGTGCAATGTCCCAGAAAGCTGAGAGTTGTGTCTCGACACCGCGCGTTACGTTGCGCTCGATAACTTCAAGAAACTCTTCATAGCGCTTGAGAATCTCCTTCTCGAAAGTGACCTTGCGGTCCTGTGCGTCGCGGCGGAAGAAGTCAGTCGCCTCCTTGACCTTCTGGTCGTTCTTAGCCTGGACATAGGGTAGGACGATGATGTCTCGGTACAGATCGTTGCGCTCGTTCTCGAGCTCAAACAGCTCCTTGTGAAGTTGCTCGCGGAGCTCGAGCAACCACTTCAGCAAGGTGAGCATCTCCAAGAGTTCCGGCTTCTCGTCGCCTTCCTCTTGCGTTTGATTTGGATTCAGCTCCTGCGCCTCACTAGACAAGCGACCTTTAAGATGTTCGATTGATGCGGTCACCTTGGTGACCCGTTCGCAGAACATAGCATGAAGAGTATTCGCGACTTCGGCTTGAAAGGTGTCAAAGATGTTCTGTACCACGTCCTGCGCACGCTGGTGCTCGCGGGCTTCGAACTCTGCATCAGCTTTCGCTGCATCCTGAAAGCTCATTTGGCCGTTTCGCAGGTTCTCTTGGATATTGTACCGGATCTGCGCCCGTCGGTCGTTCAGTGATGTGTTCTCCGACTCCTTCCGTGCTTCCATCTTCGTTTCGAAACTGGCTTTGGTTGTCTTCACATCGCCAAGATCGGTCAGTGTTCGCAGGCTGCTTCTTATGGACGCCAGATCAGGATGATTGTTGTTGACGGCAGGATGGTGACGCGGGTATGGTGGCGGTAGGGTGACAAGCCTAGACACATCGAGCTTGTGCGGATCGACTGCCGGTGGAGTCGGGGTAGGGAAGTAGTCGTACGAAGCCGGTTGCTTTCCTTTGCCATCATGAAAGCCAGCCTTCTCAGGTGGGTATTCGTTCGCTCCATACGGTACTGGTCTGCTACTGGAGCTTGCCCGGTAATGCTTGGGTGTAGTCTGGTTCTGTCCATCCCGGTGGAAGCTTTCCTGTGTCTCCATCACCAAACCCATGTACTTCGACTCTCGCTTACTCCTCTCCAACCGCCTGCCGCCGACACCCTGCGATCCATCGTCACTTTCCCACCAACGGCTTGCAGAACGTCCTCTCGAATCTTCCTCGTCCGGGATCGTGCTCATAGCCATGCTAGGGATTGGCGATAGCGAAGGATGGTAGTTGTTACTCCAAGAAGCATCACGAGCACGTTGGCTTGATGCGCTAGAGGGCGACGCAGGCTCAGTGTGCGGCGTAAACTGGCCTCGAGAAGACGCTGGGCTTGCAGCTGTTGTGGGCACTGAATCAGAAGGCCTCGTGTCTGGTGATTCACCTGATATGGATCCAGAGCGCTTGCTTCTTGGTATTGGAGGAGTGACCTGGGCACTTGGGGTGATGGCCCTCCGCCCAGAAGTCTTGTTTGAACGCCACAAGTCTCTTGTCAAATCCATGACTTCGCCTGCCATAGCATCGAAAGCACCCGAGTACCGATCTCGCCGAAACCTCGATTCCGTGACTATGAACTCCGCAAAGAGCTCCAGTCGTTCCTCGTCATTCTCGGCATGCATCTCTTTCTCGATGAAAGCACGGTGCCGCTCGATCGACGCTTGAGCAAATGCATCTCGACCTGTCGGTTTCGGTGTGCGAAGTGACGGGTCATGTGGCGTCGACACAGAGTGCGACGATGTTTGCAATACTGAGCGGTTTACGACCTCTGATGGAGTTGTCAGACCTCTCTCATCCTCAGCAGAATGTGGCGGAGGTGTAGGGAGGGCTTTGGCAGGGAAGGCTGCCGGGGCTTTCTGAGAAAGATGTTCCGTACCTGGCGAGAACGGTGGTGTAGGGGCGGCGCCAGACACAGCCCGTGGGCCCGTAATGATTCGCGGGGTAGAGTTGGCGGACCCTGGATCATCATACAGATGTGCGCTTCTTGGTGACCGTAATGCTCCGCCGCTCCGGGGACCTCTTGTAATCGCACCACGTCGTGACAGCCCACCATCGGGTGAAGTCAGCTCTAGGTCCGCTGGTTTCGCGTTGGATAGCTCAAGATCCTGTGCCCAAGGGTTGTTGCTTGGTTCGGTGCGCCGCTCACGTGCAGCACGACTCTCTTCCCTACGTTCACGAATGCTGCCCCGAGCACTGCCCTCACGTCTGGGTCGTGAGAGTGTGCTGCCTGATCCCGAGTGTGAAGTCATCGAACGTCCGGACACTGTCGGCTCACTCTCCGTGTCTGGAGGTGAGGCAACATACTCGTCATGTCGGCCAGCTTGCGGGCTCGTATCGACGTGCAGACCATGAGCTGCCAGTGATCTTGCTGGAGGTGGTGCGGGAGCTGGGGCTGGAGCTGGCTCGTCCTCCCATCCCATAGGCGTTGGTGGAATAGGCCCAAGGGTAGTCTGCCCTGGTCTGCGCGTCGGAGGAGCTGAGGGATAACCTGACGAACGGTCCGAATCAGAGCCAGGGCCAACACTTTGTGACCTCGAGCTACTCGGTGGAGGGCCAGGCGGTGGAGGGGGCAACGGCATGCCTGGTCCCCAACTCGACTGCATGTTAGGAGGCGTCTGATCGCCAGGCGTCCGAGTCTCTGTGCCATGGCCAAGGACGCCAGCCGAGGCAGCTCTTCGCGAGTTTGGTGGTCTGATCGGTGACTGCGTGTCAGGAACCCACCGTCGATCCAGTGGGCTGGGTGTGTACTGAGCGAAGTTTCGCTGCGAAGCTGGCCCGGGGTCCCCTCGTTGCAGCACATCGTGTGTGCTCATATGTAGCGACTCGATTGCACTCGGTGCAGGACTGTGGTCATTATTCCTGTTGCGGAAGTTCGAGAGGCTGAACTTGTTGGACAGACCACGAGATGAAGACCTCTCTCTGCCAGGTGCTACAGGTGGAGGCGCAAATTGAGTGTTCACTGGTGCTGCAGCAGAGCCAGACGGTATGGCTATCGAGACGGGACGATTGTGGAAGCTTCGAGCTGCGCGCGCAGATGAAGGTGTGCTGGTCTGCGGTATGGGTGGGGGAGGAGGGTGGTTCTGTGGGAAGGCGTGTCCCGGCGACGAGCTCAAGGCCTGTGATATGTTGTGGCTTTGAGCGTGGGCGGGCGTGTACGGCGGTGGTGGGGAGGGCATGGCCTCTTCATGTCCCGACAGGTCCTGCGCCCGTACTGGATTGATTGACATCTGCGTCTGCTGAGGCGCATATTGCACGCCTGGTCTCCCATTGCCTCTCCATTGCTGCGGGTTGTATGGGGCAGCCATTGGCGAGCTAGCTACGGGCGAGGGTGCATACGGCGAGGACGAATTGTTCGCAAACGGGGAGAAAGGGCTTAAAGAGGTCACGCTCGTCGGAGTCTGCAGATTGCCATGGGTCTGCGCAAAAGCAGTTCCTTGCGTGATAATGCCCGGTCGTACGGTAGCAGCAGGGCCAGGAGAGATGGGCTGCCCGTGTCGGGGCGCGGTCGCTGGTGGAGGAGGCACCGCGGGATAGTTGTGAGAAGACATGCTTCACACCGTTCGTCCGTACAAGAGGGCCTGAACGCCCCAAAGCCTCCAGCGGCTCCAGGGTGCTGCAGGGCGAATCCTACTCGGTGTTCTGAGACCGTTCGTTCACCGCGTTGGGGGCTTGCAGAGCCGTGTTTGTCACCTCCTCACACAAGCCATATGCACAGGAAACGGCTGCACCCCTGCAAGACTGGGCGTGCTGTGGCCGTCGGAAGGAAGGAGAGGCCCGCATGGTGATGGGCACGGCGAGCGTTGGCTGTCCTATTCGCTCCATTGCCCAGCACGAGAGAAGATCCGGGCGTTGAGAGAGAGGGTTGGCAGTCTTAGCGTGAAGCTTGACTCGGGCCTGAGCGAATGGCAGCTGCAGTTCGACTAGCGACCCTGGCGCGGGCGGCTATGTAAAGACCAAAGTGGGATCATGCCAGTTCATGGATGTGGTACAGAGGCTCTATCTTATCGATATTGAGGCTGCAATATAGGTGCAATTTCTTTAGGTGCATACAATACTGTGATTGATCTTGAGTTTGCATTGCTAGACTGCAATGCGCAGTGAGTGATGGTGAACAGGCGAGCGTTCTGCTGGCATCGTTCGGCAAACCCAAGATATGCGCGCCAAATATAGCACGGCATCTTTCATGCAGCTTGGAATCACATCCCACATCCCACATCACATGCAGGACCAGAATAATTTTCCTGCAAGCCCATGGCTTCACCAACGTTGGTCCTTGTCTTGTATGGCAGCAATACCGGTGTTATAGACGAGGTGAGCAAAGGGTATATTTGGGGTAGTAGAAAGGACTGCGATGCATGCATGCACGAGTTCTTGATGAGACCGTTCAGTAGACGTGACGTTAGGCATGAAGACGAGCGGTGACTGAGTCGCACTCAGATCTATGCTAGTATAGTGGACGACTTGGAACGAAATGAAGGAAGTAGTATGGGAGGGCTAAGAATTTGGACGCACCCCTGGTCGACTTGGTAACACTTTTCACGTGTGAGGTGGTGATCATAACGATCCAAAAAAAAGTCGCACAACCATAACACATCATGATCAGCTGAGATTCATAATCTATGGTACATACTTCCGGCTGAAGCCGTTCTGCAAGCAAAATCTTCCTATCACTTAAGCTGAGGTGGTCACTATCAAGGCCGTTCGTGGAGTCTGAGCGGTCTATCGAGTGGGGCACCTGTAAAGCCACCATCACCAACACACTCGTGCTGTCGATCTCAGCAGCATGCACATGGAGACCGACCAAGAAGCGTCTGCAAGTCCTAAAGTGTTCATACATAGCGTACTAGGTATGTACCATCCCAATGCTTTTGCCAAACAAACTCGCCTCAAACAACTAAACTACCCACTCGTGCCTATTTCTGGAACTTCTTGTGGGTGTCGATGACCTTCTGTACCTCCTGTTCCGAGCCCATGAAAATACCCGATCGGTCGTGGATGTGCTCGGGCACGACTTCGAGCATACGCTCCATCTTGCTGTTGACAGCCTTGCCACCAGCTGCGTGTCACGTCAGCAACGATTCTATAATCACGCGTGAGGAATGAGGATATAGCTTACCGTTCTCGAAAACCATGGCCATGGGTGCGCACTCGTACAATATACGCAGCTTGCCCTTGGGGCTCTTTTTATCCGAGGGGTATGCGAAGATACCGCCGTACAGCAACGTTCGGTACGCATCAGCGACCATGGAACCGATGTAGCGCGCACTGTATGGCTTGCCGCCCTCTTCTTGCGGGTACTTCAGGCTGTTGATATACTCCTTGACCGGCTCCTCCCAGTACAGCGAGTTACCCTCGTTGACGGAGTAGATGGCGCGCTTCTTGGGAATCTGCATGTCGGGGTGTGTGAGGATGAACTCGCCGAACGCGGTGTCGAGGGTGAAGCCGTTGACGTTGCCGCCCTTCATTGTGATGACGAGCTGTGCGGAGGCACCGTACATAGTGAACCCTGAGGCGACCATCTCTGTGCCGGGCTTCAAGAGATCCTCTTTTGTGCCCTTCGCGCCCTCGGCCAGCTTGTATACTGCGAAGATGGTTCCGACTGAGACTCCAGCGTCGAGGTTGGAGGAGCCGTCGATGGGATCGCAGGCTACAGCGTAACGCGCGTTGGGGAACTCGTCGAACATAATCAGCTCTTCTTGCTCCTCAGAGACAAGGAGGCGCACGCGACCGCAGGAGCGCATGGCAGAGATGAAGAGCTCATCGCCGATTACGTCGAGCTTCTTCTGGTCGTCACCGGTGGCATTTGATTGACCAGCTAGTCCAGTAAGCTACAAAAGTCAGTTACTGTCGTATGCCGAGATTCCAGTGCTGCGTACGTTGACCAATGTGGCTCTCCGAATGTAGTAGGCAATGCTCTTGAACGCGAATTGAAGGGCATGGCAAAGAAGTCTGATACCCTGATTAGGTTCAAGTTTCGATAGAGAGCACTATGAAGCTCACGTGAAGTCACCGGTAGCCTCCTTGTGTTTCGACTGCTCTTCTGTGAGGAATCGTGTGAGGGTGATGATGTCAGTGTTGATCGCCTCCTGCTTGTTCTGTTGGCCGTTTCCGGTGGTCGCCATGTTATCGACTGTATTCGTAGTAGAATTAGGTGTTTTGGGGGTATTCTGGGGGCGTAAAGGGGTATCTGGTAGTGTGGAGGAAGAGGAAGAAGTGAAGAGGGTCGAAGCAGAAAAGTTAGAGGGAGTTCTCGATCATCGACGCGTGGGGAAGGCGCCAGTAGTTATTATGAAGTCAGATGTCTGGGTCCAAGTGGGTAGAGTCGGGCATGCGGAGACAAGTCGGTATTTGTTTGGGAGACAGATCGGTTGGACAGCCGTGGACAGCTCCCTCGGCAAGTCACAAGCTCACGATATCTCAGCCATTGGAGCTCTGGAGGTGCCTCAATTGTGGCGGAAGAACCCGCAGAGAGCTCGGAAGCTGATTGATGGCACTTTCCCGCGAGAAACACCGCGTCGTCGCGCGAGCGCCGATATCGATGCGCTTTGCGGCGGCAGCATGGGAGCTTTGACGATGATGCAAGTGCGGATACCGAGTGGAGGGGTGGTTGCGGGGCGCTTTCCACACTTTCTCCAGCTGACGTCTGCCCGGGATCTTCCGACCCGCGGATATACATTCACACACGAGGTCGCCCGCATCAGCCTCATGACCTTGGAGGATGTTTCTGATGTTTACATGGACTTATGAAATGGTTCAGGTTGTAGTACTAGTGTCGAGGAACATTTACAGAAACGAAATACTTTTTACTTACGTAGCGATGAGAGTGTTATAGATTCCTGACATCTCGACAGTCCGCAAAGCATCACCCGTACCTGGATTAGTCCCGCATGGTCATCTATCGTGCCGGAACGGAGGATTTCTGGCCAGACCAATATCCCGCAAAGTCGAGGCCCAACAAATGCTCACGATGCAGGATAATTTATCCAGACCGCTTTTGAAGTTTCGGCGTACTTCGCACCGAGCACAGTATCCGTGCAATGAGCATCACACGATGCATCAAAAGGGCGTGGGATATAGCAGACATCGATGAACACAGAAATCCGATTTTGTACATTCCTACACATACACTCATAGCTATGCAAATGTACAGGAAGAGTCCCTATCCAACCCTTCAACAAGCTTCATGACGCTCTGAAAGGAGACCGTCGCAGAAATGGGGGATAAAACAATGCAAGCAAACTCGGACAGACTATTGAAAACATGGGAAATTCTCTGCACCTCCTTGTTGCTCTATTCGCCTTTCAGCTTATCCTGCTTGACAGTGAATGCCATCTCCAACAGGTCCTTCTCCTCCTTCTTGTGGGAAGCCTTCAGACCAGTAGCGACGGAAGCACTGGGGTTACGTCCAGCGTACATGACGTGGCGCCTGTTGTGGTGTTCTGTCTGGTTCAACAGGGTTTCAATTCTGGGTTGTGTGAAGCTCCAAGCACCAGCATTGAGGGGCTCTTCCTGTGCCCAGATGATGTTTTGAGCGTTGGGGTACGAGTCGAGGTTCTCCTTCAGCTGCTCCCATGGGAAGGGGTTCAGCTGCTCGATACGGGTGATGGCGACATCCTTGAGATCACGAGCCTTGCGCTCGTTGACAAGAGCAGTGTAGACCTGACCGGTGCAAAGAATGACACGCTTGATCTCCTCGTTCGTGCCAATCTCGCCAGACTCATGCGCTGGGTCCTTGATAACCCATTCAAAGTGTGACTCGCCTGTGAACTCCTCGATGCTCGAGCGGGCCATGGGGTGACGGAGCAGGGACTTCGAGAAGAAGAGGATAAGAGGCTTGCGGAACTGGCGATTCATCTGGCGACGCAGCAGATGAAAGTAGTTGGAAGGCTTTGTGCAATAGGCGATCTGAATATTGCAGTCCTGGTGCTGGCGCTCAAGCTTCTCGGGCGCAGGGAAGATGCGGGGATCTTCGTTGACAAGCTGCAGGTAACGCTCCATACGACCAGAAGAGTGCTCGGGACCTTGACCATCGTAACCGTGAGGCAAGCTCATGACAAGGCCGGAACGCTGCAGCCACTTGACTTCAGCAGAGGCAACGAACTGGTCAATGATGACTTGAGCAGTGTTGGCGAAGTCACCGAACTGGGCCTCCCACATGACGAGCGCGTTAGGCGAAGAAAGAGAGTAACCATACTCAAATCCAAGACTAATGACTATTAGTAGGCAAAAGATTAATGCGTAGAAAACGACTTACACTCCATATTCGCTGAGCGAGGAGTTGGAGACAGTGAATGATTCCTGGTCGTCGCTGAGGTGCTGAAGGGGGGTGTATGTCTTCTCGTTCTCCTGGTCGTGAAGAACGGCGTGACGCTGGGAGAAGGTACCACGCTCAACATCCTGACCAGACACACGGACGTGGTGGCCTTCCATACACAGGGAACCAAAGGCCAATGCTTCTGCGGTGGCCATGTCGATGTTCTTGCCATCTTCGACGGTCTTGGTGCGGCCAGCCAAGATACGCTTGAGGTTCTTGTGTACGTTGAAGCCCTCAGGAGCGTTACCGATCTTTTGAGCGATGTGCTTCAGTTGTGACTCCTCAACAGCGGTGGGCAAATGTGGCAGAACCTCGGTAGCAAGCTCCTTGGGTGATTTGAAGCCGTTCCAAGCAGAAGTCAGCCACTCCTTGGCGGTAGGCTGGTAGTCTTTGCTACGGTTGAAGCTCTCATCGAGCATGCCCCAGACCCAAGCCTTGTGCTCGTCAATATCCTCCTTGGTGAAGGTCTTCTCCTCCAAGAGCTTGTTGACATATAGGTCAAGGGTAGGCTTCTGTTCCGAGATCTTCTTGTACATAAGAGGCTGAGTGAAGAAAGGCTGGTCAGTCTCGTTGTGACCTTGCTTACGGTAGCAGACCATGTCAATGACGACGTCCTTCTTGAACTCAGCACGGAAATCGGCAGCAAGCTGGCAGACGAAGTTCATTGCCTCAACATCATCACCGTTGACGTGGAAGACAGGTGCATCGATGGCCTTGGCAATGTCAGAGCAATAAGGAGTGGAACGAGAGAATCGAGGATCGGTGGTGAAACCAATCTGGTTATTGACGACAATGTGGATGGTTCCTCCGGTGTGATAGCTGGGAAGAGCGTGGAAACCCATGGTCTCGTATACGATACCCTGACCGGCGAAGGCGGCATCACCGTGGAGCAGAACGCCCATGGCGGTACGGGCCTCCTTCTCGTCGTTGTTGTAATGCAGAATGGCGCGGGTCTTGCCAAGCACAACAGGGTCCTCGGCTTCCAAGTGAGACGGATTGGCGACCAGAGACAGCTGCACACGCTTGCCAGAAGGAGTAGGACGCTCGAAGTTCATTCCCAAGTGGTACTTCACGTCACCAGAACCTTCGTCGGAGGGCTCAGCGCTACCGGCGAACTCGCTGAAGATAGACTCGTTGGGCTTCCGGACAACATTTGACAGAACGTTAAGACGTCCACGATGGGGCATACCAATAACAATATCCTTGACACCGTAGTCAACACTGCGATCGATCAAGGCCTTCATACCAGGAATCAAACTCTCACCACCCTCGAGACCGAAACGCTTGTCGTTGGGGTACTTTGTCGCCAAAAAAGACTCGAAGCTGGTACCCCAGATCAGACGGTCCAGGATGCGGCGCTTCTCGTCGACGGAGTACTTGAATGGCTGGGGAACCTCAATGCGCTCACGCAGCCAGTCGCACTGCTCCCTATCGGGAATGTGAATGTATTCAATACCGTAAGATCCGCAGTACAGGCGCTCGCAAGCCTGGATGATTTCGCGCAGGGTCATCTTCGAGCGGTTCTCGGTCTTGAAGCGAGGCAGAATACCGGGGCCAAGCTCGATCTCTTGGTCCAGATCCTTCTCGGAGAAGTTGTAGTGAGACAGCTCCAACTCGCGGGGCTTGCTGTAGCCGAACTGCTCGGCCTCTGTGCGGATGCCGAGGGGATCGATGCGCGCCTTGTGGTGACCTCGAGACTGGTACGCGCGCACCAGCAACTGAACCTTCAAGTGGTTCATGACGTCTGAGCCTTCGCCGGGACCCATGCCGAGACCAGGCCTGATGTCAGAGATTCCGGAGCTACTGGAGGGGACGATCGTGGGCGGCGGCTGAAAGGCTTGCGAAACGGGCATGTCGCCAGACTCCATGTTGCGGAAGTAGACCTGCCACGAGATATGGACACTCGAGGGGTCGCGCCTCCACTGCATGTACATTTCGTCGACATAGTTGGCTGTATTGCCGCTCAAAAAGCTGTCATTGGGGTCCTATGCGGTCATAGTTAGCTATGCCCTCGAAAACTTCACAGGTTGCGGCATGAGGCCACGTACAACGCCCTTGTCGGTGTCCTCGGCGGCGAGGGCGTACTGGCGACGCTGAGCTACCGCCAACGGGCGGCGGCATGTCGAGATGGCGTTCGTCCTGGCTGGCGAGGCGGCGATCGTCGAGAGCCTTGCCTTGGCCGAACAGCTCTGGAGCTGCCGGGAGCATTGGCGCAACGAGGTGCGCAACATGATGAAGCAAAAGGGTATATGGGGAAAATTAGATGGGTGACATCCAAATGGACGACGGGGGACAGAAGGGAAAGCTTCTGAGCGGCTGCTGAAGCGGAAGACGAGGAAGGAGCAAGTGGAGTTCGCACGCCGATTCCGGCTAAACCCCTTGCGCGTAGCGTTGTTTATGAACCTCGATAACCTCTAGCAGTCCCTGGCCGGAAATGCCTCAAACAGCTGCGTCAACAGCTGCGTCTCATGTCATTGGTGCCAAGCTGATATAGTGTGCATCTGCGTCGTGCACGTAGCACGCTTCGACCCTTCAACTCTTGGTCGAGCATGCGCGAGAAACGTCAGATGTGCACCTGTGGCAGTCAGCGTGTGGTTGCAAAAGCCTCGAAAGGCTAGCCAATAGTGGGAGTGTTATGTAAAAGTTCTACGTCCTGTGACGTTGCTTCAAAAACATCGAGACTGCGCAAGGCGGAAAAGTATCCGCAGAAGACTCGGAGGCATTTTTTTTTGGGTTCGTTTATCGGGAAGGTTCATTTTGAACGTTGCTCTTCAGTCTCGATGTTGCATCAATACATAGAAAAACACAGTACGTAATTGGCGCAAGCAAGCATGCACTTGAAAGCACCAAAGTAGCACTGCGCTCAAAGAAAGTGCGTACCTTTGCACGAATTTCAACTCAATTTGCGGCAAGGCACTAGATCCTTATACCAATAGCAGAATCGCGTCGCTCATCACGTTGAAAGCTCGACTAAAGATTTTGGATTCTCCAGAGTGAAGTTGCAAGCGTACTTGCTTTGATTGTCTGGGGAAGCTAGTGCGTCCTCATTAAGCACTCCCGCAGGCGCGTCAGCGATCGCCGCTCCAGGTTTCTTCCACCAGCATGTCCAGCGCTGCAGCCCAGTACAAGAAGAAGGATGGCACACTCTCCGTGTCGGCGGACGGCAAGACTGTGTCATGGGAGGCTGTTGGCGGAGTGCTCCCGCCGCTGGCGATAGCAATAGTAGATATTGGGAGTAAGCGTACAGCATCATGCAAAGAGATGTGGAAGCTGATCACCTTGCGCCAGACCTCCAGCAGACACCCGCTACCGCCTCGAAAGCCTCCATCAAAGTCGTAGTTATCGAATCGTCGCCGCAAGCTGGGAACCACACCTTCACATTTACCTCATCAGCCGCTCGCGATGATCAGCAGATGATCAGAGGCCTGCTGCAGAAGGGAATCGAAGCTGCAAAGGCACAGGAAGCTCCAATCGTGACACCAGCAGCCACTCCTGGTGGTAATGGCGGTGGTGCCTCAGCCGCCATTACCATGGCGCAGACAGTTGCCGCATCTGCACAGCAAGACGAGGATCTGTACGCTGATGCAAAGCTGCTTGTCGACCTTGAGCTTCAGATGTCTCTCCTGAACTCTAGCCCTGCACTGCGTCAGCGCTTCGATCGCGCTCTGAGTGAGAAGCCTGCGTCTGTCACGATGGGACAGTTTTCCAACCAGTTCTGGTCGACACGTTTGAACTTGCTACGATCCCACGCCGCCGAGAAGACCCAGACGACTGGATCATACAACGTGCTTTCGGTGATCAAGTCGAAGAACGTCAACGGCGCCTTGATGTTGAATCTGACCAAGGAGCAGATCGAGGTTGTGTTTCGACAACATCCCATCGTGAAGACGGCGTACAATGAGACGGTTCCACCTTTGAACGAGGGCGAATTCTGGGAGCGCTTCTTTCACAGTAGACTTTTCAAGAAATTGAAGGGTGAACGTATACCTGACGACTATGTTACAGACACCAGGCTCGACAAGTACTTGAAGTATGATGAGAACGCCGACAATGCGCAGCAGATGCTCGTTGGCAGTATACCGTTGTTCATCAACATTGAAGGAAATGAGCAGAATCACAGTCAACAAAAAGGCAACCGTCAGGACTGGACTATGGTTCCCTCGAGCAATGAAAAGGCGCCAATCCTGCGTGTTCTGAACCGCATGAGCGAGAAGCTTATGAAGGAGGTGCCTCTGGTGGATAATCCCCATGCTCCTGCTGGACAAGACGAGGACACGTACAACGAGCTGCAACTGAGAGACTTACAGCGTGCGTCTGACGACAACAGAGTCATGCTCAAAGTCCAGGACCAGAGTCGTTTCTTCTCTGCGGGACAGAGCGTGCAGTCATCGACTAGCGCTGCGGCCTACACCAAGCGGACCCCAACGGAGGTGCTCTCAACGCTGCAGCAAGATTTTGCAAGCATCAATACAAACAGCAGTACACTCGGGACTGACCTACATTCGAAAATTGCTATCAATGATGACAGCGATAGTGAAGATGAAAGTGGAGCCCCGAAGAAGCTCAGGGTTGGTAGCAGATCGGCACGAACTGCAGCGAAAACACAGATCATCGCGGCTATCGAGAAGCGACATTTGCATGAGGATGAATACCCCTCGGCGAAGGGCGTTCTGAACAGCGAGCAAGCAGCGAAGCTGGGCATTTCGGACACCATTCTCGACAACCTCACCATGACACACAACACCACAGTAGAGTTCCTACACTACTTCTGGGACGTGTATCACTCTGGTAATCCTGAGCGCGCCAACGAAGTCGCAAAACTCATCGAGACTCTGGACAGATCACTAGACCGCATCAACGCCGTCGCAAATGCTGCGGAAGCTGAGCGGACAGCTCGTATTGAGAAGATCCAAAGAGACATCGAGATATATAGGCAACAAACTGGAAAAAAGAAGAGATTCGATCCTGAGGCTATCAAGGGTGGAGCGATTGCCGTTGCTCAGGTCGTGCAGCCGCTGAAACGGGCTATTGATACTGCACGAAGTCAATACCAGGCGGCCCTCAATCAGCAGCTAGGTCAGGTCACTCCTTCGGACGGCTTGTAAGGCCGGTCTTGCCTTGCCTTGAAGGATGAGGCTGTATATATTTCTGCATAGCGATGGCGTTTTGGGGTTACAACCACTGTAGATCACCACCAGCAAAACTCTCAAGCCCTGCCAGAAGCGAGCGCCACCAACTTGCAAACCATGACTCGTTGTGTCAGCTCTTGGACATTCTGATCTGAAATACGCAGCATGAAGACATGATCCTGCCTCCCATAGAATACAGGCTTCTTATGCCTAATTTGGAATCGCTACCGCTTCCCGCAGCGAAGCCTTGACGATCATGCGCAATCCCTGCAATGATCGACACTTCATGATGAAAGTCGCCTGATTCTGAGACGAGGCGACAGCTCACAATGAAGCTGCGCAAGCAATATGTAAGCACACATTCTTAATAGCGGCCTTGCACACCCTGAGATCATGCTCGTCTATTTGCATTTCACCATATATAGCGCTCACCCCCCCATTTTTCGCATCAGAACCACAGTTGTCTTTAAATGTTGCTTTGGTCAATCTGAACCGCTGTCTGTTACACTGCGATCTGCATACCGGTATCTACCGAACGGTTGCTTCCTTCACCCTAAGCTAGCGCGGTTCTAGCTCAACGGGGCCCCACTTTTCCCATAGCTCGGACCGTCAGGCCCTGGCTCTGCAACGTCCTCATCATCAATCTAGTTTACTTGTTTGCTCGCATCGATGCCAGTAAACGACTAACACATCCGTTGGGACAATTCACGACGGCGGAGGAGGAGGAGGAGGAGGAGGAGGAGAGATGTTCTACTTCGCGCTGGCGAGTAAGATGAAGAAAAGGTGCTGGTTCATCTACACTCGAGGTATGCAGGCTATGCGGCACTACTCCAGGGGCAGCGGAAGGAAACTAGCGAACCAAAAAAGAAAACGGAGCATGTGTCTTCGAACAAGAAGAAGCCATGATACTGAAAGAATAACACATGACTGAATGACGACTTACACCCGAGGAAGCGGACTCTTACTGGAGGAAACGGGCATACACATCTACATCGCCCTTCGTCTGTAACGATCAACCATGTGGCCACCTGCACATCTACAAGGAAGGTGCCACCAATGGTCCATTGCCGACTGCCCGACGATAGGGGAACTGGAACGCAGTGCAGCTACTATCAATGACCCTGGCCTTGTCATCGGTAACGCCCATACACCGGATCATAATAGCCTCCCACAGTGCTGTAAACCGTCGGAGTCCCTACTCGATGTCAGTCACGGATCTTGACAGTGTCGACTAGATATCCTCCAAAGAAAGTACTTGCCGCCGTATGCCCGATTGCCATTGTTGGCTGCTCCGCGAGTCCTGTTGTCTCGGTTGTCTCTGACCCCAAAGATCAGCAAATCCCTTCCACTGGCGAAACAACGTTACGAACCGGTATCGAAAGCTGTGCCACAAGTACCACCTTGCGACCCAGTTTTCTTCGTTGACATTGGTCACGTAACGGCCCATCCCATAATATGGTCTGGTTTGCGGACCAGCATTGTTCACAACGGTCAGGATCTCGTAGTGTTTTGCGGTCTCTGAGATTTCATCCCACTTGTAAGGAGCTGTCACCGAAGGGTCTGCCCTGGACTGGTCCGTGAGGTTGTGCTCACTCCTGCTCAACCTGTCTCTTGCGGCTTGAGCCTCTCCCTATAAATGACCATTGTATCAGTGCTGGACGTCCAGATTCTGGAATGACAACTCACAAGAAGCAACTTGTGGACTTGTTCGTTCAATCCGAGTCGAGCGAAGAGGAGTTGCTTATCGGCGCTCTGCGCAAGCGGGCTAAGTGTGACTGAGCTCATGGTCAAAGATGTGCGAGGGGAAAGACGAGTGCAAGAGAAGACAAAACCGAAAGAAGTCGACACGACGCTCAGCAAATCCGATTCGAGGGCATGTTGCCTTGCCGCCAAACTTATAGTCAGACTCGGGATCCTCGATGGCTTGAGGAATCGCTACCTTCTGTGTCATGTGACGGCAAGACCTGTTATCACCTTACCACCGCTGTGGGACGCTAGTTGCAGGCGTCTGCAGGACGCAATGGCGGGATGTACTGGAGGTCCACCCTCTGATCCAGTCGGCTTAACAGTACCATTACGAATTCGGATCCACACGCCATCCCGTTGTACCGCTCACTCTTTGCGGGCCGCACAGATCAGCGCATTTCGGTATGCAGTGAGCTCGGAGCCTCGGCTAGTGCCGAACTCTTGGGCGTGGATGGAGTGGATCACGATGTCGCTCGCGTAAGCTGTCATGCAGCTTTAACCGGCACTACTGGTACTAATTCATGTTGCAAGGGACACCACTATACAGCAGCTGCAGAGTCCTTAAACCCTGGTTACAACTACGCATTTCACATTCGTTGTTTCAATAGACGCAGGTCCAGGATGAGGTCCAATTGGAAAGCAAAATCCGCTTGACTATGACTGATGAGCACACCATGTTACCGACAGTCAGGATTGCGGACATGAGCGCTAGTTACTACAAAGAGGCGGCTGATCGCAGAATGGCAACGTGCCGGTGCGTTCACCTCGAGGTAGCCATCCTTGCTAGCCACTAGCGGATGCACGACCAGGTAGCTCAGGCACTTGGCGCTTGTTACAGGTCTCAGGCCCTATCGGCAAGATGTCTCGAGGCGTTCGCTCATTACCTTTGGCACCAACCAAGCCGTTCTCTTGGGTCGAACCGCGAGACTACAGAAGCATGAGCTTCCCAGATTGAGCCATTCGCCACTTCGAGCGTATATCACCCCACAAACTTGCGTGATAATCAGACCACAGTCCGCAAGAGATGGTATTCAATCCATCATCGCATAGGCGTGGTTTGGGAGGCTTTGGGCGGCGATAACATACAATCACTTTGGGATAATCTTCCGATATGTTGTCCAGCATGTCAGAGTGTTCTGCTTGGCCAACATCTGCATCTGTGGGTAAGATCGACATGAGATCCAACGTCGTGGAATGGGATGTGCGAACGCCAGACAAAATGAGGATGGTTGTTTCACATATCTTCGGCCGCTCCTGCACATTTCAGCTTCCCCATCTGGAAGCAAGTTTCCAATCCTGACTTTTGCACCCTGGAAACGCGCCCTGCCCGCTCTTTCACCGTGCAGGATGTCGGTCATCACGCACAGGGCATCCCGCGTTCACCGCTTCTTCTAGAAGCATGCATCGAAGACCCGGCGGCGTCACCATGTGCACAAATATGCCCTGAGGTCCCGCTGCGCAAACACGTCTCCGAGGGAGGGTCTCGGGTTGGATGGGCATGATCGGCAAAGGCAGCGACTGTGATGCAAGCTTGTCCTGGCGTCGATTGGTGATCGAGCACCCGAGAGTTTCGCCCTTGCACATCACGTTGTGCAGCTCGACAATCCTTGCAGTTGCGGTCCCGCCTCCAACTCCGTGTTAGACACGATATCGACATCTGAGTCGCTAAACGCGTGGATGAAAAGCCCAGCCAATCCGAAATAGTCTGTGAGGCCTACCGGGTTGCATTGGCCCATCTCAGCAGGACCACGCTCTACTCGTCTCCACGACAAGTGAGGCACTCCCGCATTGTTGCTTTTACGCCTACCATTATCGAGTCAAATGTACGCCACACCTATGCATTGGACTGTCATGACTCGATGACGCTTCAAGCAGCTAGCAGAAAAAGAAACGAAAACGCTGCCGCCTATCCAAACGCCAACACGAATTGGTTTATAACAGCATTCGTGTTTACTCGGCACAGCGTACCAAGGAGTGAATTCCAGAGGACATGAGCGCGTCTGCGAACTCATCACGCTCCCTTCGTACTGCATGACGTACGGCTGCGGCGCCTACTCTGGTCACGACCTTTCTCCACGTGGAAGACGACCGCTCTCACGCTAGTACGAACTGTCGCAAGGCCAGCTATATGAGCAAGGGTGCACGAACGAATAATGCGAAAATGAACCAATAAACGCCAAAGAGCGTCCTGTGTTACGATATGCCGCAAACATTACGATCATCTTAGGACTTACGCTCATTTCGGTGGGTACCCATACTCTTATTGATCTGCAGCTTCTTTTGCCCTATGTGGTTATTCGCATGCAACTGTAGCTAGTCTGGGCAACAAAAAGCGAAGTTCCAGCTTGACAGGGAGTCACCAAGCCCAGGGCAACAGTTGTCGCTCTCACACCACTGCATTAACTCTGGACTCTCACAGTATCTATGTCTATTGGTTCTTGTTGGCCTCACCAGGAAAATGGTACTATGAAGACACAACAACACTTGCACACACAGAAGTAGCAGGTTTGGGTTTTGAATTTTGAAATTACGCGAAGATGCAAACAAAAACTCGGCTTCAGGTGCGTGAAGCGGTGCCAATGGATTTGTACTCAGCCCGAGACGAAAGCATGCTGGGACTTGGTCGCTTTTGCCGGCTCGTAGCTGTCCTTGCATTATTGCAGAGCCTTGATGAAGGTTGCAAGAGCGGTTCATCTGGGAAGGAACATGAAGTAATCCTCAACGGGTAACTGCGTGCTGGAAGGTGCTTCCGTTGTTGACATACCACTCTTGCTATCAATGGTCTACGATCAGCAACTACCTTGAACCTCCTTCCATCAACCCAATGTTTGGCAACAGCATGTCTGGATATGTTTTTCCTACGCGCCATGATTGCCTGATCTCCGTGCACCTTCATTCTTGCACTCCTTCCAGGCTGGAGCCGGAGACGCACACAATGGCCACGTCGCAGCTCTGCGACTCCAGTCGATTGGCTTACGGCCATCATCAAGGCCCTGTCCTCATAACCAGCAACCCACCATATCAAACCGATACTGCAGTGGAAAACCGCGTACGTGGGATCATCCGAGCCGAGACGAGAGCTGCAGCTTCTCTGGATCCTTTCACATTCTACAAGACGTACCTCGACACAAACGTACCACTGCTCGGCGACCAGGACGACTTCGAATCAGACGATGATGGTTACACATGCAATTTAGGAGCTGCTGCAGCCCACGACACGCCGGTTGATGATGCCCAACCGCAAGCCAGATGTCACACCGCCGCGTATAAGCTTGCCGTACGTCTTGCAAATCGCTCCAATGGAGCTCCGCTTGCTACAATCATTGAGCAGGGCTCGTATTCTACACTGAACTCGCATGGATCGCTGCTTAGCGTGGGCCGCTTCCCATCCATCAAAGCCGCGGAAAATACATCGCCCAACCGGGGATCACGACGGAGATCACGCAGTCTAGACGAGAAGGCTCTGCATGATATACAGGAGGATCTGGCTCGAGAATATGATATCTCCACAGTGGCTGTGCCACATGCAAGGCTGGACGAGGAACATGGAGCAGCAGATCCAGCAAGCGGCACCGCCACACCCTTGACATCATACCGCTTTGAGCTGCAACAATCTCCATCATCTCATTCTGGCGATGAGCTGTTCGACCACGACAGCCGAGGAGTGAAAGGATTCATTCGTGGCGTTTTGCAAAACGTGCGGGGCGTCTCAAGGACTCGGTCTCGATCATCCTCCATGACGCATGCGCCTATCATGGAGCATCGAGAGAGCCCACCCTCTACCTGCGGGAGCAGCCCACAGCTTGGTCAGCAAGACCAGGGTCCTGAGTTTGCTCATCTACCGAAGTGCAGTCGTAATGTCTCAACTCGCGCATCTGAAGGTGCGGCTATTCCGCCAACCCCGGAAGATCAGACCAGAAATCGCGCAATCTCCTCTTCAGCTATCGAGCTTTCAGCTCGCGCGCACCCGCCTCTAGTACAATCTCCCTCGTATGCGCCCGAATCAACTACTATTTTTGGCTCTTTACCTCCTGCGTTGCCCTATCGAGCTGCAACGCGCTCGCATGAGCAGCCCTTCTCGACGCCCGTTGTACACGCAGGAACACGCGATGTGGCGCGAGGAGATGGTATAGCTCAAGCCTCAACGTCCCATCATGACACGTTTGACACCTCAGCTCGATACACGTTCGATGGCGCTCCTGTATATCGTGGGTGTCCGTCTTCGCTGAGGGAAGCGAGCAGCGCAAGGGAGGTTTTTACAAGCCAGAACACCAGCTTTTGTAGCACCATGTCGACCTCATATTCCGGAACAGTTTTGGGTGTTGACCTTGACCTGCAACATGACTTCAGCCACCCAATTCGCCGCTCACAGTCGCCGCCAACGCCTGTATGGTTTACACCACAGATGGTAGAGCTTGAACGGCAAGCATCCTTTTCGGAGTCGCCTGAGTCTGTAAAGACAAGCGTGCCAACTCACGCCCCATGTCGTTCAATCACGTCGTCTGCACTGACTTCTCTACTACCTATAGCAGCAGCATCTGGGATCGTGCGCCCGAATTACAATACGCCGAAGATTTCGTTCTACTCGCCATCTGGCAACCTTATTCAACCTGAAAGCAGCTCACCTCAAGGTACCAGTCCATCGGAATATGGCGGCTCACCAACAGTCACCACGTCTTACTACAACAAGCAGAATGCTAACGCAGCCTCGCCCTCTGGAGGCCTACCTATTCGACCACCTCTGGTGCCCATGACCACCCCCCCTACCCAGAAGACTCCACTTCCACCGCATCTGCGGCACCATCACAACTACCGTCATCCTGAGATGTCCCAGATCAGCTCTTGTGAGTCATCTATTACCCCGAAGGGACCACTCAAGGGCTGCGACGGTATTGTGCGCGAGAACAGCCTCACTCCGCGTAGTGGTATTTTCTATCCACACGGGAAAGATAGGGCACACCGCTCAACCAGATTGATTATGCACAACCTGAAAGCCGAGGCAAAGTTCTACAAAGCACGCTTCCTTGCACTGGCGGCAGCTCAGTCTTTTGCTCCTTCGATACCCAAGGGCAGGACCTTGCAGAAGCGACATGTTCACAGCTACAACACCTATGCTAGAAATCCTCATACCGGTAAAACGACAACTCAAAAAGGTGGGTACAGAGAAGATGTGCTTGGCCCTCTTGCTGCTCACGCATTGCGGGTTTGCTTTTGTCAACCATACGACGGTGCAGGGGAATCGACACGCGCCACTGCCGCGGGCGCATGTATGGCAGGTGAACCATTGCCCGCGAAGGGCAAGCTAAAGGCAGATCAAGACGTGAAGGATGTCGAGCGTTCATTGCCTAATGCAAGGGTCGTTGGCAGCGGGAGGCGTAGTGAAGGTGGGGACAGGAAGAGGGCGGCGAGAAGGGACAGCGCGGTTAACAGCACCACTCGGCGAGTATCGAACACTGGGATGGCGAGGAGATAGGAGGATTGAGGGACACAAAGGTCCCCTTCCTCGGGTATGCGCCGAGGTGCTCATGCGTTGCCTGGGTGCATGCAGGACCTGCAGTGTGACTGATCACCATCGTCGATCATCTGCGTCTTTGAGACAACAGTATGAAATGCGAGGTCGGCACTCGAATTGGATACCTGGTCAGTATTGTACATACCAAATCTTTCGGCCCTTCTTGCTGATCATCGCTAGGATGTATTGGTAATTCTGGATAGGCCCATGGTATGATAATAGTTCAGTATGCAGTCAGACCCATATCTGTACACGAAGCCGGCATTGCTTTTTCTGTCAACTCTTCTTTTTGCACCAACGTGATCAGGTACCAACGAAATCAGGCACCAACAAAATCAGGCATCAACGAAATCAGGCACTAACGAAATCAGGAATGGCGTGGCTTAAAACCATAACACGTCACTGCCACGTACTCTGCTTGAACGTGATTGGGATTTTCTGTACACAATACCTTGGCCAACTACCATACAGCTTTATGTTGCTACAGCTTATTCGAAAGATTTCCCTGCATGGGCGGAGATGGAACGACGCGGATAGGAGGGCTTTTAGCGGTGCTATGTCGATCGCACTTCGACTTCACATCTGGGTTCAGACGTATCGATTTTCCTAGTTTGCGATAGAGTGGCGAGAAGACTGTCGCGAGGAGCAAGTGGGAAGCCGTGAGTGTGAGCGCGAGTATGTCGGCGTCACTTGCGACTTCACGCCATGATTGGGGTAGGACGTTCGTTTCGAATGGCAGACAGGTGAAAGGATGAAAGCGGTGATGTGGCTTGTCTTGAGGAACTCTGTTGGTGAGCACAGGCAGATACACCCTGGAGATAACTAAGATCCACAACGAGGAGGGTCTGGTGGTAAGCAGATGGTGCGTTTCTAGACTTGTCCTTCCTCGTCAGAGCGCACGCTGCTCGTGACAGGGTGCGTGCTCAAGCCCACGGGTCCTTCGGCTTCGGCGCAAACAAGTCATTCCAGAATTGCTTGAAACCGTACTGTTTCGTCGTCCTCTCATCTCTGATCTTCACCGGCCCACCGCCCAACGTCCCCATGATCCCCCGCTCGCTCAGCTGCTGCCCAAAACTCTCCGACGCTTTCTTCGCCGGCTTCCTAGCTCTATCTAATATCGCTTCAGCAAGAAGAGGAGCGACGTCCGAGTAGCACGCTTTCAGCTCACGGTCGAGATTGAAGTACGGCTTCCGGGCGAGTTCGGGGGCTTGCAGGTTGTAGGATCGTGCTTTGGAGTTTAAATCTGCGATGGCCACGGTAAGATAGGAAGTTTCGTTTGATAGCCAGAGGGGGTCGCGGAAGACGGTTAGGGGGGCGGGTGGTGTGGCTGGTGGCGTTTGGGAGGAGGGAGGTTGGGATGGAGTGACCAAGGCTTCAGCAGAGGCGCTGGGAGCGCTGAGCGGGACCTGAATGGTTTGCGTTGTTGTCGCCATGGGAGCGGAATCTGCGCCGGAGTCGAGAGGAGTTTTCTCGGCGGTGATTTCAGACACGAGGGTGCTGCGTGAGGGGTCTGTAGAGGAGCGTCTGAGTTCGCCGGATAGTGAGATTTGCGACATTTGTCCGTCTTCGTCCACTGTCGTCAAAATCTCCTTCTTGACTCTCGATGGGTTGACGATTTGCTCCGCCCTTGCGTACGCCTCCGCCCGCCGCACCTGGTCTTGCAGCGAACCACCCGCACTCGCTATCATCCGTGCCGCATGCCTTTTCCAATCCACCCTTAGCCTGCTCCGGAACCTCGACGCGGCGCTCGTCAGCTCTTGCTGTTTTTCGATCCATGGCGGCACGATTTCTTGCTTCTGGATGATCTTGTTCATGAAGTACTCTGTCGTGTCGATGAACGGGGAGTTTGCGTTGTGATCCCGCTCCACGTTCTTGCCTTTGCCGCGCGGGATGTTTTTGAATTGCCCCCGGGCGATGGCGTCTTCGATGCGTTTGTTTGCCAGCGAGGCGAGGCCTTGGATCGATCCGGGCACGATGGCGCGCGCACCTGGTTCGAAACGGTCTTTCAACGCTTGAAGCCGTTGTTGGCGCTCTGTTTCTTCAAGGTCGGCATCGGACTGCACGGAGGCGTATATGTTTGTTCGGTCGCGGGCGTTAGCCAGGCGCAGACCTTGGCCCGCTTTGCTGCGCCTGCGGCCTGTGTCGATGTTCTGTGGCATTTGGACTGCTGGCCCCGGTGCTGACCGTCTTCCCATCCGCAGCGGTTTGTGGGCGTCGTTGAGCATGCGCAGCGAGGCGTCGTGGATGCTCTCGGTGCCGGTCCATGCTTCGGTCGTCGCGAGGTCGCGTGTGTGGCGAGAGGCGGAGGCGGGGAGGTTCACTTCAGGAGACTGGAGGGATACTGCAGCTATGCGTTGCTCGAGCTGGGCCTTGAGTTCTGCGCTGAAGCCAGCTTCTTCTACGGCTTTGCGTGCGCCATGTCCGCCACTTTCGAGGGCTTCTTCGCTCATTGAGCGCATGCGCCGGGTGAATGCTCCTTCATCTTCCTCTTCCTCGTCCTTCACGGCCACCTGCCGTTCTTCCCTGTGCTCTTGCGTGCCGGTATCATCTTGTCGTTGTGTTGCTGCGTCTGCGAATCGCCTCCTGCTTCCACTGGTAGCTAGCTGGACTGGGACCAGACGATTTCGGGCTCGGTTTGCGCGCAAACAGCGTGCGCAGGTATAGGGACTTGTCGCCAGAGATACAGTCATACAGAATGCAACACAAGAATCGAAATCCTGAGACAGAAACAGATGCAAAATAAAGTCTCATTCACGTCATCGCCGCGGTGGCGGACAATGAAGTACTAGCGCGTTTGCTTATCGATACGAATCGGCCGAGGCTGAGGTGAGGCTCAAAGCTCTACGACCCACCTTCGTCCTTGCTCGTACCCCTGCGCACCGATTACTCCAAAAGTTGGCTAGAACGGATTCAACACCCATGTCACCTCGTACCCGAGACACGCTGTCAATGCATGCTGTGCGACCCAAGCTTCACCGCCTCGGGTTCCAGCCTTGTGTCACTATTGCTGTCTCAGTCAGCGTGCCACACATGTTCGCTAGTATCAACCCTGGTTCGCACCCGATGTTACACAGGAGAACACGGGCACGCACTGATCTTCCGGCCCGTATGTTACGCTCTCGGGACTTTATACTTGGGTCTGGGCACGAGCGCCGATAGCAGTCATGGCATGAATACCCCTATCTTTGGACACCGCAGTGGGGAAAGCATGGATCGTTGACGTGCAATTCTCGAGGCAAGCATATTGACACTTCTGGAGATATCGGTTCTTCCGTTCGTGCTTTTGGACGTTCCACGCATTCATGATGGAAACCATCACTGCACCGGTGGAACAGCATTTGGAGGTCCTCAGAACACACCGAAATTGAGCTACCGATCTATTCCGCCACTCAAACAACCACTGAGGAGACGAGGCTCTGAGTGCCCTGCTTTTTGGTCGCTGTGAATTCTCAGCTTCTGCTCATTACCATTTTAATGTTGTTTCGGGGTTACAGAACAATGAAGACACGCGCCAACATACGTCTGGGGTAGCTGACTTTTAATAACACATCCTTGAAGTTGGCGACACGCAGGAACAGATATGGACATTGTCCCCGAGAGATTCTGATAACATTTCAAGATCGAGAGACCATGCAGGAACGCACATTGGAACGGAACGATGTCTTTTATACACCATCGTCCGACACACAGCACTCTCAAACACTCTTCTTGGCAGTTGTTTTGACTCGGTAGCATGTGTCCAGCTGAAAGCCACCAAAAATACATTAAAGCCATCTGAGAGAACGCCAAAGATTTCCGCCACAGGCAGACGGTGCTGATGTCTGGGCAGGCGCGCACATGGTTTTCATTCACCGAAATTTAGATGCCATGCGGAAGCTCAGGCTCACTTAAGTATTCGACAATACGGCGAGTTTTCGCATATGGATCATTACCTGTAGACGACCGGGCAGGACAGACATATATGTCTTCTTTTGGAAACTTGGTCACCATCGGTACAGGGACTGGTGCTTTTGAGATCAAAAAAGGCGGAGCATAGTTACTAGCAGAGATCGATCAGCGTATCGAGCTTTATAAAGACCAGCATGCTAGTAACTTCTACGCTGACGTCAAGTGTATGGTGTCAACAACGCCAGCTTCGTCACCGAGCTGAAGTCGCCAGAGCATTGACGGCAGCTCCATTTTTTCCGAGCAAACCGAACGCACAAACATGCGGCACGACCGATGGCATTCTGGTCTTCGGTTCCAGTGTGCCTTACAGGCTCGGGTCGTAGAACTACGACATAAGATATATCCTGGCTGGGTTCGAAGCCATCAGAACGCAGCGATGAGCTTCCGACAAAAGGTACGAGAGAAGGTTTATTGATGCTGATGACAAAAGATGCATCGCATACTTGCAGAACGATTTGGTACAGCGCTGAGGGTGAGACCAGTCAAAACAGGACATGCACTTGCTTGTTGCGTTTTGTGAAGTTGCTCCCATGATGGTGCAAGGGTGCAAAAACATTCAAAGAAGCAGGTCCCATTTCAGCGGTCACGATGTCAGTGTTGAGCTGTTTCAAAGGCGGACAGTGTAGCTTGGGGAAGGAGGAAGGAAAGCCGTACGGTTCTTAAGATCTGAGAAAGGCACGAGATGCCACATAAAACGGGGAACGCGAATTGTCCGGCTGTCATGCATGATCGATTTCGTATTTTGGATCGCTGGACACGACAAGTAACGAGTAAGGAAAGGAGACGGCGTCATCTCACGATCTTCTACTTTTCACTCTCTCTCCAATTACGCGCGACTTCTACAATAACTGAGACATCTAGGCTCAGCTGACCCAGTCTGGTCCAGGCAGCATGCATAGCTCACAATTAGCTGTGCTTATCGGCAGCGTGTCGCAGAATCGCTGTTAGAGTGAGCGTTGATCTCAATCGATATAGCGAGGAACAGCGTGAATTCTGAAAAAAAGAAGAAAGGTTGTGGATGGAGGCAGATTTACAGCTGAGCAACGGCAATCATTCTTACACCTAACTCCTTCTACGAAGGATTTTGAAGAGTCTGCATCCCGGTTCGGGCGATTGTCAGAGATTAAAAATCTGCTTTTCAGAGGGATTTGATGTGATCAAGACGGTTTCACATCTATAAAAACGACAACAGCACGAGAGTTGTCTTGATGATACTGCTTTCATAATAGATGGGCCAATTTGAGGGAGCCGCAACCCGAAACACGTGGAGCGACCGGATAGAGACTTGATCATGTGTATCGACCTCGGCTGTTTGGGGGGAATAATGATTAGAAGAAAGTTCGAACCGAAGATTTCAAGCACAAACTTGTTCGGTAGACGGGGGGGGGGGGGCAGCCATGAACCAGTAGAATTTGGAGTTACGAATACGGGCGGCATATCGAGGACATTTATAACGCCACAAACGTCGAAAGTCAAGTTATAAGAGTGATCTGGTGTGGATTTTATAGAACAGAAGCCGCATTGGATAATCCGAGTAGCCCAGTCTCTGCGGTGGAGAAAGACAGACATTTAGTTCAGTTTTTGCAGTTTTCAAAGGCAGCAAAATGTCAAATGCTTACAGCAGAAGACAAAGAACATGTCCACTAGCTAATCGACTTTTGGCGTTTCATGAGACGACCTCGAACTCGTTTGTAGTTGGGGTAGCAGGGACGTAGTGTGAGAAAAAGTACCTTGAGAGTGAGGAGGGGGCTTTGAACTTGCTCAACAACCGAGGAAGGAAGCAGGACAAGTTCTCGCAGAATGTTGTCTTGGACCTCCATACACAGATCTTCTTTTTGATAATGTTGCGGTGCCAATCGGTCGGAACAAGGTCTGGCTATGCCCGTAGCAGGCTACCCAGTCTAATGTGTTACAGGTCAGGTATATAGTTGTCTTCTCCTGGCTAGATAGCAACTCAGCGCAATATTCCGTCAACTCGATAGTCCTACGTTGTCGTTCTCCGTAGCTATCAGTGTACTACAGCGGCCTACGCCGCCACAGATAAGACAGACGAATCCGCGTGGTGAAAGTTAAAAAAGAGAAACTTATTCTCCTTCCAAACCTTCTGCAAGCCAGAGATGATGGGGTGAAGAAGTGAAGTTTTGAAACGGAAGACACCAAGGGACACTTTGGACTTTTCTGGAAAACGAAAGGCACAACCATTCTCAGGAGAAGGTCGAAAACAAACACGGCTCCGATTAGAATGAAGTCCTTGAACATGGCAAAGATGTAAGTTTAAGGCCCAGCGAAGAACACATGTGTACTGAAGAGGATAATTTTGGCTTTCCATGCAGCGTGTGTTGCCCCATTTTCTTATTGGGCAGAAGAGAGGCGTGGTGTGTACAGGTGAGGACCTCAATGTCGAAGCCTAAGCTTTATACCTCACAGTACGGCGGAGCCACCGACCATACGTATGCTATGACTGTGCTGTGGGTGTAGAAGGCATCAACGTCCCCCCTATTGCATTTTCAAGAGCAGAAGCCATATACATGATGGCAGGTGGGGTTTCTTGGATGGGAAGAAAACAGAAATCGCCTTTGCTGGTGAATTTTACCTTGCTCGAAGCAGAGAGCGAACGCCATGGCGCTTTTAGCACTTTTCTTTTTCTTTTCCTTTCCCTTTTTCTTTTTCTCTTCCTTTTCCTTTTTCCTTTTTCCTTTGTCCTCTGTCCTTTGTCCTTTTTCCTTTTACTTTCATTTTCCTTTTCTTATTTAAATTAAGCTCCCTACATATCAAGTGCATAAGAGATCTGCATTGAGACACAAAAACGGTGGGAGTTGTAAGACGTCAAGGTCCTGGAGCAAAGATGCGCTTCTTACACCCGCAGAGTGGCGGGAAGCCGCCAGCCATGCGAGTTCATGAGCATGGTTTCAAACTGAAGATATTCTGAGCCCCTGTGTAACTTCTGGAAGACAAAACTCCCGCCTATCGGTCGGATTCTAAGCTGTTTCGAGCAGAGGAAGGCAGCAGTCATGGGTGGCAGCGGGACTATTATCACTGCAGCAAAGATGCAAGCTACTCAAAGCCTCCATGCGACGAATTCCAAGCTTTGCATTTGTGCGCAACGGCAGGAAGCTGTCGAGCAGAATGCCTTACTGGGGTTACTTTGGGAGCAGAAGACATAGTTAAGTGTTAGATAGCTTTATAAACAAGAGAAAGATCCACAGTTATGTGGCAGAAGATGCCAATCTCTAGAGGGGGAAAGAGGCAGATATGGTTGTTGATGCATGCGCTTTTGCAGTGTGGCAGAGATATAAGTTGCTTCAGGCAGGGAGCAGAACATCTTCTTCTTCCAACCGAGTTTCAGACCTCCATGGCGGAGCTCGATCATGGCCTTTGGTGAGATACACCGATGCAATTGTGTGAGAAAAAAGTTACCTGCCGAAGCTGAGGACAAAACTTTATACCTCACGAAGCTGCAGGGCGCATCACACCATTTTGCGCATGGAACACATGACTCGCTCCTTGTCGCCTTTTGGGAACAGAGAAACCCAAGAGAACCAGCAAACAGTAGGAGGAAGGGTAATTTGAGCAGAGAAGAGTAACGGACAGCCATACAGAATCGCTCGGAGGCCTTCAACGTGACAAAGAAATGCGTTTTTCCAAACAGGCGATAGAGCACAGCTCCAGCGGGTTGCGATTTTGGTGCCTCGATGCAACTGCTTATCTAAACGGAAAAGCGTGATGCGTTGGGAAGTAGAGAGACGAGAGCGAGGGCGGGGTTTCATACTGCCACAACTGCTGAAAGGCACAACCCATGGATGAAGGGTGGGATGCATTCTGGAAGTAGAAGACACGAGATTCTCCTTGTAGCTCTTTGCGTTACAGAAAAGGACTTCACAGCTACGTAGTGAAAACTGCGTGATTTCCAGGTGAAGGAGGCACAGATGAAGCCCTCCAGGACGTCTAGCAAAGGTGGCAAAGACTCAGGTCGTTCAAAGCAGGAAGCCAAACATGTGGTGCATCTACCGAAGTTTTGGCGTGACGGTTAATGGAGGTATAGAAGTCATGTGTGCCATGTGTGTTGGCGCAGTGCTCTTGCCCTTTCCAACAAGCCCTTTCCACCTCTGTCTGGACGACAGATACGTCATGTAAACAGACCCTGAGGGCCCGGTGAAAGAGACAGAACACTGAACAAGAACAACAACAATATATACCGATTTTACTGCTCCGCGCGGTTACCCCTGACTTACTGCCCTGCGCGGTTACACCTTCACTTATTGCATTTACTGCAACATTTGATGCTCCATGTCGCGGGCATTCTGGCATTTCACTGAGACAGAGAAGAAGTTGAATGTGTTGAGAGTCGAAGTCGACGTCGCCGAGGTTTAGTATTTCCTTGACGGCAGCAAACCACCGATCGTTGGTGGGTGCTGAGGGCTTTCTGGCGCAGAAGACACTGCAAAGCTTCGAGGTGTTTGACAGACATATAATGGATACTATTCGGGCTGAGGAGAGACAGACAGAGGTCGTATCGCCGCCGGGTTTTTGTGTAGCAACGATGCTTGTTGCTGAAAGCATAAAGAAAGACATAGTCGCGGCGCATCACAATTTGGCGAATTCATGGGACTTGACCACGCGGTATCTCGCTGAACAAGAGGTGCGATGAGTGGGGGAAAAAAGAAGATTAAAAGTAAGGCAAGGACAGAGCTTTATACCCACCTGGGGCGAATTGCACACGTGAGGAGTAATGAGCGTTGGCAAGCGGGCGTTTGGGGAGAGCGAGGTGCAACTTGCACAAGCTCGCGGTTTGTGGCTCAGACGTCTGGCTCCAATGCTTTGCGTTTGTCACTGTATATACATTCCAACCCGCTCTCATCTCCCCTCAAGCCTAACCCTGTCGGACTCTCTGCTCCTACTAACCGCAAACCACACACTACTCGCCCAACAAAGCGCGACGCCCACCCAACTGTGCGCCGGCATCTTAAACATGCTCAACAGCATCAGTTGAACCCCACTCCTCGGCACATTAACAAACGTCGTGCTGAGCGGACTCGTCGCCTTGACCATCACAAGGGTACTACTAAACACGGCCCAACTCCCAATCGCGCCGCACCAAATCATCAGCCAGAAAAACGGCACGTCCAGGAAGGGGATGTTGTGGTATATGTTGGCCAGCTCGCCGGACAGGAGGACGATGGGCGTTAGTAGGGCGATGGAGAGGAGGGAGGTGTAGTGCAAAGTGCGGTAGTGTGCGCGTGTTTCTTCGCGGTTGGTTTCTTCGTCGCTGCGCGTCGGGTATCCGGAGAGCACGCCGTCTTGGGGGACGAGGGCGGCGAGGAGTGTGCGGTATGTGCGGAGAAGGAGGATCGGGTAGAGGGCGGCGAAGAAGGAGGAGAAGACGCCGGCGACGATGGACTCCCATGTTACGCGGACGTTGGAGCGGAGGGTCGCGAAGAGAAGGTTGAGCGTTGCGATGAGGGCGGCGGAGAGGGTGGAGCCGGAGATGCTGTCTTTTTGCAGGATGCAGGAGAAGAGCAGCGAGAGGGGGGTCACGCCGATGCGGGCTAGTTGGTAGACGGGGAGGGGTGCGTAGCTGGTGTTGTTGTTGTCAGTTTGGGATGATGGAGTGGGAGGGGGAGTGGGAGTGGGGACGCGTACGCAAACGAGAAGTTGCTGAGCAGGACCTTGACGACGAAGACGACTGCCAGCGGAAGCACCTGTTTGGCGGTGCTGTAGTCGAACTCGAACAGGCCACCGCCCGCGATGCCCCCCGAGCCATTGCTCAGCCAGCGCAGGAATCTCGCCACCCCAGCCTTTGTGTTCACGCTCCTGAACGCACCACCCTGCGGCGCGACCGGAATCGCTGGCGCAACAGCAGCGCCGAGTCCCAGCCGCCTCAACGGACTGCCGAGACCGCGCGTCAGGCTGGAGAAGGCGATGAGCAGCAAGTGCGTGAGGACAAGCTGCACGTACGTACCCGTCAGCGGAAACGGGAATCTGCCTGCGTTAGCACACCCCTTCCCAAACCACGTCCCTTCCCAAACCACACCCCTAAGCGGCGAGAGGTACTCACTTATACACCCCCGTAAGCATAACAAACCGGTTCATAAGCAACAGCCCAAACCCACACCCGCCCACCCAGAACACCAACACCCCGATCCAAATCTGCCAGCCAACCCGCGTCCCAAACAGAAAACTCCCCAGCCCGCCCTGCCGGAACATCATCTTCCAGCTCCCTCTCTCGTACTCTGTACTCCTGCCGCCGCCCACGAGCGGCCGCGTGCTGCTGCTCAGCTCGTACTCCTCGTCTTCGTCCTCGTTTTGGGCGGCGCTGCGGGAACGCGGGTAGGGCGAGGAGCTGCGGGACCCCATGTCCACGAACGGGACGGCGGGCGCGCGGCCCCCCGCTTCTTGCGAGTTGTGCCGCGAGTGGGAGCGTCTGTTGTCCATGGTTGCGGTGTGTTCGGTGTCGTCGTCAGTGTCATCGATCGAGTCGGCCGTGGTTTTGCGGCGGTGCGTGGCGGCTGTGCTGAATTTGGATGTTTGTTTGGCGGTTGTTGGGAGCGGGATGGCGGAGCGCGAGATGTTGCTCAAGTAGTCGAATGCCGGCCGGAAGGTTTTGGACGTGTTGCGGGCGAAGGGGCGCGAACTGAAGCTGTTCATTGTGTCCGCTGCATGGCGGAGGAGGGAGCGGAAGGCATGTTAAGGCGTGCTGTTGGGTAAGGCGCACAGAATTGTGCTTGCCTGTTGCATGGGCGCAGGCCCTGGACCCTGCGCAAGGGGGAGTGGGTCTGCATACGCACATCACAGGAGGACGTGAACTCGACAACATCATACCGTCTATTCGCGTGGAAATGGAGTGCACACTATCGCTTTACCCATCGGGGTAACGCTGTCGTTGATGCGAAGCGCGTCGTTGCTCTTGCGTCTGTCCGAAGAACAGATGGCTATTCACAGGATGCTCTTGGACGAGAAGTTTGCCCTCAACATCTGTATCCGAACTTCTCAATCATCTCGCCATGTATCCTCATGTATTTCCTCACCACCATCGATCGTCCCGCCAGTATGCAGCTGCCTACTTCCATTCCTTGCAAAGTTCTCCGCATCATGGCATCCTAGCCGAGCGCAAGGGCTTGTGACCTTCAATCTTGGGCTGGAGCACCCCCATAGATCCCAGTCTCAGCATCGGCCTGGTAAACAGGTGAGGAGGGAGGAGGGAGGAGGGAGGAGGGAGGCGGGCGAGGCTCGACATGGCGGTCGTCATGGTCAACCGATTCCAGCCCCTTAGGCTTGCAACGAGGCGAGCAGTGTGCCGAGGCAGAGCGTGATGAGGGCAGGGCAGCTTACTTCCATGCAGGTGTCCCGACGATGAACGCAAGGTCCTGCTCGTGGTTGTAGTGTGGAGCTTGGGTGGATCTGGACGAGGGACCACATCGAGTTCGTCCAGTCCTTCGGGCTGATTACGGACATAGCTTGGGCCCTCATCCACAGGGTGCATTCCGAGATCCACAATGTCGTTGTTGTTGAGGTTCGGGTGCGTTCTCGTCTAGGGCCTAGCGATAGATCTTGCGGCGGAGCTCTGCTAGGATGTCCTTCAGACGGAAGTGCTGTCCGGTCGTCGACCACCAGATCTTCTGACCGCGCTCTGAGGTGGAGCTGTGATAGCTTCTGGAGGTCATATGATCCAGAATCGAAAATGTCTCGAGGTCAGTCTTGAACGACATCCACGGTTGAGTGCTGGTATCGCCCCTTTTCCTTGCACCGAATCATGATGGTTTTCTCTATGAGCAGCTGGTTTCCTTTGTGCACAGTCACTCCTGTGGCGAAGGGGAACTCCACGCCCCATTGCTTAAAAGCATAGAGCTTGGCGGTGCCGGCAGTGCTGGGAGCGAGAGGCTGCGTAGAATCCATGTGGTAGACTCGAACATTTGAGGCAGCAAAGAGCATGTTGTTCCTGCAATGTACTCGCATAATTTTGACCATGGTGTGTATAACGCTGTCGTCTCGCTGATTCGGCGCACCCTTGAAGCCATACCGGTACTCACTCTGCGTGGTCCTGCCCTTGTCGACTGGCGGAGGGAACATATGATCAGGTAGACTCGACTTCAGCCGCTGCTTAGAACCAGGTCGCGATTCCGCGTCTCGAGCATCGGCATCTTGGAGCTATCCCTGCTGGCTGTCAGTCAAATGTGGGCTAGCGATGAAGTGAGGATCACGGGCCCTTCTAAAGAGATATCAGAAGTGTTGAAAGGTAAGTGGACTGCCAAGAATAGTATAGAAGTTGAGAAGCAGAAAATTGAGGGTTTGTAAAGGGTTCGAGGTCCAACTTGTGAAAGTGGAGGATTTGTCTTACAATAAGCAGACCTTCACTTAGCATGGTCGCAACCCGCATCCGCTGGCAAGGCCCAACGGACGCTCATCATGCACCACCAACCCATTCATGACAGGGAGCCGCCTGCAATATGTTGGACATGTATCGTTAGATCTGATTGCTGCTTCTGGCTTGCTGTCTTGTTATGAAGTCAGCAAGCAATCGACGATCAGCACGGATGAGCAGTAGCTTCGTCGGAGCGCCTGGGTGAAGTGGACCCCTTCACGCGTAGCTCGATGATCATCATTCTTCACTTGAACGGATGGACGTCAATCTGGGAAGTTGAGTTGGATTGATTCATAGAGTCAGATTGGATTTTAAACGTTAGACAATGTCATACACAGACGTAGCAGTTCTCTAAAGCTTTCGGGCTTTCATCCTCGATTCCGAATTCGTGGTACTTGGAAGTTGTGAGACCTTCTGAGCCATGTCGAATACCTCCGCGCTTCCTCCGGCATCATGCTCTGCACGTGTTTATACCACTAGCTACAATACACGGTAACTGCATCCGAGGACCAGTCTGCGACTATTAGTGATATGTTGCGTCAGCGAGTCACTGGGACATACTAAATGACCTAGAAGAACAGAACGCCCGGCTTGATGTGGGACGGAGGCGGCTGCGTCGGTGCAAGAAAACTATCCACGTACCTGTCGTCATGGTCGAATGAGTAGATGTACGATTGGTTGCAATCATTCCAGCACTTGGCTGGGCAGAAGCACTCTTGTGTACATGTTGAACACCTGTACGTTGGATGCAGCGAACAGCGTGTACTCTTTGCTCAGTCGACGGATAGTTTTGATGATGGCACTGATGAGCTCATCATTCTCCTGTGATGGAGCGACCCTGAAGCCATAGCGGTATTCAGCTTACGTGGTGTACAGCTTGTTTCTCAACGGCAGGAACATCTCCAAGACAAACTTGCGCCTCTACTCCAGGTCCCTGGTGTGGGTCTCCTAGAAGGGCATCTTGACGCGCCTGTGCCACTTGTGAGCACAAGTTCCTGCAAGGTCTTTCAGTGAACGCACCTTGTTGCTCAGCTGGTGCGAATGAATGTAGAGCAATCAAGTGCAGCAGACACAACGACTGCATTTGGTTCTGCACGGTTGATCTTTCGGGCTGTGGATGTCGTCAAAAAGACATGAAGGGGACTTCCTTATATGGTACAGCGGGGTCGGTTCGCGGAAGTGAAGGTCTTCATTCCAGGCCTTCTGGACGACCCTTCCACTACAGAGTACGGGCTACGCATTCTGAAAAAAAAACCCCCATCGTGAACCAGACACCCCCGTTGTGTTCAGGGATTTGGGATGACAAGCCGGGAAGTCCGTATGTATAGCTGCCAGGTTGCTTGCTGCTACTGGCTTGATGTCTTGCCATGTTATCGACGAGCAATCGATACCTGGCGATTGCGAGCAGCGCTTGCGAGGCTGGGTGTTCCTCGGTCGAAAACAAGACGCAGAGAAGATTGACCTTTGAAACTGTTCACCATACATGGGAGCTGCACGCGGAGGATGGCGATTCTGTTGTGGTGGCTAGAATACGAAGTACATCGACCCGTTCGAGTGTGTGCTTGGATACCAGAACCTTGGCAAACGATGGGCCTGGAAGCCGCAGTGATATTGATAAACTGCTTTCTTCCAATGTGAACATTAATGAAAGTGTTTAAAGAAAGGTGGCGAGCTCAGCAATTTTGGAAGGCAGAGGTCGCTGTTGCTGAGTGTTAGATATGAACTCAAGCGTAGGACCACTCATGGTAGCAGTCGTAATGTTTGAAGATCTTGTGAGCAACTGAAAGCGTTACATGTATGTGGGGTGTCTTCGTCGTGAGAACCGCCGTCCACCGAAGCGCCTGCTCATAATCGTAGCGTGTGGCAAGGTTCGTGAGAACTTACGCTAACGGCTGCCTCTAGGAAGCATCTTGTGGCGAGACATTGCAAACCTCGAGACTCAGCTCGATCATGACAAGTGAAAGTGCAAAGGAAGGAGTTTGCGAGAAGGAATGATGTGACAGCGGGAGGAAATTGCGCTAGACCAGCCCCATCCCGCTACAGACCCCTGTCGAGATCGCAACTTCCATTCGTATACAGTCAACATCCTCATAATACGATACATCAACGACTGTGCTGATCCTTGGCTCTCGGGACGAATGACTCACTGAAAAACACCTTGAGCAACTGATAAGAACCCCCGAGTCCACCACACCACCCCAGGACTCGAAGTACTCCAGACACGCATCTCAATCATCCAATCTTGCAAAGACCGCAATGGCGACCTCATCCAAGCAGGCCCTCGATCATTTGATCTTGTTCTTGCCGGTGGATCCAAATACCAAGTTCCCCAAACTCCCCTCCTTCGAAAAGAACTTCGCCCTCACACCCGGCGGCGTGCACGCAGACAACCTGACCTCCAACATCCTGATCCTGCTGGCCGACGGCTGCTACATCGAACTTGTCAGCTTCATCAACCCTAATACCGATGTGTCCAAACATTGGTGGGCCACCGGCGTCCATCAATTCGGCTGGAAGGACTGGTGTCTGACTAACAACTCCTCGCCGAATGATAGCTGGCAGGCGATAGGTGGAAAGGAAGGGAGTCACGACGAGCCTGTTGAGGGTGGGCGGAAGAGGAAGGATGGCGTGGATGTTAAGTGGGCTGTCACGTTTCCGAAGGGTGAGGATGGGGGGCAGAAGAGTAGGGGGCGGGTGCCGTTTTTCTGTCATGATATTACTGAGCGACGAGTCCGCGTGCCGCTGAGTGAGGAGAAGACAACACACTCTTCTGGAGTGCTGGGCGTGAAGGAGATCACGGTGCTTGTGCGGGATAAGGAGCTGTTGAAAGAAACAGGTGATGTGTACGCACACCTATTTGGGAAGGAGGGGGTGAGGAGGGGAGATGAGGTGTATTTCCAGACGTCGAGGGTGAAGGATGTTAAGGGCTTGGATGAGGGTGCGAGGGTGGTGCTGAGGTTGCCGAAGGATAAGGATGAGTTTAAGAGGCTGGAGAAAACGGGATATTGGTATGGGGATGTTGTGCTTGCTGCAACGGCTGGCCAGGGGAAGACGCTGGGTACGAGGAAGAGGCTCGATGAGGGTGATGAGAGTGTGCAGGGGATTTGGGTTGAGTACGTTTGACTTGGCCGAATAAAGGTATCATGCGTTGTTCAAGAGCATATCGGGGGCCGGAAGCCAGAGGGCAGTACACAGTGGTTCAACGACGGGGTCTTTGTAGTGAACCATGGTTCACTCTTCAATGCTCCCATTAATCGACTACCACTCAAATCTCCAATACTTTACTTCATATATAGAACCGCACTAACTCAAACGCAAGGATGCTTTTTAAAACTCGGAATATCGAAGTACCGGCACTTCATACCCCCTCACTCGATCTAGATCCTGTCCACTCGATAATGAAGTCCTTCGCGCTGTCCATAACCAAAAAATCTACATGCTCTTCTGAAGCCACTTCAGATGCACCTTGCAAAGACAACTCATTTCCATCGTCCTCGCTCAACAAGAAGGAGCGCGTCGACTCAGCTCATGGGGATCAAATGGCCGAAGATGACTGGGCCACCGACCTAGCTGAAGTAGGACGAGAGCGACTTGAACGTGACCGAAAGTCACTTACGAGCTCAGTCCCATACGTCTGCCCCAACCTCGAAGGATCGTAGGAGACGCACCACATCACCGCGACTCGTGGAGACGTCGAACACATTCTCCCGTACTTCCACCACGTCTTCGCGGATCTACACGCATCCGTCGCGATAACGAATACTTACAGCCCCGAGTCTTTCGCAGAGCCCAAAATTGACTCCCCTTTCTTCTCCCGATCATTCAGACTCAAGCCTCGCAACAGACCAAATCCTATTCACCCACCACCACAACTCAATCTCAGAAACACTAGAAGCCGCCCAAAAAAACCTGACCCTCAAACCATTCGAGTTCCCAGACAATTACGGCACTATAAGAAACGTGCGCAACACATTCTATCACAGCATACTAACGCCCAGCGGAGGAACCTGGTGGGCGCAGGCAGTCAACGGGATGAAAGATGTGCATGAGCGGCTGCTTAAACAAGTCTCAGCCACATTTCTGCTGCTTGAAAGACACCTTGCTGACGAGAGCGTCTGGCATGAAGTACAAATTACAGGTACATTGTCTGTGCATGCAATACCTGGATAAGAGGACATAGTCTCGACATCGAAGCCACGCCTTTTCCTATGCTCTTGCACAAACTAAGCCCTTCTAGCCAGTATAGATACTTTGCTCTCAGAGTTCTATGTGGAAAGATCTCGTCATATGCATTTGCAAAGAGAAAGTCTTGTGTAGACTGTGTCATCTCGCAGACTAAGGAACAATCCACATAGGCCAACAATCTCCCGCACCGACTCCAGATCGTCGACAAAGTCTTCAAGCGGTTCAACAAGCGCAGTCAACTCGGGATAGTCACAGTTCGATACAAGATTGCGGTCGATGCCAGCACTTGCTGACAAATTATGGTGCATCATCCGCCTGTACAAAGCGTCCAGTCCGGGTGGAAATAATACAAGCTTCTTCAGCACGTTCCATTTTGGTGTCGCTTTCAGGTCTTGGCACACTAAAGCTACCCAAAGGAAGGTACCGTTGGCGTTCGACATCAAGTGTTGGAGCACGGCGGATGGAAACTTCTTCTTTGTACTGCTTTTCCTGTGCCAAATGGTCCACCTTTCGCTGGATGAAAGTTTCAACCGCTGCCTCAACCGAACTTGCATTCAGCTCAAGGCTCAGCCTCACTTTATCTTCTGCCCGCTCTAGCTGTTCTTCGATGTTCGGCCAGTTGCGGCTTGAAACAATCCACTTGACGCGGCAAGACGCACATGACTGTTTTGCGACAAAGTCAAGCAGTTTTGCCAGGTCAGTGACGCACTCGTCTAGTGCGTCGACGATTAGGTAGGTAGTGCTTAACTGTGAGTCCTGTAGTACGTTCACAAAGATCTCTGTCATAACTACCCAGGCATTCGCATTCTCGAACAAGCTTTTGCCTGCGTGATCGTGCGTGATCGTGCTTCTTGCGGATATGCGATACAAGTGACGGTTGCTGGCGCACAAGCATGTACAACAGCCCTCGTAGCACGGCTGTGGCGTTGTTGATGCGTGAGTCGGTCGCTTGGCAGAGGAAGTACGCTAGAAGGGCAGTCTTAGGCAGTGAGCTACGCAGCTCGTCGATGATGCCGCAGAGCAGCATCGTCCTTCCCTTGCCAGGATCGCCTTTCACCCACAGCAGTCGGTTGCGTTGGTCCTGCTGCCATTGCTGGAAAGTGGCGTTGTCAAGGACCCAACGGTAGGAATCTGCTAGCAGTCCACCTTTAGTCTCCTCGATGCGCTTCTTATCATTACGGGGGTCGGTAGGACGTAAGTCACGAAGGCACGCTTCCAGCTTCCGAATCTCGTCATGAAGCCGCCTAAATGCTTCCTTGGCCCCTTCACTGTAGACTGGCGTGATGTCAACGTCAAAGACGCCTGAAAAAGAGTACGCTGCATCCTATTTGAGCTTCGTATGGCGATCTTATTTCCACCCAAGCCGCTCGCTGACCTTGAATTGAGATAGGGGGGCCCCTTTGAGCGCTGTATGTGGGATAGTTGTCACTTCGTGAATCTGGGACTTCAGTAATATCCTGTCACCGAGCTTGTGCCATTCTCGTGAGAAGAACTCGACAATGCCAGGTGCGAGAAGCTCCTGCAGCGTCCAGCCGCGTGTGAACCACTTGCTTCCTCGGAACTCGAAGTCCCACGGCGGCAGGCTCGCTTCGGCTTCAGCTGTAAGAGGGGAAGCAGACACATCTGACAAGTAGACGTAGCAGCGAGCTGCGTTGCAGTATCAGCGAAACATGAACTGTATGGCTAGCGAGTGCTAAGCCTTGTAAGCTTCGTTGATGCAGCATGTGTTGATCCAGAAGTGCTGCAAGCCGTCGTGTTTTGCCTGCTCTCCACAGAGTTGGATCTTCTTGTAGCCAGGCTTGTTCTTGCCAGCGTTCTTTGCAAGGTCTTCGAAGGTGACCTCCGCCTCCGCTCCCCAAGTATGAGACAGGATCGCGTAAGGTATTGCGACTTCGTCAACCATGTCGGTGGTGACACTGAAATCTCCATCTTCTCTGTACGCTAAGAGCCGCATTGATATGCGCAGATGCGTGGTAGGTGTATGCAGTAGCGACAACTTTTGGGAGACTTGAAGCGGCAGCCTGGGAGCGCGAGAGAGCTGCCACCAGTCTCCCTGTTGCGTTCGAGGTCAGCAAGTAGAGACGGAGGCGAAAGGATGTACAGCACCTGATGGGCCTGCTGGAAAGTAATAACACGCAGTAGGATCGCAATGACAGGCTGATGTTGTTTGCCATGTTCCTGGTAGGGTGAGGGTGGTAGGAGACGGCCTAGAGTGGGGCAGGCACGGCTCATAGCATGCACCACGCCATGCGCAGGGCTGAACAGCGGAAGAGAGCCGACCCGCCCCTATCTGAGAAGCGGGGGCATGGCACGTGGCTGTGAAGGCGCCAGCCTGCGCCATAGCTGTGCCGTCGATCTGCTGTGGGTATAGCGTCGAATTTGTTACAAAAGCATACAGCGACATCTGAGGCTGTATGCCAAGTACGTTAGTAAGGCCCGACACGCTGGAACACTTTGTGCGATCTTTGCTCTTGACCGGCGAAACTCCTGGACTGCATATTTCCTAGGTCAAAGCAGCCTTGCGAGCCGCGAGACATAATCTTCCTTGATCGCACTTTCTATCAAGCCCTCCGATCCTTACAGAGACCTCTTAATGCGCGAATGGACAGGGGGTATCGACGAAGGGTCGATTGACGGCATTGACGGAATGATCAACAGCATGGCCAACACCGCGCCAATTTTTATCAGTCTGATGCACTTAGGGAAAAATGGCTGCAGAACACTGATACATTACCACAGGTCTGTATATCTGCAAACAAAAGATGGCGAGGCTCTGAAGTGCGAACACGTCCCGTTACACCGTGCGTCCCGGCACGCTTGACGGACGTTAAATTCCAACGTTTGAACGGGAATCGATCAGACATAAGTGATCTCAGAGTTTTCAGACCTGGCGATGCTTCTGCGGCAGGGCTTGCTCTCGAGTCCCAATCACTCATATAACGCTATTCGTCTCACCCAAGATACTCAATGAAGTGCTGCATACCTCGTGGCTGCTTCCCTTAGCAACGCTACGGCGCTCCTTCCACCACACTCCTTCCACCGCGGTCCTTCCATTCGCCACTAACCACGCTCTATCGCTTCCCCGCAACGTCACTGTGGCTTCCTTCACACGCACCTATTCCACCCCACTGTTATCAACAACGCTAAAAGCGTTTCAGGATCCTGCAGCTCCCCTAGCAGCCAATCGCAGACTTTTCGAGTCTGAGAAGCGAGGAGGGTGATCGTTCGATGTAGTTCGTAGTCGAGCTGGAATTGTTGATGGGCCCTTTGTTTGTTGATCAGGATGCAAGGAGGGAAGTAATGAATGGGTATATGCTACGCCAACTATGTCGCAGAATTTCCGTCCCCAAATGCCTACAATGCCTATTACCATAACATATCCTTCAACCCCAAAAAGACTATGCAAACAATCGAAAATGCCATACAGGCTCCAAACTATCCTCGCTCACCTGCCCCCTAACAACCCTATCATTAACCGTAATCGACGTCTTGCCCCCTTCTGCCCACCCCATACTACTCTTCCCCCACGTCCTCTCCGGATCCCTCAATTGCGGCGCTTTTGAAATCTCCACATTGGTATCTGTTTCTTTGATCCAGCTCTCCCTCACGCCATCCTGCCTGAGCAAAACCCCTTCATCCTTCAAACTCGCCGCCTTGTAGAAGACCGGGACTTCTGCCGTAGTAGCCGACAATTGCCGCGCGTGGATTTGAATTTCCTGGGACGGCTCCTCGTTGTGCGTAATAAGCCCGATGTCGAAGCGGCTGTGCGGATTTGATTTGCTGTTGCTGCCTGGTTGATCATTACGGAGAGTGCGTTGCGACATTAGGGTTGTGAGGTTGTTTTCTGCTTCCGCGGAGCCAATGGTGAGCCAGTTGACGATTATGATGCCCCAAGAGACTGTTTTTGTTAGCATGCTATGTCGATGGCGGTTTGAGTTCCAATGGAGGACGTACTATCGAGCGTGCAAATCGTCAGACAAACCCAGCCGAGTTCTCTGCTGTTCATGATGTAGAACTGCGTCATGTTCGCGACAGTAGGGAGCATGACGAGTGTGCTCCCAATGAGGCATTTCCATAATAGGGCTTTGATGTTTTTGTTCATCGCGGACTTGAGACTCGCTCCTTCCAACGCACTCTGCATTTCAATCTCCCTCTTCCTAACGCTGTTTTTGACTTTGCTCGTGACCCTGCTGCCGAACCATGTGCTTGCTTTCAACAAGCCATGGAAATCCAGAACCGGGCGGAGAAGCCAGAAGAAGACGCCAGTAAGCAGGAAATTGACCACAACATCGAAGCATAGAAGTGGAAAGCTGACTTGCGGCGGAAGGCCGATACGGCAGCGACCGTCCAGTTTACTGAGTTCGACGATAGGTGACATGTATCCGACGATGGCAATAGCGCCGAATCCGCCGCAAATGATGAGCATGCCAAATAGCCAGACGCGGTCTTTGAGGCGTGGCACAAAGGGTGCCCGGACGACGCGAGCACGTTCGAGGAGGAAGACGTAACTGTGATGATGAGCTAAGTTGAGGCGAACGGTGCGGATGGACGTACATGGTCAGCTTGTTGCTGGTATAGAAGACTAGACATATCATCGCGGATGCATAGCAGAGTTGGTGTGTCCGTAGACCTTGACCTGTTTGTACAATAGAGGCGCAGATGATGAAGCCCAAGCCGAAGATGAATAGAACGACGACCAGCATGGAGGTGAAGTTGTGTTTGCGAAGGACGTTGTTGCGAAGTATCTTTAGTCGGAAACCTTACAGGTAATGTCAGTATGTCTCCATCTGTACGACGTCTACATCAATCAGCCCTCAATTCGACGAGAATAGCTAGATACCCACCTAGAAAGACAGCCAGGGTAATCACGCAGAACAAAGCGACAGCGTTATAGATAGTCCGGTCGGTACTCGTCTCACCAGGCACAAACGTGCGCCCAGTATCAGGATCCGTTATCATCGTACGATCATCGTACGCTCTTGCATGTAGTCGTGCAGGCAGACCCGCTACCCTCATTACCATCCAGGGAATCGCAGCACCAGTGACTACAGGCGCGCAGCACAGGTAGGTCATGAATCGCAACATGACTGAGTTTGGTTGTTGTTCGCTACCAGAAAGACATGAAGAGATGTCCCTGGGTTTCGAGAAGAAGAGAAGACGATGGCTTGAGATGAGGCAAATGATTTCCAAGCCTCACTCGCCATTAGGCAATAAGCCGCAAATGCACCGTCTCCATGCATATCATCATGTTGAGACTGCACCTCTAACCTTGTTCACCGTTGGAGTGAACCTTACGGCAAGGTCATCACGAGATCCAGATGCGGAGACGTCTCCGGCTGGCTCTTGTCAGGCGAACCGCAACTCCAGACTGTCAAGATTTTCGATCTCGGTTTGACGTTTCGCGACGTGGTGGCGGGAACCCCATGGTTATTGCTGGCGGGGTTGATGGCGTTGATGGCGTTGATCTGGGCCAGCGCGCCGTGCCCCAAGGCGTAAAACTCGCGGGCTAACCGGTGAGCTAGGAAAGTGCCGTCGGTTCACCTGCCCTGCATCCACGTGCGGACAAATAAAAACTTCCAGATCATCCGACTTCCGCGGGGAACCAAGCGTCGATCAGGGCGAACGGGTCATTTCACTAGTTCTGCATTCATTGTGGACGACTGAAGAGCAGCGGTGCCTTCTCCGCCTGTCAATGTGACAAAACTTTTCGGTGGTTTTGCTTTTGGCAATCAAGATTATATTTGCGCGTATGGCGATAAAGTTGATCTACGGTGTGACATTCGACGTGTGTAGCTAAAGACCTGCATGTCCTGCAGTGAACGTCACGCTAGCCTTGCTACTGATGCAATGCGATGATTTCCGGTGAAGATCAAGCCTTCAATTGACTTTTGCACGGTGCAACTGGTGTGGCTGATCGGTATTGTTTATCGGTATTGTTTACCAAATGTTGCCCGGCGATATGGCTTGTGGTGAAACCATGATGCCTCAAGCCGATCACTTCGTCTTCAAAACTCGATGCCAACGTGTTGTCCGTCTAGTGTTTGCTCCTTAGGCTCCCCTGACCTCGAGTCAAGTGCTGAAGGGCTTACAGGCTCGGGCCGTGCAACATGATAACAGGTTGTCGTTTGGGTACGGCTACCGCCTCTCGCCCTGGCGTAGTTCTCGACCTGAACCTCAGGCGCTCAGTACTTTCTTTTAACGCTTGGTTTCACCCAATGCGCTCCCTCCCCACATGTATTCTCCAAACTCCATGTTTGTATTTTCGTAATATCCCAACCGCTGATGTACTTTCGGTCCTCCGGTTCGTGAAACCCATCCGGCTCTTTCGCGTGGCCGATATACAGCGCTTTTGCGTAATAGCAATGCGCTCCGTGCCAGGTGTACTGTCGACACTCCTCATGCGCAAAGCAACCGGCTTCGCAGGCATGGAGGCTTGTGTGTACTGTGGAATTGTGATCAAGTTGGAAGCCTGCGTCAAAGGCTGCATCCCAGTTCTCGCGCTGTGAGAAGTTGCTGTGAAAAGAAAAGAGAAGATCGCTGTATAGCAAAGGGCGCTCGTGTTGCTGATGTTGCTCATTCTCCCAGTTCCAAAGTTCTTTCATGAACGAGGGGTTAGTTTTGTGCAGGCTGATGACAGGCTCACACCAGTAATCTCTGCCAAACGGTACGTCCTCAAGCCTGTGCGGGTTGAACATGGGCCACAGACCGCTGATGCCCACTGCAGCCTTGTCGTGGAGCGCCCATCCCAAGATACTGTCGCCGCAGCAGTCGTTCCTGATGTCTTCCTCGTATTCGGCTGTGAGCCGGGGACCCTTGACGCCGAGTCTATTGCGCGGGAGATCGACGAGTCGGTGCGCTGCAGCTGTAGAGAGGATGAAACCGCAGCCACCGTATGCGAACCACACCTGCTCTTCGTCTTCAGACTTTGGGTTGGGACGGTACTTTCGCCCAGGTGAGGGCGAGCCGAAGAAGTACGGCAGTGAAGGGTCGTAGTTGTCAAGAAGGCGGAATATGTTGTCCCAGAACAAGTACGTGTCTGACTCCAGGAAGACGTACCACTTGGCCTTGCTGTTGTGCTCGATCGCCTTCTCTACCCCCGGAAGGAACTTGTACTTGTCAATCTTCCACCCCTCATGACCCTGATGGAGCTCTATGCCATCGCGAGTAGCGTTCCTTTGCGTCTCGTAGACGAAATAATCCTCTTCCTTCATGTATGTCTTCGCCGGAAGGTCCGCGAGTACATCGACGGCTTTGTGAGGCCCGTAAGTATGGTCTCCGTCCGAGACGATGAGCACGTTTCGTATGCACTTGATTATCGTGTTCACCATCGCGTCCGTCCTTGCTCCGTCATCTGCCGTGCCTGTCTTGAGCACAACCTGTACCTTGTTGAAGATGTCTCTGGGGAACAGGAAACATTCGTCCATGATCCCGACATTCCAGTCAATGTTCTCTTTCTTCTTGAACAGGGTCTTCGTCTCCCATAGCCAGTAGTCTTGTCCATTGCTATCGCCTTGCGATTCGAGACCGTGCGGGGCGGGCGCGAAGGGCTTGGGGTGGAATGCTTGGTTGCCCAGGATTTGACTTGGTAGCTTTCCAACAAAGGTCGAGTCGAGGAGGAGCAATAGATTGACGCTGATGGCTATGAAAGCGATCATCAGTAGGAGACGGAGCCATCGCCGGGGGCTCGAAGCAGCGCTTCGAGTGAGTCCAATCGCGTGCCCGTTCATGAAGGGGTTGGGGCTTTGGACGAAGCGGCGCAGAGGTGCCAGCATGTTGAAGGTGAGGAGTGACGTTTTAACATTGGAACATTACGTCATGACCATGATGTTGAAAAAGTCGCGAAGAAGAGGTTCAACAGACAACTGACGGTGAGGTCAGTGGAAGTGTACATGTCGAGGCACGCGTATGAAGAAGTTATGGCGTACGCAAGCTTGTTCCTGCTAGAGACGCGGCATGTTGACTGCAGGAGCTAGGGAGTTTCACGGCTCTCATTCGTGGGGCTGCTGCTAGAGGATCGCCTTATGTGGGGACCGGAATAACGACCCTTGCCGCAGACCCGTGCGGCTGAGGCAACGACGGTAATCACCGTAGCTCTTGTCAATATCATCTAATTTGGGAAGAGATTTGGTCGGCAAAGTAAGACATGAGGCTCATTGATTACTTGAATCTCAATTGAACTACGGACTAGATGAAGCTGAGTTGAAGTCAACATAACGCCTATTCATCACCCCCATGATGCTCCTCAAGGAATGATCCATTTGAGTGCTCATCCTCACTGCTCCATCAACGCCAATACCCAACGTGGATTGTCATCGTATCGTCTCAAAGTCCGAAAGCTGCTGAATCGCGCTCAACGAATGACTGGTATCGCCCAAACCAAAAGCTGGTACATAGAAGAAAAGAAATCATGTCGTTCATTGCGACCAAGTTTGCTGCTGGTCCTTGGGCAGACGCTTGAGCGCCTCTTCGACATCCTTATGGTCGACAACGACACCGCTTTCAGAACAGCGAGCTTTAGCGCGGAGCTCGGAGCACAGGTTATCGATATCAATGGTGCCATCCTTGAAGTCATTGCGACTTGAAAGTTTGTCCCTATTGATCATTAGCATGTTCGATCGATTGCATGATTGTTGTGTTACTAACCAGATCTTGTGGCAGTTGAGCATCTGACCGATATCCTCGCCCGGGACGACCTCCTCTTCGCCATCTTGGATGCGCTCAATTTGCTCCAGAGGATTCGGCTTCTGCACAGCCGGCGTGTCACCGAAGTGGAAGGGACTACCGTAGCCAGTATTAAGGAAGGCATCGTTGAAAAAGCCACTGTTGAAGTCGCCGTCGGTGCCCAAGATGGCGGTGTTCGTATCGCGGTACTCCCCGAAGAGATTCGGCTCGAATGCGCCGCCGTTTTGGTTGGCAAAGAAGTCGATACCGTTGAAATTGGGGCCAGGTGATTTGGCTTGTGTGACTGCAGGAGACGGATTGTCGTCAGACTTGGACATTGACTTGGCACGAGGGACGGGGTTGCGTGGATTGCCACAGGCCATGTTGAGCTTTTCGCAGAAGAGGACCTCACCTTCCGAGTTGCCATGACATACATATCCGTCTGCGATCGTATCCTTCCGGCCCGGCGAGGTATGACCTGGCTCTGGTGTTGTGCCACACGACGAGTCCTGATTTGTTGGTGAGGTAGAAGACGTGGGAGGAGAGTTTGAATGTGTCGACGAGCCGCTGTTGAACTGGAAGACACGTGACTGTGACACGACCGAGCTATCTGTGCTGCTGCGGTGGGGCTTCTGTGTGGCATTGTTGGTGTTGTGCACGCTGGTGGTGCTACCTGAGCGAGAGCCGTTGGTCGCAGGACTGACACCATTGACAGGTGATTGGACAAAAGATTCATTAGCTGTGCTCGATGGACTGAAGGTCTGAACGGCCGGTCGAGCTATGGACATAGACGTCGACTTCAGCTTCAACAATGGACCGTTCTCGAGAAGCTGGCTGCCAGGAAGGCCACCAAATCGTGGGAACTCAAATTGGAAGTTGCTGTTGGTGTTGTTGAGCATGGAGCTGAAGCTTGTGGCAGGAGCGGTGCGGTTGATGCCGGTGCTGTTGAGCGAGAGACGCTTGCGGTACTCGCGCAACTCCATCTGCAATCGCTGAACTTGACCACGAAGAAGGCCGTTCTCATGGTTGGCAGCGTCTGATGCCTTTTCTAGTTCTAGGACCTTGGTCTCCAGATCCTTTAAATGTTTCTCTTTTCTCTCTCTGAAGGCTCGCTGAGCGGCCCTGTTCTGGGCTTTGCGCTTCTACATGCTTGTTAGTCGCCATCTCCAGATGCTGCCGGGCGAACGTACTGTAGTAGGCTCTGAGGTTAGTGGTTTGCGACCAGGCTTCTTAGCCTGCTTGTCGTCACCTTCCCGGCGCTTACCTCCGCCTTCTTCATCGTCTTCTTCACCATCCTCATCCGGGCTCTTCCGCTTGTCGTTCGGCTCCCCTTCAGGTGAATCACCAGGAAGAGAGCCGATCATGCGAGCTCCGCTATTAGCACCATCGAAGTCGAGGGTGTTGTCGCCGTCGAGATAGTCGATGAACGGGCTCTCATCCACACCCAAAGTACCGAACGCATTGGCGGGAGTACTTTGTTGCGGCGAGAAGAAAGTGGTGGGATCGAGGTTGTTGACAGGGTACTGGAACTGGTCGTTGCCAAAGGGTTGCTTTGCGTCTAGTCCATTGATGTCGGAGAAGAGATCGTTGGGATTCTGGTTGTTCGAGGCAAGAGCAGCTAAGAGCAGGTCCTGCTGTGTCGCATCGAGGTAGAACGGCGCCCCGTTCTGGAAGTCATTGCCGGTGCCAGACATCGTGACGGTCGGTGTGGGGTTGGAGGAGTTCTGGGGAAGTTGAGCCCTTTCACAGGCCTGGGGTTTGCTTGGAGGGGCTGGCTGGCTGCCGATCTGCTATCCTAGAGCAGCTTTTTTGCCACCCGCTGGAACACCGCTTGATAGAATTGTGGGCACTCCGCGACTCGGATTGTTTGTATGTATGACGCAGGAGGTGCGAGACAGTAGCGACCAGCTGCTCGCACGCGGGTCAGAGCGGAGGCGGACTCAAAGGCGGTAGTAGGCGTGAGCGTGCTAGATAGCGGGTCGAGAGCGTTCCGCGCGCAGAGCACACTCAATGGGGTCCGTGGGAGCGTTCAGCCCAGAGATTACAGATATCAGGTCGCAAGGTGTCAAGAGGATGGAGGAGAAGCGGCAGCAAATTCGCCTGTATGTAGCCTCGCTGCCTTGAAGGCCTAGTCCATTGGTGAACCCTGTCAGATGAAACGGGCGACTTCGTGGAGCAAGGATTGCGCACTCGCACACCGGCGGAGAGCGTCGGCAGAAATGAACGAGCTACACTGATAGGCTGCACAGGGGAGTGTGACTGGTGGGTGGAGGGGAGAAGGGCGCAGCAGAGGCCAAAGACTCACGGGCTAATCGCTTATCAATCAACTGCGGCATCCGCCATGGTGGGGTTTCGAGAACGCCATCGAAGAGCATGAGCCGATTGCCGCACCTGTTCCTGACAAGGCAGGAAAACAATTTATTGCTCCATCAGGTGCTTGACTCTTTGACGATGCACCGATGCACCGATGCACGAGCTGAGTTGATTCTATCACTTGTTGCTGTCCTCAAACGTAAGGCTCCTCGACTTTCGGTCCGAGCTCGTGATGCGTTGGTGATTAGTGCGAGGTGCCTTTCATGAATTGGCTTCGATACTTAGTGAGGAGCATGTCAGCGTGACTGAGGTAGTACATACGGCTTAACTCGCCCGCTGACGAGAGACTCTTTGATGTTCATCAGTTGCTCCCGACTTTCAGCAGCATTCCCCACGTTGTGTCACTGTCCTCAATGTTTGTAGGGCGGAAGAGAGGGCCTACAGAGTGGAGAAGATGCCAAGAAATGCGGCCGCCTTCCAAGCGTCATGCTCGCCGCGACTCCAACGCGACTTTTTGGACATCGTCCACTCTCAACCACATCACCATCACTACGACCATCTTGCTCATAAGTCAAGCATAGCACAATGGCGGACATCAAGGCGATCAAGGACCAGATCTGGTATATCAAGCGCGACATTCAAAATGAAGAGAAGAAGCGCGATGAGTGGGCGACCACTGTAAGCAAACAACTACCTCGTGTGTCTGCAGTCAACTAATCCATTCTTAGATATCTGGGATCGATGCTGAGTTGAGCGGCATGGGGCCTGGCGAGGATCGCGAGCAGTGGGAGGCTATGAAGTCAGAAGCAGAGCAGGCAGTCGCAGCGCACGACGCCACCATTGCAGGATTCAGGGCGCAGCTCGAACCTCTCGAGGCACAGCTCCCCCAAGCGCCTGCGCCAGCGGCACCAAAGTTCGACCCAGAGAAGCATCCTCTTCTTAGAAAAGCTATGGAGAAGCAGGAGCCTGAGAAGCCTGTAGTCTTCAGCACCGGCGACATGTGCGAGGCGCAGTGGACAGACAGGTCCTGGTACAAGGCAAAGATCCAGAGTATCCTCGGATCAGCTTCTGCGCCAAAGTACCTTGTGCGCTTCATCGAGTACGACGACACTTTGACCGTCGACAGCGACCGTGTGCGACCACTACCGAGCAAGAGGAAGCGTGAGCCCGAGCCTGCCGCTGCCCCTTCACCAGTAACGCCCACCACATCAACACCGCACGTCATCTCTGGTCCCACAAGTGTCAACCCGAATGCGCAAACCGCCAAGGCTGCCGCAGCTCTCGACGAACCCAAGCGCGTCAACAGGGTACCCAACAAGGGCCAGCTAAAGAAGAGTGTGGGCAATTGGAAGGACTTCCAGAGCAAAGGTGTTGGAAAGAAGATCGCAAAGAAGGAGTCCATGTTCCGGACAAGCAACGCCTTCGGTAGCAGAGTTGGCTTTACAGGCTCTGGCAAGGGCATGACCGAAACCCACAAACGCCAACGCTATGATCACAAGAAAGATGCTGACGATGACGATGAAGCCAAGTACTGAGCGCATCGGCGCATGCGGCTGACTTTCCAGAGGTACGTTCTCAACAACAAGAGTTTTTGGACCTGGCTTACGCTGTACCCTCGAGCATTATCAGTCTATCCTTGAAACACATGCGGCATCAAGTGCTGTCAGCGAGACACTATTGTATGGACAAAGCTGACTCTATTCAGGCCAGCACACAATCTCATGACTTCAAGCCTCCCCAGGCTTACGGCGTTCTGGCGTCAGCATTTACTCGGTATGACTTCTGGGCCTCCTCAACTTCCTTCTGTGAGCGTCCAGCACTAAGTTCGACCGGCTCAACAGGCATTCGATACCCAAATGACTTGCGCGCTGTGGTTTGACAGCTCTGTTTAGACATTTCGCCATCGCGCGTACATGGCCAGGTAAGATACAATAATTGTTTCGAGAGCATGGATGTTGTAATTTCAGGACGGATGTTTCTTTGTAGTACATTAGTAGCTGTGGATACCTGCCAGGCAGAATAACATCAATAATGAAAGCGCCTTCATAGTACCTGACCAGGATGTTGCTTACGCAGGTGCTGTTGACAGTGACACCTCCCCGAGCACGCCGAGCTTGGCTTTGTTAGGTGGGGCAAGACCGCCAATCATGCCTCAAACGCGCCGCGTAGCTTCGACCTCACTCACGACTCCGCAACTCGCTTCCTGGGGAACGATGAGAATGTCTGAAGCATGTGGAAGACGCGTCACAGGCACATAACATCGGCGAACGTGCTGTCAGTATGGAGGCGGACTGGGACGAGGTACGCACCACCAATGCCGCTTGCGCCCAGGACAAGCTGCGATACATTGCGCAGCGAACAACAGCTGATGAATCCATAGCTTGCATTCGTGCAGCTGCCTCCTCCAGGACCGCACCACCCTCCCACGCCCGTAGCGACCTTTGCCTTTGACACGTCCCAAGAATTGCTGTGGACCGGCAACAGCCTCGTGAGCACCTAAGCTGCACTCACCCTTGCTGCACCCACTTACACGTATACAGGGGCGCATCACCTCCTTCTACGGCGCAACCCTCGAGCGGTACACCTCCTACCGCGGTCATGCCGCCGCCGAAGGTCCAATTAAGCAGTTCCTCTTCACGGAGAAAGGCATCCTATCGATCTCGAAGCAGAGCGTTCACTACGCCCACCGTCGCGGTATAACGCAATGGCATCTTACGTATGTTTGGCTTGGAGACAAAATAGTATGAGAGGTAGTGGAGAAGTGCTGATGTATGGGCTGTAGGAGCAACGAGTTCAAGGACCTCAGCTGTATGAACTTCACTTCCAAGGGCACACGAGAGATCCTTGTCGCAGGATGCCAGGATCGAATGTTCAAGGTGGACGTGGAGAAGGGTACCATCACCGAGACTGTGAGTCTGCAGGCATTGGCACCAGGATGCTATCTATACTGACTCCATACAGCTTCCAGCCGAAGCTCAGTACACCATCATGAAACGTGCAGGCCAATACATATGCGCAGCCACTAAGACCGGCGGCATCCATATCCTTGACTCGAACTCGCTCTCCAACATCAAAGCCTTCGACGGACACACTGGTAGTATCAGTGATATGGATGCGAAAGGAGATTTCCTGGCGACATGTGGCTGGTCGCCTCGGCAGCAGAACGCCTACATGCTCGATCCGTTCACACATGTCTTTTCTTTGAAGACATTGAAGCAACTGCCGCCAATTCCTTTCCACACTGGTGCAGCTTTCGTTCGAATGCATCCTCGCATGTCGACCACTGCCATCATTGCTTCACACAACGGACAAATGCAGGTCATTGACCTGATGAACCCAGAAGCTGCCAATCTGCGACAGATCAATTTATACGACTCGTATCTTCATGGCCTCGAAATGGCGCCTTCCGGTGAAGCTTTCGCGTTGTCTGACAGCAATGGGCAAGTCCACTTGTGGGGTTCCCCTTCGAAGGTGCACTTCCCGGAGTATAGCAATCCCACCGAATTCGCTGATCACCCTATACCACCACCTACTATGGACTGGTCACCAGACACGTAAGCCTTCTACCTCTCAACTGGGTACTTTTGCTCACTTCATGCAGACCCTTGAACACTGTCGGCATGCCATACTACAAAGAGAACCTCCTTTCCAGCTGGCCGAGCCACATAGTGTTCGAAGTGGGTGCGCCGCCGCCGAAGATCGATGCCTCCATCTTGAGCAGTATGACGCGAACCGAGATGGGCTTCTTCGCAAAGAACCCTCGTACGAAGCGGAGAAACCAAGCGGAATCTAGGCGGCAGTCAGACCGTGTTACAGAATCATTGTCAGCACCCAAGTTCTTGAGCGAGCAGTCTCGTGCAGTGCAATCGTACAGCAGCGATACCGATGGCAAGACAACTGAGACAATGGAGTCATTGACAGATCTGCATCTGGAAGACGTCACACGGAAAGAAGTGCCGTCGATGTACGGCAACGTGGAGATCAAGTACAGCAAATTTGGCGTTGACGATTTCGACTTTGCGTATGCTCACTCTGTCCATGCAATTTGGTTTCTTTGCTGATTTCACCACAGTTACTACAATCAAACCCCCTACTCCGGGCTAGAGACACACATCGCCAACTCGTACGCCAATTCTCTCCTGCAATTGCTCCGCTTTACACCTCTCATTCGGAACATCGCACTTCAACACACAGCATCGGCATGTCTGTTCGAATCATGTCTTCTATGCGAGCTGGGGTTTCTGATCGATATGCTCGAGAAGGCTGCAGGACTGAATTGCCAAGCCTCAAACTTCCTGAAGACGTTCAGCAGCTTATCAAACGCAGTCTCACTCAATTTGTTGGAGGAGTTTGCTCCTAACGTTGCTCTCACGAGCATGGTGCAGAATCTCAATCGATTCTTATTGGACAAGATATCAGACGAAGTGCGTCAGATGTTACCACTCAACTCAGGACCTTCACCAATGGATCGCATTCTGGAGACACAAGCCAGAGCAAGCATGAGATGTGCGCAATGCGCAAACGAAACTGCACGTGGTGGAAAGAACTTCGTGAACGAGCTCGTGTACCCTGCGAAACACGTAATGAAGAACACAAGGATACCGCGCCCAACTTTCTCCCAGATCCTGAAAGCTAGTGTTGAACGTCAAGATCAGACGCGAGGGTGGTGCACCAAGTGCAACAGATATCAACAAATGGTGCAGAGGAAAACCATTCAGACCATTCCTGGCGTTTTGATGCTCAATGCAGCAATTCAGAGTCATGAAGCCAAGCTGTTGTGGTCGATACCGCACTGGCTACCTCAGGAGATCGGTATCATAGTTGATCAAGGCCAATTCTACTGCTTCGAAGGCCAGGATCTGAAGTTACACCTGCAACGAGGTGTATTCGACATCATGGTCTTCGAGTTGATCGGCGTTGTCGCCGACATCAACAGTGGAGAGCATCAGAAGCCCCACCTAGTTGCTACCATCAACACTGCCCCATCATCTCGCGAAGCAACAACAGAAGACAAGTGGCACCTGTTCAACGATTTCTTAGTCAGGCCAATACCCAAGGAAGAAGCACTTCGCTTCGAACCAGGCTGGAAGCTGCCTTCCGTGCTGACTTACCAGCTAAAGGCGGCCAGGAACAAGATCGACGACTCGTGGAAAGATAACCTCGATGCCTCGATTCTGTACAGATGGTGGTCATCAAACCCCACGCCTCCAGACTCCAAGTTCAAGCTTCTCGAGGCGCAGGCCGAAGCACCAAAACCTGGCTACCCCGTCGCCATCGACGCAGAGTTCATCCGCCTTCAGGCTGAAGAGATTGAGATGAAAGCAGATGGAACTCGGCAAACCATCCGCCCCGACCGCAAAGGTTTAGCTCGTGTTTCAGTCTGCCGCGGTTCAGGCGAACACGCCGGCCTACCCTTCATTGACGACTATATTGCAGTCAGCGAACCCGTCGTCGATCACTTGACCGCCTGGTCCGGCATCTCTCCCGGCGATCTCAACCGCGAGACCTCACCCCACGCACTCGTTAGCCTCAAACACGCATACAAGAAACTCTGGCTCCTGCTCAACCTAGGCTGCGTCTTCGTCGGCCACAGCCTAGCCAACGACTTCCGCACAATCAACATCCACGTCCCCAAGAACCAAGTCGTCGACACATCGAATCTCTTCTTCCTCCCGGAGTACAAGCGCAAACTCAACCTCAAGTTCCTCGCCTGGTGTGTGCTGAAAGAGAGCATCCAGCAAGACACACACGACTCCATTGAAGACGCCACCACCGCACTCAAACTATGGCGCAAATACGAGGAGTTTGTAGATGCGGGCGTGCTGGAGCAGATGCTCAATGATATATATGCGACGGGAAGTCAGTATAGGTTCAAGGCTCCTGGCAGTGGTGGAGCGAATGTGGGGCAGGGCGCGATGGGGATGGTCAGTCAGGCGGGCACGGGGAGGAATACGCCCGAGCCGATGACGACGCCGAAGAAGGGGGGGATGTTTGGGACTATTGGGTTCAGGAGTCCTATGAGGTAGCGGAGTGGCACGCGAAATAAGAACTGTTGGATAAAAGGCGTGGTGGACTTTGTTTTCCTTTTATCGAAGTTTCCTTTTATCGAAGATTAGCCAAATCAAAAACATCTCTATTTGCACGTTTATAAAGCCCACGGCGGCTCTGCAATCCTTCCATTCCTCATTCGCAGTTCTGTCTTTTGTTTCAAATGGTCCATGTACAGACTCCATATCTCTGTCTGTCCGCATAGCTTTTACTAGACCGCGTATGTGTCTGTCTGCTCTCCTTTCAAACTTGTCACTTGAGACTTGTCGAACTTTGGCACATGGTTCTGCCTTGAACGAAAAGCCGAGTCTGATCGCTGCCATGTCAAGCGCGCTTCTCATCTCGCTCATATGTGAATCTCCAAAATCCCGACTCTCACGGTCCTATGTTCTGTTGGCCGGTCAGTGCCTACAATATCCATAGCAGCCTTGTCGAGCGCGCGGAAGATTGAAACAGGTTGTAGAAAGCCCTTCTCGGATTTTTCACTGCCCCCTCCTTATTATGCTTTGGTTTCCATTTCTAAAATGATACACTCGACCGAAATATGTCATTGTCACGGTTCAGGGTGCTCCTGCCTGTTGTACCTCACCTCCATGAGAGTGACTGCCACGTCACACTAGCGCTGTTTACAGCTACTCACCTATATATACTGTTCGTAGCTTCACTCAACACAACCTCAGTACAATCTTCAAATTCCTCCCTTTGCGTACAGTTCTTCACTGAACTCTGACAGTCTTCGACCAAAAATACCCCATCTTGTTGATACGTCTGCCTGCACTTCTGGCTCTGAGGATCGTCCTTCAAACTGTCTGACTACTACAATCTGCAGCTGTGTTTCCGAAAAGTGATCCCGGAAAAGCGCAATAGTCTAGCCTGCTGTCGTGGGCTAGGAAGCACACGCAAAACCCCTACTTCTGGAAGACATGTTCGCAGGCACTGGGGCTCGAACCGTGCGTGAAGCTTTACTTCGTTGCCTTCACTTCTCATCGCCTCTGAATAAGCCTTTCAAAAATACTGGAAAGACAAAATCATGCTGTCGTCCACTCAAAACCACACTGGTACACACGCATGTGGCTGTGGGCCTACCTTTAATCTATTACCGTCAGTCTAAACATACTGAGGACATTTGCATGTTTCTGTATCCTTGGGATTGCGGGTATATTGAAGACAACTACTGTGACAGTTTATGGAGTATGGAGGTCACGTGTGCCACGTGTGTTAGTGTGGTGCTCTTGCTCGTTCAAATAAGCACCTTCTCCCTTAACTGCACAGCAGATACGTCATGTAGACAGACCCTGCTGATGGCCTGGTGAGGTCAATCGCGGAAAAGCAGAAGAACACAATACAATGAATCTACTGCTTCGCGCGGTTCCACCCTGACTTGCTGCCCTGCGCAGTTACACCTTCATTTATTGCATCTACTGCAAGAAATACGCACTGACGTCATGTTGTTTGGGAGATTGCGGTTCAAAGTGCCCGCGAGAAGTTCGATGCTCCGTCAACGCTGGGTCGTCAGTGGTACATAAAGGCTCTACTTCACTAACTTTTCTTGTTTTTATTTCGACATTTCCTCCATTGTTCTCTCTAAAATGAATACCTGTGGCTGTGGAAGGGTTGCGATGATTGAGTTGATTGATCTTAAGATCTATGGCGGGGATCGATCGAGACTATATAGTAGAAGGGAATAGCAGTGAAAGGGTGGGGAAGCAAACCGAACTAATCGAATGGGCTGGAAAATCAGTGCAGCAGATCGCTGGCAAATAGTGGCCCATATGACCTTGTTCCTCCAGAAATGACTCTCTACTTCTGACATGTGCTTTGCTGCCTTTGTTCGGCTTCCTACCTTACGTGCACATCTTCGCATTAGCAGCATATAATGACTCCTTTAGCGTCGCCTCTCATCTTTTACTCATCTGCACTCCTCTTGCGAGTTCAAGAATTTTCTTGACAAGTTGGGCATGTTTCTCTCCGCCAAAACAATCAGAACAAAACTGGACGCTTGTTGCGCATTCTTTTCCCTCAACAATTCTCTATTGGAGGATACAATGCGAGTACCATGCTTCTGTTTCTAGAGAGATCTAGAATGCATTCCAGATATTTCTGCGAGCTCGTTCAGCTTGCTTGGAATAAGAGATTTTGAAATATTGGTTCATTTTGTCTGGTGATCTTGATCGCTGCGCCTATGGGTGGGCATATAATGTTGCGGCGTGGGCCGCTGTGGTATTATGATAGCTACGGTAAAAAATAACGTAGGACTATCGGGTCGATGGAAGACTGCGCTAAGTTGCTATCTAGCTGGGAGGTGACGAATATATACCTGACCTCAAGCCAGTGACCTGTCACACACGAGACTAGGGTAGTCTGTCGGTCGTACAGTCAGACCTTGTACAGACCAACCAACACCGCAACATAAAAGCTTATAATAATATTTTTTCATCATTCTCATCTTCTCATTGCCATGCATGAGTTCTGGTCTACATAACATCTGCTATTCCGTCTTCCCTCTTTATACACGCCTCTCGATACCTCTGTTCGAAATGACTCTAAGCAAGCTGTACAGTGTCTTTACGCCCTCATACTCTCTGCAAAACCTCAATGTGGTGTTTTGTCACACTCTTTTCACACTGATACCCTTAGACCGGAAAAATTGAGCCTGATGTTTGTCTTCTACAACGGGCTTGCACAACTCAAAGCATAAGGGGACGAAAGAGAGAGAGGGCGAAGATGCTCTGTCTACCTCCACGAGCCCTAAAAAGTGCAATATTATCAATGACTGGCAGTTTGAATCCAAAAGTTGATGTCAAGAAGTAATTTGCTTACCGCCTCTTAAAAATCAGAGCAATTTGCTCTTCTCAGCTTCCTTTTAATTTGATTGTACATAGCTTCTTTACTACTTACAGAGGTTGTCGGCCATGCTATTCCTGCTAGCTGATCTCTCAGCTACATATCCGATATGCTGTCTTCAATTCTGTTTCTCTACTCCGAGAATACACCAACACCCATATTACGACTACCCCTTGTGCCCCTTCACGATTCACTGGAAAATGGTTGCGCTTTCACACATGGTTCCTGGAAGGCATCCGAATCCATCAAAGTCCTTTTGCATGTTTTGCTCGTGCTGCCCGACGAGATATATAATCTTGCCTGGGCAGTCCTCGTTTCTTATTCATCTTCGTCCGCTTGAACAAAAGATACGACCACAAAGGTCATGTTGGTGTTCGTTGAAAAAGCGCGTTGTGCCCGTGGCTTGTGCTCACCTTCTCACCAAGCGTCGCTTACTTTCCAAACACGGAAAGGTAAACGTGGTGTCCGCCACTTTCCCATGGGGCTTGCAATCGTCACATTCAGACGTGCTACGTACCTAACAAACCAACTTTATGCATCTGCTCAAGAAAATGTCTTCTCACTCGATGGTCCTATGCTTTCAAAATCATCAGCGTCCTGAAAATGACTTGGGCGCCTCTCCTCTCTTCATCCACCAAGGGATGTCAAGATTTGCCTATGCCTGTCTGGCTTCTTTCTTTGATATCATACCATATATATCCCCGATTCCTCATTATGTAAAACTCAGATCAAACAAAAATTCTTTGGCTTACTCGCCATGGCTGTCAGGTGTTTGTTCGACTCAAGTACCGTTGTATGCAAATAAGTCTTCCACTTCAATGCTTCCCTTGTCCTCTACAAGCTCTGAAAACATCGATCAAAGATGTCGTGGTACGCCTGGATGCTTCTGTGCGTCTGAAGATTGTGTTAGCTGCAGACACCCTTGATTGGACGCAAGTCCGTGTTCTGTGTCGGACTCTTAAAAGAGGCGCGCAGAAATCCATGTGCTTGTCCGCTCTCAGCATGGTAGCTATCTGCAGCATAAAAAACCACTCCTCCTTGAGCTGGATTAATATCTCTTCTTCGAATGTCTGATCCACACCGACTCACAGCTCTTTGGTACTTTCCTTCCTGCTCTCAGTGCGGCGTACGACTGTTGCCTTACCCTTCATTGTGCGCTTCCATATTCGACCATTCGAAATCACCTGCGCAGAGGCTAAATGCCTTTGCTGGCCTGCCTTCGACAGGAGTATGTGCGGGGCCGTATCCGCCAGTGGAAAGCTAGGTTCGTGGGTTCGAGCTGATGCTATATTTGAGGATGTTATGCGCAGGTTTAGGCGCCATAAAGCTGAATCACAAAAGTATGAGAGATGCAGCTTCATTAATTTTGACGCGTTCTCAGACACCCAGACTTCGCGCAAAGAGAGTGCACGATCCCGGCTTGAACGTGCAAGCAGAATACGTCCCTTTGACAACGACAATCCGACGTCTTCACATCGATGATGCTTTGATACGGCGCATAGAATGCTTCAACCTCATCACTCTCGATTATCATCGCTCTTATCCACGTCCAAGAAATCGTGTGCCTTCGCCGGACATTGAATGGAGTACTGAAGCCCCTCAACATTCGTACTCGTCTACGTATTTTCCAGAAATAGAGGCTCTGCTTAGGGTACCAAGAGATGAAGACAAGCTTTGCAGTACACGCGATTGCAAAATTGCAAGAAGTATTGGATACGAAAAAGGGATAGAAGAGTCATTGCCAAGAATACCGCATCGACCTATAGTGGTAACTTGATCCTTGATCTGCTAGATATGGGCAAGTGGAGTTACATCATTGTTCAATCTGCAATCCCTCTCAACCACCCCATCCATCTTCACGGCCACAACTTCCTCATCCTGAGCGCAGGAAAGGGCACTTACACCAATCAAGAGCTCAATATGTTCAATGCACTGCGTCGTGGTAGGCACCCTAACCCTGACTTCGATGACATCAAGCTGACTTTTCAGATACTGCAAATATGCCTGCGGCTGGCTGGCTGGTGATTGCATTCGAGACTGACAACCCGGGTGCATGGTTGATGCACTGCCACATCGGCTGGCATACATCAATGGGATTTGCTCTACAGATTCTTGAAGGCCGGAATATGATTAAGGACACCGTGAAGGACAAGTGCGCACTGTACGGCACATGCGGAAACTGGAATAAGTGGGTGGCCGAGGAGGGCTTCAAGCAGCACGACTCCGGTGTATAAAGGTCTGCGCACACTATCAGGAAACCATTTCTTGTATATACCCTGTTGTTGTGTTTTTACCATTTCCTAATAGAGCACCACTCGGTCCAAAGCTTGACCAACGTCCACCTCTTCACCAAGGCTTCGCGCACCCCGCAATACCAAGCCTCCGACCCGGATCCTCGATATTTCTCCGCTGTAAGTATATGCCCGGGAGCATGTTGTGGGGCGACGACGTCCCGATGTATGTTCCTCGTGGGCAAATGCCGGGTTTTGTGTTCGCTAAATTTCCACCACTAACTCAGGCTTGCCACTGCCTTTTGTTTCAGACAAAGCCGGGGTAAACACCTTAGCGCTAATCCTCTTGCACTTCAATGGTTCGTATATTTTTGATATAGCAAGGGTGGTGATACAAGGACTCTTTCGGTTTCGGGTTCCTGGGTTGTATGACAGCGAGGAGGATCCAAGGCAGAAGGCAGGCACGGTTGCCAGCGATAACCTCAGGAGACAGCCAAGATTTCCTGACAACGGAACTCAATTTACTCAGATTGCTAGAGGGTCGGCGAATTGAGCGAAGGCGTAGTATCTCCTCCAATTGCGCCGTTCTTTGACCTGGCTCACGGTGAGCATGATAGACAACACCATCAAAGAGCAGGTGTATATATGTGCTGAGCCTTGAGCACATTCGGGTTACCACAACGCCAAACTTCATTGACTCACTGGTTCTTTAGCCTTCTTCGACCATCATGTTGTCCCTCGGCAAACTTGCCGGCATCGCCGCGCTCTTCGTACCTGCAGTGCTCGCCTGTAACGGCTACACTGGTGGTCTACCCACACCCACCTCGACCAAGACCAACAGCCAAGTAATCACTATCGCCGCTGGTCAGACTTTCGATTGTGGCTGGGCTAAGTATGACCGTGGTAGCGGAGCTTGCAACGACCAGGCTGAGGGTGGTGATGCTGATGCCGTCTTCCTGCTGAAGAAGGGTGCTACTCTCAAGAACTGCATCATAGGCAAGAACCAAGCCGAGGGTGTCCACTGCGATGGTGCTTGCACACTGGAATTCGTTTGGTTCGAGGATGGTATGTGCCTATCGATCGTTCCGTAGAAGGCCCTTCTGACATTATCGTAGTCTGCGAGGATGCTATCACTGTCAAGAACGATGTTTCTGGCGACCAGTCTTGGATCATCGGTGGTGGTGCCTACAAGGCAGCCGATAAGGTCGTCCAACACAACGGCTGCGGTACTGTTAATATCATCGTAAGCTTACCTCCCTCCTTTACCTTCTCTCTCTTTGTTCTCAACCCTCGTGTCTATGCTTGCTAACATTCTTGTAGAACTTCTACGTCAACGACTACGGCAAGCTGTACCGTTCTTGCGGTAACTGCTCCAAGCAATGCAAGCGCAATGTCTACATCGAGGGCGTGACTGCCGTCAACGGCGGTGAGCTTGCTGGTATCAACTCCAACTACGGGGACACTGCGACGATCAAGAATGCCTGCTATGACACCAAGACTCCTTGCCAGATGTACAACGGGTGTGCTGGAGGCTGCGAGCCCACAAAGAGCGGGACATGCTCTGGTTAAAAGTCTCGTGGTAGGGTTAGGCTGAGATCGCACTATCCGATGAGGGTTGAGAGACTCGGATGTACGCTATGAAGTAGATGTGAAGATTGATGAGGAAAAGAATAAAGTTGTGCAGGTGCTTCCCAGACTTCTGGGGCCCCAGGTGCAGCCTCGTTACCAGTGCTCTTTCTCCGCGCACGGCTTCACTCGCTCGCCATACTCCAAGGATATTTTGACATTTGCTCGACCAACTTACGTCCTTTTATTCGCCAGAATGACTATGCTTCAATCGGGTTTGATCACAAAACGGCTAGCGCCGACGATCTGCAATCACGACATTCCACCCCACGATTTCGCGAGCAGCCAGCGCCCATACAATTCCACAAAACAACCTGCCATTTCAGCACTCGGCCGAGCAGAACTTGTCCTGTCGATAAGCATGAAGGCTCGCCTCGGAGGTGATCTTACAATCAGCCCAATGGCAACCAACGCAGCCTTCGGGTGCTTGTTCCCACCTTGCTGTCCCAGCACTGGTATGACGGCGCCGGTCGGTTGACCTGCAACATCCACGTTCTTGCATCATTTCCAAAACACTGGGGAGGATTCAGCATGTATAATATGCCGCTGCCCTGGGTGCTCTTAATCCAACGTCCCAAGACTTTCTGATTGACAGTTTGCTGCCATGTTGACCGACGAGAAGCGTGTTGACGACCAAAAGGTCGGCGCGCCTGGCGCCTCGACTCCATCTGACTCTGACGTTGAGGTCGTTCCTGGTATTATCCACGAGAAAAAGTTACTGCGCATCCTGGATTTGAGATTGCTTCCTGCAGTATCGATCTTGTACCTCCTTAGTTTCCTTGATCGAAGCAACGTCGCCAATGCGCGTATCGAGGGACTTACCACCGATTTGCACATGACCGGTAACGAATATCTTACTGGTCTGACGCTTTACTTCATCGGCTACGTTTTGTTCGAACTGCCATGCAACATCATTCTGAAGAGGACTACACCTAAATTCTGGCTGCCGACTCTGACGGTGGCTTGGGGAATCGTCGCAACCCTCATGGGTGTGACTCATAACAAGGCCGGCTTCTTTGTTGTGCGCTTCTTGTGAGTCGAACTTGTGACATAGAACCGATCATTGACTGACATTCTTCAGCCTTGGTATGACAGAGTCAGGTCTCTTTCCAGGTGTTGTATACTATCTGAGTATGTGGTATAAGCGCGAAGAACGACAATACCGCATTTCGCTCTTCTTCAGCTGTGCCTCTCTCGCTGGTGCATTCGGTGGTATCCTAGCTTGGGGTATTAGCCACATGCGCGGAGTTGGAAATTACGCTGGTTGGCGCTGGATTTTTATTCTGGTGCGCAAATCTGCTTCCCCGGCTTGATATCGAAACGAGCTAACAGACTTGCAGGAAGGTCTACTTACCATCGCAATTGCAGTGGCTGCATACTGGTTCATCTCCAATTATCCGGACACTGTTTCTTGGCTGTCGAAAGAAGAACGCGCATTCATTCAAGCTAGGCTTAAAGCCGACAGCGACGCGACGAATAAAGAGAAGTTTCAGTGGAGCGATGTTGTGGAAGCTCTGAAAGACCCCAAAGTCTGGCTTTATGGTGCTGGCTTCCACACCATGAGTCTGCCTCTTTACACATTGTCTCTTTTCTTGGTAAGTGTATCGTCTGTGGCATGTGAGGTTTCGAACTGACAGCGTTTAGCCAACCATCATCCGTGATATGGGTTACACATCTGCTCAATCGCAACTGTTGACTATCCCTCCATACGCCATAGCTACGATCTTCACCATCTTCTGGGCTATATGGTCAGAGAAGACCAAGAAACGCGGTCCCTTCATTACCGCTACATCTGCTTGTGCGGTCATTGGATATATTATCCTCCTTGCAAACAAGAACCCCAAAGCTAGGCCTGGTGTGTCGTACGCGGGAACGTTTCTCGCAGCGATCGGAATCTACCCATCAGTCGCTCTGGTACTCAGTTGGCCCGCCATCAACGTATCTGGACAGACTAAGCGTGCGACTGCCAACGCCATGCAGATCTCCATTGGTAACCTCGGGGCCGTGTTGGGTACGCAGCTGTACAGGCCAAGCACGTCTCCTCGATATGTTCTAGGTCACAGTTTTGCGCTTGGCTACCTGGTAATGAACATTGCTGTAGTCAATCTGCTGTGGTGGAGGCTGAAGCAGGAAAATAAGCAGAAGCAGCAGTTCCTTGCTGAACACCCTGAGACGAACGGATTCCACGACAGTGAGGATGACCTGAAGCTCGGCGATCGTCATCCACGATGGATTTTCCAAGCTTAAGTTGACAAGAAAGGTGATACAATTTTGAGATCTCACGGAAGTGAGCTGCGTCGTGTTGGTATCTCCATCTGAGTTGTGTTGACTGCAGGTCGAGTTCGTATGATACCCTCTTCTATTCTTCCAATCGCAACGCAACGGGCTGCTAGGCTGGAGATGTGCGCCGTTGTTGGGGCCAGTTAGAGACTCCTCTCCATGGGATACTAGCACTAGCAATGATCATCGATGCTTTGCAGAATATTAGCCTCATCATGATGGCGTTTCGATAACTCCATCAATCGTTCGAAACAGTAGAGATGGTCGTTGTCTGTGGAGCGCAGCGCTCATGTTCGATCATGCAAGATGCTGACGAGCTTTCCGGGTCAACATGCACTGATTACGGCCGTTTCGAAGAGCCGCAGGAGTGGTGCCGATTCCAAGATCGAAGCCAAGAGTGGAGTGTGCACAGCCAATTGCTGCAGATCGGGCCGTTAGTCAGCCGCCTCCACGCGGTGAAGAGCCAATCATTAGCTTAGGACCATGACGCTGTCATGCGACCACAGGTTCTCGACCTCGCCTTTTGAGGAGAACCCTTGACAGCTGCAACCTTCGAGAGCTTCTAAGGGCACTGCCCCGCGTTCAATCTCAGCCGCTTCAACAATTGCCCCGAGGTTTGCATCGTCACCACTCTGTATCCACTTATCATCGTCAGACGGCAGGCGCTTCTCATGTGGCTGCAATCATGGCATCATACTTCGAACTTCCCGCGCAATCAAGTGCGCCAGCAGCCGAGGATGTGCTTAAAGAGAAGCGCGAAGAGCTGCGGGGCATGAGTCTTCTTTCACCACAAGTTTCACGCATACTGGACGATCTTCAACTTGACGACAAGTCGAGCAGCAGTGACGGCGACGATGAAGACAACTCCTCAGGCTCAGAGAACGACGAAGAGTCTAGACTGTCAGACGACAACACCAAGATTGACGATTCACTGAGTCGAAAGTCACGCCAAGGCCCTGCAAGTACGGCGAATACTGTGCACGGTTCCAAAACTTCGGCCAAATTAGCGTCCAAGGAAGTCAGGAGCTCTTCGGGACTTACTAGCGGAGACAAGTCTTTAAAGAACCCAAGGAGCCACATGGCACGCTTCCAATCTCTTCGCAGCACCCTTTTCCAGGCCAACATCGAGAACAACATAAAGAAATGCCACCAAGAAGCAGAGGCGCGAGAACAGGCAGCGACCAATTGGAAAGTGCAACATGAGAAAAGACAGGGCTATTATCGATCACACATCCCAGAGAACACACCAAGTGAGAAGGTCGGATTTGGTCGGCGAATCGGTATGAAGATTTACCGTCTGACGAGCAAAGAGCCGCCAACAATGGCTAACATCGAGGAAAACACTGGCAATTTAAAGCGCCGTGAGTCGACAGCCACCGATGGGGAGGATGAGCCCCATGGCGACCCTTGGAAGCCACGACAAAGCTACGAATCAAGTATCGATCACTCTGATGTCGACGAGTTGGTACGCTGGGTCAGCAGAAGGGATCCACCCAGCGATGGTGAACGAAGGATGTCCAACGTTAAGGTACCGAAGAAGGAAGACAGTGGGCACGAAAGCCTAGGCCATTCAGATATCGAGGAACTTGTGCGCTATGCAAGTCGCAAATCGATCTCGACAGAACCAGTAGTACCCATGCATACTGGGTACAGCGACGAGTCGACAGCATCTGACTCTGAGCAAAGCCAGGAAGACGATGAGCAAACCGAGGAAAGCCTGAGCCGCTGGGTATCACGACGAGATAGTGCGAAAGCAGGCCCCATTCGTCAGCAGCGAACTGCAGTGCAGCTTGAAATAGATACCGGGAACGAGGACTCTGACGTACCCGAGATCGGCCGATGGAGAACACATCACGATGACACGAGCGGTGAATCCATTGCGGGCACTGGCAGCGAGATCGCAATGAAAGATGACGTCTCTGTGCTTGAGGCCAAGCGTGGACGTTCGAGAGAGCGCTCGCCAAAGTTCGAGGACGAAGGCCACGTAAAGGACGACGATGTCGACAAGCTTGTGCAATGGGTGTCGCGCAGGGACTCAAAGCAGACAAGCAACCTTGATGTTAAGGGCAAAGTCACAGAGCTGAAGCATCAGGAGAGATGAGAAGAAGCAGCAAGTGGGCATGACAGTCAACGATAAGAGCCTTGCTCCTGAGGACCTTAATGATTTTTGGCCCACGCCAGGAGTCGCAACATGGGCAGTCTAAGCTCAAGCATTACTCCAGCTCACTTTTGAGCCCTGAATCCCTGCAGATTCACTTCACGATTCACGATATCCGGCCTGGCGTTTAGCGACTCAGCTTGATTTACTAGCGTAGTGTATCGACAATATGACCGCAAGTCACTTAAGAAACCAGGGCAATGCGAACCTCCTTGCGTTGCACTTCATGCCTGTGCTTAAACTCTTCCTGGGTCTACTGATGTAACCACGTGGCTTAAGTCACATGATATCCTATTGTAGTAGGCACTGCCCGAGGGCAAGTGCACTTATCCTGAAGAACATGACCGAACAACAACACAGATAGCAACACAACCGTTGGTTACAGCCTCCAACCGACACTTCTCATGCAGTTACAATTGAGCACCAACCGATTTCGCACTCAACGCACCATTGTTGCTTAACGTATTCACCGTCCCCTCCCTCACATTCCTAACCACACCCTGCAATCCCATCTTCGCAATCTTTTCACACAACCCCTTCGTACTCCCACCTTCCAGTCCCAGCAAATATGCCGCCAGGCCCGCAACATGCGGACTTGCCATCGATGTACCATCGTGCATCGCCGTTCCGCCGTCGTTGTTCAGACTAGTGATGTTTGCACCTGGAGCGAGCACATCGACGAGAGAACCGTAGTTTGACCACGAAGTCATGGTGTCATTCATGGAGGTCGCGCCGACGGTACACACGCTGGGCTCAGAAGCGGGAGAGGTGTAGCGCGCGTCGACGCCTTCGTTGCCGGCGGCTACGGCGAAGAATATGCCGCTGGCGACTGCTGCGGCGACCTGAGCCGGTTAGTGCTGAATGATATGAGCAGTGTAGAAGACGACTCACAGCTTGGTTCGTAGCAGTGTTCTTGCGTCCACCGAGACTCATGTTTGCGACTCTTCCTTTAGGGCAGTTATGTTTTGTTGAATTCCTGGTGACGAAGTCGATGCCTGCGATTATGCCGGATGTTGTGCCTGAGCCGTAGGAGTCGAGGACTTTGATGGAATACAGCTGAGTCTTCTTTGCTACACCGTAGGTACCTGGGCTCATCGTCAATGACTATCTTTGAAGTGAATTTGCTGTAAGGTCGGACTTGCGCGAGCCAATAGTACCAGCGACATGCGTACCATGTCCTTCGCCATCTTCATTGCTTTCCTCATCAGAAAAGTTGGCAAGGTGAGTCGCGCCTGATGTGAGTTAGTCAAATGCATCTGATCGGGTACTGGGGTCACGTACGGCCTTTGAAGTCAGGATGATCTACGAAGATACCAGTGTCGATGATATAGGCGCAAGTGCCCTCTCCTGCACTGTCATCAAAGATATATGTGCTATTTCCAGGCTGCCTATGCGAGATACGACTGATGCCCCAAGTGGCAGGATTCTGGTAGATTAGGCCGTACGCATGCATCTTGACGTCTCGTTGTATGTACTCGACCTAGTGTTGAATTAGTTCAGTAAGGTATAAAAATCCTAGCGTGCTTCACTCACATGCTCAGAGGCTTGCAGCTTAGCAAACTCTGCATCGGATAGAGTGCCTGCAAAGCCATTGAAACCAGAAAGGGAATATTCGAATTTGGGAGCTGTTGACAATGACTCCTTCAAAGCTTTGACGGCCCTTGTAGATACGACAGCTTCATCGTGCTTGAACTTGATGATGTACTGTCCTGGTATCACAGTGGCAGCTTGTTCAGCTTGGAAAAAAGGTGCCGCAAGAGCGGTGGAGAGGAAAGCGAAAAGGCCCAGAAAATGCATGTCGAGTCGAAATTTGTGGCTAGTTCATGTAGCACTTTGGAAGCTGTCACTGTGGGTAGGAAAATTGTATACCAGATGTATTTGACGGTATATATACACTGTATGCCAAATATCTCAAGTGGCCATAGCTCTTCCATACTCTGTAGAACTGCAACAATCCGATGTTGTGATACCACGCGGACCATACTGTGGAGATTTTAGACTTAGAGCTATAGCTAATGTCGACGCTGTGGTTACAAGAGATACTTGATTAGGAGGCAGCCCAAACACACTGGGCAAATAACGATGACGGAGGCATTGATTGTACCCTGTACCCATAATGGCGCGATGAACTTCAGATAGGTACCAGTTGTTACTGTCAGAGATGGTGTAGACTGGACGTGGTCGAAATTTAGTCTGTACAACATCGCAAACAAAGCGCGAACAAAGGTGTGCTGATTGGTTTATCCATGGGTACAGCGTAGCACAATGCCATAGTTCGTCCAGAAGTAGTCACGGAAGGCAAGGCTGACATCCTGCAAAGTGCCGTTGTTGCATTTTCATCTCGGTCGTACTCGTGATTAACAACTCATGTCAAGCTTCCAGCTAAACGCCACTGGGGTCCTTGTCTTCACTGCGGCAGAGGAGACTGGAGCCGCACATAAGCGAATATCGCAACTGATGAAGAGTTTCTTTGCGGAGTTGGATAACATAAGAGGAGCGAAGTGGTACAAGCATCTCCTCTAGTCAAAGGTGATGAGGAAATCCAGAGCCTTATCCATTTCGACAGCGATACCGGGAGTAGAGGGATCGCATAGATAGCAGGCTTGGCATCAGTTCTGGGAGCTCATCGGCGTTGCCGTTGCCTTCAGGCTGCACGAGCTTACGTGCGCGCGCAACAGCATGGTTCGCATGCAATGGCCACATTACCGGGTTCGTGTGACGGCATATGTTGGTTGTCATTATCTCGAGACGGAGTGACAAAGACTTCAGAGGCGCTAATAATCAAGCCTTTTTAATCTGGTGTGACAATCCCTGGAAAGTATCATTTTGAGAACGATAAGAACGGCGACTAATATATGGCGAAAACCTAGCAGTATGGTCAATCCAATAGCGTACCGCATACTCATACTTGCAACTCAGGGGAATCCAATGCACGTGCAACGGCCATTTGCAGCGATAATAACCGCACAGCATCAACTGCCGTCCCCGAAGCCTCAGCAGGTCTGCATTAAATGTTGCGCCGAGGACCAGTCGTCGTCAGCTCTTGTCGTGAGTATTGTGATGACGATTCACTCTGCACGAAACACATCTGAAGGCTCCTATGACATTATATGCAGGCCTCCGCATGCGTCTAGTGTCGTCTGTGGTGGTGGCGGAAGAAGGAGAAATCTGGGTGGCAAATGTAGGGTGGGTTCAACCGCGCTACCGGTATAGACGCGCTAATGACTTTCTCCTTGGACGTTACCACAACCCCCTTCTGCTAAGGTATGCCTCCACTCGATAAATCAACAAAGAGGCTTGAGATTAACGATGCTACTCGCTGCACACAACCAGAATATGATGAAAGGGAGGAGTCAAAGACAACAGATGGAACAAAGAAAGGATCGCATCACACACAATACGCGGCTCTATGGCGAGTTCCATCAAACCCCCAGCGCCCCAACAGGTTAAATAAGATCCGGTACGACGCGTGTTTGATCTACAGAAAGACTCGTCACGGTTGCTGTCGACTTTTGAATGAAAAGCGTCATCTTGATATGCTCGCCACCACTTGCACGCAGGGCAGGCCCAACGCAGTGCGACCGTACTAGGGCGCCTGCAAGGGACCGAGCCGCCGCTACTTGCAGACAAGAACCTGCACGGCCACATGTCTCTCTACATTCCAGCAGTTGATTCCCCGGCGCTTGGCTACATTTTTGGTTGAACCTCAATCAACAAAGACGCATTGTTGCGAGCAGCCTCCTTGTCACGACTACCTACTCGCATCGCGATTTCACATTTTATAAGACTGGGTGACGTGACATGCCACAAGGTAGCACTGCTCACTGTGCAACGCCATCATCTGCTTTAAGTTTCGGATGTGACAGCGACTATCCGGTCAGTACCGAGTGGATCGCAACCCCACACTGGAAGACACCTTCTACGTATGGCAAAGCAAGGATCAGTCATTTTTTGAAGTCAGTTACTGCATGGAGGCCGTCATAGCAGTTTTCAATAAGTCATCTTTCAACCATCAAAATTCTATTGCTCGCTCATAATCGCCACTCATAAGAAGAACAGTCATCTTCCAACGCTCAAACACGTTTATCGAGTCATAACGCTTCGTAAAGAAAGGGCGGATATGCATCTTCATGCCTTTCCATGTGCAACAAAAAACAGAACGCTCAACGCTGGTTTGGAAACCAATCAACGCTTGCTTAGAACATTGCGCTCTACAATCGCTTAACCGCTAGGGTTGCCGTTGAAGGCAAGGTAGTTCTTGGTGGCAGTGGTAGGAAGGCCAGAGATCTTGTTCTTGAGGGCAAGAGTCTGGAGGCGGGTAGCAAGAGCAGCAGGAGTCTTCTTGCCCTCGAAGCCAAGAATGTAGGCAGCGAGACCGGCAACGTGGGGAGTGGCCATGGAGGTACCGGAGATGGTGTTGGTGCCACCATTCAACCAGGTGGAGAGGATGGAAACACCAGGAGCGATGATGTCGACAACAGAGCCGTAATTGGAGAAAGAGGCGAACTTGTCAGAGCTGTCGGAAGCACCAACAGTGAAAGCAGTAGCCTCAGAAGCAGGCGAGACATTGGCGGCATCCTGAGCCTCGTTTCCGGCGGCAACGGCCATGAAGACACCAGCGGTGACAGCGTTGGCAACAGCGGTGTTGACGGCAGTGGACTTGGATCCACCGAGGGACATGCTGCCGACGACACCGGCGGTGCAGCCAGCACGGCTCTTGGAGTCGTTGGCGACGTAGTTAATACCGGCAATAACACCAGAGTTGGTACCCTGTTCGGAAGTTAGTATATAAGCCACTGACATGTTGATGATTTGAAGTGAGACATACAGAGCCAGAGGCGTCAAGGACCTTGACGGCGAAGAGCTTGGCCTTCTTAGCCACACCGTAGGTCTTGGATCCAACGGTTCCAGCGCAGTGAGTGCCGTGGCCGTTGCCATCGGTGTTGGAGCCATCTCCAGCGTAGTTGGCGAGGAAGGTAGCACGGCCCTCGAACTCGGCGTGAGTGGTGGAGATACCGGTGTCAATGATGTACACACAGGTGTTGGCTCCAGCAGTGCTGTCGTAGGTATAAGAGGTGCTACCAGTGTTCTGGTGGGAGATACGACCAAGACCCCAGGTGGCAGAGGACTGGGTAACGTATGCCCTCTTCTCGATGTTCTCAATTTCGCCAAGGTTGGCCTTGACAACAGCATCCTGCTCGATGTAGTCGACACCAGGGAAGTTCTGAAGGAGCTTGACAATGTCGTCGCTCATCTCAGCGGCGAAGCCACCGAAGTTTCCGAACTGATAGACGTGGGCAGGGTCCTTCTTCAGAAGCTTCAGGGCATCCTCGATGAGAACCTGGAGGTTCTGGTTCTTCAACTTGACGATATACTTTCCGGGAATGGGAGTACCGGCGCGAGGCTGAAGGACAGGAGCCGGAAGAGCCAGAGCCATAGCTGGCAAAAGCGAGAGGAGTAGAGTGAGCTGCATGATGGCGGTTGCTAGAGAAGCGATGGCGTCAGAACGAGAGGTGGAAGAATCTGGTGTTGATGGGCGAAGAACTGAAGTGCTGCCTGTAGCTATTGGAGTGCGTCTTCTGCTCCTTATATAGCTGTCGACAACTCTTGGAGTGGATCAACTGGGAGAGGGTGGTTTCACCTGCCACTTGAGATTAGCCTTGAAAACAGTACGTGCTCAGGTAGATGCTTCTTAGAGAAAGGCGGCTCAGTGTGGTGGCTGTACTGCTCGATGCCGAGAATGGGAGGTGATACAGAAACGCCCGGCATTACTTGCTGCTGAGACGACATGTTAGCCGAGACCAAGGTCTATCACGGCGGTCATAGGGAGGACAGGGAAGGAAGGAGGATAGAAGGCGTGATAGAAGCTATGGGGCGGACTCTTGGCAAGATGCAGGTTATATGAAAGTTACTTACCGGATTAGGTATGTGGGTAAGGTCGTTGGCGGGAGCATGTGCTCAACGTTGAAGTCCGTTGAATTATGTGATTGGATTTTGGGCCAAACGATGTGCAAGGTGATGCACCCCTCGTATAATTTCGATAAGAGCGGAAGAATGTTACAAGACAAGCTGTAGGCTGAAGATGAATTGAAGCTGTTGGATGCAGACGGCGGTATCCGTCGAAGCTTAAAGTACTTGCAGCTGGTGTTCGACTTGTGGTAGCAGTTTCGTCATAGTTATTGGATTCCTTCAACACATGTTAGCGGACAGATGGCCCAGAAGGGAAATGATGAAGGCCAACATCGCAAACATACACATTCTCCCAGTCCTTAGCTTTGGTTCACCATCCATGCTATCATGCTCATCTACACTGACCTTGAATCACATCTCGAGGATTATGATAACACGTCGACAATACCCTGCAAAATACACTAGGTAAACAAAGGTCTTCGTTCGGTCGAAAATCCGAAACTGTAGTGTTCGAGCAACATGACGACTCACGTGGAGTGAGTGTCGAACCACACTCGAAACGCTATGTGGCGTTCCAGACTGTCAAAATCTCGTGTCTGTCGACTAGTAGTAAGGGTATCCGGTGTATTGGGAGATCAAGGAGTTATGCCCTATCGCTGCTTGTCATTTGCCAGTGTACATGTTTCGAGTATTGAGCCACTCAACGTCAATCAGACGCAAGCGTCGTCCAATGTTCTGGCCGGAGAGCGCGAAATCGACATCATACTTTCCTTTTGCAGCCATGAACGATAGAAATGCGTGTGGATCATAACAGGGAAGCTCGGCGGTTCCCTTTGAAGGAATGTCTGGAGATGCGCTGAGCATGCGACTGTTGGTGTTGTCAGGTCTGTAGGTCGACCTTCAACCGCGTGTGCAGGAAGTATCAAGGTTCACCGGGGCCTCAACTAAGGCAGCTAAGCTTAAGCTTAAAGGCACTCGATCAGTAAAGCACCTCCTTGATTGAGGGTAAAGTGCTGCAGATCAATCAAAATGCTTGGCTACATCCTGAGATAAGGGCAAAGCAAGGCTGGGCGGTAATTGCAGCAACGAGCGAACGGTATGCGCGGGAAAAGAGCGCGCCTGGTTCGCGAATGCGAGTATTGGCCGAGGCACAACGACTTTGATGGTTGTGTAGCGTTGAATCTCTTCCAACTGTTCTGTGGTTACTCACCGTCATCCCGTTATTCACTATCCGCATTCTGATTTGTCCCCTTTGCAAATAGTGAGTGCCGTGCGAAGACTTCCAGCAGGTTCAAGAGCCAGGTACACAGCATCGCCCAGGGCATGTGTTCGAGAACAGGCCCATGACGGGGCAGATTGCGCGAGCTGCGGGTGACCTTTGTTGAAGGATTGCATCTTCAAGCCTTGCCGAAACGAACCGTGGATCTCTCTTGTGCCGGTGTCGATCACCACACCAGCGAAATTGACCTTACCTGTTCGAACATTACCTCCGCTCACTATCCTTCTCGTCTCGCCGACATACCAAATAGCTGGGGAAGAGCGCGTCGTTGCGGAGTTGTAGAGGCAACAGTCATGTGTGTAGGAATTCAAAGCGCGAGATGCAGGTGTGTTCGGAGAGAAATCGGAGCAGCGCCAAGCTTTGTTAGCGCCCGGCCTGCACCCCTTCTCCATCCCACCACTCCTTACTCGCGGCCTTATCATGCACACACTTCTTGGCGCCTTCCTACCACCCAACAATGACAGTCCAGGCACAATCTCGGGCGCCGTGAGGCTATCAGCGCCTGTTCGAAACCCTCGTCACTGTCTTGTGATCCCATATTGCTCGCAATAGTTCAGCGAGAAATGTGCATTCCTTTGACAAGATTGGGTCCTCTTTCAGTATTCTGGTCTATGCGTTGCTCACGTATCCTCTAGAAACCATCGAGCCAGGTGTCATTTCACGTAGCCTCTGCCTTACACAGTACTTCGTACGTATAGAACAATTCCAGAACGATGAGCCTACAGGATGTTTACACGCGAAAAGCATGACCATCCTCTATCATGCGACGCAAACGAGTTCAAACCTCCTTAACCAGATTCTCCAGACTGTTCTTCTTACTTCCCGTTAGCAAAACAGTTCGCCTTGATAGCGTCTCCATGCAGGGTTCGATTTCTCTGCGCGTTGCCAGCAGCCCTTCAGAATGAAGTCGGCAACTCACATTAGTGAGGCTCTTCTGCTTTGCTACATTGACGAGCCATTTCTTAGTGCCCAGGGGGTAGTCTCAATCAGCCGCTCTCGTATCTGTATTCCCGTGAGTTTAGCACCCGGCAAGGATCAAGCAAGTAGACTTCAGCAACCTTCCCGAGTCGTTCACCACGCCGACTGCCAAGACCGAAACTGTTCACAGCGCTTACATTAGAGTACCTCTCCACGGCTTGGCGGAGCTTCGTCGAATGAATACGAAGTGCTTGACGGCAGGAGCAGGCCTTGGATTAGCTTGCGTCCCAGCAATCCTATTGAGTCAGACTCTCCTTCCTAATCGGGCTGTGGCGCACAGCGGACAGCCTGCATGACCCTGTCAGAGCTGCAGGAACAGTCTAAACATCAAGAAGGGTCACAAGATATCGTTGATCGATGGAACTCTGAAGGCCAAGAGGCGTCCAGTCAGCTGGTCGGAATCTGGTCTTTGTTACCTGCCTTATCAATGTTCATCATCATGTAGGCGAGCACCTACAGTGGATCACTTCAGGCAGATTTGCATGATCACGACATCTGCTGTCGCTCGAAGACGAGCTGCACACATCACGAGATGGCTCGGAACATGCTTTCCTGATCTCAGTACTATGGGCTCTTTACACCTCGTTCTGCGGCTTCTGCATCTGCATCTCGAAGTACTACCTCGCTCTTCCTGCTGCTCTTGTAAGACGATCCGACAGCCAACGGTCCGGCCCATGGGTCAGAGGGTTTGAAGGATTCTGAAGGAGTCGATGTGTTCCTAAAACTTCCTGGCTATCATCGAACAACTTCGGACAACATGTGAAAGATCACCTTGCCAGCTGTTTCACTATATCATTAGATCAGGCTCACATCAGCGTAGGCCGCGATCTTCCACATTTTCAACGGACCGGCATGCGTGTACCGGCAGGGCAGCCTTAAGCGATCAAACTCCCTCAAATGTCCGCTTAGGCAAACTGCAATATACTATATGCCGGCTCCTTCCCTTTTGGCAAGCGAACAACAATGCCGCATGATCTGAAAGCCGCTGCAACCGCCTGGATCCATTGAGCACCTGAGTGACTTTGGCGGTGGCAGAGTCTGATAAGAACAACCTCTCATGGATTCCACGTCATTTTCTTGCCCATCATTTTGCGTCTCTTCTTTTCTGACTTGTCATTACATCAGTTGGATCATCTGCTGTCTGTCATCTTGTTTTCTGCCCGTCTCAACGCTCGACATATGTCTCGCAATGTCCATAGGAGTTGTCACAATCTTTTGGCATGACACATGCCACGACACCTTGCCGCTCCAAAATCTGGGGATGTGGTGGATCATCTGTCAATTGCGCAATCAACGCACGGCGTGATTGGCCGGACAATCATTGTCCGGTCAAAGATTCGTAGCATCGTTCTCACGTATACATTGCCAACTTGTCAAAAACATGTCCGGTCTAGGCGTAGACGCCCAGTCTCCACCGATGTGTTGCGGTAGGGGCGATATGAGAACGAAGATGCGAGCAGGGGCCTCGTTCCATCATGCCAGAACAAGCATGATGTCCACCACAACTTTGGGCTTCGAAACGACGATAGCTAGCAACTCCGCCGTCCCTATCTTGATCGAAAGAGTCAGGCGACATCGATGCAGTATTCTGTAGTCGCGAATGCGAAAGACAAGCCACAACCTCCAGATTTACGAAGGTAACCTTAAGAGCCGTGAATCCGCTCAAGAGTAGCTAAGACATGCATTCGTCGCCTTCTGCGTCTCCCAACGACTCTCACTGCACGGTTTCTGACCAGCCGACAACAAACATCCACCACAGCTTCCACATAACAGTAGCTACAGGACATCAACCCAAGAAACCTCATCATGGCAGCAAATACCAAAACAAAGTCATCCTCATCACCAGCGCAGCCAGCGGCATCGGATGCGCACCAGCCCTCAAGCTCGCCACTCTAGGCGCTTCCCCCGCCATCTGTGCGTCAATACCTCCATGCTCTCTGAAGCCCAAGGTTACAATGCGGCCGACACCGCCCGGATGTCCGTCAACGTGCAACAAGAAGCATAGACCGCGAAAGCCAGATAGAAAGAACACGCCCTGACGCTGACGACGAAGGTATGACCTACCTCGTTTGGGGTACGCTTCAATTCCCCAAACACCGTTGCCAAGTGAGACAGAAAAGGAGGGCAGCTGACTGTGAGAAGGTTCTACCCCGAGATGCCCGGCATGCACGCCCCCACCGACCTACGCAAGCATTTTGAACCCTCCCTTCACGAGCTCGGCAGCTCATGCGTAGAAATTTTCTACCTGCATGCATCGGATCGCACTGTGCCGTTCGAACCCACAGCGCACAAGGTTAATGGAGTTCACAAAGAAGGTAAATTCAAGAAGCTTGAGTTCTCGAGCTATCCTGCCTGGGAAGTCGCCGAAATAGTAAATGTAGCGAGAGAAAGGGAGTGGGTGGTGCCGAGTATATATCAGGCGATGTATAACTGCTTCAGTCTGTCATCTCTTCCCCTTTCCTTCCAACCACAGTCTCAGAAGTGGTATTTGAGCTAACTAAACCAACAGCTCGAGGAATCGAAAGCGAATTGATACCGTGTCTACAAATATATGGTATAGAGCTCGTAACCTACAATCCGCTTTGCGACGGCCTGTTCTCGGGCAAGATCAAATCAAGTGATCTCGAAACCCCGCCTACAGAAGGTCGCTTCTCCGACTCGTATCAGTGGAGGCAGTTGTATCGTGACAAGTACTTGAACAATACAAATATGCAGGCGTTGAAGATTATAGAGGACGCGGCCAAGAAGCATGATCTGACGATGCTGGAGACGGCGTTGAGATGGACGATACATCATTCAGCGCTGAATACGAGGATGAAGGGTGGAAATGATGGAGTCGTGGTGGGTGTGAGTAACTTTCAACAACTGCAAGGCAATTTGTGGGACTTCGAGAAGGGGCCGTGGCCGGAAGATGTTGTGGAGGCATTGAACAAGGCGTGGTTGATTAGGAAGGCTACGGTGCCTCCGTATTGGCGGTAGGTCGTGCAAAGTCTACAACAGTCATACTAGGCGTGTTCGGCCAAGGGTTTTCTTTGATGATCAAAATGCGTACTATCGTAAGCTCATGAATTCTTGTATCGTTGCTGCACTCAATGTCATCCGTTTCCAATCTTTTCAAAAGGAACTATCATCCCTCGGTTGAGACCAATTGTATCCAAGTAATGTCCTGAGTTGTGTGACAGAACTTTGTTCTAATCACACTTATACACGTACTTCGTGGTATACCAGATGGTGGTCCACCACACAAACGTTGTGCGAAGACAGAACCATACCTCATCAGACAGTGACGGCCGCTCCTCAGCCCAGAATCCATGCCACTTGACCCAGAACGCACGCCACCCGGCACGCCAGGACTACTGGGCAGCATCTGATAGCTCCTCTGTATTGGTCTCGCCAATGACGCTCTTCAAGAGCTCAGGCACGATCTGTGCAGCGTCACCCTCGAAGAACCAGTCCCGAGAGTACAGACCGCTGGCGGGAGCGTCACCTTTATCCATGTTGATGACAGCAACTCGTGCACCCTTGCGGCGCGCGATGTCAACATAACCAGCGGCGGGGTAGACCTTCGCGCTTGTGCCAATAACCATAATGAGGTCAATGTCATCTTCATCCATCCACGTGTCGACGTCCTCCAATACATCGCTTGGCAGTCGCTCGTTGAACCATACAACGCCGGGGCGCAGGAGGCCGCGCTTGCACTTAGGGCACTTGGGGAGGTGGTCGTAGTCGAGTTCGGGGATCGCGACGTTCTCGTCTGAGATGTCGAGCTCTCGGGCAGCAAGTGCTGAATTGGTGGTGGGATCTGATTCATCAGTAGGAATAGCCAATGTGGGCACGATTGGGTCGGTATAGTTGTTCTTCTCCAGGTAGTCGCAGAAGAAGTCTGAGCATTTGACATCGAAGAGCGAGCCGTGCAGGAGCTTGAGTTTGTCCGCAGGATGTCTCGCGCGAGGTGAGAGGCCTGAAAGGTCGGTAATTGTTCTCCTGTGATTCAAAGCATATGTGTGGCACAATACTTACCATCAACATTTTGGCTCAATGTGAGGAAGTTCTTCTTCCTGGCTAGCTCGGCGAGGGCATAATGAGCAGGGTTTGGCTTGACTCCCAGGGCCATGTGGCGGCGATAGCTGTAGAATTGCCATACCAGGCCTGGATCACGGCCAAATGCCTCTGGTGTTGCTAGAGAGGTGGCATCGTGGGTTCTCCAAAGTCCACCTGCCCCTCTGAAGGTAGGCAGCCCAGAAGAAGCTGATAGCCCAGCACCTAAAAGAGCTAGAATGCGTGTTGATTTGTTCAAGTGTTCCTGGAAGCTTTCGAGGTCTTTCTTGGGGACGACGCTTGGCCTGGCGGTCGTGGCGGCCATTCTGCAGATGGTACGTGGTAGAGACAGGATGGTGGTCTTACACTATATACGCAAAAGGGGTGTGGGACTGTTTGCAACATGTGTGCGCCGGCCGTATAAGCAGAGATGGGGTTGCAAGCACAGGCACAGGCACAGGCAGAGGAAGCTGTCGTGCTGCCTGGTGCGGCCTCCGGGAAGGCGCATTACGTCAGACGCCGACGGTCAAATACAATCGATAAGGCGGAAAATAATGCCAATTCCGCGCCCTCGTGATTCGTCCTGCCTTTCGATCTTCGTTGTTTGTGTTATTATGAGTCTTATGTTAAGGTTACTGCGGCCAGCAGTGAGGGCGCCATGGAGAGTCACAAGGGCGCAGCGTTGGAGAGGGTACGCGACGGTGGAAGTGCCTGCGTCGAAGCTCAGCTTCGGCCAGCCGCTGCATGAGACTCACCCTCACCTGCTGAAGCCTGGGGAAAGTGCGACCGCCTGCGCCTGCCTATTACAAGCAACTGTTAAACAATGACACAGTCACACCCAACATCACCGCCCTCGAGTACTACAATCGTCGCCAAAAGCTTGCTGAACAGCTTCCACCAAACTCGATCGCCATCATTGCCGGTTCAGACCTGAAGTATGCCTCTGGTGCAGTCTTCTACAAATTCCACCAGGATCCTGACTTCCTCTACCTGACCGGTACATATGTCACTTAACTCAATTGAGAGTACTGGTGACTGACAAGACCAGGCTTTAAGGAACCAGACGCACTTGCGATTATCGAGAAGCAAGAGGACGACGATCACATCTTCCACCTCTACGTTCGCCCAAAGGATGTCAAGGCCGAAATATGGGAAGGCGCACGTTCAGGTGTAGAAGCTGCTGAGGATGTCTTCAATGCTGATGTCGCCGGCGATATCAACAACTTGCCTCGAATCCTCGCCGGAATCATCACACGATCGAAGAACATCTACACCGACCTGCCCAGCAGCCGCATATCGAAGAACATATTATCGCGATTCTTGTCAGGTTCCGAGCCAGCACGGATAGGAGGCATTCAGAAGGTCTTCCGTGATGCACGAGACGAGAACGAGATCTCGATGAAGCCCCTGCGACCACTGCTGAACGAATTGAGGGTCATCAAGAGCGATGCAGAGATCCAGAACATGCGAAGAGCGGGGCAACATTCTGGACGCGCCATCACAGACGCCATGCGCCAGTCCTTCACGACTGAGAAGGACCTCGACTCCTTCCTCGACTATTGGTTCAAGCAGGACGACTGCGACGGCCCAGCGTACGTCCCGGTTGTCGCAGGCGGCATCAATGCCAACACTATCCATTACGTATCGAACGACATGCAGTTGAACCCCAACGACCTCGTCTTGGTAGATGCCGGCGCACAGTATGGCAGCTACGTCACAGACATTACCCGCACATGGCCTGTTTCTGGCAAGTTCACACCAGCGCAGCGCGACCTCTACACTCTCCTCCTGAACGTACAACGGTCTTGCGTCGCCCTATGCCGTGTCTCTGCACAGCTATCGCTCGACAAGCTACACAACATCGCAGCCAACCAGCTCCGTGACGGCCTCAAGGATCTCGGTTTTGACATTTCGAACGACGCTATTCACAAGCTGTTTCCACACCACGTTGGCCACTACCTCGGTCTTGACGTTCACGATAGTCCAGGCTTGACAAGAACTAGATATCTTGAGAAGAACATGGTTGTCACAGTCGAGCCTGGGATATACGTACCTGATGATGAGAGGTGGCCGAAGTGGGCGAGAGGCATTGGCATGAGGATCGAAGACAGCGTTTGTGTGGATGAGGAGAGCCCCTTTGTGCTGACAACAGAAGCTGTAAAAGAGGTAAGTTGACTTCAACGCTCTGACGAAGGTTATTAACCCCTTGCAGATCGTGGACATCGAAGCACTGAAGGGAACCGAGACGAACATATAGAACCCTGAAGCAGTCCAAGAGCTGCTATGTAGCATACCATCAAGTACAACAAGAACATCGACTAATTGTATTCACGATCCGACACGGCCGACGACCAGATTGCACGCGGCGTCCCACAGTACTGGCGCTCAAGAGCATGACATTCTCGTGCAAGAGCTTGATCTTCTTGATTATAAGGAGCATAATCATTCACACCCTTTACATACGACCATAGGACGTTGAAAACAAGTTCTCCCGTGCGACCCGCCGTCTGTCGAGGCGCCGCTTTGAGAATGCAGTCACGTGTATTACCGTTTTCGGTATTCACGAACCTGACTTACTCACCAACACAACTAACTATTTTAGGTCAATTTGCTGAAAACATGAGACTGAATCTTGTCTGCATATTCGTGGATGCCAATATTCGTTGTGTCTATTCTTGTAGCCTTGGTTCTGCATCCTTTCAGATCTCATCTTCAAACTCCTTTCCCTCCTCCACTCCATGGTTTGTATAGACTACAACCGTTTCACAACATCTTGCATCTTTCACATTGCGAGCCTGAATAGCCAAGATGGGGAAAAGCGCTCGATCATTTAACCTTGAACTTCTTAAGGAACGCGCCCGTCAGGAGAGGGCTCCACAGCCCTTAACCCTCGAGGACGTCAAGAACGCTCTGAATAAGGCAGCCTTTGACTCGTACAAGTACACAATGAGGCTTTGGAAAGAGTGATTAAGCTCGTGTGCCCGACCGATCATCACTGATAGTGTGTGTAGGTTCTCAATAGACGTCCTCGAAAAGCCGATGGCCGAGGATCGCTTTGATCAAGCACCTACAACGCTCCAGGTACAACTTTACCTCGAATGGTTTGCGCAGACAAGGACAGGTATTTTGGAGGAGAATATAACGGATGTTACCGTTCGCAACCGCCTCTCGTGCCTCAAGCGTACTGTCAAACTGCACACGCAATATCAGTACACACAGCTCCAAAACGCAGAGATCGACAAGTTCATTGAAAAGCGTTTGGTTTATGGGAAGCATGTCTCAACATGTGCTCGAAAAAAGCCGCTTGCACCACTCGGCGTGGCTGAAGACATCATTTGTTTTCTCTTCGCCTGTGACGAGTATATGGGGTTGCACCATCGTCTACGCAACCAGATGGCTTTTGCTATCCAACTCATGTTGCTTATTGGTGTCCGACCGGGCGAGATCATTGAATCTGATGCGTGGCGTCAATCCAATGAAGGCCTGCATTACAGAGATGTTGAGCTCATCTACCAGCGTACCGAAACATACCACGGATGGCTCCTCTATGTCAAATTGAGGAATCGGAAAGGACATCGTGAGTACAAGAAGCACGCGTATGCAGCTCTGTAGAGGCCTTGTTTGCACAAAGCTAACGCAAAAAAGGCCAACCATGGTTCTATACGAAGAGCCGCTCATGAGATACATGTGTCCGGTCACGTGGTTTTTATCTCTTGCCTTCGCAGATGGCGTTTTTAGAGATCTATCTTCATACAAAGACCTCAGCAAAGTAGAGCCCCCGCCAGGGAGCTCCCTTTACAGAGCCAAGTACACAGATGTGGCTTCAGAGCGCCCTATCATGCGGAATGTGCGCGCGGATGGAACGATATCCGAAGACAAAATCTGGACCTACGACTGCTTCAACTTAGCATTGAGGGGTACTGGACAAAGAGCTGGCTACAAAGAGAATCTCAGCGCGTACTGCTTCAGACGCGCCTTTGCGCATGCCGTACAGAGCAAGTATTTCAATTGCATATCCATCTAAGTGGGACACTACTAATGCGAGATCAGGAAGAGCAACAGCGCCGCAGCTCAGAACGCTGTTAGGGCATAAAGGCGAAGAGACTGCGCAATACTATGTCTCTGGATTTGTTGGGATTGACAGCCAGTCAATCGTTCACGAACGAGAGCAACGCCTCGAACTCTACAAGGAGTCTAGCTCTATGATGGCCAATAGGAATCTACTAGCACCCAAGCCACAGGGGTCCACACTTATTCAGCAATCTTCTGCTAGGACAGGTCAGCTTCTCAAGGCTCTCTCGGCCCTTGGTGAGCAGGATGTTGAGATCATTGCTACGACACAAATATCACCAAAACAGGCTTCCAAGCTTAGAAGGCAATCGCGGAACAGAGCATACCAGAAAGATCGAAGGGATTTCTATGAGGGCACGGCTATACCAACCACGCAAAGGGAATCGACATCTCCGTCGACAGACATATCTCGCGGGCCTTCCCGCTACCTCATGGCACTACTCAAGTTCGAGCCTGCACGCAAAAGTGTGATAGAGATGATGTTTAGCGATCATGACAGTGTGGATCTGGAGCTGTCTCTTGATGTTGTTCTTGCGCCACTCATCCAGCTGGCAAGCCCGGGGAAGAAGCGCTATGCCTACAAAACTGCAGAGCCTACACCAGACAATCACTGTCCTGACTGTGCAAAGGACCTGAACACGTTAGCAACCCTCTTGTACATCTCGTC